TGTCAAGCCTGGGCTGGAAGCTGGATGCCACGTCGGCTCTCACGCTGGCAGCGCACGACCTGATCGGACGGACGACCAGACCGCCGGCTGTCGCAGTCTCTGCGCCTCTGTGGCCCACGACCTCCGCGCCAACAACGGCGAGGCATGAAGACTTGACAAGTTCATCGACATCGACATATGTACCGTTGGTACACGGGCGCGGCAAGCCGGCCCTACCTCTTGGTCCGTCACATTCAACAACCAAAAGAACCCTCCCTCGGTCGATCAGCCCGCGTCGCACCTCGCCAATGGACGAGGCGCACTCAGCCCATCGGCTGCGCGGCTCGCATTGTTTGCGGTCGGGAGTGCGGCGCGGGGACAGGGACCAGCCCATCAGAAGCCGAGGACAGGGGCCGAACCTTTTGATGGTGGGTGCGCTGGATGCATCGGAGGCAGGCTGATCACACTCTCGCTGACGAGCACGCCAAACACCTCCGCGAATCGTTCACATCAATGCCTCGTACCACGAATCCAGTCCAGCACTTGGTGTGTGCAGCCATGTAAAACTCGCCATGTTGCGCCGGCGCTGGCCCTTGTTGATGAACGGTCCGCCTCACGACTCACGACTCATGGCTCGTCCCAGCTCATGCATGGATCTTCCGCTCCATGGTCTGTGCCTTCGCGTGCCGTTCAACTTTGGCATCTACAGTGAAGAGACGCCCCAAGCGCAGGCGAGCTTTGACACAGGCATATGACTCGACGGAACCTCAGAAGCACCACGCTGGATTCGTGGGCGTCCGCGTAAGCTCAAATCGGACGCCTGCAGACCGGAGAGCATGATGACGGGACATGCAACTCACAACCAGGTCTCCAAGACCGCGGACGGGCAGCCGGGAACACGGCACGGCCAATCCTGTTCAGAACTTTGAGTCTGTCATCTTGTCCGCTCGCCCTGACCGACACAGAACGGCGCCCGCCCCCCGAAGATCTGGATTCTAGCTGTCGAGCGATGGTGCTGTGTAACTCGGGCTCCACAAGACAGGCGTCTCAGCAGGACAAGGCATCCCTGTGGCGGGCGCTTCGCTCCTTGATCCCTCGGCATGGGGCAACCTTTGATTGAATCACCAGAGGTCAGGGGAGAGGAGGAAACAGCGCTCCCCATGTTCTTCCGTCCGCCTCAAGCCGAGCACCCGCCTGTCACGGGTTCCCCAAGCGCGCGTCTACCTGCCCCTGTCCAGTTTGTGCACTGCACTCCGCACGTCTTGTTACAGTGCCACTGCAGGGAGTATTGTCCCGTACCTTGCACTGGCTGGCCGTGCGCTGCTGGGGCCCCGTCGTCGGGTTGTCAGACTCGAGGCGGGCCACTGCCGAGCTGCCAACACGGCTGCAAGAGGCTGCCGACGCGGCGCCCTTTAATTTCGAAGGCGTGCTGCACGTTTCGGCGTCACCGACCGGTTCCTGATCCGTGCGCGCGGGGCCAGACGCTGCCGAATGGGCGCGGGCTTTCTGGCCACGGGTGTTGTCGACGTCGGACGGCGGCGATAACGCAACGCGGATGATGCTGCGCGGTCAATTCAGGTACCCTGAGACACGACACTTCGGTACCTGGATCTTGTCGTCAGTCGGCGGCCCAACGCCAACCCCACCCTCGCCCGCTCACCGGACCCCACCGAACGTCCGCCCCCACCGCCTTCCTGCACGAGCGGCTGACTTCCACCTCCGTGGCGGCAGAATCGCCAAATTTTCTGTCTCAGCTTCACAACTGGTCTCGGCACAAATCCAATCCCGACGACCATCGTACACAGCAACGGAATCACGATGCGCGCCGATACCGATCGCGCCGAGTCCGACTCAGATGCTGCCAGCGTGTCTGGCGTGTCGGTTTCGTCGGCCGAGTCCGACTACCTCGACAACACTACATCACGGAAACGCCGCCGGACATGCCCCACTGCCGAAGCCATTCGAGCCGAGCTCGAAGCCGCCGTCGACGACGATGAGGACGATGAAGACGACGAGGGCAATGGCTCTGGGAGCTTCAAGCCCACCATGACCGCGATTGCAGCGCCCTCGAGGATTAAGCGGGCAGCGCAGGCGACCACCAGTGGGACCCCAACTATCCCGCAGAACCGCATTCAGGCGCCGGTCGATCCAAACACAACCTTTTCGTCCCTCCAAGTCCGACCATGGCTCGTACAGTCACTTGGAAACATGGCCATCAAGCGACCAACCGGCATTCAAAAGGGCTGCATCCCCGAAATCTTGAAGGGGAGAGACTGCATCGGCGGCAGCAGGACCGGTTCCGGAAAGACGGTTGCCTTTGCCGTGCCCATCCTGCAAAGGTGGGCCGAGGACCCAAGCGCAATCTTTGGCGTCGTCTTGACGCCCACCAGAGAATTGGCATTGCAGATCTATGAGCAGTTCAAGGCCATATCCTCACCGCAAAGTCTCAAGGCCATCCTCGTGACTGGTGGATCGGACATGCGCGCTCAGGCGATTGCCCTGTCCCAGAGGCCTCACATTGTCATTGCCACGCCTGGTCGCCTTGCAGATCACATCAGAACATCTGGCGAGGACACGATATGCGGCCTGAGGCGAGTGCGCTTCGTTGTTTTGGATGAGGCGGATAGACTCTTGCATGCCTCCGGCCCGGGCAGCATGCTTCCAGATGTGGAGGAGTGTCTGGGTGTGCTGCCGCCCGCCACGGAGCGCCAGACCCTGCTTTTCACGGCTACCATTACCCCCGAGGTTCGAGCCCTCAAGAACATGCCCCAGAAGCCGGGCAAACAGCCGGTCTTCGTTTGCGAGGTCGACACCCAGATGCTTGCCATCCCCACGACCCTTACGCAGACGCACATTCAAATCCCCGTCACCCACAAGGAGCACTACCTGCACGTCTTTCTTCTTACCGAAGCCAACAAGGACAAGACGGTCATCATTTTTTGCAACCGGACTTCAACAGCCGAGTATCTGCACCACCTGCTCCGGCTCTTGGACCACCGCGTCACCTCGCTGCACTCGAAGCTCCCCCAGCGTCAGAGGATTGACAATCTTGCGCGATTCCGCGCGTCAGCTGCCCGTATTCTCGTCGCTACCGATGTGGCGGCCCGTGGTCTGGACATTCCCGAGGTCAGCCTCGTCGTTAACTACGACATTCCCCGCGATCCGGATGACTATATCCACCGCGTCGGTCGTACCGCTCGTGCAGGCCGCAAGGGCGAAGCGGCGACTTTTGTCGGACAACGTGATGTGGAGCTAGTTCTGGCGATCGAGAAACGCGTGGGCCGCGAGCTCGAGACCTGGGAAGAGGAGGGCGTTAACCTGGAGACAAGAGTCATCCGCGACGCGCTCAAGACTGTGAGCGAGAAGAAGCGGGAGGCATTGCTCGAGGTGGAAGAGGACAGGGAAGTCGGCGGCAAGCGGAAGAGAACCAAGCAGAAGCTTCACGCTGACTAGACCACACTCCCCTCCGGAGGTGTTTCGGGGAATTTTCGTATTAGACGCGACACATAGCGACGGAGCATTTGAACTGTCAGATTTCGTGCATATCTGCCTCTTTCCCATCATGTGCCATTCCACATTATCTAATGGTCGGTTAACTTGACAGAAGTGGAACAATCTCCTCGAGGACCCCCCAATGATGTCGACCAGCACAGTACACTATGGGCAGCCCTCGTCTTGTGCCGAGCTCCCTTCGCGCTCAGTTTTTCTTGAGCAGTTAGGGTCAAGGTCCCAATGGTGTGGTTTGCTTGTGGCCACGGGTATGGGCGTTTGAAACATGACGTTGGAAATTAACGCTCCGGCGCTTGCGCTGCGTGATGTTTTCTCCCTCATGTTCACAGACTGGCGGCTCAAGCTGGGACGCATGAAACGCCGCCTGGCCACCCCGCGCGCATGGGCCGAGTAGTTATCCTTCAGCGGGCTGCATGCTCCATCACAAAAGCCCGTGCTGGGGGTCACCTGCAATATGTCGAACGACACGCTCGATGAATCAACGCAAGCCAAGCGTTGCAGAAGAAGTAATAGTTGGGTAATGGGATGCTGGGGCTTTGGAGCTGTCTTTGATCTGGATTCATGAGAGTCAGACGGGCGCTTTTGGTCGCTGAGTATTATTGACACATCGACATGCGATGCACCGGCCCTTGCGTCCTGTACAGCACGCCGTCTCAAGAACTCATGTTGATGGGAAGGGGCTATATAAGATGGCCTCGCTCGCTCACATGTCCTGGATGTGAACGCCGAGGATCTTGTCCATCAACAGACAGACAGACGAGCCTTTCCCCATCGCTACATCCGCAGCACAAATGCAGCCAAGCTCTACCGCGACGGCGGCCATGACGGCGACCTCGGCGGCGTCCGTGGCCGACATTCTGCTCCTGCCCAATGGGAACTGGACGAACGCAGACTGGGACCGTGCGGACGCGGTATGGGAGAGGTCCAAGAAGCGAGCATCCGTCACTGGCGTAAATCCCCCTCCCCCTTTCTCCTCCTCGTCCTACTCTTCTTCTTTCCCTCTCACGCTCACTGATGAGCACACGCGCGACGATGAGAGCATGGAGGTTGGTGCTAACAGTTTTGCCCACAGAGGTGCAACGCGCAGACCCAGAAGTGCGAGATCGACTTTGCGCGCTTCAAAGGGACGCACGGCTTGGACACGCTGCTCAAGGAACTTAACTTGCCTGAGCGGTTTTACGCTGCCTGCCATCCAGAAACTCCCGTGAGTCCGGCCGCGAAGCCTCGAAAGGGGCACGATGTTGCTGGGTCAGACGCTGACTGGACCTTGACAGTGCGAAACCAACTATGATTGGTGCCTGTGGAACACCCACCCGGCGCAGGCCGCAAACTGTGCCAACGAGCCGCACCACCGGGAATTAATCGTCAGCAATCGCAAGACGCACTGGTTTAACGGGGGCCCTGCGGGCAGAGTCACCCACGTGGAGCACAAGCCCGGCCGGATCGTCGTCGACCATGGGTACAATGGCCCGATCATTCGCGGGAACATCCGGTGCGTCGCCTTAGGGTACGTTGAGCTTGACCCATTTGACAAGACAACTGGGCCTTGATGAGACATCAGAGGTGGTCAACGTGGCCGTGGCATCGCAAGTACGGTTGCGCAGCATGTCAACACGCGCGCCTTTTCACAGAACCCAGAATGGCAGGCTGCACCAGAAGAAAACTTTGCACGGACAGGCGATTGCGGGTATTTGGTACAAGTCCAGCTTCACGGTTGTACGAGAAAACAGAAAGAGATTATTTGACTGGACGGAAAAACCGTGGCTGGTCTAAGAACTCGTACGTTCTCTGCAGTTCGCTGCAGCTTTGGAGGGGTGTGAATTCTGCCCGTCAAACATTCGTGTGGCATGGCTTGACAGGAGGCTACATACCTAGTCCCAGGCAGGCACCGTGTGTCCCGAGCCGGGAATTGCTGGCATCGCCGAGCTTGCCCCGGGCAGCCGGATAATGAAGCTTGGTGCATACATCATCGTGTACTGGGCGGCACGGCAAGCTCGGCCGGTGACCTCACCATCACTTCCTGTAGGGCTGACCAAAAGGATGCTCTCCAGCCAGCCCCGGCCAGGGTCGCGAACTCGTCCTGGGCGTGTGACATGCGCTGGGCGGCTTCTAGAAGGACTGACCCATGCCTCTGCCGGCGGGATTTCCTCGTGGCCGGCGCGGCACCCGGACTGAGGCGAAAGTAGGACCCGGGCGACGAGCGACGATGCCACCAACCAGTCAAGGCCGGTCCATGTAGCCCAGTCCGTGGACCAACGCGGATCCAACGGGGATACGGCTCGCGATGGCTCTCAGGACGCGAGCAACATTGGTCATGTGCGCGCCAGTTGCTTCTTGGACGCCGGGGCTCGACGTCAACCCGTCAGTGCCGGAACAACTGGCTTGCGGCAATAACGGGTCCCGGCAAGCCAGGGACACCAGGGTCGTCCAGCCCGAGCCCTTCCAGAAGGACAGAGGGCGGGTGACCGACAAGCTCGTGGGTCCGGGCATAGAAACTTTCTCGGGCAGCCAGCCCTGCGAGTGGGCTCGCGCTTCGGCCCTGGGGACTTGGTGGCTTGCCGTGGCTTGAAGAGTGGAGGTCGGCGCCGGAACTTGTGATGGGTCCGAAGTCGAGAAAAAGTCCGCTACCCTTGAGCAAACTCCACCACGAGGGGCCGCTTCACGATGAGGAAAAAATTGTTTGCTCTCGGCCGAAAGCGGAAAAAGCGTTTGCAATGACTGACTAACCGTAGAAGCTCAGAATCGTTCGAGAAGAAATCGCACGATACGTAGTAAGTGGGCTCGCAAGGCCCGCTGGTACTGCATTGACTGGTGGCAATGTCAAACTCCGGTGTTAGACGGGCGCAAACGTGCGGCACAGGCGAAGTAGTGACAGCGGCATCTACGCTGCGAGGCAACGCCGAGCCACCAATAAACTGCGGACGAAGCTTCATGGGTGAAGCAACCCTGTTGACACTGCACACGGGTGGCCGGCACAGAAACACGCGGCGGCGCGTGTTTGTGCCTGGTGGCATGCAGGCAGTGCTCGTTTTCCAGAAGCGAGCCATCTGTAACCAAATCTGCCAAGCAGCGGCATTCAGGATCAAACTCGGGATGGCCCCACCGCCTTGGCTTCAGCCCGAGGGGGGGTGCGCATCATCTCGCAGCAGCCGTTATGCTATGCTGGCGCTATTGGTGAGACGCGCAACCCCGGACGCGGATTCGTGCGTTATGGTGACGCCGTCTGGCTGCTTACGTGCGCAGTGGCACGGCATGGCGCGTGCTGGGGTCTCGGGCTGTTCGTCTGGCTCGCATCGACTGCAGTCTTGGGGCTCTGTCAGCAATCAACGCGAAAGCGAGCTGTGGCGCTGCCCTCGTCTGGCGTAGCTCCGCGCCGCTTTTGCAGCCCTGAAAGTTGAACGCCGTGATGCAGCTTTGGCGATGCCGAAATGCCGTCTGTGTGTCGTCGCTAATTGGGTAAACGGGATTGATGTTTGACGGGGAGGCACGGCGACGATGAGACAGCCTGACAACCTGATTGCGTGTATCCCGTAGGCCTCTAACCACGGAAGGAGCGAGTTTCCACGGGTGGTATTGCGCTTGACGGCTGGCAAGTGGATGCCTCGTCACCTTGCTGCCTCGCCCGCCGCATCGACTCGTCAATGCAACGTGAATTCTGCTTGCTTGGACTCGGTATTAACCGCCGTCGATCGTCGAACCAAACCAATTGCCTTCTCATTCGCCAATCGGCCTCAGCCGTGAATCAACAGGCAACAGGCAGCATCTGAACCTTGCGCGCGATGTAGCGCCGGCAGCAAAAGCGGCACGGACGGCGGTCCGTTTTGGTGCGTGGGCGCACCCAGATCCCGAGACGAGTCGGCACGGTGACTCGAATGGCCCCGACCGGGGATTGCAGTTGCCTGGGTGGCTGCCCTGCATCTCAGGCGGAGGAGTCATCGCCGCCGCAGCTCAGCCCTACCAGTCCTAGCGCTGTCGTCGCCGCTGTCGTCTTCGCTCTCGGATCCATCGCGTTGTCCGGGCAGTGCTGATGCCGCTGCCGGTGCTGCTGCCCTGTCCGGTCCCATGACTGGACAGCAAGCGACGGGTTCGTACGGGGGAGGCGGTGCAATGCTTGACTGATTGATTGATAGCCGCAGCCCAGCAACGCGAGCAATCCGACCCGTCAGCGGCCACGTTGTGCTGCCCGATACAGAAAATCGTTGCGACATGCTGCTGGGCAGTGCAACGCGCAACACGCACGTCGCATCGGCAATGCGACGATAGTTCGCTACGGCCGAAATGATGAAGACACGCCTAGGACACGCCTAGGACACGCCTCGCGGCAGGGTGCTGCGATTGCTCCCAAAGCGTGAATGGCTCGGCATCGCGGGGCGGGCCCGGGGATTGATCATCATGCATCATGGCGGCCAGCACGCCTCTGAAGAGTAATCCGTCACGGACATAACGCCTTGCTAGACGACGATGGTGCATCGAGGGCAACGCCAAAGCGTCTGACTCGACGCGGAACCGAGTTAGTCTCGACGCCATGGACAAAAATAAGGCCATGACATGCTGAGAAATTGGGGGAATCGGTTGGAAATCCAAAAGAATGGGACGGCGACCGGCGGCAGGAGGAGGGCCGGGCGGGCGGGCATAGGCGGACATAGTGGTGCCCCAAGCAGCATCAGTGCAGCACCGAACCCGCTCAGCAGGGTCTCCAGCAGCTCTCTCCAGCGGACACAGAAGCCCTGGGGAGGCATGACGTGCCCTGGCGGAGGGACGGATGGGGGGATGGAATCACAGGGCGCGGGCGCAACAGTCATCACCAGGACGCTGATTAGGAATACCGCTCGGAGAAACGAGACGTCCATCCGCCCGTGGCGCGGCGCCAGCGCGAAGCTTGAGGCCCAGCCAAGGGGATTTCCAAGCCGCCGACCCCGCGAGCGGTGTACCCTTACGCGCGAGGGTACATAGCCTACGGGGCAACATGGCCGGGCACTCGGGTTCCGTCGCGGCCGTCGAGACCTCGGATTTGGCTCTCGAGCCTGAGCCTAACGGGCTTTGCGGGCTTAGAGTCGTCGGATTTAGTCAGCGGGATTGCGGAATGTCCACGGCTTGCGCACCCAACGCACACCCTTACGGCACCACCCCTGCGGGCTCGGGTCCGCGAGCGCCAAAGCCCGGGCGTGCGTTGCGCTGTCGTGTCGTCGTCGTCGGCGTCGTCGTGGCTCGGGATGCGGACTGTGTCTGACGGGCTGCTCACCCTCCGAGTTAAAAGAATCCGGATCCCCCCCCGATCCCGGGACAGCTTCTCTTGTTCCCCATCACATCCAGATACCGACGAGCATCCCCCGAACAAGCACGAAACGAACAAAACAACGACATCATCATCACCATCAACAACGACAGCAACTCTACTCGTCTCATCTGCCTGCATGACAAAGCGAGCCAGCACCTCATCTCCCAGCTTGCTCCCATCACCGCCTCCAGGCACAGTTTCGGCATCCCTGCACCGCAATCGGGCGTGTCTGCTGCCTTGAGTCACCCGCTAAAAAACCCACTCTGACCACACACCCACTTGTCTCCACCACGACACACCCCCCCTTCGGCAACGCCAAGGTCCACGCTGCAAGTCGCTTGCTTGCTTGGATTTTATAACAACCCGGGCCCGCCCCTCCCGAAGACACATCCGGATCTTCTTGATCATCATGTCCACCGCCGCAGTTGCTCGACCTCAGACTGCTAGCTTCTCCTCTGGAAGGCAACAACCACTCATCCGAGCCGCCACCAAGAAAGCCATGTCCATCACCCAGACCTACTACCTGGCTCACAAGGCCCGGGCCAAGCTCTCTCGCGAGGCGGCCCAGCCTGATCACGACCTCCGCCTGCTCGTCGGGCACGCCAACCTGCTTGACTCCCTGATGCTCGAGCTTGCCGACGCCGAGCGCGAGCAGGAGCGCTGGTTCAACCAGTCGGTTCGCGGCTCTGCCGGCGACAAGGCCGCCGCCCGCCATGTCCAGTGGGCCGACAGCATCGCTGAGCAGCCCGAGGAGGAGTACGACTCCGACTCGTCAGACTCCGACTCCGACTCCGACTTTGACTACGAGGACGACGTTGAGATGACTCCCGCCGTCTCCGCCCGGACGCCGGTCGTCACTTCGCGACCGGTCGCCGCCTACGACGACGAGGAGGAGATGGGCGACGACCTCGAGGAGGACTACGCCCAGCTCGAGCTCGTCCGGACACCATCCCACTCCAACTCGCCCCCTGAGCTTCTCGCCGATCACGACTCGGAAGAGTCTGACGACGAGTCGATGCCGCCATCGCCCGCTGACGCCTCGCTGCCCTACACCGAGAAGGAGGCCAAGGAGCAGGGTTCGCTCTACGACGAAGAGTACTACGTCTCGCGGAGGACTCCCGCGGGCCTGGTATCTGCCATCTCGGTATACTAGGTTTCGACACACTCTTCCAGCGAACTCATTTCAGTCTCCAATTCTTTCACGGCAGCGATGGCATAGCACGGCGTTTACTACTACATGGGCATGATACCTCACGGCATATGGCGGGCACAATGGTTTTAAAAAGCGACTTGATTTTATACATTCACGTTCATGTTTTATGAGAACGGTCACCACTCTAGAAAGGACAAACAGCACATTGTCAAGGGATATACCAATGATGATGGATGAAACAACGGATTGCATTTTTGAGTCTGCCGCTCCCGGGCTCTCAGGAGAAGCTGAAGCCAACGGTAGAGTGGCAGCGGGATCGGTCGGCATCTGGGCCGCTAGATAGGCACAACAAGACAATTGAACAGAGTCGATTGAACCTCAACTACTACACTCTCCCTCAACAGTGACATTCATGACTGTGACGAGCAATGAAAATTTCTTTGCTCGTTCTGCAACCATCGTGACTCCGACCCCTGCAGGGCGCGGACACCGCCTTGGTGGAAAACCGGGGCGGAGGCGGCTCCGGCATGAATCATGAGCGCGCCCCGTCAATCAAGGCAAAGGACAGCCCAAGGTGAAAAAAAAAGAAAGCGACCAAGGCGCCGCCTCGCCGACCCACCCGGAGCTCGGGCTCGGCGGCTCGGAGAGTGCGCGGCGGGCCAGCACGCAGGGCGGAAAGGCGCGTTGATTCATCAGCCGAACGAGAAGGGAGGGGAGGGGAGGGGCGTACGCCGTGTCTCGCATCAAGGGAGAGAGACAAGAGGGCGTGCACTGGAAACGTGCGTGCGTGCGTGCTTCCCAGCGACAGCAGACAGCAGCACCTCGAATGCCTGCTGGCCAACCAGGAGCTGCGATCTGGCCGTGAGGGTGGTCACGTCAGCGATGGCGGATCACATCAGCGATAGCAGAGGGAGAAGCGCTGTGCGCGCTCCCTATCCGTCTCATTGTGTGAGTTTGTCATCGGCAGCGGAAAGGCAAAACCGGGACGCCAGCCAACAAAGAACAGGGCTCCGCGGCGGCGGCGGCGGCGTCACGAGTGCCATGTGCCGCGCGCGCCCTTGTGAGGCTTCGCTCGCGGCAATCATTGGTGTTTGGGCGGGGTGCCGTTTTGGCGACTGCCGCGGTCGAGATCGCGTCCAGAGCGTGAGGAGAAGCACCCGGAGGGCACGGAACAGAATAATCAGGGTTGTCAGATAGAGAGAAGGTTTGCGCGGGTAGGCTATCTACAGAGGTTCATCCCCCCATCAGAGATGCGAAGCTGAGCATGAGCTTCCCTCCCTCACGGCAACCTCGCGGCAACCTGGATGGGTTGGCGGTAGCCGTCGAGTGCTTGAGTGAGTGGTGGGTTCGCCGGACGGGAGAGAGGGGGGGTGGGCGTGCGATGCATGTGTCCTCTGCGCCCGTGCACAAAGTCACGACGACCGTTGGGCCCAGCGTGAAAGCGTTGCCCAGGACGCCCGCCACGGCATCGGACCCCGCCCAAAGTCCGGCGAAAGCACCGCCGCCCTAGCCGTGGCGGGACAGAAGGAAGGTCAGATGCGGCGCGGGCGGACAACGAGCCAAGCTCGCTCAATCTTGCGCGGCAGCAGGCAGTGCACAACCCCGGCGTTGCGTTGCAACTGGCCTGGCGCATCGTACTCGAATCAAACACCGGCCCGCCGCCGCCCTTGGCAGATGCATGCATGGATGGCTAGATGGATGCCTGTTCCTGGGAGACGAGCCCCATGTTTGACTCGTATGCAAAGCAAAAGCTTCGCTGATGAAAAAGGTGCCAAGGGGGCGCGGCTGCGGCGAGGGCGGCAAAGGAACAAGCTCTGAAACTGCGTTCCTCGTACCTCGTTCCTCGTACCATCGGGGCCAGTTTGGCACATGGGGTCGAGGGGGCCAGGCCAGCTTCATTTCGCCGCATCCGGCGACCCAGCCAGCCCGCGGCGGAGGTTCGCTCGTCCGTTGTCTCATGGCACAAAGGGGAGGGAGGGAGTGCGTGGCCCCCCGTCCGGGGTCTGGCAGCGGGTGACGGGGCCTCCGCGTGATGCGCAATGCGTTCCTGGACGTTCCTGGATTGTGCCCCAGACAACGGATTACGGACTAATACGAAGCAGCGCGGTGTCACTTCTCCCTTTCGCTGCGGGCACGAGGACCAGGTCATTCAATCGCAATGCACGACTCCGTTCAGGGTGGTCCATCGATTGCTTCGCGCCACCCCCTTCCCCTGTGCCGTCCTGTAACCTGGATTTTGTGATAGTGTAATGGCAATCCGGTTGCGACCTCGGCCGTAGTCGAGCTCCGTTGCAAGCCGCGGGACAGTTATGGCGCCCCATGCGACGATGCGCCCGACCGTTTCTGCCGGTCATGGGACCACTGACGCGCCCCGCCGTAGCCGGACGAGGATCCGAGGGCCGCGGGGCCGGGCATCGGAGCGATCGGCGGCGCCCTGCGCAGAGCCGACATCGCCAGCTCCGGGGCTTCCCAGGTTGGGGAAAACGACATTGTGGCAACCATCTCTTTCGGAAGGTGTTGCTCGAGACTTGCGTTGGATTGGGGCGCTGGCTCCGTTACTCGGAGCGCGTCTGTTGGTTTGGGTGCTTACACGTGGTGTGTCGCTTGTCGCGTTCGCGGTTGCCGTGCATGGACGGATGTCGAGGCAATGTCCACGGGAATAAGTGCCGTGCCCGCGCCTCGGTCAGATACCGGAGACTTGTCGAATTGTCGCTCGCATCAGCCTCATCGCGAATCGTCTTTTGTAGACGGGTGGACCCGGCGAGCGACTCGCATCATCACCCGTTGGTCCGAACCACCCCGGATCGCACCCCAGATGGCACCCCAGACAGAGCAGCTGAGTCGCGTCGTGGGGGATCGCATCAGGAGGCATGACGATGGCGGCACGCAGTCATTTGACCTTCACGACCATCTGGCACATGCATCGCCCGCCTGCCAGCAATATGCCGTAGTCCGCGGAGCCCAGCGTCGCTCCGGCTCGTCTTATCAATCAGTCATCGGCACTTGAGCAGGCCGACTCCGTGGCAGATTCCCAATGGCTGCCCCACTCTATCTTCAGACTTGTTATGATTGGATGCGCATTTGTCTTTGATCTCCCCAACCGTGGCTTGGCGGGAATGCGGCGAACGGAGTTTCGGACTTTGAACCGCCGCGAAGTCTGCTGGGGTGGCAGAAGCACAGCGTCTAGGGAGCCGCCGCCGCCGTCACGGCACGTGCACCGGGCGCCATGCCCGCCGCCGCTGCCCACTCCACTCCGCCAAAACTGCTGACCAAATTCCGCAACGCAAAATCCACCCCCGGAGCTCCGACCGCAGCGGCAGCTCCTCCAGCTGCGACACTCCGCATCGCCTAGCCCTCCATCGGACAACGTCAATTGCTTCGCCCGCCGCCGGGCCAACCCCTTCTCCGCCATGAGCGCTATCGCCAAGCGCGCGTTCGGCGCCCGGACCAGCAGCCGCGCCGTCTGCCCGAGCTGTCGATTGCAGCAACAGCAACAGCATCAGCAAGCGCGGCGTCGCACCTTTGCCAGCGCCCGCTCCCCCGCGTCGCCGCCGCCCAAACCCCCGTCCTCGGGCTTCACGGCCTTGTCTTCGAGACAACTGCTCGCCGTGTCCGGGCCTGACGCGCCCAAGTTCCTGCAGGGCATCATCACGGCCAATGTTGCTCAACCCGATGGCTTGCCGCGAACGGATGGCTTCTACACGGGCTTTCTCAACGCTACCGGCCGCGTGGTGCATGACGTTTTCATATATCCCTTCAGCAGCGGCTCGGGCCTCCCCGTCAAGGACGATGGCTTCTTGATAGAGGCGGATGCGAGCCAGATGGGACGACTGGCCAAGTACATCAAGCGATACAAGCTGCGGGCCAAGGTTGCCGTACGAAACATTACACCCGACGAAGCGAGCGTCTGGCACACGTGGGACGATGGTGCGAGCTACAATCCACAGACAAGCGCGTCCAGGATGGTGCTTCAAGACCCACGGGCGCCCGGCCTGGGTCACCGCGTCATCCAGCTCGGCGGCAAGACGCCCAAGCTGGACCTCGAGCAGTCGACCGAAGACGCGTACACGATCCGGCGCTACCTACATGGCGTGGCCGAGGGCCAGGACGAGATCATCCGCGAGCAGGCCCTGCCGCTGGAGAGCAACATGGAGCTGATGAACGGCATCGACTTCCACAAGGGCTGCTACGTCGGGCAGGAGCTCACTATTCGGACCAAGCACCGGGGCGTTGTGCGCAAGCGCATCCTGCCCTGCATGGTCTACTCGCGGGACAAGGCGGCGCCGCAGTCGCTGCTGTACGAGCCCGGCGAGCCCGAGGGGTCGCCGTCCTCGGACCCGCCTGTCGAGCGGCTCACGGCCGACATGATCCCCGGGGAGACGAGCATCGGTCGGTTCGGCAAGCGGGGCCGCAGCGCGGGCAAGTGGCTCGCGGGCATTGGCAACGTCGGGCTCGGGCTCTGCCGCCTTGAGATCATGACGGACGTGGTGCTGCCGGGCGAGCAGGCGGCGGCCACGTTCACCCCAGACGACGAGTTTGTGCTGGAATGGGGCGAGGAGGAGAGCAAGAGCAGCGTCAAGGTCAAGGCGTTTGTGCCCGAGTGGCTGCGACGGGGGCTCGAAGAGTCGCAGCAATGACTGTAGATGTACAACCTGTAAGATGATGTATTCGTACTGTAGATCATGGCGTCATGCGCCTAAGATATATAGACCAGGGCGGACAGCCAAACACGGCTTGCTCATCGAGACATGCTTCTCTGCTGTGCACTTTGACCAGTGTCCTTCCCGGGTTCAAAGGCTCGCGCCACCCCGACCACTGCGCTGACGATTGGGCGCCTCAGCGGGACGGGACGCCATTAATTGTGGAGTGGGTTGGAGTGTTGGACTCGGCAACCCCCGACCTGAGAGTGAGACAGTCCAATGTCATTTGAACCCCTCGGCTGTGCCCTGGTGCAATTCTGCACGAGTTCAGCCGCAGCGAAGAGCTCGACAAATGTGACTGGATCGGGCGCAGGGCTGCAGATCTCAAGCTGACGGCCCTACGGCTGAGGGCGAGGCAGCATCGTGAGGCTGCCTGGGGATGAGATTGGACACGGCCAGGGGCTTGGTGTATTATGGGATATTTCATCGCCTGGCTGGCTAGGCGTGGTCGCGGGCTCGCCGCGAGAGGCAGGTCACGGAGTCTTCCAATTAGTAACTTATGGATGGAGTCTTGACGAACCGTCGCCTGCCGCTAGGCAGCGTGGCTGGGGGGCAGGATGCAACTCCGACGAACGGGTGAGCCGTGCCGAGAGGACGCACACCCACAGCATGTAGCCTTGAGCCAACGCCGTCGAAAACGACCGCCGTTACTTCGTGTTTGCGCCTCGAGCTGGCCGCCAATTCGTTGGGGGCGGCGCAGCGACTAAGACTGAGCCCTGGGGGCAGTGATTTGGAACCCAGTGCAGCGCGCGAGGCCGTACCTTGGCGCCCTTCCTTCTGGCTGACCACCTCACCAAAGAAACAAGGGCCAAGAAGAAACCAACGCGCTGTACCTCTCCCGCCCACGGCCTCGTCACGCACGACCGTTCGCGACAAGTCGAGTATTAAGGCCTTTGGATCCCGGGCGCCGCTCACTTCCCCGACGCTTTGTGCCTGCGACTGCGCTCCCTCCGCCTCCCAATGGACTGCGCCGCTCGTAAACCGGAGAGCGACCCCTCGTAACATCCGACCACGACTTGGCGACCTGGTTGCGACGGACCGAACCTCTTCCATTCCCTTTGAGCGCCTTGCGCAATCGAAACCGAGGCGGCCGCCATGGGTTGGCAGGACTACGACACGGCGCGGGCCAAGAAGCGCCTCATCGTGCTCTGCGACGGCACTTGGATGAACAGCGACTACGGCTATGTCAAGCCCGGCCTCCTCAACGGCAAGGGCGGCCTGCAGGTGCCTTCGAACGTGACGCGCATTTCGCGCTGCTTCAAGCGCCGGTGCGGCGACGGGACCTTGCAGATCATCAACTACGAGTCGGGCGTCGGCAGCGGGAGCAACATGCTGGACAGCGTGACCGGAGGCGCCTTTGGCGTCGGCCTGGCAGAGGTGAGTCTGGCGCTTCAAGCGTTTCGAGCGCGCAGCTCATCGGGCGATGAACCGCCACTGACGGCCGACAGCGCGTCCGCGAGGCGTACGCCTACCTATGCGCCAACTACCGCGACGGCGACGAAATCTTTCTCGTGGGCTTCTCCCGGGGTGCATTTACTGCCCGCTCCGTCGCCGGCATGATTGCCAATCTCGGCCTGCTCACGCGCGAGGGCGTTGAACACTTCTACCCCATCTTCAAGGATATGCAGCACTGGATGGACGACGACTACGACGACCCATTCCCGAACAGCCCCTTCCCGGACAAGCCCAAGGGCCCGCACGCCGACGAAGAGTACCGCGTCCGCCTCGCCAAGATGGGATACACGCGCGTCCAGCAGCAGAACGGTGCCCCCATCACCATCAAGGCCGTCTGCGTCTGGGACACGGTCGGTAGCCTGGGAATCCCGCGCATAGCCTGGCTTGAAAAGATGGGCATCCGCCCCTCCAACGATGAATAAGTCTTCCCTGTAAAGCGCTGTGCGTTGTGGACCGTTCAGCTAACACTCTGTGAACGTACAACTGGCACGACACGGCCCTGTCCGATACGATAGAGCACGCTTTTCAGGCCCTCGCCCTCGATGAGACCCGACCGCCATTCAGTCCCGCCGTCTGGGAGCGCCCACGGAAAATGAGGCTCAGGACAGACCTTAGGCAGGTCTGGTTTCCTGGAAATCACGGAAACTGCGGGGGCGGCTGGGATGACCAGGGCATTTCCAATGCGACCTTGGCGTGTACGTGTCCGGCCTCACACTGTTCTTGTCCACTCGCTAACACTTGACAGGGATGATGGATCAGATGGCAAGTGTGGGTGTCGAGTTTGACAGGCCGTCGCTCGACCGAGTTATCCAGCAATCTACAGAATTCTACATGCAGGCTCGTGCACAAAACGCTAAAAAGAGTCGCCGAGTTATGCAGCAGTGGGCTGTGGATCCCATCTACGAGAGCAACCGGCCGGTTCGACCATGGGCTCTGGGTCAGATTCAAAAGGACTCGAGCCTCCTCTTCAAACTCTCGGGCGAGACGACAAGGACGCCTGGCATTTACCGGCAGGTCGACCCCAAGACGAGACTCGAGAGGGGCAAGTTTCTTGAAGACACAAACGAGAGCGTCCACAGCTCTGTGCGAGTCCGTCTGGCGTGCGAGGGGCTCGGCCTGAACGACCAGTCAATATGGACCTGCAAGGCGCTCGCGGACTGGCGGCTCAAAAGGGTCACGGTCGCCCGCGACGTCCCCGTGCGGGACGCAAGTGGCCGCGAGTTCTACAAGGAGCAGCTGGAGGAGCGCTGGGTGTGGAAGTACGTGGGAGACGAGAGGCGCGCGCCTGAAGATCCGAACCAGAGGACCATGTGGGAGGAGCCGCTTGGGTACTACGAGCGGTACCTGCTCGACATATCGGGAGGCTCGCCGAACGTGTTTGACTATGCTGACAGGAGGGCGAATAAAAGCAAAAGGAGGAAGCCGTCGTCGCGACCGAGGAGGCGGCGTCAATAGTTGGTGCGCGGGAAGACGGTCGAGTCGTGTTGTACATGGCGGAGGGTTCAGTTTGATGTACTTGCATATTAGATACCACATTGGCGATTTTTAGATATACTCACTCTTCTTTTCAATCACCAGAAGCGATGCCCGTAGATGGGATCGGGAGGCGTTGTAAGTTCCAAGTGGAGTGACCTGGCCCGAGGGCCCATGGTGGCATTGTTCGCCCGTCGATTTTGGCTGACTCATCACTCAAACGAGACTTCGTCAACGCCTGCCTTGAGAGTTGAGACCACCATCGGCTCCATCCCGTCCAAACATCTCAACTTTCGTCGATTTAAGCCTCAAACATTCGCTTCTTCCTTGCAGGCGAGGTTTCCCTTCTGATTCAGCTCAGAGCCGCGGGCTAGCGACACTCGAAGCCTTTTTCTCCCGGCTCACCTTCGCCGACCTTGACCTCACTCACCTCGCCACTGGCACACCTCACAACCCCGTCCGGCGGGCACGTCCTCGCATCCCGCCCGCGATCATGAGCGACGACAACCGGGACCTGCTGCGTTTCGCCGCAGAGTACGCCGACCAAGATGTCGACCTGTACGAGCTGCTCGGCGTCGACGCCCTGACCACAAAGGAGGACATCCACCGCGCCTGGCGCAAGCGGTCGCTCAAGTACCACCCCGACAAGGCGGGCGCCGACTTTGACGCTGCGAAATGGGAGCTCTTCGAGCGCGCGCGCGATGTGCTCGCGGACCCACCGGCGCGGGCCGCCTACGACTCCGCGTCCGCGGCCAAGCTACTTCGCCGCCAGGAGCGCCAGGCCATGGACCAAGAGCGCAAGCGCTTCGCCGACGACCTCGAGGCGGCGGAGAAGGCGGCTGCGCGGGCGCGCAGCGACAAGGCTCAAAAGGAGCGCGCGGCGATGCAGGAGGAGCGCGACAGGTTGGCCGAGGCCCAGCGCGTGCGGGACGAGGAGCGACGGCGGCAAGAAGCGGCGGCGCAGGAAGTCGAGGACCTGGCCGAGGCGCGGAGGAGGGTCCGCGAGAAGAAGGAGGAGAAGACGCGCCGGCGGCAGGCGCGCGAGGAGATGAAAGCATCGCTGGGGAAGCGGGCTCCCGCGGGGCCGTCCAACGGCGCCGTCGCGGTGCCGGGGAACTACTACGTCGCGGGCACGGGCGACGGCGACGCTGGAAAAAAGTACTGGGAGCTCGTGTGCGATAAGTTGCGCGCGGTGCAGGCGGTACGGAATCTGCAAAAGGGGGAGGCGACGGAGGAGGAGCTGCAGGACGCGGAGAAGGGCGTTCAGGATGCGCGGAGGAGGATATTCGACGCCGAGGCAAAGTATCAGCGCGAGACGGCGGCCATTTGAGATACCCATATACCGGAGTAAGACGAAACGCGAATAGACACGACTAATGCCCTACGAGTTGCACGCACCGAATCACCATCACTTTTTTGAGCAAGAAACACGGCATCAGCGCTGCAAGAGCTGAGCGATTATTGGGTTCTACGCCTCTTCATGCAACCTCAAGATGCGGACGGCGTTGCCACCCATGATGGCCTTGGCCTCTGCGGATCCCTCGCCAACAGCCTTGGTCACGGCCTCGGCGTTGAGGCTCACACTCTCCCACAGACCCTTCTCGTTGGCTTGCAAAGGCGGGAAGAATGGGTGGTCGGTGCCAAACATGAGCCTGTCCGCGCCGCTCGCGTCGATGGCCGCCTTGAGGCCCACCTCGGAGTATATGACGGCATCGAGATAGACCTGCTCCTTGAGTACATCCCAGACGGTGCGGCGATCCGGCCCGACCTTGCCCTCGGCGACGAGCTGGCCATCGTGCAGGATGCAGCTCTCGATGCGGCCGGCGAGGAAGGGCAGGGTGCCGCCGCTGTGAGCGAGCAGCATGCGCAAGTCGCGCACCTTGTCGAAGACGCCGGCGAGGTACATGCGCGCGACGGCGATGGTTGTTTCCATAGGGAAGCCGAGGGCGAGGGGCAGGACGTGGCCGTAATCGGCCGCTCGCGGGCCCCAGACGGCGTTGGGGAGGCCGTAGTGCGGGTGCAGGAAGACGGTGAGCCCAGCGGCGGCGACGGCCTCGAAGATGGGCAGCAGTTTCGGGTCGTCGAGGCCGTTTCCGAGGCCAGACGTGCCGAGGATGACGCCGCGACAGTACTTGAGGGTCGCGAGCTGTGCGATGGAAGCGCGGATGGTGTCGAGAGGCGCCGTCAGGGGCAGGGTGCCGAAGAAGAAGAGGCGACCTGGGTGCCTGGCGCACATGTCTGAAAACTCCTGGTTGACCTCGGTGCCGAACCTGCCGGAGACGTCTGCATCGAGAAAGTCCAGCCAGGGGTTGGCGAGGGAGATGACGGAGATGTCGATGCGGTGGGCGTCCATGAAGCGGACCTTTTGGTCGAGCGAGGTGTAGTCGGAGGTGAGGGGCCGGCCGGGGACCTTGGCGCCGGGCTTGTTCGCGAGCGCATCGTCGAGGGACTCGACCTCGGCCTGGAGGAGGATGAGGCGCGGGTCCGGAGACTGAGGGAAAGACCGGACGAGAGGGATGGAGGAGCGGGACTCGAGGATCTTGATGTACGAGGGGGGGTACATGTGCGTGTGGATGTCGACGACGGTCATGTTGGAGGATGACGGCGGGCAGGAGGAGGTGGCCATTGCGACGGCCGAGGCTCTGCGAGTCGCTGTGTCAGTCAGTCAGTCATGACGGAGGGTGGCTCAGGAGAGAGCGCACAGGAGGGATGTCAGGACTGGCGCGGCTCTCATGACGGCAGGTCAGCTATGCTCGAGGAGAAGCGAAACAGCTCGAGGTTTCAGGAGGGCAATTCAAACTCACCTTGCGCGCGGATTTGTCTATCCTTTGACGGGTGCCGTGTCTCGTTCCCGAAGAGGGCAAGACAAAGAGAAGACGGCAGTGGAGATGAGAGGACGGCTCGGCGCGGGTCTCAAGTTCATGCGCAGAAGTGGCCCAGCCCGACTATGATGCGGCCTGACGCAGACACAGCAAGTGAAGAGGCAGCAGCAGAAGCAGAAGCAGGCGGTTGCTTGCCTTTGATGTGTCAACTCATGTAATTGCGGTGGACGGGACGGGCATGCGGTGCGACGTGGGCGGTCTGGCGGGGCGGCGCGCGGGATGTGTATGCAGCCCGTGGAGGGGAGGGGGAGAACGGACGGGTGGCTGGACGGATGCACGTACTCGTACTGCTGGTTGGGGAGCCGGTTCGAGTACGTCCTGAATCTTCGAGCTGAGCTTCAATCTACCCACAGAGACCGAATTGTTTAGATGCCCCCTTGTTGACCCGTCCCGGTTAGCTATCGCGAGGAATCGCCGGGACCCTCCCGACCTCGAGGACCATCGGACCTGGAAGCCCCCACCCCAGGTGCCCAAGTGCCCAGAGATCGGCGAGCTGCCCCTCACTTGGTGCACCAGCCCGGGGCGCGGGGCAGTGTAGTGCAGCGGGCAGCAGGCGGGCATGGGCCTTTAGCGGCCGCTGCGGGGAGTCGGGGGACGGCTTATCAGCCGACGATCCAACAGTGGAGTGGGGTCCTCCCGTATCAAACGCCCGTCCGCGCTTTCGTGTAAGTGACCTAGCGAGGCGCTGGCGACGAAGCAGCTGGGTCGGGTATCTCCCGTCTCTCCCCCAAGAAACCCCGCGCCTCACCGTCGATGCAACGCGCACGCACATCCATTGATGCGATAGAGGGCATCAGAGCCAACCCAAGTCGGGTGCTCAGCCCTGGCCGCACCGGCCCGAGAGACCAGGCACGGCCACACATGCTCCTCTGCGATGAGGTGGCGTTCGTCTCCCTCGTCGCTTCAGCTCCTTCAGTTTATACTTTGCGTCGGCTCGTGGGATCGTGGGAGCTGAACCCCGGACCATCGTGCTTATACTCGCTTGCGCGGCTCCTTATCAGAGCCGATCCTTCAGCGCGACACACTCCCCTCCCTTAAATCATCGTCGCGCGGTACCCCTCTGCGCATTTGGACAGATTGAAGAAAGGGCAAAGCTAAACTACAACGCTCCGTCATGGCGGCCGCAGAAGACGCCGCTGTTAGCAAGGACGGGCTCGTCATCCCCGTGAGATGAACCCTAGAAGCATCACGCCGTCATGTCCAACTCTGGCTCACGGACCTCAAACACAGCTCATCGACTTTAGCAAGTTCCTCCACGGCACCCCCAACGAGCGCGCCACCACCGCCCGCGCCATTCTCGAGGGCTTCCAGACGGCCGGCTTCATCTACCTGCGCAACCACGCAATCCCCGCCGACGTCCTGCGCAACGCCTTTGCCCGCTCCGCCGACTTCTTCGACCTGCCGCTCGACGCCAAGCTCGCCGTCGGCTGGACGACCCCCGAGGCCAACCGCGGCTACTCGTCCCCCGGCCGCGAAAAGGTGAGCCAGCTGCTCGACAGCGCCGACGTCGACAAGATCCGCTCCGCCGCCCCGGACCTCAAGGAGAGCTTCGAGATTGGCCGCGAGTCGGACCCCAAGTTCTCCAACCCCTGGCCCAGCGAGGACGGCTCGGGGCGTCGCCTCAATGGCTTCCGCGCCGACATGCTCGATTTTCACGCCCGCTGCCAGGCCATGCACAGGGATGTGATGCGTGCGATAGCCATGGGCATGGGCCTTGGTGACGGCTTCTTCGAGCCCTTTGTTGACGTCGGCGACAACACGCTCCGGCTGCTGCACTATCCCGCTGTCAAGGCCGACGTCTTCAAGGTGAACCCCGGCCAAGTGCGCGCCGGCGAGCACAGCGTATGACACACCGCGTCGACCAAGAAAGAGAATACAGGCACCTACTTACGCTCACGTAACAGGACTACGGGTCCGTCACCCTGCTCTTCCAGGACAGCCGCGGCGGGCTCCAGGTCAAGAGCCCGACAGGCCAGTTCGTCGACGCCACTCCCATCGAGGGCACCGTGGTCATCAATGCTGGCGATCTGCTCGCCCGCTGGAGCAACGACACCATCAAGAGCACCATCCACCGCGTCGTCGAGCCGCCGCGCAAGGAGGGCGTCGAGTATCCGCCTCGGTACAGTATCGCGTCCGTACAAATCATCGCGCATGCTGCGTATTCCCGCGCTGACGAGAGACGCGTCAGATACTTTTGCAACCCCAACTTTGACAGCTTCATCGAGACGCTGCCGGGCACGTACGCCTCACCACGGGATAAGAAATATGAGGGCATCAACAGCGGGGACTATCTTGTTCAGCGCTTGACTGCCACCTACTGACTTCCAATGCCAACCCTATTCATTGTATGGCGCTGAAGAGTGCTCGCTGTGTCCATGTGAAGGGGGTGTATCGCCGTGCATGCTAGATGAGCCACTTTGAACCCGTATCCAATGGCAATGTCCCTCGCCCGCAGCTGCAACCATCCACATGAACCAGGCTAGGTTCCCGGTCTGCAGACGAGAAGGAGGGGTCAGCTCCCGCCCGAGTCGGACGTCTGCGACTCCAAGTCCGTCGACCTCCAGCTGTCGACACCCGTAGCTTGCGTAGCCTTTGTCGTGGTCTCGCCAGCTTCCGCCTTGCACATATCGCTCGATGTATTACCCCCTGGTACAACCATGCTCGATGACAGCTTCGACCCAGCTGGACAATGCATGCCAAATACAACACAGCCTGAATGCGTAGACGAAGATGAAGGGCTCGCGCCGGGCATCGCCGCCTTCTTCTGCCGCAATGGCCTCTGTCCCAGCACAGCTGAAGCATGCGATGCCTATGCTCGTATGCGGTTTCCTATCGCGGACATCAAGCGCACGTCTATTCAGGGGTACTGCTCCTACACGCTGTGTGTCTCGGGCGACCGCCTCTTGCAGTTCCGTCCCGAGCCTCACGAGCTCAACATGGACATATGCCGCAACGCCCGAGCCGTCTTCGGCGCATTGGTCCCCATGACGATGCATCTCGGCAGCTTGCAAGGGATTGTCAGGTCGGACATGGGAGGTGCCGCGGCACCGAGGCTGCACGTCTACTTGCAAGAGAAACTGCCGGGCATCAGCCTGGCTCATGTCAAGGAGCAGACGATAGAGCAACGCAGGCGCCTCGTCGAGGACCTGGCCGAGGTCTTCGCTACCAGTTACCTCCACAGCCGGCCCCCGGACGAGATATCTTCAGTTCTAAGGGGACGAGTAGGAGCCTCACTTGCGTGGCGCCTGCAGCTTCTCCAAGGGCTACACGATGACCAGCTCTCGCACCATGTCGCTACCGCCACACAGCACCTCGACACCATCGCCGCGCTGCCGTGGTGCCTCACACACGGCGACCTGGTCCCCAGCAACGTGCTCGTCGACCCAGCCTCAGGCCGGCTGACGGGCCTGGTGGACTGGGCCGAGGGGGAATGGCTTCCTCTGGGGCTGGGCCTGTACGGGCTCGAGGAGCTTCTGGGGCGGGACGTGCCCGGCCGTGGGTATGAGTACTTTGACGACCACAAGGAGCTGCGCGGGCGGTTCTGGGAGCGCTTCATGGCGTTGGCGGGCTCGTGTGACGTCGGCGGGGATGGGTTCCCGTTGCGGTGGAGAAGAGAGGAAGTGGCTCTGTCTCGGAAGCTGGGCATCCTGCTCTGGAGGGGTATCGCGTTTGACGATGGGCGTATAGACCGCGTTGTCGAGGCGGGGAGGGATGATGCTGAGATTCGCAAGCTGAGGCTCTTCCTGGAGGTACCGTGTCCGGTTACGCGCGAGTACTCTAGTCGCGACTAAGTGGACAATGAAGCAGGGTAACGTCTAGTCAAACCGGAATTGTAATGTACTTCGCAAGTGTTGCTGTCGTTGCTGCTGAAGTACCAGGCGTGCATCTAGATGCCTGGCAATGTCGAATACATGAGATTGTCGTTACCAAGATCGCAATAAGGAGATTAGAAATGAAACGACGCGAAGGACCCAGGGCAGCTCTCAATTCTCTCCAAAGAGCGGAAGAAGCAAGAAAGGAAACGAAAATGAAAAATAATTGGATGTAAGAACGATCTTATAGAGGCCAGTCGTATGGATTGAGGCTATGAATACTTGGTGCGCGGGGGAAGGGGGTGCGGCGATAAACTGTTCGTGGCCGGTTCACAGCTGGCACCAGGTGCTGGGCCACGCGTTGTCAGTATCACTCCGGGGCAATTTCATGTTGACCACCGGGTGCTACCTTGCCTGATATTGACAGCGCACTGAGCCCACCTAAGCATCATACAAAGGCGAAGGCTGGTCTGCGCTCTCCACATGACTGGAGACGGCCCTTCGTATCTCGCTGTCGTGTTGTCGGTCGATGTTCCGCCGCAGCGAATGTGCGACTTGCAGCATGACATTACGCAGGCAAATAATGTATATATATCTGACATGGCGAGACAATCCTGAGAGCTCGATTAAATAGCCCTACGCACCACTTGATTAATAACGTTGACGACGGTCGCAGTCAAGTTAGGACATCGACCCGTTGCCAGCTCAAAGGTCTTGACCTTGCGACTGTTCTCCTCTAGCAACGCGACCATAGACTTTTGATAGTCGAATGGTACTGTCATATCGACCATCGTATAAACGTACGCACAGGAACCTGCTTCCACGCACAATGCGAAGTGGAGTCATACATACACTGTCCGTTCCATCGGACTAGCGAGGCGAGGTAAGGCTCGACCTCCGCCTCCCTATCGCCGGCGATCTCTCCAATGAGCTGTGCCTTGGGGTCGCGACAGAGCACTGTCTTGTCGTCGGCAAAGTCAAAGGCAATAGGCATGAGGGCTTCATGACCCATATCCGTCACCTTGCCAGCCACTGGAAAACTACATCAGCGCGGAACAAAAGAGGCTACAAGCCTAGCCGCCCGCACACTTACTGGAACCATTCTCGGGAAGGGCAAAGGCGCAGAGGTAAACCAAGTCGGAGACGCCGCCCGATTGGCCCCTTGCGTTGCGCTCTTCGAGCCCGAGCCCATATAGGGCATTCGTACCTACCTAGCCGCCATATGAATGCATGATTGCGACCACCCGGCGTCCCGAACCGACAAGTTTTTCGGCATAGGAGCGCATACTCGCCGTGTCCTCCGCCAAGCCAGCGGTCGGCGGCCGTGCCTGGTTCATGGACAGGTGCGCGGGGCAATGGACTTCATTGCCTGTTGCTTCGAGTGCCGCCTTGAGCTTATCGTAGTGCTCTGGCGTATGCCAGCCACCGCCAATGATGAGGATGATGGAGTGGTTCTCTGTGGCCATGATGATTTGCACTTTAGAATGACCTGATGACAATATTGGAGTCAATAGCGATTATGAAGAGGAGGGGAAAATGAGATTATCACCCCCTTGGCAGACCCAAAAGAGGAAGCGCGCATGAGGGGTTTACCATTTATTGTCACAGTCCGTGGTGTCGGCTGCTTGGCCCCGCGTCAGGATCACTGCACATGTATATCCAGCAAACCAGCATGGGATCTGTCTCTCAATGCCAAAGCGCAGATGAACATCCGGCCTCTTTGCCGATTAGGCCGTCAGGGCAATGACTTCTATACGATTCAAATGTACGCTAGCGACTGTGCTGAAATGCTTGACTGAAAGTCTAGCGCACAGCCCGTTCCTCGACAGAACTGTGAATCTGTGATGCATTGAAGTCGTGCCCTGTGCAGATCGTTGCCTCGGTCATGCGTGCTGTAACCACTACGCCGGCCCATCACCTGCACTCGAAACAGGGATTGAGCAGCTGGCCGTGATGGCTTTACATAGGATCTTCCTGGGCGACTGTCACATTTCGTCAAATATTTGAAGTAATCGGTGCTGCTCTCACTCAAAGAAAGAGAGCATTTCTGCCCCAAAAAGCCGGTGTGTTTTGCTGAGCAGTATGAGACAGTGCTGCTGTAGCTTCCGTGGGCGACTTTGGGGTGATCACTGGCTTGCGCAGCTACCGCCTCAGTAGACCGGCGTGCTGGCGGGCATCAGTGATTCCCCTGGCACGTGTGGTGACTCGGGGTCGCTGTGGCCTGGCCGTATTCAGTGGCTGCTGCACCCACGGTCTCCCAACTGCCGATGGTTCGTGGTGCGGCGTGATTGTTGCGGTGCCTTCGAGTGCCAGCGTAACCACGGTTGCCACCGCTGGCAACCGTGCCTTAGTTTTCCGTGTACGTACTTTCTGTACCACCATTTTCCAGCTGTCTGTGAGTGTGCTTATTGCCATTGGTGTGTCTGTGGTTGCCGGGTGCCTGTGGATGCTTGGGGCTCCTCTAGGATGCCATATATCCGTCGCCGACAACGCCTGGTGATGGAGATGTCTGATCTTTTCCCCAGCGGCCGTAATGTAATAAATGCCGTACTGTCTCACAAACCTCAAAATAAAACAGCCCTTGCTGCCGTTGCAAAAGTAAAGTTTCAGCAAAGGACAATATTATCGCCGTGCAAAAAAAGAAAGTTCGTAGTCGAGCCGGGAATCGAACCCGGATCTATCGCGCGCTCTACTAATGTGAAGCGATCGTCATAACCTTTAAACTACTCGACCGTGGAGGATTTGAATGGCTAGAGCCATCCGAGTATGCCGAGGAAGACGATATTAGTCTTTGTAAAGGTTTGGTAAAAAGTTGGCCGACTTCCCGATGCTAATTGGTCAGCTTGGGTACCCCCGAGCTGGGAAATGTGGGAGAACCCCACCTGTGGAGCTCAGGGGCTCCAGGGCCAGAGGCAAGCAGCACCCTCTGTGGCAGATGCGCTCGGCTTGTGAACTGACAAGACTCCTGTTCCTGAGGTCATACTGATATCCTTAACGGAGGGTACATCACTGCCGATCAACGTCTACGGGAAGAAAATTGCCCATCATTTTCAGACGAGAACAAGCCTGGATTGCAGCAGAATAGTCTGCCAGAGAATACAATATCGTCGTGACAGTCAGTGACTTCGGCACACTGAACATGCCACCCGGAGAGGGTGAACAGGTATGGTTGATTGTGACCTGGCAGCGGGACATTGAACGCATCTAGGGGAAGTGATTGCTCTATAGAGAAACACTGTCGTACTCAGAAGCTCACGTATAGCCCAACACGAGTTGTTGAAGTTGGGGAGAGTCGCTCCCGAAATGGGCAATTGACGTTGATAGGAGACGGCCTTGAGGAAGGAGCGAGGCGGGACCACCCGCGCAGCAACGGCTCGCCCCGCATTTCGCCTGGGCAAGCACGAAGAGAGCCGTTCCTGCCCAGAGATTGCTATGCAAGGTTGGCGAGCAATTTGCCAGTTGCGGCAGCAGCGACGGACGGCGCTTTTGATGCGCTGAGACAACGCGCCACGGGAATCGGACGAGATGCTGACAAGAACCCCGGAGCCGCGCACTCACAAGGCCCACACCCCGCTGATGAGGGGCCACTGGTTAACCCGCCAGACGTCACTGTTATCCTCGGCTCAAAGCCGACGCTTTCCACTCGCCGAGCTGCTCAATCCCGAAGCCTGCAAGCAATCAACCTCCAAGCAACAACGGCGCGCCCATCCAATTGACGCTTCTTCCGCCCACTCTACGCCGTACGGCTGCTTCCAGATTCAAACGAAACTCGACATTTGTCGCGATTGTCACGATGAACGTCTTCCGAAGCTTGCGCCCGGTCGCCGCGCGGGTCCCGTTCCAGCGGTCGACCCTCCCCCTGGTTGTCCGAGCTTACAGCTCCAAGTCCTACGAGTACATCCAGGTCTCGACCCCGAAGCCCGGCGTTGGCCAAGGTGCGCATGGGACAGATTGAAGAGGCAATGTTCCAAGCTGACCGTTTGAAGTCACTCTGAACCGACCCAAGGCGCTCAACGCCCTCTGCACCCCGCTCATCAACGAGCTCAACGAGGCGCTCAACGACTTCAATGCCGCCGACGACACCTCCGTCATTGTCCTCACCGGCTCGCAGAAGGCGTTTGCGGCGGGCGCGGATATTAAGGAGATGGCGCCGCTGACCTTCTCCGAGGCGTATACCAAGTCGTTCATCGAGTCGTGGTCGCTGTTGACGACGCAAATCAAGAAGCCCATCATTGCCGCCGTCTCGGGCCACGCACTGGGTGGCGGCTGCGAGCTTGCCATGATGTGCGACCTCATTTACTGCACTGAGAACGCCAACTTTGGCCAGCCCGAGATCAAGCTGGGCACCATCCCTGGAGCCGGCGGCAGCCAGCGCCTGACACGCGCGATCGGCAAGGCCAAGGCCATGGAGCTCATCCTCACGGGCAAGTCCTTCTCCGGTGCCGAGGCTGAGAGGTGGGGGATTGCCGCGCGGACGTTCCCGACATACGAGGCGTTGATGGAGGAGACGCTCAAGCTGGCGGAGACGATTGCGGGATACTCCAAGGTGGCGGTCCAGGCGTGCAAGGAGGTGGTCAACAAGAGCCAGGACCTGCCGCTGCGGGACGGAGTCGAGTTCGAGAGGCGCGTCTTCCACAGCCTTTTTGGCAGCCAGGATCAGAAGATTGGTATGAAGGCGTTTGCGGAGAAGAAGAAGGCCGAGTGGACGCACTCGTGAAGCGTTTTGTACGAGCGGGGGTGCTGAGTTCTAATTGAAGCTTTGTTGCGAGCTCTCGTCCGCCTCATCTGTGCTTCCGTGAAGCTGGCCAGCAGCCGGTTCATTGGGCATCGAGATCTCTGGATGCCCCCATGTGACATCTGGCAAGTCGCCATCTACGCTGCAACTGCACATGATGTGAATTAGTGAACATGCAAAATTCGACACTCTCGGCCAGGAAATTGCGAAAATTGAAAGCAGCCAGTGGCCAGCAGAGCCTGAGTTGCTTGTACATACACTCGACCCATGCAACCCAATATCCGCCTCGTATCCAGAGCTCAGCGGCGCAGGTGGAAAAGCGCGGGTCGCTGTTCATGGCATCATCCGCCACCATTTACAGCGACTTTGGGCGTCGAAGCCGCTGCAGCCCCGCCGCCAGCCAAGGAAGGAACAACCCCAGTCACCCCACGGCGGTTCCTGCCAACCACGACCGGAGGTCGACTCTGACAACTCAGCCTCCCCTCCACGATTTTTATTTTCCCACACCATCCCCGTTGCCTCGTGAGCTCCTGCGCTGTAGGACTCGAGAGGCCGTCGCGGGCTAACATGAATGGATTCTCGAAAGCCCAGCCTGGACCTGGAAAAGGAGCTGACGTGCTCTGTATGTACATGCCCTCTCCGACTCCTGAACCCCGCGTTCGACACTCGGGCCCACGCCTGGAAGCTCTGGCCGATTGCTGACCGACGACTGTGAGCCTGCAGATATGCACCGAGCTCCTTTACCAGCCGCTCACCCTTCTTGACTGCCTGCACACCTTTTGCGGAGCTTGTCTCAAGGAGTGGTTCAGTTTCCAAGCTGCCAAGGCCGCGAGGTCACCAACTTTGCCGTCGCCGTCCGATACCATCTTTACATGCCCGTCATGCCGAAGCGCCGTGCGGGACACGAGGCACAACGCCACCGTCGTCACTCTGCTCGACATGTACGTCGCAGCGAATCCGGCCAAAGCACGCTCTGCGGAAGACAAAGAGGAAATGGCAAAAAAGTACAAGCCGGGCGACCAGGTGCTACCGAAGGTGGCTACTCGAGAGCGGACGGCTGAAGAGGAGCGGGAGGAGGAGGAAGACAGACGACTTCTCGATGAGGTCAGAGAGATGAGCTTGAGGGAAGCTGCTACAGGCGTTCCGCAGCCGCTGAGACCTCGCAGACGTGGCGAGAGTCGCTCTGCCGATGGACGGTCGCGGTCATCAAGGAACCACAGCGCAGACGGCCATTCGCGAAGGACAAGAGAGGGCAGCCGACGGCCACGCAGGGACGATAGTGCTAGCCAAAGCTCAGGCCACGTTACAGAGGAGAGAGAACGACGACGAAGGGACTTGAGCGAAGGTGGTCATCGTCAAGTCGAACACCAGACGTCCTTGCGATCTTTGATCGGATCTGCAGACATGACTGAGCGCGATATTGAAAGGGAAATCGAAGACTTTGCACGCCAGATTCAAGAAGAAGGCCTGCTGGATGGCTTGGACTTGGACAACATTGACTTGACTCGAGACGACGAACTGGCCCGCCGCATCACCGAAGCCTACCGACGTCGGCAAAGAGAACGGTCTCGACAGGAAGCTGCAAGGAGAACTAATTCAAGTGGCCAGAATGGAGGATCACGACCTGCGGAGTCGAGCTCGCCCGATTCGAGATTGCGGGCTCCGAGCACAGGCCGGGCCGGTAGCCGTCCTGGAAGCGGCTCTCGATCGGCCAGTGGAAGTAGCCAGCCTGAAGACCGCAGCAGACCGCCGCCGTCAAACACGGCGACACTAGACGCGCGGAACCCGACAAGAAGGGCAAGAAGTAGAACATCCAGCGGTAGCCGCAGCTCTACGACTCCTGTATTCCCGACTATTTCGGACACACGCCCTGCTGCGCGATCGCAGACCGACCTGGCGCTCCGGACACGGACGTCTGACCCAACCACGGGTCGACATAGCTTTAGCGAAGGAAGAAGCTCAAGCACTCCATCAGTTCCTGCAGCGTCCCATGCACCGACCGAGCTTCCTGCATCGACGAGCTCCGGAAATCACGCTTCCTTTGCGAGCCGCGTACCGCGTTGGAATCCGACAACAGAAGAGAGCCCTGCGACTTCGTCGGAGCCCATGTCAACGCAGCCACTTCGGCCACACCGACCCAGCGACCTGGCCATAGTCCATTCAGCAGTATCGAGTCCTGTAACCAGCCCAAGTGGGCATGGCCACCAACGAACCAGATCGCAGCTGTACCCTGAGCCGTCCATTTCGTGTTCAAGGTGCGGCAAGGGGCACATCGAGTACGACGTGCACTACAATTGTGCGATTTGCTCGGGAGGGCAGTGGAACATGTGCCTCGACTGCTATCGAGCAGGGAAGGGGTGCCTGTACTGGTTCGGGTTCGGATACGGCGCCTGGACCAAGTGGGGAAAGGCGCGGCGACAAGACGAATCGCTCGCGCCGCCTCATATGTTGACTGCTTGCCGATACCATCCGCCGCCATCGGTTCCAGGAGGCGCAGACGGACGAAAGACTCTGACGACGGACGATCCGAGAGGCAGGCTGGAAACGGGCACATTCTGCGCCAACTGTTTTGCCTGGACCAACAACTGTTACTGGCGCTGCGACGTTTGTAATGAAGGAGACTGGGGCTTCTGCAACGACTGTGTGAACCAGGGAAGGTCTTGCACACACATGCTCTTGCCTTTGACGCATGAAGCCTCTCAGTCTCTCAGCCGGCCAAGAAGCCCGCGGTCACCAGGTAGGCCACCGACGGCGACGGTACTCTTGGGGCCCCAGGCGAGCAGTATCGGACCATTCAAGCCACTCACATTTCGGACGAGATGCGACGTGTGCCAGGACGGCATTTCGCCGCTGCAGGTGCGCTACCACTGCTTCAGCTGCACGAGTGTTTTGGTCCCAGATGCACCGCCAGGAGACTATGATATCTGCGCCTCGTGTTACAATGAGCTTGTCTCTCAGGGGCGTATTAGCGCCGAAAATGGTCATTCTGGCTGGCGGAGATGCCTGAACGGACACCGGATGGCCGTGATCGGGTTCGTGGATGGCAAGGTCGGGCAGTGGAGGTTTGTCGAAAGAGATATTGTGGGCGGACGAGTCCTGCGATCGGAGCCATACCAAGGCCAAGGCCCCGAGCATGGAGACCAGGGATTGCAGGTTTGGTCCTGGCGGAGAGGGGAGGAGAATTGGGAGCGCCTCGTCACGAAGGATGTCGCGGCAACGGCCCCAGGTGTGGCTGGTTCCGTCACTTACACGCAGAATTTTCCTCCGGATGGCGGCTTGGGCCTGAGAGCACACGCGAGGTGGTCGTGGTATCCCAAGGAGGGAGCAGAGGATGAGCTGCTCTTTCCCAAAGGGGCGGAGGTTCGGGAAATCGAAGATGTCAACGGGGATTGGTTCTTTGGAACATATATGGGGGCAAAGGGATTGTTCCCAGCTCCGTACGTCCGGGCATCGGACCAGGTCTCATAAGCTGTGGCTGGTCCGGGCCGCGCAAGGTTGGGGAACGCGAGTACGGTAGCAAGGCAGACCAAGCAGGGTTGCCCCAGCGTTTACATACAGAAATTGGATATGCTTGTCTAATGAATACTTACTTCGTGCTGTGGAGAATATTGAAGACCCGGACATGGAACAATTGCGGGACTCGGGCCGTCGGCGGCTTGAGGTCCCTCGGCGTCCACTATGGGGCCGCCCCGGCATCTCGGCGAGTACCTGCAAATGACGTGATCGCGCCCTGTGCCGGAATGGATGCGCCTGTGGCTCCCCACCACCGACTCATTCATAGCTCTCCCACGGCTGCCGGGCTGGTCAGCGTCCTTTGCATTTGTCACCTCGCTCACGTCCTTTTGGCAGCTGTACGAGCCCCGGCGCGCCCAATTGACAATAGCTGCAGCTTCCGAGTCAGTTACGACCACGATCGCGTTCACACTTGCGCGCCAGCCATCATGTTCCGACACAGCGCGCGGAGGCTGGCCGTGGCGGCGGCCAAGGCAGCGGAGCCGAGCGCGCACACGCTGGCCGTGTCCAAGGCGCAGGGCATTGCCAAGGGATTGACCGGAGGTGCGTGCCGTCCTTCTGCCGAACCGTCATGTCGCCAGTCGCTAACGTCGAGCTCGCAGCCATCGGAAACACTCCCCTTATCCGCCTCAACCGGCTCTCCGACGAGACGGGCTGCGAGGTGCTGGGCAAGGCCGAGTTCATGAACCCCGGCGGATCGGTCAAGGACCGGGCGGCGCTGTACGTGGTCAAGGACGCCGAGGAGCGCGGGCTGCTGCGGCCGGGGGGCACCGTGGTGGAGGGCACAGCGGGCAACACGGGGATCGGGCTGGCACACGTGTGCCGGTCGCGCGGCTACAAGCTCGTCATCTACATGCCCAACACGCAGTCGCAAGGCAAGATCGACCTGCTGCGCCTGCTGGGCGCCGAGGTGTACCCCGTGCCCGCCGTGGCCTTCGATAACCCCGAAAACTACAATCACCAGGCGCGCCGCCACGCCGAGCGCCTCGACAACGCCGTGTGGACGAATCAGTTCGACAACACGGCCAACCGCCGCGCGCACATCGAGACGACGGGGCCCGAGATCTGGGCGCAGACGGAGGGGCGTGTCGACGCCTTTACGTGCGCGACGGGCACGGCGGGCACCCTCGCCGGCGTCACGCGCTACCTCAAGGACGCGTCGGGCGGTCGGGTCAAGAGCTTCCTCGCCGACCCGCCGGGCAGCGTGCTGCACTCGTACATCAGCTCCGGCGGCAAGCTGATCGAGCGCACGGGCTCAAGCATTACGGAAGGCATCGGCCAGGGCCGCATCACGGACAACTTGCAGCCGGACATTGGCCTCGTCGACGGCTCGCTGCACATCTCGGACGAGAAGAGCATCGAGATGGTGTACCGCTGCCTCGACGAGGAGGGGCTCTATCTTGGCGCCAGCTCGTCCCTCAACGTGGTCGCCGCGAAGGAGGTGGCCGAGAAGCTCGGCAAGGGTCACACCGTCGTCACGATGCTGTGCGACGGCGCCTACCGCTACGCCGACCGTCTCTTCTCGCGCAAGTGGCTCGTCGAGAAGAAGCTGATCGGCGCCATTCCCAAGCACCTCGAAAAGTACATAGTTTTGCCATAGAGGGTGATCTCTTTGATGGCTTTGTATGTTGTACAAGATGATAGAATTATACACAGATTTCCCCAACGCTGCCAGCCACGCTCCGTATAGATAGCCCCTCGCGCCGCTTAGGCGCTTGACCAGCTCGGCGTCTTACCCACCACCTTTTCGTACTCGTCCTCCCAGCCCTTTGTCCGTCCCGGCGCCGTCTGGACAAATTCACTGAGGTGCTTCTCGAGGGCATCCTCGACAGGGGCCAGGCTCTTTGCCTCGTCGCCTAGAAGTTCCCGTGTTGTCTGGATGCCCTTGATGTTCTGCGCGAGCACCTGCACATATGAACTGCCGTTGAGCGCCTGGGGTACCCGCGCGCCGCTGCTCCTCTCGGGTGTCGGGTTGAGTTTGGCAAACTCATCCAGGGTCGCCAGGTCCTGCGGCGCGCCGCCTTCCCATAGAGACTCGAGCAAAGTCACATCATCTCGTAGCAGGGACAGGTCCTGCTCAGCCGACTCGCCCGCCTCCTGCTCCGCCTTGACGGCTGACGACCGCGCAAACAGAACCATGCCACGAACGACGCGCGAATAGTGCAGCCTGTCGCGTGACCGCACCGTCTGGAGCATGTGCTCTGGCCGCTGAAGCAGGTCCAGCACCTGCTCTGCCCACCGCAGCGCCTGCCGGGCCTCGGCCACGTCGCCGGGGTTCGCGGCGGTCTTGTCGTTCACGTAGGCGAGCACCCGCACGACGGTCTCGCGGTTCGTCAGTAGCAGGCCAGTCTTGTCGGACTGCTTTGCGCACTCGATAACTGCGTAGATTTGGCCGCGCGACCCGGCGACGCGCACCACCTTGCCCCAGTGGTCGGGCTTGAGCTTGATGCCGGCCTTCTTGTACCCGGCCAGCAGGGTGCCCAGGTTCGTCCAGTCCTCGCTCGTGTGCATGTTTCCGAGGGCCTTGGCTAGGATCGCCTTGGAGTTCTCGATTCCCTTGAAGCGGTCGATGGAGGAGAACTTGTGCTCGAGGCCCTCGACCTCGATGACAACCGGGTTCTGCTCCAGGTAGGAGCGCATCTTGGGGTCAAAGACCAGCTTGCGCTGCTTCTCGGGGAGGTACGCGGGGAGGATGATTTTCTCTTGTATCGTGCGGAGGATGGCGTTGAGGTCGCTGTTGTCGGTCTCGGCGAATACGGCCCTGACGCCTGTTGGGGGACTGTCAGCAAAGAATCGAGACGAGCGTTGAGGCGCAGACGGGGACGAACCATGAGCGGGCGACGAGCTGAACTGCCTCGAGTGGCAGGCAATTAGCCTTGAGGAGGGCCCTTGGCACCGGCCCAGCGACCTGAGGGCCGACGTCAACGACCGATTCGACATGATTGCTTGCTATCTGCAGCTCGTGAAACCGATGCCAAAAAGTTCCAGCACGGACGACTTGATGCAGCACGCGAGACGGGTCGAGGAGTGGGTCGGAGAAAGAATGTGCCGGGCCAATCACGCCCCGCAATTGGCTGCCTGTCCCTGGCCGTCCGCTAGCGATGCTTCAACGCCAGTGCTTTGTGACCCGGAATTTCTTTACGTTGACGTCTCGACTCTCGAGATCCTCGACAGCCCAACCCCAACCACAATGAACGCCACAGCTCTCAGGCGGCCTCTCGGCTGCCTCAAGGCGGCGCTGAGACAGACGAGACACCAGAGGGCGTCGCAAAGATGCCTAGCCACGGCGGCAACAACCCCGTCAGAAACCAAGGAGGCCATTAGCATCAGGCAACGTACGTCCACTCCATTATCACGTTCTTGTTGCGCTACACTCTAGCTCACGTGGCTATATGCAGGCGCCGAGGCCGAGAAGATCAGCAGATTCCAAATATGGCCGCAGGTCCCGTCGGTCCGATCCACGCACCCCGACCCGATGCCCGTTCTTCGACAGCAGGCCATTGCGGCGCTCGACCCGACGGGCGCGCGAACGCGGCTCTTCTCGCGCGAGCATGCCGACAGCGCCAAGGTGGGCGACGTGCTCATGGTGACGACCAAGGCGGGCGAGCCCTTCTCGGGAGCCTTCATTCAGATCCGGCGGCGAGGCACCGACACGGCAATCCTGCTGCGCGGGCAGATGATGCGGACGGGCGTGGAGCAGTGGTTCAAGGTCTACAGCCCGACGGTCACGGGTATCGACATCATCTGGCGCCGGCCGAAGCGGGCGAGGAGAGCCCGGCTCACTTACATGCGCCAGCCCAAGCACGACATGGGCAGCGTGGACCAGCTCGTGTCAGCGTGGAAGAAGGAGAGGTACGCCCTGCGGAGCAAGTCGAAGCAGGCGCCGGGCAAGAAGGCAAGGAAGTGAGTGGCGACGGGGGTGTATTCGCGTGTATGATATGCCGAAAGATATCAATGTACAATGGACAAATCAGCGCAACGGCGCGATCCCCGATGCCTGGTGACCCTTACAAGACGGCACCCTGGGCCCTTCACAAGACCTGCCGAGCTATGCGTCCCGAGCTGCGCTTTGTTGGTCAAGTAGGCGGGTTGTGTCCCGCGTCATGTGCCAGAAAGGTTGAGTGTTTCATGAGCATGGCCCGGGAGTGCGCTTCAGGGGCTGACTCGAAGCAGCACATGCCGCCCAGAACGCTGCTCAATGAGACGGACCACTGGCGTCGCTCGCTCTACACAGGGTGCTGTCCAATTGACGGACGAAGACTGGGAGAGTTGGTCCATGACCTTTGACCCTGTTGCATATCTTGCAGGCGTTTCACGAGATCGGGGAGGCGGGCTGTGCATCAGACATGAATGCATGGGGGATCGGCGTATGGTTTTCATGCAACGATGCTTGACGCACCACAAAGGACGAATTCTCGAACTTGATGCGCATGGCGCTGGCTCAAATGCAATACATGCCGTGAAGGCATTGCCCTCACTTCTCATCATGCTTATACCCCGGTATTATGCCTCTGTCTGTGCTTGCGCGCCACGCCCGTGTCCGTCCAGTCCAGTTGGGCGTCCGTCCGCCATTCAGTTAACATTCGGCGCAGGAGTCGGCAATCAGGAGGGCGCAGAATTCCTGCTCTTCGACGTAGCCGCCCAGGGACCCCGGTCGAGCTCCGCATGCATGATCGCCTTTGGTTGCGGCCACAGCGCGACGCATTCTTCGATGCCCAACGGCGGTTCCCTCTCACGCATACCTAGGATGGTGCCAAACGTCTCCATATCCCATTCGTGCACTTCATTGCTTACACGGCGCTCTACGGACCGGCCGGACAGCACTACGGTAATATTCTGGGTGATCGTCTCGCCATAGAGGGTGGGCTGCTTCCAGATGTTGGTTTTCTCGTCATGGGCGCTCTGCCAGACGCTGATGCGGAAATGATACGTGTGGCCTGCGGTTTCCGGCCGGAACGCGAGGTTCTCAAAGGAGAACCAGAGTCTGCCGGAAAAGGTGGCAGTCAGGGGGATTATGTTGACGCCGCTTACGACAGAGTCGACAGAATGTGCAGGCTGGTTCTTTTCGACCCGCCTGCCATCGACGACGGCGAGGCTCATGCGGGCTTGGTAGAGGTGCGGTCTCAGGACCGCTTCATCAGGTACTTCGGCGCAGACGGTGATATGGGGGGCGATGGTCTCGCCGATGGGTTGCACCCTGGGCGGCAAGTTCACTTGCATTTTGGGCTTATCTTTAGCCATGGCGACGGGCTCTCTCTGAGAGGCAGTGGTATCTCGTAGCAACAAGAGGCTATCGTGACGAAGACAAGGCGAGGGCCATGTCTCGCACGGTTATAAAGGAAGCCCTGCGGGCTGTTGTCGAAGTTGAATTCACGTGGTTGCATCACGGCCATTTGAGTCGTGCTCATCCAGTGTCATTAGGCGAGCCAGGCCATCTGAATGACGGTAACTGAAGCTGTTTTTGCGGCGCAAATCCGCACCTCTGAACTGACGGAGACCTGTGAATCAGGAACGGGACAAGTTGTTCTGGAGGTTTGGACATCGCGTCAGTGGCATGTTTCCGGAGTGCTCAATGGATCATGAACCGAGTCGGCACACGAATACGCCGGCCTGTTGGGCGCATCATCAGACGAAGGCCATTTGAGCCGAGCAATCACGCAGTGCACACGGTCGAGGAGGGCACTTGAGCATGACGCAGCGGCTCCCACAGGCCCTGCAATACCACGATGGACGCCAATGACGGCACCGAGCACTGCCCCGCCACCAGCATCCCCGGCGCCGGAGTCACTCAAGCCAACGGCTAGGGCCGATCGACGCCGGGGTGAATCGTCTCAGAGTTGGGCCCTGGGTCCCCTCGCGCGTCGCAGCATCGCGCCGTGTGTATGCGCGCATTGAGTTCGGGGTTGAAAGCGGGATGGCGACAGGCTCAGATAGCGCTGCGCCACCGGGGACGGGGCTGGCATATAAACGGCGCCGCGGCGTCGTCTGTTGTTGTCCGGCGATCGTCTCCGCGTGGGCGGCTGTTGTTGTTTTCCAACAAGCTGCTGCTCTCTGTCAACATCAACAATGGGAGAGCATTGCTTTGCCTGCCCGAACCCCGACGCCACCTGATAAAGCTGCAATCACCTCGTCGAAACAGAAAAGGCAACGGTGCTGTGAAACACACGGCCGATAGGAGCTGATTACTCTCCTCAACAGATCGACCCCCTTGGCTGTGCGGGCGAGGTTCACATACCCCCGACGTATCGATAAGCACACATTGGACCGCAGCCCTGCCGGCATTGGCCTCACGTTTGCCTGCCCGAACAGGGACCCAGCAGCAGCAAGCAACAGCGCCGCATCTCACAGGCGCTCGAGTCCCGGAGTCTGGAGTCTGGACCCTGCCCGCAATTCAATCAAATTGATCCCCCAGCACGGGGCAGCGCTGGACGCCACCAGTCGGCCGGCTGGGTCAGGCACCAAGGTACGGCCAGTAGCGCGCAAACAGTGGGCTTCCGCCCCTAAAAATGGCCGCTAGCCCCGCGCCTCCGCCAATGGCGGCACCCGCTCCAGGCACCGTCGCCCGCCCCCAGCGGAGCCCATCACCGCCGCCCGGCAACCTGGAATCCGGCGAGCGGTTCCCCCAATTTTGTTTACTCGCCTCGGGCTCTGATAGCTCGCCGCCGGGGGCCCAATGCCACTGCCCTGGCTGCTGCGCCAGCGCCCAGACTGCCGTCCAGATTCTCAACACCACCACCACGTGCAACGACGACGGCGACGTCTCTCCTCCATACTCGTACTCATTCGCCAACAACCCCAGGCACTCGTACGCTTCCGACTGCAGCTCCTCGACGTCGCGCACGCAGCAATCCAGACCGTCCCGCTCGCCCACCCAGTCGAGCGTTTCCACATCCGCCACCAGCGTCTTTGATCAAGACGGCCCGGGAGACCACCAGCCCGCGCCCCCGAGCCGTCGTCGGCAGGCCGCCCCCACCAACCGCAGCAGACGAGACAAAGAGCTGCTGCATGCAGCGCGCCAGCAGCGGTCAGGAAGCAACAGGCAGCCGCCGCCGCCGTTGGGCCCCGACAAGACAAGGGATACCGCGAGAGCGCCCTGGCTGCGTCACAGAGGCTCCAGCGGGAGCGCCAACGCCGCCCATCGCAGAACCAGCAACAACGGCAACGGCAACCCCATCGACGACGCCCGAGCCGCCCTCGAGCCGCCGCATGATCAGGGTCTTGCGAGGATGACGTTTACCGAGCAGCAGCGCTGGATCACCGTCCAGCAAAAGACGTTTACGAAATGGTGCGTGGTCCCCCTTATCCCTTGTCCCCGTCAGCGGGGTCGGCGTGTCGGCCAGCTGCTCACGCGACTTTGCGCAGGCTCAATACCAAGATTGACGCTCGGGATCTCGAGGTCAAGGACTTGGTCAGCGACCTCAGCGATGGTGTAAGTGCTGTATCCCACGATGCGACATCTGGTTCTCTTGCTGACTGCCTAGGTGATACTTATCCATCTGCTCGAATGCCTCTCCAACGAGTCCCTCGGCCGTTATGCCTCGAAACCGAAGCTTCGTGTGCAAAAATTCGAAAATGCCAACCTGGCTCTGGACTTTATCAAGTCCAGGGGTATTCAGATGACGAATATCGGTGCCGAGGATGTCGTCGACGGCAACCGCAAGATTGTCCTCGGCTTGATATGGACACTGATTCTTCGCTTCACCATTAGCGACATCAACGAGGAGGGCATGTCGGCCAAGGAGGGCCTGCTGCTCTGGTGTCAGCGAAAGACGGCATGCTACGACGAGGTCGAGGTGCGAGACTTTAGCGGTAGTTGGAACGATGGCCTGGCGTTTTGTGCCCTCCTCGACATCCACAGACCTGACCTCATCGACTTTGATGCCCTCGACAAGTCGGACCACCGCGGCAACATGCAGCTCGCCTTTGACATTGCCCACGAAGAAATTGGTATCCCCAAACTGCTCGATGTTGAAGACGTGTGCGACGTTCCCAAGCCTGACGAGCGAAGTCTCATGACCTATATAGCATACTGGTTCCATGCCTTTTCTCAGATGGAAAAGGTCGAGAATGCCGGCCGCCGCGTCGAAAAGTTCGTCAACAACATGCAAGGCGCCTGGGAGATGCAGAGCGCTTACGAGCGGCGCATGCGTCAGCTCCTCAAGACGCTCAGCAACCAGGTCGAGCAGTGGCAAGGCGCCAAGTTTGAGGGCACGTACGCCGACGCCAAGGCGCAGGCCACCGAGTTCGCTGCGTACAAGCGCGGCCTCAAACGAGAGTGGGTGGCAGAGAAGAGCGACCTGGCGACGCTGTTGGGCAATATCAAGACCAAGCTGGGAACGTATCGACTCCGCCCGTACGAGCCACCGGCCGAACTGCGGTTGGAAGTGCTGGAGCAGGCCTGGGCGACGCTGGCCAAGGCCGAGATGACGCGGGCGCAGCTGATAAACGAGACAATTCGAGAGTAAGTGCCCACCCGCGTGCGAGGCTTCTAGATGGGCAAAGGCTAACTAATATTCGCAGCATCAAAAACGCCCTGCGCAAATCCTTTGCGGACAAAGTCAACGACTTCGCCATGGCCCTCAACACGATGCAGCTGGCCATATCGGGGCTGGACGGCGATGTCGAGGACCAGTTGCATCATGTCAGGAAGTTGAGCGACAACCTCGCCCCGCTAGATCGGTACCTGGAGACCATCGCGGCCGTAGACGCCAAGTGCGCCGAGGCCAACATCGAGGAGAACGACTTCACGACGTACACGTATGACGAGCTGTCGTACGAACTGAGCCTCGTCAAGTCGTCAGTTCAGAAGAAGCTATCGTTCCTGGAGAACCAGATGGTGGCGCGCAACATGACGAACCTGACGCCGATCCAGCTCGAGGAGTTTGAAAGCGTGTTCCGGCACTTTGACCGCGACGACACCAACTCGCTGCAGGAGCTCGAATTCAGCGCAGCGCTGGCATCCCTGGGGCTGGTATTTTCAGAAGACGAGATGCACGACTACTTTGTGGAGACGTCCAACGGGCGCGACTACGTGACCTTTGAGCAGTTCATCCGGTTCATGGTGGATGTGACTGAGGACCAGAACACGGCGGAGCAGGTGTTCCAGTCGTTCCGGGAGGTGGCCGATGGCAAGCCGTACGTGACGGAGATGGACCTACGACACAGCTTGGTGCCGGACGAGGTGATTGATCAGCTAGTGGAGATGATGCCGCCGCACAAGGGACCAGATATGTCGGGCGACCGGGGCCAACCGCAGTACGACTACATCTCGTTCATGGAGAAACTTATCAACGACGAGCGGGCGGCCGCGGCGGCGGCAGACGTGCCGAGCGGCGTGCTCCAGGACAGGACCAACGTTGGCGACGCAAACCCGCGACGGGGCGCCAAGACGAACGGCATGGACGGATGACAGGAATGCATCGGCAAGATAGGGGACGGGGTGGAGGGGAGGGACTGCGATGTGGCATTTGGTCGCTCTCATTGCAGGTATATATAATGTATGGTCTCGGGGCTGACGGGCGGATGCCGCTGCCTTCGGGGTGTATCAGTTCAACGTATAAAGCATCACTGGATGGTGTTCACGGGCAGGAACGTGAGGCGGGTATGGAGCAGTGACGGGACGACTTGGTCCATCGTTCTTGGGTATAGGTACTAGCAACTTTTGATCTGATTGCCAGGCGGGCTACAATGACACCGGACTGTGAAAGTAGAGCTCCAGATTGATGTGGCAAAGAACGCCCAACAGACACATGGACAGGCCCACTGAAGGCTCCGATATGCATGCGAAAGGGGGCACCTGGGCCACCACTTAGACAAAAACGTTTTCAACCTTGTTGCATGCTTTGCACTTTGTGTTCGGCTACAGCTATCCGTACGGCGTCACACCTCGTAGGCTTTTTCCCGCGTGCCACGCGGTCCGGGTATGCCCTAGCCGAAGTCCGTCTGCGGCTAACGCCAAGGATAGACGATGGAAAACAGCAGTGTCGCACCGTCTGCCGCTGCAACTCACGAATATACGCGCATACAACTCGCCAAGCCGCTCCGATAGACACGTACCCGAAGGCTCGTTGCACAAGTCCAGAGGCGACTCACCCTCCGCTAGGAGAGTTGCATATGCAACTTACTATTAATAGTTACAGACTTCGAATTAGAAGCAGCACCTACCTAGGGCGTTAGAGCTCTCCAGGGGGTGCGTCATGGTTCGCATCGTCTGTTCCCCGCAAACGGATCCCGAGCAGCCAGGCATCTTCTGCCTGGCCGCGACTCACTAAGGTCTCCAAGCACGGAACAGGACATCGGAAAGCACATTAACTCACTTATAGCTATTATTAACACGTTTATTGCTAAGAGGTTAGTGCCAGAGATGGACGCATCTCCGCACGCCAGTCTGCAATGCCCTGCAGCTGCGAGCCACGGCGATCCAAAGGAAACGGCAAAAAGAACGGAAACCAAGTAGGACAAACTGGCAAAACTTAGGCAGGGTGGGCCCAGGGTCCTGGCTAAGAAAGGAGAACTGATGTCATCAGGAGGCTCTGCGCTCCATCCTGTCATCAGGAGGTGCGCTGCTCCCTCGTAACCGAACTCGCTTTTTGTCTCTCCACTCCAGGCCGTGGGGCGGCAACTATGGAACGAAGACCGAAAAGGCTTTCGCCCATTCTAGCAGTCAGGATTCGAACAGCCGGGGGTTCGGATTCGCACAAGTACGGCACCTTACCACTCCGCCATCCGTCCCCTCCTGACTGCTGATAGCATGGTGTATTATTTTGAGTTAAGTAGTGTTCGCACGCTTCCGAGTGCGAGAGACGCGGGTGCCATGCTGTCGCATACAAGTTTGGTGTATTGAGCTGGCGAGGACGTCGTGAAGACTTACACGCGGGATCCCGTGACTTCCCAATGCGGTAAGGTGAGACCCACATTACGGTAAACACGCCCTCGGCAGCAGACGAAAGAGGTCGCGGCAGCTCTTCATTTCGTTCTCCTTAAAGATCCCATTGTACCAGACGATGTTCAAACTTGGATCGAGCCTTCATTTTCATCAGGCTATGACAGGATATTCGCCAAGTCTCCACGAGCTATATATCCAGACTTCACAGCGCGTCGCATGATGCAACACAGATTCTCTCTACGTCTACCCTCCCAACTTGACGTCTGGTCGCGGAGATGATTGACGGCTGCCCATCCAGACATTTCTGTCTCATACTGTGCCTACCGAGAAGGCACAGAAGTCGTTTATGGTTCCGCGATAGTACGTGCGAATATTTTTATGAATGCAAGACTACATCAAGAGCGCCTCCACGGATCTGCTTGGAAGGTGATGTTGGCATAGGCGGTAGCAAGCCATGAAGGTAATGACGTGACCCCATCGCCGCGCCACGTCCACGCGAGGCGCGACGGGCTCGAGCATGCGAGCAGCCAGCGCCGTAGCTCCATAACAGTATACTATTTTGCATATAATGATGTCGGCCTTGCAGAGAGTGTCTTCAATTTTGGGAGTTGACATACTTGCCGGGCATGTAAGTATAACGACAAGGAGTAGCGGTGGGAGCCGTACGGTGCGTGATTACGGGTCGCTGTCCGTCGGAGTCGCTTCCCTCCCATGACCAGCTCTGCCCGTCTCTTAAGCCAAATGCGGGAACTCTGCGACGCCGATCCCGCCATGCTCCCGCCTCATGTGGGCGTACACAAGCAGGCCCTCAGAAAAAGTCTCCAAGCACACCCAGCAAAGATGGGTTTGGCAGTTGGGGCAAGTCATATGATTGCAGCCGAACGTCTTTTGTATCATAATCCCACATCCGGGACAGTTCTTTATGCCATTTTCGTCTTTGGAAGCCTCCAGTGCCTCGTAGCCGCCGGAAATGAGATCGCGGTGCTCAGCACAAGTCTGACCGTCGTGCGAGGCGTTGCACGCCGTGCATACGACCTTGAGGCATGAAGGACATGTGATCAACGGGCTTTCGCCAGTGCCGCTTGCGTCGCCTTGGTGTTCCGACGGCTTCGCCGTGCGGTATATCTGGGGGCAGTCCGGGGTGGGACAGTTCTTCAGATGGTTGAGATTTCGGGCCAGGTGGGTTGCGAAAGCGGCCTCGAGGACGTCTTCCAGGGCTGCGGATGGGAGATGCGCCTGAAGCTCGCTCTTCAGAACCACCTTTCTGCAATTCCCGACATCGCCTTGGCACTGGATACTGGGGCCGGGGTCGACGCCAGCAAGGCAGAGATTCTCGAAGCAGCCGGCACAGTAGACGTGTTTGCAGGACGTTTGTACCGGGTTTTCGGCTTCCGTCCAGCAGATAGCGCACTCAGCGATTGAACCGCCTTCTTGCTTCGCCCATGATTCCAGATCTTTGCCTCGGAGGATTTCTCGCGCAGCACGGTGATCCAGTTCAGATCCCATCACAGAAATACGTCTGGTGGTGATGTCCACGCTGACCTTGTCCTTCCCGATGGCCGCGACGATGGCTTGATACCCACCCTTGACCGCGCGGGAGTGTTGCTTCGCATCGAGTTCAATGACATGCGTTGATGATGAGTCGGCTTTGGAAAGCTCGGTGAGAGCCTGCTGCGCCTCTTGACGTTGCCGTCGCGGACCCAAAAGTCGGATACGAGACCTGCGTTTGTCGCGGACGATGAGAATGCCAAGTTCCCGCTCAAGCTGCCTCATCTTTTCAAAGGCGGGACCGTTGGCAGCGAAGGAGGGCGACCATACGGCCTCGCCGTCTCTCATCAGAACTTCGCCACCAATGATGGCCTCCAGCGTGTCCTTGGCTTTGGCTACATCCTCCCTGCTTTCGCCCTCGAGCTTGAGGACCCGGAGGCTTTGGGAAGGAGGATACGCAATGTAGACCAGATGCTGCTCCACCCAGGCTTGCTTATGCTCGGCTATCTCTTGCTCGACGGCATCATAGACGCGAGTGGGGATCTTGAGCCTCGCAGAGTGCACGAGCTGCACTGTCAGCTTGCCATTCTTGTTGAATGGCAGAGGCGTGTTGTTGAGCGACATGGTCGCCTGCCTGGCATCCTCGTCATTCATGAACCAAGCCTTGGCTTTGAAACGCTTCCCTGCTCCTTCCAGGGCACCTTCCCATCGCTCCAGCGGCCCAGATTGGAGCAATAGTGATTCGATCGACGTGTTTGCCGTTGGCAAGTCGACGTGGTAACTTGAAGCGCTCAACTCGACATGGTTAGGAGCCAATTTGGCGGAGATGTTTCTCGTCACATCTCCCTTCTGAGCCAGCGATGGAACATCTGAAAGCCTTATTGTCCACGCGGAAGGATTTCTGTCGTCTCTGCCTCGTGGAAGCCATCCGCCGCGTGTATACCCTCTGCCGCCTGTGAGGCTGGTGCTGCGCGTGGGCGCAGCGCACTGAACCTTTTGGCTCAGAACTTTATAGGCGCCAGCCGAGAAATTGGAGCCAACCTGCCTGGCAGTATCTCCAATGCCAAAATTCAGCCAGGCAGTTTTGGTGGCCTTGTGCCACGAGCAATAGACCTTCTTCGAGTCGACTCGGCGGTAATTGGTCGTCTGAGGCATCGAGGCGTTGATCGGAACAGCCCTGGGAGCATCGGCCCCCTTCGCCGCCAGTATCTCACAAAGACGCTTCGCAAACTGAGCGTCTTCGACCCTCACGTCAACGCTGCCATGGGCATTATTTTTCGGTGCCGCAATGCGAACGCAGTCCTCCTGCACGACGAAGCCATGCGTCGTGAGAAGCTCAACAACAGAGCTTGCATTTGTATCTTGAGGTAGATTGCTGATGCGAACTGCAGAGAAATCAGAAGGGAAGCTCACTTTGGTCACGACGGCTCCGTCCCCGTAGTAGACCAAAGCGCCTTGGAGCTCGCGACGCCAGTTCTCGGGCATCGAGCCTTCCTACTCGCGAATTAGCCCATACGCAGACCACGAGCTTCTGGGCGGTGTTCTGATACCTCATCTTGCACCACGCTCTCTGTTGAACCTTGTCGGATGTCATGTGCAAACGGGCACTTCTCGCCCTTGGAACAGGACCCTTGGAGAAGGAATCGGCAAGGGATCTGTGCGCGTGAATCTCCATGCGCTGTCGTAAAGCTAGGCCCACTACTTGCAGTACCAGTCGAACCGGCACTGCTGTCTGGTCTTTCGTCTCCTTCGGCATGAGAGAAAGGACAGGCAGTACCGTTGCGGCAACGACCCTGGGAAAAGAATCGGCAAGGGGCTGCTTGTCTGGGCCGCGAATGTGGATGTAGCGGACCAGCTTTCGACAGGAGAGTCGCGCTCTTCATATCCGCTGGCGAGGGCTTTAATGGTTTGCGACTCTGCGAGAATAGACTTGTATCAAAGGTTCATTCCTCACCAAAATACTTTGTTCATTCGGATCTTGCCAGCGTGCGGAGGTCGGGCAGCACCGCAGCAGTGTCTTATGGCCGGAGCCACGTGATGCTGTGTCACATCGAAGAAACACGCGTGCCGAGGGTCGATTGACGGGTCTGAGTATCATGCATCCCCAGTCTCGAAGACTCGAGATTGGCATCGAGGCGCAGTAGGAGTAACCACTTCTTACATACGCCCCGTCTCCACGGCGATCTCTCGCATAGGTACAATTTGCCCGGTGGCCCCGTCCGTGTGCCGCCTTCAGTGCCTAGTCTGGCATCTGGCTCCCCCAACACGGAGTGGACCTCGGTGCCGCTAATAAGCACCTTAACCCCCAAAAACAGGTGCAACAGCGGCAGCGGCAACACCAGCATCCTCAACACCACGCCCGTCCATCGACCTGTCTACCCGTTTGCTGGCTCTGACCCCTCAACCCATCGCGCTCGCGCCTCGCCAATTGGGCCTCTCTTCGTCTCCCATCCCATCTCCCACATTCTCCGATTTTCTTTGCGCACGCGCTCGCGCACAGCAACAAACATCATGGCCTCCAACCCCTCCAAGACAGCGGCGACCAAGCCGCCCGCTTCGCCCGTCAAGACGGCGTACCTGGTGCTCTACAACTTCGCCTCGGCTGTCGCGTGGAGCGTCGTGCTGGGTCGCGTCCTCGCCGTCTGCGCCCTGCGTGGGCCGCAGTTCACCTACGCCGCCGCCGGCGAATGGACCAAGTGGACGCAGACGGCCGCCGCCCTCGAGATCTTGCACTCGCTGCTCGGTGCGTCTCTTGACTCCCCTTCCTCCCGCTGCCTGTCTCCATCCCAGTACCCCCCCAAGCTAACCGTTGTGTCTTGCGACTGTCCCAGGCGTCGTCCGTGCTCCCGTCTTCACCACCCTCACGCAAGTCTCGTCGCGCTTCCTCCTCGTCTGGGCCATCGTCGACTCCTTCCCCTTCCTCGCCACATCGCCCTTCTACTCGTCCATGCTCGTCGCCTGGTCCGTCACCGAGGTCATTCGCTACTCTTTCTTCGCCCTCTCTCTGTCCGGCTGGCAGCCCGCCGCCCTGACCTGGCTGCGCTACAACACCTTCTTCGTCCTCTACCCCGTCGGCATCACCAGCGAGTGCGCCCTCATCTACCTCGCCACCGTCCCCGCGGCCATGCGCAACCCCGTCGAGCCGTACATTCTCTATGCCGTCCTGGCCATATACGTTCCCGGTATGTCGTCCTTTTGTGCTTGTGTAGCCGCGTAATTCTAACAAGGTCAGGCTCCTACATGCTCTACACATACATGATGTCCCAGCGGAGAAAGGTCCTCCGTGCGCAAAAGGCTCAGACCGGCAAGGCCCAGTAAGCCGCTAGCCCTAGGATATGCCTCAGGTCCAGCGACCATCACTGAGGTACCGATTTGCTCGGCGTGCTGCATGAAACAATGTATTTTGCGGATCGGGCATCATTGAAGACACAAATGCGCCCGTTGTCCCGCGTATAGCGGTGTGGTGTGCGAATAGGGAGCATAGAGCCGGTAGATCGGATCAGAATGGGGGTATATAGACGAATCACGACTGTACTCTAACTACCTAATGTATCAAACGATTCATCAAGGCTCCAGCTTCTTCTACGCCCATGCGTTTTCCAGCCTCATTTCACCAAATTCCTTGCTGCTCCCCTGGCCGACCCTTTGCGTGCTAGTCTCGTACCATTCGTTTTGGAGCCATCCTTCAATCAACCCTGCCGCGTTGTCGGCCAGCGCCTCATATGCCGGATTCTCGCCAGGCTCAAACATGCCTGTATGGTCGCAAGGTCAGCCGCCGAATCCAAGTCGCCCACCAAAGGAGAAAAGGGGGCCAACGTACTCATGTGCGCCTGTGTCTCGTCTGTGGCCTTGTCATTGACGGCCTCGCGCCACTCCCCCGCGTCCATCTTCTTGGGCAGATTGCAGAACGTGCGATCGGGCCCCAGCACGGTGCCCACCATACTGACCGTCTTGGAGGGCGCCGCTTTGCCCAGCCGCGTGTACAGGTTGGCGAAGCCTACATCAAGCTCCTCGCTCAGGCGCACCATGCCACGCACGCGCTTCTTGAGCTCCTCGGGCCGGGCGAGGCTCCCGACGAACTCGAGGTGCGACGACGCCCACGTCCACCCCGTGGTGATCTGATCACGGTTCGCCCACGCAGCCGCCCCTCCCGCAGCGACCGCGCCTGCCGCGCCCGCGAACATGGCAACTTTACCCCATTTGCCCCATTGCGAGGAGGACGATGACGAGGGGCCTGGAGACGGGGACTTGGGCGGTGCTGCGATGGCCTTAGACGCGCCAGCGCCTGCGCCGCCGGCGGCCTTGCTAGTCGACCCCCAGAGACTGCTCCCTAGGCCGCTCAGTTGCGAGAGCGTCGCCGCAGCGGCCTGGTAGTTCTGGTACTGGCCCTCGGCGCCGTGCGCAACGACCCCCGGGGAGATGCCTAGGTACGGCGTGTCAAATGCCAGCACGCCCTGGACGTACGGAAACATGAGCGCGTTGAAGGGCTTGCCGCCGCTGCTGCCGCCGTCGTCGTTCTTTTGGATGCCGTCCTCGGAGTAGATGGGTTTCTCGGAAGCCAGCGCGATGACCATCTCGGCGGCGACAATGCCGCCCATGGAGTGGCCGATGAGGATGGTGCGTACCGATGGGTCGACGGTCGGCGACGGCGTGCCGGCCGCCACCTCCAAGTCAATAACCTTCTCCTCCAGCCTGTGTTTTGGTCAGGGTCAGCACAGGGAACAATTCCCGACACGACGAGATTGTCCCGCCCCTTAGGGGCAGGAAAAAGGGATGGGACGCTCACCAGTCGCGGAAGCGGCTCACGCACTGCCCCAGGTCGCCCCGCGTCTCGTACTTGGGGTAGACGAGCACCCGGACGTCGACCTTGGGCAGCTTGTGCGCGACCGCATCCCTAAGGTCGCGCGTGAACTGGTAGTCGGCGCCGAACGTCTCCTCGCCGCCCTGCGCAGCACGTCGCTCGTTTAGTTACACTGGTTACAGACGGGACACGGGGGTTGTGCGACTGCTGCGGGCGACAGCGGCGGGGTGTGTCTCTCTCAGCTTACCTTGAAGCCGTGGATGAAGCACAGGACCAGCGTCTTCTTCATGATGTCGCCATTGATGCTCGCCGGCTTCGCGATGCCTGTAAACTCAGCTGCTAGACGAACGCGATGCGGGGCGCTGTAAAAGTAACAGAAGTCGAGGGTCGTGGTTGAGGCCAGGCCGACAGGTGGTCAAGTGTGGCGAAGTTCAGCCTGCGCCTATCAGTCACTTGGTCTTGATCGCCCACACCATCGCTGACACATCCGGCCGGCCACTCGCGTATTGCATCACAGACGCCTCCCGTCCAGTCGCCTCGTCAGACGCTGCCATTTACGGCAGTCTCGTCCCCTCGCATCTTCATTCGCTTCGCGTGCACGTAGACGCAAGGTCGCACGGCGCTGCTGTGGGTATGTGCAATAGTACATTTTAAGTCCTTAGTCTAAACAGTTCTGCTCGCTCTCCTCTGTCCGCCTCCCTCCCCCCATCTGCTGCGCGTGGTATACGACTTTCTGTCCTGAATCTCTCCCGTCGCTCTGATACACGTGCCCGATATTCCTGTCCGCCAAACGCCGTGAACATCAAAAAGTGCCTCGAGAAAGAGCAAGCATCAACCAGACGCCGCCTTTGCCGGCCATCGCACCGTTGCACCACTACACCGCGTTTACAGCATCACAAGACGCCAGCCGAGACCGGCCGCCTGCCCATTACACACCGCGTCAAGCCGTGCTTCATTCCTCGTCGCTTTGGCCGTTCGTCTTGGAGCCGTTGGCTGCCGCCGCTGCCGCCGCCTCACGAGCACTGCTCGAGATGATCTTGATCCGCGTCCCACTGGGCTGCGGCGTGCCTCCATTCCCGGACGGCGCGGCAGACCCCGCCTTACCTCCGTTCTCGAGCTCCTGCAGCTCGGGGTGCGCCTCCAGCTCTTCGCGATACTTGGCGGTGAAGAACTCCTAGTCGCTGCATTAGTCACGTTCCCCGAGTCTCCGTCGGCGTGGAATCCCCAAACTTACATCCATAGTCTTGGCATCCTGGTAGAGGATGCTTCCGTCCTCGTTGTACGTTTGGCAGTTCTTGATCATGAGGTCAAAGTCCTTGCGCATGTCCCCTAGGCTCGAGTACTCCTCCTTCTTGATGCGAGTGTTTATGTTGTTCATGCAGATGGGGTTCTGAATGATGACATAGTAGTCGGCATAGTCGCGCTTGGGCGGCAGCTTGATGAACGGGCCGATGACCAGCCGCTTCCCGGCGTCCGACTCGTCGTCTTCCGCGGGGGGCTCGATGTCGTCCACCTCAAGTGCCATCAGCGCGTCGTACAGGCTCCGAAGGCTCTTTTGCAGGATGTCGCGCTGCTGCGGGCTCAGCTTCGAGTCGGCGTTGTTCAGGCCAACCTTGCTGGGCCGCCCCTGAGGGCCACGGCGCTTCTTGGCTGGTGGTTCTTCCTCGCCATCCTCCGCCTTGCGCTTCTCATTCTTGCTGCCCGGCTTGCGCCCGCGCTTCTTGGGAGTCTCAATCTCTTCCGTGCTGGCGCGGCTCGCTGAGGGTGATTTGTCTGCTGCGTTCGTTACGGCGATCTTCTTCATCCGGTTGGCCTCGCGCTTGTCCTTGCGAGCCTGTTTTCGCGCGGCAGCCGCCTCGGGGGAGTCCTCGTCGTCATCGACCGCCATCAGCCACTGCTCTTCCGTCAGGCCGTCGTCGTATCGCACTCTGGTGCGTTCGCGAGCGCCACGCCCGAGAATGACTTCCTCGCTCTCCTCCTCGATGGGGTTGCCTTCGTGGAGGTAGATGTCGGGGAGCTCTTCCTCGCCCATGAGGCGAGGCTTGGCCTTGGCCCCGGCGACGGCACCGTAGACGGGATCCTTCGCCCGCTCCTCGTCAATCTTCTGGAAAACGCCCAGCTCGTCATCGCTGCGAGCAAGCATCATGTTGAGCTCGTCGTCTTCCATCTCGTCCTGTTCGCCGGACTCGGCCATGTCCGCCGTCTCCAGGAGTGTCCGGAGCATGGCGTCTCGATCGGTTTCGGAAGACTTATTATCAAATCGACCGGCCTGGATGACCTTGCCATCCATGTCCAGCTTGAACCTTGCGCGTTCAAGGATCTTTTCTTCAACCGAATTGGAGCTGATCAAACGAAGGATTCGCACCTCGTTCTTCTGTCCAATACGGTGGGCACGATCCTGCGCCTGCAAGTCTTGGTGGGGGTTCCAATCGGAGTCATAAATGATGACTGTGTCGGCTGTCTGCAAGTTGAGACCGAGACCACCAGCGCGCGTCGACAGCAAGAACATAAAGTACTTGGAATCGGGGGCGTTGAACTCTCGCAGGAGGTCGGATCGCTCGTCTGACTTGGTCGTACCATCCAGACGAAGGTACTCCATCTTCCTGTAGCGCAGGTAGTCCTCCATGATGTCCATGATGGCGGTCATTTGGAAGAACATGAGCACCCTGTGTCCGGTCGCATGGTATTTGGGCAGGATGCGATCCAGCAGCTCGAACTTGCCAGCCGTCCTCCAAAGCAAGTCATTGCTTATGCTCATGGGGTTCATGACGTTTTCCACCTCGTCGAAGACAAAGGGGTGATTGCAGAGCTTTCGCAACTGCATAATCATGTTGCTCAGACCACGAGCATTCGTCTTGCCTCCCTTGCCGTCGCTCACAACGAGCTTGTTGTGCGTGACCATTTGCTTATACAGCTTCGACTGCAAGGCAGAGAACTTGCACTTGATGACCTTCTCCGTCTTGTCTGGCAGATCCTTTTCCACATCCTTCTTGAGACGACGCAAGAGGAACGGTCGCAGCACCTTGTGCAGACGTCGAATGACGAGAATCTGCTCTTCTTCGGTGAGCTCCATCTTGTCCTGGCCACCCGTATTGGCGAAAGGAGTGTTAAACCACTCGTCGAACGTCTTGACAGACTTGAAGATGTTGGGCAATACGAAGTTGAGCATAGCCCACAGTTCGGCGAGGTTGTTTTGCAGCGGGGTACCCGTGAGAATGAGGCGGAAGCGTGTCGAATAGTACTGTTGGATGGTGGCACTGAGCTTGGAGTTGGTGTTTTTCATGCGGTGACCCTCGTCGATTATCATGTGGAACCACTTGATCTTGCTGAGGATCGGGCGGTCCTTGATAATGTACTCGTATGTCGTTAGCAGCACTTGGAATCGACCCTGGCGAATCTTTTCCTGCTGTTGCTTTCGAGCATTCGGCGGGCCCTTGTACACGATCCTGGAGACCGACGGCGCCCACTTCTCAAACTCGAGGTTCCAGTTCGTCAGCGTGCTGAGAGGCACGATGACAAGGTACGGGCCACTCTGCTGCTTCCGCTCAATGAGGTATGTAATCAAGCTGATGGTCTGGATAGTCTTGCCGAGACCCATTTCATCGGCCAGAATACCATTGAGGTTATTGTTGTAAAGCGACAGCATCCACTGGAGGCCCTTGAGCTGGTACTCCTTGAGGGTGCCACCAACAAGAATGTTGGCCTGCTCTGTGACGTCTTCACGGATGCGATGAGCAACCGCGTAGTAGTCAATCTTTTTGCTGCTCTCTTCGTCTTCGTTGTCGCTCTCCTCCTCCACAAAGTTCTCCGTGTCATCGCCGTACGCCTCAGCAGCTTGCCGTTGCTGAGCCTTAACAGAAGACGCAAGCTGGTGCAGGAAACCGTCGGTCTGGCGGAGAAGGTGGGTGATACGGGTATCCTTGGCCTGGTCGAGAAGCTTGAGATACGCCTCTTCGTCGTTGGCCTTGAGGGCCTGAAGACGCTGCTTGGCGGTTCTCTCGATACGCTTTTGCTCCTCCTTCTCGATGTTGAAGTGTTGGGCGTACATGAGGCGGCTGAGCTTGTGGGACTTGGTGCGCTGGGTGTTGGCGGCCTCGTGGATCTCGGAACGGTGATGGCAGATGGCGCGGAGGAAATCGACATGCTTCTTCTTCTCGCGATTCTCGCGGGCATCACGCTGCTGCTTCTCCAGTTTCTCTGTGATGCGAGCCTCGCGGACGTTTTGCTTCTTCATGCGGCGGTACAAGGAGCGGTTGGTGGTCATGGCGAGATTGTCATAGTGCATCATCTGGCGGCCAATCTTGTCACGCAGGGCGCGTTGCTTGGCGTACAGTCCCAGGCCCTTCATCTCGATGATGGCCTTCAGCTTGAGCGACTCGTCCGCCTCAAGCGTCTCCTTTGTCGAGTCCCAATGTGCCAGGTTGGCAGGCAAGTTTTTAAGCTCAGCGTAGCGTTGGCTCATGCGGTTGAACACGACGACTTCTCGCTCGTAACGAAGATGATCAAAGTCAACTCCGGTCGGAAACACGCCAGGGATAAACCACCGGTTCTTTCGCTCGGCGTGGTCCATGTATTTGATGGTCGGCCGAATCATGCTCGTACCGTACGGCGACTTGACCGTCTTGTACGTGTGGGGTTTGGGGAGCGATGAGGACTCGTCTTGCGACGTCGCCTCTGGACCCGCGGTGGGTGGTTTTGAGGGTTCTTGGCCGGGCTGCGTCGTCTTGACCGGTGTCGTCTGGGCCGACTCGGTTGACGCAGCCTGTCTTCGTTGCCGCTGGTTGAAGATGGCTTGTTGCAGCTGGGCAGAAACTCCCGCGTTCTTGGTGAGCAGCTTGAACGCATGGATCTGCTGCCTCAGCAGAGCGAGCTGCTGCTGGCTGAATTGGCTAGACTGGCCCGGCGCGGGGGAGGGCCCGGCGGTGACTGAAGAGTTCTGGCTCGGCGCCGCCGTCGTGCCCTGAGGTGTAGCAATTTGTTGTTGAGACTGCGGCGTTCCTTGTTGAGGCCGCGCAGGCTGCATACCATTAACCGTGCCGTTTGGCCCGTTTGGCATCTGCTGTTGCTGTTGCTGCTGTTGGCGCTGTTGCTGCTGCTGCTGTTGCTGCTGCATAAACTGCTGCTGGTTCCGGCGCATGGAATGCTGCTGTTGGAAGCTCAGCAAGAAATGGGAAGCCTTCATGTACTCGGGGTCGGTGGGAGGGACACCCTGTTCCTTCATCTGCTTCAATTTCTATAGCCCAGTTAGACGCATTGTCGGCAGGCGCAGACGCGACAAGATTGATCTAGCGCGTGTCAAAGAAGCCCAAACTCACCCTGAAAACCTCTTCAGCCTGCTGCTTGGTCGCGCCGGCAGCCATGGGCGCGCCAGGATGCTGCACCGCTGGCGGAGCCTGCACCGACGCCATATTGGGCTGTGTGTGTTTTCTGACACAGTATATACCAGGATACCACCCGAACAGAGATGGAAATTCAGTCTCGGCTTATGTACGGTGCATGTCGAGGAGGGCGCGGGCGAATATCAGAGGTCGTCGCGGCGCGGTTGGAGCGTGGCTGCAGCTCGAGGTCGCGGTAACAAAAACGAGCGTCCAGGAACCGAAAGCGGCAAATTGTCGCGTCGACTGAGGCGGCGATGGAGGGAGCGTCGTCGTTGGGCGTGGGCGGGAAGTGCACGTCGTGGAGGCGCGTCAGGGCCGGGATGCTCGTCGCGCGAAAAGTTGCTGCTGCCGCTGCTACTGCTGGAGTTGCGGCGCCGTGGGGGTAGCACCGCGCCCCAGGGAGGCAAACGGAGGGAGGCAGACAGGGAGCGAGGGATTGAAAAATGTGCAGAGTTGGTGACGCGGGCGCGTCGGGGCGGGAAGCAGGAGCGTGGGCGGGGTGCAAGTCGCGTGCAACGCCAAGTTGGCGAGGATTGGAGATGGCCGCGATGGTTTGCGAGGGACCTGGCGATTTTTTGGGATGCGCGCGCGCTCCTCTGGGCTGCTTGATGATGGGGAGTGGTGAAGACACAACCGACAAGATTCGCCCGTGACGGCTGGTGCGGTTCAGCGGCGCTCTGCCACAGTAAATTTCAGCACGGCCCCTGCGCAGGCAGAATCCCGGCCGTAGCCACTCAGAGCCAGCGCTCGCCCGCGCCCGCGCCCGCACGCGCCCCCTAGGCCACTGTTGAGGGGCGCTGCCTACGGCCGACCGCCGAGCCTGAGGCCGAAAGGGGCTTAGGCTGTTAGGTAAGCGGATAGCTACGACTACCAGTCACGTGAGGCTTTCTCCACCAGGACGCGGTGCCGTAGCAGCGTCTTGCAGCGCGTCTCCAGGGGCCTTGCGACAGGTGCCTGTCGCCTGAGCGTGGTTCCCCCGCTGATCGGATACCTCCCGTCGCAACCTGACCAGAGAGAAGCTCTTGTATCTACCGCTGCTTCGAAGAAGCAAATCCGTTCCGTCCGAGTCCTCATGGAAACCCACGCATCGGCCAAATCAGTCCTCGTCCGCCCATCGAGGAAGTTCTGTTGCTCCCGTTCCTGTCCGACTGCATCAGTTGCCATGATCGCGGTTGTGGGCATGCATTATATTGTAGCTTCTTACTTTGTAGACGTGATAAATCTTGGAATAATGCGGCCTCGTTGACCGCGTCCGTGAGGAATGGATGCCAAAGTATGGTACTTTACCGCACCGTGACTCATCACCGCTTCACCTTCTTCTTGTCTGGCTCTGCGTCCTCGTCACTGAGCTCCGCGTACTGAGTCTGCGGTTGCGTTTTGCTCCAGGCCTTGGTGAACATGGGGTCGTTCTGAGCTTTGTCTGCGTATTTGAGCAGCGCCTCGCGTGGGTCCTCGTGCAACATTCGAGCTAGGGGGATATTCTCAGCAACATGCTTCTCGTCCGGCTGTGACTTTTGGAATGGTGTCTGCTGTGGGATATGAGGCCGCATGGGATCCTTGGAGCGCCCTGTGCTCGTGACGCCAGCCTTTCGCGAGCCCGCCAGGCTGCCAGGAGTCACAATGGCGTCTCCTGAGATACCAACGGACTGGTCCATGGTAAACTCTGGATTGTCGTCGATGTGGCGCTTCTTTGGTGCCTTGGACATAACCTCGACCGCTCCTCGACTCGACATCGTTGGATTGTAAAGGACGTGTGTCTCGGCATTGGCCGAGCCTGTGATGATCTGGTTGATTTTCGGATGCCAATCAACAGCAATCAGAGCGGAACCTGGCGTGATCGGAGTGACGTGTTCAGCACGGAGATTGCCCGGGTTGAGGATATGGAGGTGGCCCGTCGTTGATCCAGTGATGATGCTGGTTGAGTTGGGCGCATAGCGGATGTTGCTCGTCGGATAGTGGTCGGAAGTCGAGAGATGCGAGACAGACACCAGCGGCTTGGTGAACTTGCGTGTGTCCCAGAGCTTGATCAAGTCGTCTCCGCCTCTGGTAACGACCATGCGACCGTCGGAAGAAACATCGATGCCCCCAGTCCAAGTCTGGGACTTGTGCGCATCGCGGATTTCTCCTGCCGGCCTTGAAAACGGACCGTTGCCGCTGTACAGGACCAATGTCCCGTCGAGGGCCGCAGCGACCAGAACATTGCTTCCGCCCGAAGCGGCTGCACCCCACGCAACGGCGGTCATCTTTGTTCGACCGGCCGATCCAGCAGCCTTTGACTTGAAGACAACAACCTCCTTCTGCGAGCGCTTGTTGTTGACATCCCAGATTCGCAAGGTACTGTCTGTACCAGCGGTGACACAGAGATTCCTGTCTGCCGGGTGCCATGTGCCCGTGGTTATCTCGGAAATGTGACCTTTTGTATTGTGCATGTCCCGGAGATACATGTCGCCCTTGACGAACTCGGTCAAGATGTCTCCGTCGCGCGACAAGATCTTGGCTTGCGGATGTGCCGACACGCAGAGGAAAGCACTGCCAGAGAGCGGGTTGAACTCGACATGGTGCACGGGGTGCGACTCCGAAGAGGCTGCTGAGCGCTTCGACTCATAGGCATCGATCGTTCTGAACGCCCGCAGCGTTGTCGGCGTCATGGACGCAAAGTCGTGAAGATTGATGTTGCAGTCGAGCGAGGCGGTGGCCAATCGTCCTCCAGCGGGGTCCAGGGCGACAGTGGTCACGGCCCGGGTTTGTGTTTTCAACACCAGCTCATGCGATACGGGGAACTCGTCCTCGTCATCACCGCCATCGGATGACCCAGAATCATCGCTGTCGCTCGAGCCCGAGTTGGCGCCAGGCTCGGTTCTGCGATTGCTTCCGTCTTGTATGGCCGTTTGGGCTGCTGGCGCTTTGTCTACAACGCGCTTGCTGCGGTCGATTTGGGCGGCAATGTTGGCCTCTCGGGTCTGCTTTCCAAAGGCGGTGGGCAAGAACGCCCTCATCGGATCGTCGGCCGACAGCTCGGGGACCTCGACGTCGAAATCGTCGTCGCTCGCCATGGTGGGAGGGCGAGGCTGGACGAGCGGAGAAGTGCGAAAGGAGGGATTAAGGAGGGAAGAGGACGGACTGCTGAAGGAGGGGAGGGGAGAAAAGTTATTAGCATCCTGCTGGGCTAACTTTTGGGATATTACTGCTCGCCGGCTCCAGCCAGGCAGTCCCGGTGACTAAGCTCCGCATTCGACCACCAAACCACGGAACCTCATTGACGTTTTACTCACCCGCTATAGACGCCTCAAAGTCGTGCTGGACGCAGTGTCTTGCTGGTGGCGGGCCAGTGGTTTGCATTCAAATCTCTCTTGCGCCTCTTTCCCTGAAACACTACGCTCCTGGGTGGGAGAGACCGACCCTGAGAAACACCAGCGGAATCATGCTCCAACACCCCTGTGATTGTGGCCCCTGAAGGCAGAGTCGACGGGCGGCTCCCCTGATAGGTAAGGGTTTGTTTGTGCTCGTGCTCGTGACGGTTGGGACAAACATGCGGCGACAAGCCTTGAGGGGAATTGGGACGTGGCGCCACAGCCACGGGTAATGACCGCCAACTAAATCCACAAACAAGCGGCTGTGTTGTCACCAGACTTGGCCAAGAACTCGGCACTTTCCGGGGTACCACGCAGGCACCCCCGGTGATGGAACCCATTTCGCTCCAAATTGAAGGCCTTCTCGGGTATCCGTCACCCGTAGCTATATTTGTAGTGATTGTCCTCGACATGTCATGGGACGGCGAGGAGTGGACGAAATGTAGACAACGGATGCCTTTCACAGTACAGCTACCTCAAGGTTCCCGTTCCCTAGATGGGGGCATCGCAGACAGGCGAGTTCAACGCGTGCGCGCAGGTCGGGCAGCATGTCCAGTGTGAGACCGCGAGAGGGATGGCAGCTAGGATTCTCACTGCCACGGTAACATGTGCCCACACCCAGGACATCCTTTCTCAATGAATATACATATTCTCGTAGGTTTCGCGCGGATCCTCAGGAAGTGCTCGACGAGCTTTGTCCAGTCGTTTTTCCAAGTCGAGAAACTTTTCTCGCTGAGCTTTCGTCTCCCAAATCCCGAAGCAATTAAGTTACCATCAACAGGAAGGCATCACGTTGTAGTGGTAGCCTATTGGTTGTTCACCGAAGACCTTCCCCACACACCGAGAACGGCACTGCACTGGTACCTGTCGCGCTAAACGCGACAAATTGCCCGCTCTCACTACCGAAACGAAACAGCATCAGGAACAACGATGTCGCCAGATCCTTCAATAGACGCCGAAGATGAGCCTTATGCCTCCGAGGAGGACTCCGACTTTGCGCCGGATGAGGCACAGGGTCCTGCCTCGGAGAACTCGGGCAGCGACGACGACACCCCCAACGAGAAAGCCAAGAAACGGAGCGCGGACAGTGGCGGCGATGATGGGTACGACAACTCTGGCGACGAGGCCATCATATCGAAAGGCCGCAAACGCCAAAGGCGAGCAAAGAACAAGGGCGAGGCCTCAGACGACGAAGCGGGCGGCGAGGGAGGTCTTGTCAAGACCAGACGGCAGCGCGCCGAGGAGTAAGAACCTGATCGTGCTCTTCATCCAAAGGCTATGCACTGACAGCCATAAAGGAAAGAAGAACGCAAGTACGCAGCGGCCCAAGGGCCTGTCACTATTGATGTCGATGCCGTGTGGCAACAGATGATGTCGGGCAAAGCCGTCCAACCAGCCACCACGACGACCGGCGAGCCCGACGATTCGAAAGTGGACTCCCACGGGGCTGCTGGCGATATCCAAGATACTCAGCGCGATGGAGATTCATCAGATACGATACGAATAAAGCGTACATACAACTTCGCTGGGCGCGTCCACACGGAAGAAAAGGTTGTCGCCCGTGACTCCGCCGAAGCGAAGCTCTACCTCGCCTCCCAAGGCCAAGACGCCGCCCCGCTCGATGTTTCGCCCACCAAGCGCGCGACGAAGAAGGCCTTTCGTTCAGCGTTTGAGCCTATTGTCGACGCTGGTCCGGGACGCACCGATCTAAACCTCGGAGTGACAGCCAGACTCCAGGCTGCCAAGGAGGCTCAGGCGAAGAAGCTCAACACGGTGGAGAAAAGTCGCATGGACTGGGCAGGTTTCGTCGACAAGGAGGGCATACAGGACGAGCTCGAGTTGGCAAGCAAGTCGAAGGGCTCGTATGGCGCGCGGGAGGCGTTTCTGGCGCGGAGCGAGGCGATCAGAGAGGACGAGGCGAGAAGGGCAAGGATGGCCGCGAGGGCATGATGGGATCGCATTACGGTTATTGGCGTTTCGGACGATACCACGGACAGCCTGGATTTCAATTGTGTACAATATCAAGATTATCTCGAGCGAACGCAGACGAGCTGCCTGGAATTGAGCTACAGTTCACCAGCCACAAATGCCGACTTCGCCATTTGTGAGCAGGGGGGGGAGATCTCCCTAGCAATTTAGACAACATATGATTTAGAATATGTTCCAATCTCATTCAAATATGTACATGTCGAGACATAGAGTGCTTTGTCGCATTCACAGGCCTGATCCTGCAGTGTGCGCTGGCCATGCATAGTGGGACCCAGACGTCAGCCATGCGACCCTGGATCCCACCCCAGAAAAAAAGTTGGCCGTCGCCCGTCCTCCCACCCCTCAACGCAACTTTTCTTCAGCATCTCGTCGAGAACCCTCCCACGATGACCGTTCTCGGCAAGCGCAAGGCCCCCGAGCCGCCGGTCTCGCGGGAAGACGCGAACGAAATCTTCAGACGGCATTTCGAGTCGCGGTTCGCCCCCATAGAGGTCGAGAAGCGGCCGGTCGCCGACGATGATGGCGAAGACGAGGTCGACGACGGCGACGATGATAGCGATGACGAGGCAGGCCCACGGCGGCCACGGCGCAGCGCAGGCAGCGACGATGATGAAGCAGAGTGGGGAGGTCTGTCGGATGACGAGATTTCGGACGATGAGGACGGTACGGTTACAGGTTTCGCGTTGTGGGAGCATGGACTGACGGCTGCGCAGACGTCCCGACTGTGGAGGTAGTAGATCACTCGAGCTCGCAAACCCCGAAAGCGACTTCCATGTCTAAACGCGAACTCAAAGCTTTCATGGTATGCACCCCTCTGCCTCAGAAACTCCCCTGTTGTCCCCCACCAGCCGCTAAGGACTTCTCCCAGTCCTCTCGACCGCCCGACCAGGCCGACCGGACCCAGCTCCAATCCGCACAGCCATCCGCAAACTCCTCCAACGCACTGCCCGAGGATGCCCCCTCGCTCCTCGCGCAGGACCTCGAGCTCCGCCGCCTCCTCGCCGAATCGCACCTCCTCTCTCGCAACACCCAGCCCTTGACGTCGCTCTCAGCCAACACCGTCGAGCCCAAGGCCTTTGCTGCGGGCCGCACTCGCCAGCGCGCCACCGACATGCGCATCCAGGCCCTCGGCTCCGCCCTCTCCATCCACAAGCAGGAGAAGATGCCCATGAAGATGCGCAAGGGCATGGTCGCTGCCGCTGACGCCCGCGAGGCCAAGCGCAGGCGCGAGGCCAGGGAGAACGGCGTCATTCTTGAGCGGGACACCTCCGGTAAGGGCAAGGGCAGGAGGAGGGATCGCGGGAGGGATGCGGCCGTAGATCGACCGGGCGTGGGGAGGTTCAAGGGCGCGGAGCTGAGGCTGAGCGAGCACGATGTCAAGAGGATTGAAGGCGGGAGGGACACATTTGGCAGAAGATCAAAGAGGTGATCCGACGTAGGATCTGGCCTCCACTATGTTTTGACGCTCACGAAGCGAGTTATGGCGTGATGGGCGTTGTCCAATTCCAAAGCCAGAGTCACATGGCAGTCTCGCACAGGGACCAAAAATGATGGAATATATCGGTTTATTCATTACCCATAATCCATCGAACTATAGTGTCAAGATTCACACCCAATGATCCTGTCCGTCATCTTCTCGAGTTAAAGCAGGTAAATGTACAAAATGCGTTGTTCGCACCTCGCGTCAGCGACGGATCTCCTTCTCCTCCTCCCATCCGGCGGCTTGGTAGCATGTCTTGATGCTCCACGGCCGACCGTGCGGACATGTATCTATACGGCTCCTCTCAGACTTTTCTGCTGCGGGACAGACGCTTCCCTACGACTAATTGACGCGGAAGGTGAAAGAAATGTAGGAACATAGTGGAAAACAGTTACAGGCGGTGGCTGCGGGTGCCTGATCCCAGTAGATGCTGCGCAGATGAGTAACGAGCAGTAGGGTAACCAAAGAAAACAAGTCATGGCAACTTCAATCTTGTCACATCATGCCGTTGATCGTGGCCGGCTGGCTGATTGTCATGGGCATGCTGAGCGTTTGCAGGCTGTTGAACGTCTGCCCCATGGTCGTTTGCGAATGCCCGTTATTTGAGGCGCTCGCCTCGCTGGCGGCAGCATTCGCAGCCGAGTTGAGGGAGCCAGGAGCATACGCCATTTCTGACGTTGGCGATGCTTCCTCGAGAGAGCCCAGCTGATCTTCACCAGACAGCTCCTCTTCTTCCTCGGCTGACATGTTGAACGAGCCGTCTCCGCCATCTTCGCGACTGTGGGTACGCTTGTGTCTGTGGAAAGTGAAGAGTCAGCACGCACTGTCCCGTATGCAAGGCCTCTCTTCACAAGCTTTTGGATGCTGCGGGGGGTCAAAAGGCGGTGGTGGGATAGCCAAGGGGAAGGACAAAGGAGAAAGACGTCAAGGAGAATAGGGTGCATACTGTGCAAGATTGTCCGATCTGGAGAATGCTTTGCTACAATGAGGGCAGATGTAGGGCTTTTCTTGTGTGTGTGTTCTCACGTGTCTGTGTTTTCAGTCAGATTTCGACATCGTAGGTGAATAATGCTGACAAAAGAAAAATAGTATTGATTCGTACCGCTTCAGGTGCTCGAGACGCTTGAACAAGCGTCCGCACGTGGGAATTGGGCAGGAGTGAGACTTGTGAGGGTATGGGCCGAGCTCCATGACGGTTGCCGAGCGAGCACGGCGAACCACGCCGTTGGGCCCGGAGAGGGTGCGGCGGTGGTCCTTGAACGAACCGTCGCCGCCGTAGTCTTCCGCAGAGACTTGGGCATACTCCTGCTGCATGGACATTGGGTTCAGGGCGGGGCTGCCGTCGACGGTGGACAGGGGCGTGCCGTGGCGAGACATGTCCACAACGTCCTTGTGGTGATGGCTCGCCATGGAAGCACCCGATGCACTGTATGACAGGCCAGGGGGCGAGTTGTTGGCCGACTCCTCGCCCTCGGCGACCGGGCCAACTGAGGCTGAGACCGACCTCCTGAGGTCGGACGGGCGGTGAGCGGCGGTGGGATGCGAAACTGGAGGCGCGGCCATGGCCGACATTGATGGCGGGATGGATGAACGCCGTCTCCTCTGCTTATACGTCGGCGAGCCTTCGATCACAGAGTAGACGTTGTTTGACCCGTACGGTCGGTTGAACTGGGACCCAGCCAAGTTGGAGGGAGGAAGCTGGACCATGCCGTTCAAACCGTTCATGTTCGACATGTGGTCAGGGATGGCAGAGTATAAGCCCGTCTCCTCATTGGCGATGTAGGCGGGTTCGCCAGCCATGCCCAGGGCCTGCTGCGGCGGCGTGATGGGCTCGAAGGAGATGCCTCGGTTGCTGTAGTCTTCATACTGGGACGAGACAAACGAAGGGGCGGGCGAATACTCCAATCCGTAGGCCGGCATTGACGCGTGACGCTGGTGGCCGTGCGTGATGGGCACGCCGTTCTGGTTGTACTGGACGCGCGTGAAGTCAGGGTCCCTCTTGACGGGCTGAACCTGCTGGGGCACAGCGGCCGTCATGGGCATCGAATCGTAGGGCACCATCGCGTCCATCCCCTCGGCTAAAGGGGCCATCGACTGCGGCATCATGCTAGGGGGCGGCATCGAATCCATGGCCCGCATGACCGGCGAGGTGGACTGGCTCTGAGAAAAAGACGCTTGTTGGGCGTTGAACGAGGACGAATTGGCTTGTTGCGTTTTGGTGAGCTGCTCGTAGAGCGACTGCGACGAATCGTACTGAAATGACAGGGCAGGCTCGCTGACGGCAACTGTGGTCGCCTCCTGGCCCATCTTCTCGCGCTTCAGGTCACGCTCCAGGGCATCCAAGAAGAGGCGGTCGTGCGGTACGCTGTACCAGTAGAAGACCTTTTGCTTCTTCTGGGTGCGAATGCAGTTATTCTTGTAGAGGAAGTCGAGGAAGGCGCTCTTGGGTTCCTCCAGGGAGGCGTCGGTTCCCGACTTGAGGTTTCGCAGGTCCGAGAAGATGCCCTCCTCGAACTTTTTCGAGTTCTTGACAGGGCGGCCGAAGGCCTGGAATCTGAAGGACAGGCATCGCACAATGTCGGTGCCGGAAATGTGGAAGAGATTGTTCCAAAGGACGCAGGAAACGTATTCGCCGGTGGGGAGGAGGAACCGCCGAATGTATTGGTCGGGCTGCCAGTCGACGGGGGCGGAAATGAGGAAGTATTTGAGGTTGTCGACCTGTTGCAGGGCGACCTGAGCATCGTGCGGCAATGCCTGCTGCGCTTCGGTGCTCAGCATGAAAGTCTCTGGCTTCTGGGGCGCCATGGTCGCGTGCTGCGAATACATGATGGGCGTCGTCCTCCGGCGGAGGTTGGAGCGGAGGCGTGGCCCCGGAAGTCGAGTCGGCGAGACGGGCGTCGGTGGGCTTAGACGGGACCACGGAGAGAGGCCGGTGGGATCGTCCGCGGCGGGCACACTCTCGTGCTGGATTTCGCCGCTGACGAGGGACGGCAGCGAACCGGAGCTATCCGTGCCGACTACTCGCAGTGGAAGAGGGTGGTGGTGACAAGGCGCTGCCTCAGGTGCTGTAAAGGTGTGGTGAAGACGCGTCTGCAAAGGCCGACGGCGGAGGTGCGAGAAAATGTTTCGAGACCAGCCCGGGGTTACGGAATTGTCGCACACAGCAATGGCAAGGCCCAACAACTGCGTCTAGCGAGTGGTGGGAGAGATCGAGTCGGAGCGTGGTGTTGGCCGTCGAGGCGCAGCAGGCTCGATACAGACGAGGCTGGCGAGGGGGCGACGCAGCGTGAGCTTCGCGCGCTTTCGGGAAGATCCACGGGGACCGAGACGAATTAAACGAGTCAAAGAAAAAAGCGAAGGAAAAAACGACGCGACCGTGACCAAGCCCGACGAGTTAGCAGCCCAGTCACACACAGACAGCCAGCTGATTTGGGTTGAAGGGCGGGCGGGAGGTCGAGCGGGCGAGGCGAGGCGGAGGCTGGGACGCGGCGCGCGAAGACGTCGTGGCTCGCGAAGGGAAAGAGAAAGGAAACAAGCACCAGATGGCGTACGGCTCCGAAAGGGAAGAAACGGGGGCCGGAGGGGGGTTGGGAGAAAGAGAAATAAAAGAAGAGATTTCAGAATCACAACGGGACAATGGGCGGCTCGGGGGGCTGCTGGGGTTTAATGAGGGCTGCAGTCGTGGCGCTGGGGGAGCGGGAACGAGCGCCTGTGCCCGGAGGAGGGGGAGGTTCGGGTTGGGCGAGACCTGAGCGCGCTCGCAGCATCAGCACCAGCAGCCAGGGGACGAGCGGGAGGGAGGGAGTGGAGGGACAGTGGATGGTGCCCTGGGCTGGCCGCTCGCTTGCAGCCAGCCCGGGCAGGTATCTCCCCTCCCCTCCCGTCTGGCCAGGTACGAGGCGCCTCGTCCAACCCTGCCCGTCGAAGAGGTGCCCGGTTGCTGGACTCGCTCACCCGCCCGCTCGCTCCCCGTCAATTGGCACCCTCGGGCGACGACTCAGCGCCGCTCCATCCATGGATCCCACACCGTCACGGTCGCAAACGCAGCGGGCGTCCATGGATCTCTGAGCCGCCTTGGCCCAGGAGCCTTTTCCTCCTTCGCTCGCCCACCTCGCTCGACCGGTCCCCGTCGTTGAAAATGCCGCTGCGTGTCCTCGTCCCAACAACACCACCGCCTCTGCGGAAAACTCGAAGTCGTTTCTCCATCGTTGCTGCAAGCTCCACGCACGGGTACTTTTCCATCCATGCAAAGCATTCGGACCTCATCAATCCACCTCTGTGCTGGTACCTGACCGTACCTGACGCTATTTCTGCCAGCTTGGTCCACCCACCGGTCCCACCGTTCAGTCGCTCTGCGTCCTCACGGCAGGCGGGCGGAACCACGACTCGCTCTGTGCCTCCTCGTCGACGCTCCGCGTCCCCTTGGCCAGGGATGCCCCTTGGGTGGAGTGGGGATGTGAGCGACCAAGGTGGTGGTGGTGGGTCGGTCGTCTCAATGCCTTCTCGACTCGTTCTGCCGCAATCCGGCCCTGGATCGTGGGTCGAGCAGGCGAGCTGTGGCTCGCTGGCCTGGCTCGCTGGCGTGCAGTCGGCCGCAGGTGGTGGCGCCGCACTGTCGTCCATGCCGCAGCCACCCACCACCACCTCAACTCGTCGCCCACGTCCACGCTCGTCGCTCTGCTCCACATCCTGCCACCTGTACGCTGCGCCACGGGCCCCGCGACGATGCCTGCGACAGCGACGATAGCCGTCTGTGGGACACCATCGGCCGCTGGCTGAGCACAGACGAAGGTGCAGGCGCACAGAGGCTCGCGAGTCACACTACGTACCTAACCATAAATCATCACCACCCTGAGCTTCCTGGATAGCGTCCGTCAACCGCAACGGCGGCGAAGAGGCTATCGACGCTCGTTCCCCCTTGCCCCCGGCTAGCCGCACGCCCCCGGCCTGTGGCATCGGAGCAGACTGACTGACTGGGCAAGGCCCAGCTCCTCGCGAGACGCAGCAACACCACCGTGACGGTTCTCGCCAACCATGTGCCCTTGCCTTAGCCTGCGCTCGTGCCTGTGCCTGTGTGTCTGGGGCGCGACCTCGCCGTCTCCCCATCGCCGAAATCGTGCTCCTCGCCTGTCTCCAGTCAGTCTCCAGTCGGGCGCTGTGAGATGCATGACAGCTGCGAGAAGCCTTGGACACATGGCGGTTGTTGAGACGACGGCACGACCAATCCCCTCGAGCCATGTCCCTGTGCACTTGCTGCAAGCCAGGCACGGCGGGCAGACGACTGGTCAAGAGCAAGGCTGGCCGGGCCTGTTGGTGACCCAAGCGTGGGCTGCTGGCGCACCGCGATTGCGTGTGACCTGCACCCATCACTCACAGCCGTCGATTTGACAAGAATAAACTGCTGCGCGGAGAGACCCCGGTCCTGCAGCATGATTCACCCACAGCCACCCAGCCATCTTGCCTGCGAGTCCAAGCCGAGTGCTCGACGGCATGGGGGGCGCGGGCGAGCCCTCGTCTCCGGCGACCGTGCCCGCTCGCAATCATCCGCCAACACAAGCGACAGCTGCGACTGGTCGTCGGATGCTGTTTTGATTACAACCAGAGACACGGGCACTACTAAGCCAACGTTGCCAACAAGGCACGGCCAAATGTCCCCTCGCGGGTGTCCTCCAGGAGAGGGGGCTCCGTCGGGCACAGCTGTGATCCTGGGGAAAGCATCCGACCGCTCCGGCCGCGACATGACACTATGGGCTAACTGACCACTAACTGGTCGCGAGAGATTGATAAGTCATGTTCTTCCTCCCGTTCCCAAATTAATTTACGCCGGCACCACGCTCCGCTCGCCTACAACCGTGTGCTTCGTATGTAAGCTACCTGGAAGTGCTGTCCAGTGCCGTACGAAGTACGGATACCTCGCGTCAATTCGACCTCGATGTCCGGACAGGCCAGTATGTGTGTGCCAGCTTCTGCTCAGACCACCTCACTCCCCGCCTAAGTCAGAGGGTGAATGGGGACCACCCAGCCCCGTCACCAATGGGCGGACCAGACGATAGAGGCCCGGGAGACGGGAGCATGCAGTGGGATTCGTTCTTGGAATGCATTCGTAGCTGTGCTCATCCGTTCGTGCTTTCCTCCACAGCGTCCTGCTGGAGTGTATCTTTTTGTCGTACGAGGAAAGCGCCAGAGACATGAGGAGAGGGTTGTCCACCTGCTTGCTCGTCCTCACGCGGCTTTTCGCGACATTTTTCTCTCTGACCTCGAGATGATTCTCCTTGCCATACATGGCACGCGTCTGGTGGGCACGCGCTCGCTATCCCGCTCCCTCGCCTCCTCGTTCCTCGCAACCAGACGGCGCCTGGCTGTGCGACCTTGGCCCGTCCCGTGCTACCTTCGTCTCCATGACCCAACCGCACCGTGAAAATAGGTCCACCTCCCTCTCTCGATGCTTTTTTTACCACGCGTCGAAAGATGGGCCCGAGGGCACGGCCAAGCCAATTGTGGTGCCCGGTGGGTGAGTGGCTCAACTGGCTCCATGCCAGGCGCAGACATCCCGGCATGTCTGGGACTTGACGGAGGGACTGCTCAAGGTGAAACAAGCCTGCTGCAATGCTTCAGATGCGTTTTCTTGTGCCAGAGTTGGGCGCTAACAACACTCGCTCTCCCACTGGTCGCCTCAGCGTTCTGCACCCCTCCATCCCCACACACCATTGCATGGGCTTGTGAGGAAGTGTGAGGCGGCTCCCGACGCCCTCGCAAGACTTGGCCGGCGAGTGCGCCAGGAACACACCAAGTCCGGCTTTCAAAGGCCGCAATCGAGTGGATCGTCCGTGTTCCATGCATCGCCATTCTGTACCGTTCGGGATAGTAGCTTTCTTTAGCCATTGAAGGATGAGGGGTCACGAGGCCGAGCCCGCATGCACCAGCTTGAACAGATCCGGTAGCGACTGCGGCTTTGCGTGCCATCGCGTCTACGGTTATTGCGTCGCGCGCTCCATCTACCGTGCTACCGACAACTACTGGACCAGGCCATCCCAAATCTTGGCCGCTTGTTTGTGTCGATTTTCTGGTGCTGACGGCAAATACAGCCACCACTATGTGGTTGTAGGGTAGGCTGTGGGTCGCAGAAATGTCCAGGTCAACGGCTCGCGGCTAACGCCGTGGTACAGAATCGCGTCCAGGTGCGCCATGGCAAGTCAGGTGCGTCGATGGTTGTGGATACTACAAAAACAACCAGAAAAGGGCTATCTGAAACAGCACGAGCTTCTGCATGATCGTCCCGCCCGCTCGGTCAAGTTGGGCATTCCCATCTGTGTTTGGAGGACAGGAATCCGCAAGGGAACGGCTCCGGTAAGCGGACCGTCTCGCACGAAAGTGTCCAACTGCGGTCCTCGTCCCTCACCGTTGACGGGATCTTCAGGCCCCGGCCCCGGGGGCTAGTGTCCGCAAGGAACGGTGCGCACAGTCGAAGCAGGCGCAACGGCTCGCGGTGAGACTGTCTGCACGACCCCTTTGCAATTTAAAATGCGCCCCTCTCACCACGCCAGAAGACGACTGAGCGTCCTCTAGGCCGGCGGCACGGATCCGAGGCCACGATCCGTCAGATGTGACGCGATGCGATGCGAGTCCACAGCCCGGACAGGTGCCGACGCGACCGTGCTTTGAGATAGGCGGCATTGATATTCCCAGAAGAGGCGCGCACGCCTCTCGATCGTGCGTGCGGCCTCGAGGGCGCGCGATGGCATGAATGCGCGACACTGGCGAGCCTGCGGGAAGCAGGCTGATACGGACCAATCACAAGCCGGCAGCCGTGTTTCAGCAGTTCACCGTGGGCCCAAAATTAGGGTAAGCTTAAGCTGAGGGGGCCAATCACAGGCCTGAGGAGCTCCCCTGCAAGCGACGACAGGTCACTTCGGCGCCCTGGGCAACCGTCGACCCCTGGCGATTGGGCCTCGGGCTCTCCTCGTCCGTTGCTTTGCTCTCTCGGCCGGCGGTTATTCTTGGCCATGCCATGACGAGCGTGTTTCTGGGCGACGATCGCAGACGGATCCGCCAAGAATAGCAGCTTCTTGATATAGTCGTCGGCGCCTACATGGTCTTGTCCTGGATGTGTCTTGCAGTCTGTGCAATCGAACTGACGCTGATTGTTTTAGTCGCCGGCCTCCCGCTCAAGACCACCTTGGTGCGCACGAAGACGGGTTTGTTTCGCGGGAAATTCGGGCTATAGGTGCAGGAATGGGAACGTCGCTGCTCATTTGCAGCGCCTACTAACGTAGTTGCGCCACCGCTTCTCGCCGCTGGACACGGCCCAAGTCCATGCTCTCGTTCCATGTTGCTGCGGAGGCTCACCTCGCAGCCTGGGCCGGAGCCTCATGCGACTGACAAGCCTCGCTGCGCCATTGCGTCGAGGAGACGGGTTTGCTGGCCAGCCTTGCATTTGCAGGACTCGGAGAGATCGGTCTGGACGCTGGAAGTGCATAGCCGGTCCCGCTGTCGCCAAGGCACGTCCCCGTCATGATGCTGCTCTAAACTACATCGCGCATCGTGGTCCGTCAGCGAGGCTGATACCAACTGAGGAACCTGAAACAAAACACCATGCCTTGAGGCGCGAAACATAGCCGGGCGCACTGGTCCTCCACCGTGACCCGCCCTTGCCGACGCGATGGCGCCGAAGCCATCGTTGGCGTTAGCACCCGGCCGTTAAGACCCCATTGCTCTCCAAGTCCCGGCAGCTGATCAGCGCACTAAGCTTCAGGAACCAGGAACCGGAGACAGGCCGCATCGGCTGCCACCCTTGCTTACTACATGTGGCGCCCCCCCGGACCGAAGAGCGTGGTGACTGACAGCTCTCTCCCTCCTAGCCTGCAAACCAGTCCGTCAGTCGACGCTCTCCTCCCTGCAGAAGCCGAAACCTCGTTCTCTGGACTTCGTGGGGTCATGAAACGACCCCAGCCATGTGCGTAGAAGCCATAACGGCGGACTAAGAGCCCGAATAGTCAACCTCATTGCCCGGCTGTAACCCACGGGTTGTCGGGCATGACCCGATTCGGGGTCTTGCTCGTCCAAAGTGCCAACTGTTTCACGCTTTTGACAAGCCGGCTGACACAGGGTGAAGATCTCGCGCCTGGGCGACAGCCTAGTTTGCACAGCTTGCTACCCTCGATCGGCCGAAGGCAGAGCTCTGCGGCGGTAGATGGCATACTTTTTGGAAATGTCCTTGCCGCCGGCGCATCCTTCAGCCTCTCGACTCATGGCTGCCCCGCGCGGCGCTCGTATTTGCCTGCACGTCTCCATCCACCTCCCCGACTTGTGCCCAGCCATGCCGCATCGTAACTACTGATCGACTTGCGCCCTGAGCTGCTCTGCGGCTTGTGGTGGACCGGTCTTGTGGCGGATAGAGCCATCGCGAATCCTGATACCGAGTGTTGAAACGATGCTAACTCATTCTTGACGAACAGAGCTGAGCGGAGCGGCTTGAAGCCAGCCGGACTTGGTGGTTCGGGACAAGGCGTAAGTGTTTCATGTCGTGGCCTGAGCGGTCACTGTCCATCTGATGCTGCCAAGCGTCAGCCCGAAGAACCGGGAAGTCTTGGTGGCTGAATTCTGCCAACCTCCTCGTGCGGATACCCACGCACATCTACCGGGTCGGGCCCTGGATAGACTATCGTGGTTCGGGCGTCAACTTAACCGCCGTCGCCCCTTCCCGTGATCCGCCACGTCTCAGTTTATCGCAGAGGTTGCCTCCGGCCTGGTAACTGGACAATACAGCCTGCGGGGCTGGTTGCCCAAGTCACTCGATGCGCGAGCTGCACCTGTCTATCTCAAAGCCTTCTAGGAGGATACTCTGCGATGATTCCACAGCCTCTTCCACAAAGCCGCTTGTGGCTTCGTTCCCCCCCTTCTGAACCTGAAACCGCGCAGTCTCGCTCTGTTCAAGTCTTTGACGCCCAGCAATGGAACCCCTGTCCCTGCCGCATAAACCGCTCTGGTGCGCTCCACGTCGTACTGGCCAGTCTGATGTCGAATTCGACCTCGGCAGGGCTCGCCACAGACACGGAGTTTGCTCTTGTACCGTCGATTTGCAAACATGGTAGCGTACTAGCTTTCTCTCAATTGCGAGCTCGCTTTGTATACCGGCACTTGACGCCAGTTGATGCCGGATGTAACGACCACTGTCCACTGGGCGCAACCGTCTGGCCGCCTCCACTGCCTGCCTCAGGATGGGGACGACATTGCTCCTGCTGAAGGGCTGCGGAAGGAACCAACGGGGGGCGGGAAACCCCGGCCGTTGCATTGGTAATGCGGAGAAAAGTCCGACTGGCAGGAGGCATAGCCTTGGCCCTGCTGCGTGTGTTTGATCGTCTGCGCCGGGTGATCGTGCGCACAATGCGGTCGTCGGATCGACGAAGGGGTTTGCCGCTGCGTCCGTCTTGCCTGCTAGCCTGCTTGCCTGCCCGCCGGCGGCCAGCGATTCTGGACCAAAGGCCCCGGCGGTCTCCGGTCTAGAGCCCGACTGCGTGATGAGGGCTCAGTCTCATCCCAAGTGATGGGAGTTGAGGCAGCGTGATCTTCTCTCCACTGGGCCAGTCAGACACACACGGATACGGGCCTGCTGCCTGGCAAGAGCCGCTGTCTCAGAAATATGAATGCCGCTATTATGCTCTACTGCAAACTATGGAGGACCTTGTAAAGGCAGCTTTGTCAGAATCTATGTTGTGCGTGGTCGTGGTCGTGGTCGAGAGAGCAGGCACCTGAAGCGGTGGTCCACGATTTGCTATCCTCTTCGTTTCCCAAACGAAACCTTATTGCGCGCCCATGGGTGTGATACATTGCATCACAGCAAACAACCTTGCGCGTTCAAATGTACTCAACGGGATGGATTGTCGTCGAAGGGTGGCGTGCTGCCCTTCATTCGCTGCCGAGCCAGTCCCGGAGGGCCAGCCTAACATCCGCGGCGGAGGCCTGCGTTTTCCCCGTGCGCACACACATTCGAGCGCTGCCATGTGTCATGTTCGGCCTCCGACTGACGACGCCAGCCATTCTCACGGCTGACTGAGCTCCCAGGGGCCTTGGGCAAGGAGGAGGAGGAGGGAAAAAGGGGGGGAGGCGTTGTGTCGCGCGAAAGCCTATCAACGCCGACATGTGCTGACTTGCCCCTCGCGGGGATGCCGTGGTCGTGAATGAGGGGAGCAGGGAGAGAGGGACAGGGTCTCTCCCTTCTCCCGGGACGTGACGATACAACATGGGTAGTGCTCGTTGGCTTTTGGTCGGACCACTAGATATAACGGGGCGGGGGGTGACCATGTCGTTATCGTCGCCAGTCGTCAGAGTGTTGGTCGGTTCAGCTTGCTGCTGCTGATGTTGATACTGCTGACACTGTTGGCTGGCTTGGCTTAGCTGGTTGGTTGGTTGGCTTGGTGTCATGTCTTTTGGCCGCAGTGGCTGAGTCGTGCCGTGTTGGCAACGGGGCGCGATGGGAGAGTGAGCCCTAGGCAGATGCTATTCCCGGTTGAGACAGTCATGCTGGGTGGCATGATGCTTCTCAGTTGCGTCACCGAGTCGAGCGAAACACGCAATGAACAGACGCGAAGCAGAGCAGAACAAGGTACCGGCGTGAACACGACAGAACGCCGATGAGAGTTGCCTGCCCATCCTCCTTGGTGCTCCCGACACGATCGATATACAGAGTAGTTTCGATACAACACGGCTACATCATCATCACTTTGCGTCGATATCCTCGTTGCCATCCTGGCCCCTGGACTTGCTTCCCCCCAAATCCCCGTTTCCCGTTCCCCGTTCCCCCGCAGCCACACATACTCCAAGAGTCGGAAACCCCCCTTTGTCGATGGACAAGATTACGGCTACAGACAGGGGCAGTGAGAAGCTTCAAAGAAAAGAGAAATCAGGACCGTGCTTCCTCCAGCTCGAGCTCCAATTGCCGGATGCGCTCGCTCTGGTCCTGCGAGCCGGCAGACGTCATTTTCTTCTTAAGCGCCTCCACCTCGGCGGCCAGCTGGCCGATCTTGTCGTTTTGCGCGCTGATAATCCTGGTCTGGTTCTCAATAAGCTGCTTGATCTGGTCCAGAGAGGACTCGACTCCGGCGCCGCTGGAGGAGGAAGCAGCCGGGGCCGGGCCGGGAGCAGGCGCTGGCGCCGAAGTCGTGGCGGTCGGGGTCCGGATGACAGGCGAAGAGGGCTTGGCCGGGGAGGGTGCCTGTGCGGCATGGGTCTTGACAGGAGCGACGACCAAAGGCTTGGGCTCCGAGCGCGTCGGCAAAGCGGCGGTCCGCTGCGCTGGCCTCGACACCTCCTCGAAGCTCGAAGTCTCATCGTCGTCCTCCGGCTCATCCTCTTCGTTGTCTTGAAATTTATTGGCTAGAGCGGCGATGGATCCCTTCTGCTCGCTCATGCTTGGAGGATGGCTGCGCACAGAAGGCGATGGCTTGGGCTCCTCCTTCTTAGGCTCCTCCCTCTTCGGTTCCAGCTTGGGCGCAGGCGCCGGTGTAGGCTGAGCGGGCGGCTTGTAGTCCGACGGAACCTCTTTGGGCGCCGTGCCCTCGTAGACACTCTCCAGGTCAATTTTGGCGGGAATGGCCGTCTTGCCATCAAACCACTCCTTTGCGCTGGCGGCGGGCTTGGTGCCAGTTGCCGGAGGAAAGATGTCGGCTTGGAAGGTCTCGGCACGACGGGGAACGGTGAAGGAAATGGGCTCGATGTAGGCGTCGTTGACCGTCTTGTAGGCTCGCATGACTTCGTTCTCGTGAACCTGTACTGATCAGCGGGGCCATTTTTGCTAATGAAGCTCTGCACAGTACTCACATTGATGCCTCGTCGGGGCAGAAAGGCGATGCCGCGCTGGGGATCAGCCGACTTATACTCGCTGAGGAATTCGAATTTGTCGTTTTCGTACTCGAAGTAGCGGATGTTGCCGTCACTGCGAGTGTTAGCCCCGGACACCGTCCTCGGTACATGGCATTGCTTACCCCTTGCCGGCCAGGTACAGGCAGTTGGAGCCCTCGTCTAGTCAGGTGTCAGCATACGCGCGCAGCTGTCAACCGGGCCGTTGCGGCAACTCACCCCAGAAGGGCATGCAGACGCCGGAGATGGAGTCGAGCATGGTGAAGCCGCCAATGGGCTCCGTCTGTCCGGGCTCCCACAGCGCAATCTGGCGTTCGCTCATGCGCGAGAAGCCCGTCGTCGCGAAGCGGTTGTGTTCGCCCATCCACACGGCCCTGCTGTTCTTGGCGCCGCTGTGGCCGGGGGCCTCGTGCACCGGCTTCTCCTGGCGGACGTCCCATACACGGATCTTCTTGTCGCGCGACGTCGTGACCAGCATGTTGCCGGCCGCGCTCCAAGAGAGGCTCTGGACGATGTCGCCATGCCGCAGGGTCAATGGCGACTGGCCGGTGCTGGCGTCCCAGATCTTGACGGTGAAGTCGCCCGAAGCAGAGGCCAAGACGTTTTCCGCTGCGGGGTTGAACAGGACCTGGCCGACTTTTCTGCACGACAAACAATGTCAGACGAGGCGGCGCGCTTACGAGCGAGCACGTATGAGTCGTCGTACCTTGAGTGGCCCCCCAGCTTGCTCACGGGAGCGACATCGACAATCTCCTCGGCGTCAGTGTATAAGGTGAAGTCGTTGGGGACCTCCCAGAGGAAGACCTTGCCGTCCTCGGAGGCCGAGGCGACGATGCGGTCGTTGAAAGGGCTCCTGCAAACGGGGCATCAGCACCTGAAGCGTCGGGCGGGAAGCTTGGGGGTGGCCACGCCATACCAGTCGGTGTCGAGGACGGCGGCAGTGTGGCCGCGAAACAGCGGGATCTGGTCGGGGAGTTTGCCCTTCTCCGACAGCGGAATCACAGCGAAGGCGCCGCCGCCGGAGGCGTCCCAATTGACCGACAAGTACTCGGGGTTGACCTGTCGTCGTCATCGTCGTCAGCAGGGAGAGAGGCAGGGAGAGCAGGGGAATTGGTCGCATCGCTCGGCGTCGTTCGCACCTTGACCAGGTTCGTGTCCCAGGCATTGCGGCTAATGTGGAGGTTGTCGTAGCAGAATTCCTTTCTCGTCGACTTGCCGAAGACGTGCCCTGCGGGCGGCGAGGTGAAGGCTGTCAGCACTGGATTCGCGGCAGGATCGCGACGGCCAAGGAGGGGGGAAGCCCGCAAGAGACTCACGATACTTGGACGCCCGAACGAAGCGGCCGGCCATGGTGCAGTGGGGACCGCAGGTGCGGGCGGATGCTGGGTTGGCGACGGGTGAGGTTGCTGAAGACAAGAGGATCGAGACGATCGCGTGCTCGTGACGATGGCAAATGTTGCGATGCAGCTCGACAGTGGTGGTGGTGGATGCAGGTACAGGGAAGTCTGCGTAGCAGCAAGTGACACGCAGCGCACGTCCTGTGGTACGAAGTACCTGGCGCAATGTAGATTCGCGGCAGGCCGTGGCGCACGAATGAATGGACCCCCCTGGCGCTTCGCATGAAACCAGGCTGTCTCGCTTCCAATCGAGCTTCGGGCTGGACTGCGCCTCTGCTGACGCCAGGTGCCGCCAGCAACGTTCAGGCGGCTGCTCCCCCCTTCGCCCCCTCAATGGAATCCATCTCGGCTTGACAGGGCCTCCACCTCACCCATCGCCCGGTCAATGGATCCAGTGTCCATCCCGTTCTCAGCCGCGCAATGGTGGGCAGCCGACCTGGACAATTGCCTTGGTGGACAATGGCTTGAAGCCGTGCCAGCGGCGCCCCCAGCGCCTCGTGTCGCAGAATGCCTGGGGCTTCAACACACCAGCCGACCGAGCTGGGCCTTCTCACTAGAAGCGCATTCATACGAGCCCCTCACGTGATTGACACCGGCCATGCGGCCCGATGTGCCCCACGAGACCACGCGCAACGAGATAAAGTACCTAGTAGTAAAAGTACCGCCCTCATGCGTACAGTCTTTTTACAGTGGCAAACGTGCTTCATTATCTTCCTGCAAGAGCTGCTTCTTTTCATACAGATATTCATACGTACAGACGAGAGTGCCGCCAGGTCCTGGCCATAGTGGTACCACGAAAAGAAATAGACACCTCCGACGCCGACTTCCTTCGCCTCGCCGTGACACTCTCGTAATCCAACAGGGCTTCAATATCGAAGCGAAGGGGAAACGAGCAAATAAAAACACAAAAGGACAGGCTGCCGCGTGTGCAGCAGATGGACAGGCACCCTAATGAGTGGGTGCAGCAACGCCTCCTCGCTCGAGGCTTCGTCATGAGATCATGCCCAGTGCCATGGTCGCATTTCCTGTGAAGGACTCATCTCTCGTGTTGCCGCCCGCCCGCCCGGCGACCTAAAAGGCCGCTCAGAGGAGCGTGCTCTTGGTTCGCGAGTGCACGCGACGGCCCTCGGCGCGGCGCCGGAGCTCCTGCTCCCGCTTAAGGACCAGCTCGCACCACTTCGCCCGCGATCTGACGCCGTTGCTGTCCTCTTCCACGCCGCCGTCGCTGCGTCCGATGACATCCGAGAGCACCTTCATCCAGCCCTCCTTGTCTTCGGCCGTGTCGGCGTAAAAGTCAATCACCTCGCCATTGTTGAACCGGATGCGGAAACCCTCCTCGACGAACATGTAGCCCTCTTCCTCCTCGGCAAAGGCTGATCGACGGCGTTTGCCCTTATTGACCGTCTCCTTCTCTGTCAGCGCCCGCCGGTCGTCAATCAACCGCTTTGCGTTTCCGAGATTGATGGTCGCTCGGGGCTGTCGAGTGGCCTCGTGATATGCCGTCAATTTGGCACCGACGAGCTTAAAGTATCGGCGGCGCCAGTACTGAAGCAATGTTAGCCATCGAGCAAAAATCACGGGCTTAGCGAAATTACTTACAGGGCAGTCGCCGCCTTGCTGGCTGAGATGGCCCTCCCAGTTGCGCGACAGCCTCTCTTCGGCCGCCCTGAGCTCCCTGACGCACGAGTTCATGCTCTTGGGCATGTCCTCGTCCTTGGAGTTCTTGGGGCGCGGGACGAAGAGCAGCTGGAGCTCCAACTTTCCAATCTTGTACGGCGCCCTGCGAACGATGCCGTTGTTGCCACGCTTACTCTTGACGCTCGACGCGAAGCTCTCCTCCTCGGTTGCCCACTCGTTGAAGCAGGCCACCTCGGCCATGTATGGTCGCCCGAAGCATCGGCTCTCGTGCTCCTTAAGGCAGACGTACGCGCGGGCAAAGCTACCATCCTCTGCTGCCAGAGGCGAGAGGAGCTCGTAACCAGTTGGTGCGTTGTTCCGTCTTGCGAGAGCATCTCTCTGCTGCTGGGCGAAGCGCTCCTCTTCGGCCTTTTGCCTCATCTCCATCTCCCTGCGCTTCTTCGGAGACGCAAACACTCTGCTGAACGTTGAAGTCTTGGTCTTAGCCATCTTGGCCGATGCGATAGGAAGCTCCTCCGGGAGGGGCTTCTCCAGCTTCACGTTGAGAGTCAGCTGGAACTCGAGATCGTTGGGCACGACAAGCTCAAATTCCTGGCCGATTGGTGCGTTGCGGGCCAGTTCAAGCCAGGCTGTGGTAACGCAGTGCACCCCGTTATCCAAGGTCAAGCTGAACCACGTGCGCTCGTCTGGGACCGTTAGCAAAGCCGAAGCCCAAAATGTGCTTTATTCATAGAACTTACTCTTCGGAAGCGGCAGATCCAAGTCCTTGACCCCCATCACCTTAACAAAGAGACGGCCTCTTTCGCCACTGTCAATAGTGGCTTCGGACTGAGCATCGTCTTCAACCGAATGGTTGATGGCGGTAGCGTTGCTGTCCTGGCCAGGCAGCGGCGGCACGGGACCGTTGTTAGCTGGGCGCTTGCGGCTGGCGCTTCTCTGGCGGACCTGGCCATTCCAGGGTTCGACGACCCACGACTGAGGTCGGTCAGTCTTGATGGGCGAATTGTTGGCTGAACGGGCCTTCCAAGTCATTTCGCCGTCCTTATCGCTCGCCGTCACGACCTTTGTATTCTGTCGCATGAGATAACCGCGCTGGGAACGGATGGTTACGTTAGCATCAATCTCTTTGAGCAGTGGATCGCGAGGGGTCCGGCCATGTGTCTTCGGGGCTTTGACAGATCGTTCGGATGGGGAAAGGGTAATATCAACCTTTTGAGCTTCAATGACTCTCTCAAAGTCCTGGTCGAGGCTGAGGCCCATGTCGATGTCCAGCGTTAAGCTTCGGTTCTTCAAGCTCGGGTGGCGCTCAAGACTCTCCTCCGGAACAGTGTCCTGGATATCGCCATAGTTTTGCGAGAGACGGTTGCGATGCTTCTCGGGAATCGGAGGCACAGTTGGGACCTCCTGGCTGACCTGGCGGCGAGCTTCTCTCATCGCAGCCAAGTCGGCAGGGGTGTTGGACAGTCGGGTCTTGAGTTTTGAGCCTGACGCAGATTTGATGGTTGCTACGCGTTCAGGAATGACCGGCGAATCTCGCGCCTCCTGCTCGTCTTCGGATTCGTCCATGGGATGATGGATGACCGAATCAGGGGTGCCGGGCTCGTCATCCTCGTCGTCTTCAGGCTCACCCCAGCCGGTCCCGTCATACTCGGGCTTGGACATGCGCCTCTCTGGCGTTCCTGGCCGCTTCACACGGCCGGCCTCAGGGTCGGCCGCAGTCTCCTTGACCCCATCTTGTGATACAGGAGGGGTGACGCTGGTGCGCTCGGTAGAGAAGGCTGTATGAGCAAAGGCAGGGGCAAGGTCAGGAATGGAAGCACCTAGGCTCAAGAAAGGAGCAGGAGAGTTTGCTCGAGGGGTAGTGACTCCAGCCTCCGTGGACTCCTTATCAGTGGTGCCAGGTGCCTGCTCGTTGTCCGAGTAGTTGCTTTCTGCATCTGCTTGCTGGATTTGCGAATCGCCGTCTTCCATTTCGTCGAGGTCATCGCCATACAGGTCCAAGACATCGTCTTCCTCGTGGTTGCGAGTAATGATGACGGAGTCTTCCTGCTCATACTCCTCTTCCTCCTCGAGGATCGACTCTTCCGTAGAAGGCAGCGGGATATCAGGATCGATCAGCTCCGCTCTTTCTGGACTTCGCTCGGGACTGCGGTGCGAGACTGGGGTCGCGGCAGGGGAGGAAAACTGATACTCGGAGTCTCGATGGGTTGTGTTACCGTTGACCCGGCGCATGATAGACTCTCGAGAAATCCGCGAAGGCATCTCATAGTCGCCGAGAAGGGAGATATCCCCGACGGTGTCGTCCTCTTCGGCAGCCTCGAGGTCGTTGGTGGAATCGGCCTCGGACTGGGGAGTAGAGCCACGGTCGCGGCTTGCGCCCCTTCTAAGACGGCGCTCACGCTGCTGCTCGGCTGCGGTCTTCCCATTTGAGTCGTCTGAGAGCATCATAAGCTTCAGGCGCTCTTCGAGAGTCATCTTCCCATTGCCAAAGCTCTGGATGTCGAGCTTGCTAGCCGACGCCGGAGGGGGAACAGGCAGACTCCGGTGAGAGGAGCCGCCCAACATCCGCTCTGCCGTAGCTGAGAGACCCGGCGACGCTGGCTCAGAAGCTGCTGACTGATTCCTCACATGGCCAAGACCAGGGAGGGGAGGCAGTGGACGATGGTCGCCATTTGAGTTGGCAGAGTCAGTCCGCTGATGAGAGGGGCGGGCTGGCGAAGCCACGGAAGGAATGTTCTCGGGCATTGGGCTACCCTCGAACTCGACCGGGTTGTTGTGATGGGTCATGGGGCTCTCGCCGCGCCAGTCGTCAGGGCCGACCACCGGAGTCTTGTCGGTGTCCTCGAGAGACGCGTCGAAGCTGTCATCCTGAAGACCAATGTGTCCAGGGTCATACATGACATCGTCATCGTCGTCATCGTCGACTGATTCGTAGCTGCCCTCGCGCGAGTTCGTGCCGACAGACGACAAATCTGGAGTCGCCATCTCATACTCGTTAATTTGGGGCGGCGCGGCGTCAAAGGTCACGCTCTTCGGGTGTCTGTGTAGGAAGCGACCCTCGGGCAGGCCGTGCTCGTCAACGGAAGAATGCCCGGACCATGTGCCGGCCTCTGGGTCGAAGATGCCCTTGTTGAACTTGGTCGGCGACAGAGAGGATTTGGTAGGCGAGGCTTGGCCCTTGCTTGGGGTCGGGGCCCGTGGGAGCGCGCCCGGGCCGTTGGACGCCACCAGCGGCGACGTCTTGGAAGGGCTCATCATGGAGAGACTCGACTTGCTGTCGAAGGCTCGCGGCTCTGAGTCGGAGGAACGAAGGCCGCCTGAGCTAGACGACGACGCGAACGAGTTTCCTTGGACCTTAGCGAGGGGTCTCTCGATATGAGGAATCCGAGTCGGATCATATTCCTGCTTCTGCTCCAGGGCCAAAATGTTGCTGTTCCGGACACGAGAAGCCCTCTGGAGACGCTCAATCGAGGACCGTCGGGTTGGCGATGTCGACCCCGAACGGGCTCCAGCGAACATGTTCTCTGCGTTGCGGTTCTGCCAGAAGAGGCGAGGCGAGGTCGCCGAGTCGAGAGGTGACGACTGGAATGGCGAGGAGTCGTTGCCCGGGACGGAGGCCTTTGTGCAGAGCGTGAGTGCCTGGGAGGGGAGAACAAGAGAGGAAAGAGGAGGGGAGGGCAACAAACCTTTGTTGGGGTATACTGTCGCCAGCTGGGCGAGTTGCGCCGCTTCTCGGTGGGAGAAATCTCTGAGAGAGGGCGGGGCAGACTGTTGCCGGCCATCTTTGTGGGCGACGAGCTGGGCGTGCTTTTGGCTATGCGTAGAGGATGCACCTGCGCCCCAGGGATCCGAGTCAGCGACGCCCTCGACGGCGTGTTTTGATTCGCGGGGGAGTACTGGGAATGGCACTCGACATACCGGTTCTGAGGCCATGACGGCCGCTGTTGATTGTTCGGGTTTGGGACTAGAACAGGCTGGAATGCATCGAGCCCGGACGAACAAATGAGATGGTGGATGCGATGGAATGCTCGATCACTCCGTCTCCTGATCCGGGGCGATGATGACAGTGTCGCAGTCGCTTCCCCTTTGGTGAGGGCAAGATGGGGCGAGCGACGCCTAGACAAAGGAAGCAGATGGAGATATGTAGCAGCCCGGCCCAAGCGGCGACCAGCACGCACGCACGAACGAATGAACGGACGAACGAGCGAGAGGAGAGACAGCTGCAAATGCAACTGCAACTGCAACGACGCGGTTTGACGAGGCGGTGCCGTTGACGATGCGGAAGCAAGGCTTGCGGCGGCGGTTCAGTTCAAGGGAAGGGAGCAAGCAGAATGGGATTCGCGAGGAGGTGACGGTTTGTCGTTTAAGGCACGCCCGACGCGGGTGACGGCCAGCTGCGGCGTGATTGGCGGCGCAGAAAGTAAACAGCATGGGCGGTCGCCGTTGGGCGTTGCCGTGGCGACTGAGAGCCACTGCAGCGCTGTTCAAGGGCCGCTAAAGCCCGCCTGCGACGCCACCTGGACAGCCGCTGCAGGGTACCCCGCCTGCCCGCGTCCACCGGCCGGCCACTGAGAGCTCGCTGGAGGCTCTAAAAACAGGCGCCCCTGCGGGCTGCTGGAGTCGCCACGGCAGCGGACCAGGGTCTGAGACGATGGGGAGCACAAACAATGGGCGCCGTTTGTGTGGTTGAAGTGGTCACCCATCATCGTCTTTGTGCAATTGTCAGATGTGAGCGATGGAGGCGCCCGCCCGCGCCCGCTGCACGTATGTTGTGCTCGTCCCCATCGACTCTGTCCCTGCCCACCCGCTTATCGTCATCGGCCAAGCGTTCGTGCCGCGACGCCCGCCCTGGTCCAATCGCCAGGCGGCTGAACCCGGCGCTCGTTGAGCATCCTGCTTTTCCAAAGTCCATGCTCACGCTCGGTTGGCTCCCTGATCCCGGCTGTGTTCCCTCGGCAATGCTGTGACCCTGCGAACTTGAACCCATGGAGCGAGCGGGCTGCGTCTACGCCGCCATGAGCCCAACCTTGTAGTTCGTGTTATTGTTGGGTTGCCAATGAGCCGATGGCATCTTTGTTTGACCCTGGTTCCCTGTTCCGACGTCGAGACTGATTCAACCTTGGTCGAGACTTGTTGCGACTTCAACTCTGCCGTCTGTTCCAATCTACACAGTCATCAAACTTTACACCAGACCCCCCGAAGCAGTCGAGGGCGCTCCCAATCGTTAAGTCGACCTTTCCTCCGCTGAGCTTCTTCACTAGTTCCAGGTCCTCGAGGTTTCTGCCTCCGCCGGCGTACGTGACGGGGATGGAGCACCACCGCGCCAAACGCTCCACCAATTTCTCGTCTATCCCTCTTTGAAGGCCCTCGTTGTCCGCGGCGTGGATGAGGAACTCGGAGCAGTATGGCTCCAGTGCCTTGATGGATGCTGTTCCTCGTCAGCGGGTCCGCCTCATCGCATGAAACGTAGAGCAGGGCGGCAAACCTTGGTTGACCTCCATGTCTGTGATCGTCTGCCACTTGTTCATGGCAACAAACCAGCTGTCCTCTCCGCGACGACGGCAGCTAAGATCAATGACGAGCTTGTTCTTGTTACCACCCAGCTGCTCGAGCACCGCGTCCAACCTCGCCTGGCTGAAATGACCGTCGGGGAAGAGGTATGAAGTGATGATGATCTAGTCGCTCAGCTATTGCTCATGACCAAACGAGTCTGCGCCAGCTCACCTTGGAAGCGCCGGCTTCCATCCACTCCTTTGCATTTTTGTCGTTGATACCGCCGCCGACCTGAAGATGCCCCGGCCACGCCTGAACAGCCTGCCTGGCCGACTCTTCGTTGCCCGGGCCTAGCATGATGACGTGGGAGCCCTCGAGCGCATTGTCTTTGTAAAGTTGGGCGTAATACGCCGCCGGATGCTGAGAGACGTAGTTGGTCTGAAGGGCCGCTGACGTGCTGTCAAGCGTGCCGCCGACGATCTGCTTGACCTGGCCAGCGTGCAAGTCTATACACGGCCTGAATTTGGTCATCTTGTCACGCACGATGCGATGGTCGTCGTGCTGGGAAGTGCGCTTCGGGGGGGTTGAGGTTGTGAGCTCTGTGACGGGCGCTTGCTTGAGTTGAGATTGATGGTGGGGCGCGACTGCCGAAAGTGACGCAGCCGATGACTGGTTGGTGCTCTCACTCCTTTGGACATTCGCGAGATTGGCCAACCTCACTCAATAGGTACCGTTCACATCATCAACCACCAATCTACATAAGTAGAATTTAGCCTCTATCTCCTCGCAGGTCCTCACAGGACCTGTGTCTAAGATTCTACCTAGGTACTTTCGTGCCTGTTCTATGAGTCATCCCTTGATTCTATTTCCGTGGCCTCCGTTGAATCCGGGCTGCGGTGTTGATGGCCTGGCCAGAACTTAGGCTCCGCTGGGCTCTCCGCTTGAGGCCTGGCTTTTCTTCTTTCTCTTCTCTTCGTCTGCCTTCTTACCCTCTTCCTTCAACTTTGCGTCGTCTGGCCGTGAAAGCTCCACCTGCGGCATGAGAACAAACGCCAGTACAAATGCGAATGCCGCTAAAGACGCGCCAACAATGAAAATCACACGAAATCCCTGCCTATACGCCGGAATGAGAATGCTTCGAATGCGCTGAGCGTCAGCCTCCGAGACTGTGTCCAGGAAGGTCTGCGGATTGCTCAGGAGCGTTTTGGATGTGGCCTTGTCGAGGCCGAGCGACCCGAGATCGCTGGCTAGAACGTTGTTTCTGTCACGGTCAATCGACCGACTTAAACGCCGAAACGACAAAATGGACCTACAATATTGTCCCCGAGACAGCCAGACCGAGCGTGGACCCGAGATTGCGCACGAAACTGGATCATTAGCGATGCTGGAGCCCTGGCTCAGGGGCACTTACTTTCTGAAGGATGTGACAACTGCCATGTCGCGCCTCTCCACTCCAGCCTGCGTGGCGATCAGAGCCCTGGACGACGTGCGTTCGTTAGTCACAGAGATAGGGACGCCAGGTACGCGCACCTACGGTTGCAATGTGTTTCCAACTCCGACGCCGATGAGCAGCGCGTAGCCAATCTGCTTTCCAACCCCCGTGGTCTCGTCAAGCGTTGACATGAGCCCCAGGCCTACAGCCCAGCAAACCCAGCCAAAGAGGATACACTCACGATAGCGGCCCACCCAGTGGACGACGAGCCCGGACAAAGTGCTACTCAGCGTCTGGACAATGGTGATGGGCAAAAGCATTGCCCCTGACTTCGTAGCTGAGTAGCCGTAAACCAGCTGGTAGAAGGACGGTACGTAATAGACCTGCATGACAAAATTCCATCCGTTGATCGCCATGGTCAAGCATGCGCCGTTGACTATCTTGGATTTGAAGATGTGGACTAACACGGTCAGTTGCCGGCCGAGCTTGTACAAGGGGAGACGTACGCGGCACGAGCGGGTATCGAGGCCCTTTCCACTGCCATAGCACGAAGCTGATGGACACGACGGTGCCCACTACCAAGGTGGCTATGACATGGGCCGAGTCCCATGGGTGCTCGCGCCCCCCCCACGTAAGGCCCAGGATGACTACTGTCATGCCTGCCAGGGCGAGGAAGATGCCGAGAAAGTCCACAGCCTTGAGCTTCCTGGACGCATCAATTTGTCAGCGACCGTTCGACTTCGCCTGCTACAACGACTCACAGCTTCCAGTCTCCTTGTACCCTCTTGAGCGGCATGAAGAAGACGACGCAGAACGTCGTCAGAAACGTCAGTGGCAGGTTCAGACGAAAGATCCAGCGCCACGAGTCAGTCGACTTGGACGAGAGGGCACCGCCGATGACGGGCCCAATGCCGTTGGCAATGGCTACGACTGCACCCTGGCAAGCGTTAGAAGAGCCACAAGAAGATGCGAGGAAGACTCACAAGGATGCCCTGGTACTTTCCGCGCTCACGCAGGGGAACGACATCACTGACGATCAGCTGGGCAACCGTCATCAAGCCACCGCCGCCGATACCAGTAAAGGCACGAAATATCGTTAACTGGAGGACGGACTTCGAGAGGGACGAGGCCAGAGAGCCGAAGAAGAAAATGGCCAGACCGGTCAAGAGGACGACTTTTCGAGACCAAATGTCCGACAATCGTCCGTAGAGGAGCTGGCCGACGGTGGAAGTACTGCATGCTGGTCAGAGCTGGTCTCTACAAAGGCGAGCATAACGCCTACATGAAGTATCCGCTCGCAATCCACGACACCTGATCCGTGGATCCCAGTGCGTTACCAATGATGTACAAGCTGGCCGCGAGGGTTGTCTGGTCCATGAGCGCCAGCAGGTCGACGCTCGCGCAGGCGAGAAAGATCTGACAAGCCAGTCAGCTTGGTCGCTGTGCCTCGTTTGCGCTGCTTACCGTGATGATGGTTCTTTTTGGCACATAATTTGTCTGTTCGTTGAACTCATGCGACTTGCCGCTGGTCTCCGAATTGCTGTCACCAGTGACACTGGGCGCAGGAGCATCGTCGACCCCGTTGCTGGTTGGTGCATCATGGACGAGCGGCCCTGAAGGACCTTTCATCTGCTTTTCCATTGTCGATGAACAGTTGGTGACCAGGGCGAGCAGTGCGGTCTCGCAGACCTGGCGACGGGAAGTCAGCTCGCGCTTCAAAAAGCATGACGCGCAGCGGCATCAGTCGCTGCTACCCACAGGAGCTGGTGGCTACCCTGAATCGAGTTACGAAAATTTGTCGAGCAAGCGGATGAACCTGTATGGCTTCTGGAGACCGGCAAGGGTCCTTTTGACGAGACCGGACGGGCCGCGCCATCGCCTTCCTCGAAAGCGATTGTTGTCTGGCTGAGCTGGACCGGATCTGGACCACCACCGGCGCGCCGATCCCTGGGCCCAATGATGCGAACCCGGCTGACCTCGCATCAGACAAGGTTATGCTTAACCAAGCCCTGTCTTGCCTCTTGAGATGGCGGAAATGGCACGTTGGTGGAGCTGGGCCACCTTGATACTTGTGCCTGCAGTCCACAGCCGGCCCGTTGCTTGTATTAATTACAATTTAGAACTGCCCATGACAGCTCTTGGCAACACTTCTTGATAATCCGGTCGTCTCGTCTGGCAGGAGCCGAGGCGAGCGACGTCGCATCCCCGTCTCGTGCGATTGTGCCAGACTTGGGTCATATTGCGCGCCAATTGCCTCGCATCCGGCCTGCGTGCGTTTGAGAAGATTTGAGTCCGGCACTTGCCCCCCACGAGAGTCTTCGCTGCCGATCTCCAGGGACGGATCGCCGCCTCTCCCGCACCCCGGCCACCTCGTCTGGCTCCACTCCAAGGGCGGCGTCAGGCACGCCGTAAGCGGTCTATCAAGGTGCCTGTCAGTTCTCACACGGAATAAATACGCTATAGCGGCACTGTTGTACCATTAGGCCGTCCAGCGCTGTGCTCTCCGGGGTTCCATCCATCGAAGCTTGTGAGAGAGCCTGAAGTGGTGATGCGTCCATGAACCTTCAACAGAATTATCGCAAAGACGCATGTCAGCCGTGCCTCGACAGCAGCCTGGAGATGGGCAGTCCATCCACGTCCACTCCGCCGCTTGTTCTCTCGCCATCGCGATGCTGCGGTCATCTCGCCGGGACCCTGTTGACTGGGAGCGCTGCTGCCACGCGAAACCAATTACGCTATCATGGACCACTTCAGGGTCTGTTCGCGCTGCTGCGCTAGCGCACTTGCATTAGTCCATGCAAATCACACGGCTTTTTGTCCAGAACGTCATTGAATGAGGTCTCCTGGTGAGACCTTGATGGCTTGAGGCGGTACCGGGCTTCGTGACGCTCATGTTAGTGGGATCTTGCCGCATGCGGTCGCCTGGTACACGTAAACAAGTCATGGAACCGCCTCACCGTTTGGTACCAGCGGCTGCGCTTGATCTATTCCATGATGATCGGCTAGCATCTCGACGTTCTCGACATGTCACGGTATACGTGGCATCCCGCAAACGATGCTGCATCCCGCGCAAAAGCCTCATGACATGGAACGGGCATTCGTTGGGCCGTGCCAAGCATTGATCCCTTTCGGCCTTCTCTTCTGGTAAGAGGCCAGAGATCTGGAAGCCGTTCGACCCTCCCTTGGAGGACCGTTGTGAAGCATCTGTAGCGCTGAAACGAGTGATTCCGCGCGATATATCTTCCACAACCCTGGTCGCAAGCCCACTTCTTGCTTGCAGATGCCGACTCTCTGACAAGGCACAGTGTCATATGCTTCGCGACTGGCCACACTTCGGATCAATTTTCGCATAAGTAGTGTGAGTGCCGAGACCAGGGGCCAACGCTGCTGTCTCTGCGGTCCGATAACCTTCAACCTTGTCTCGGATCACGATAGCTAGAGATACAAGCTGTGCCATCTCAACCGCCATGGCAAAAGAAAACACCCTCAACGTCTACAAGGGGCCCCATTCGCTCCGAGATTACTTCGATCCGGAATCGTCACCCCCATTGCCGCTGGTTGAGGTCCCGGACTGCCTTAACCCGTATCGCCAAGATGGAATCCGCATCTACGCCAAGATGATGTCCATGCACCCTGCCAATAACGTCAAGTCCATGCCAGGTAAGAGTCAAATTTGACTCGGGTCCAAAAAGGCAAAACTGACGGGAACAGCCCTGAACCTTCTCAGTAATAGCATCGTCCCTGGCAAGACCGAGACGGTGGTCGAGTATAGCTCCGGCTCGACTGTCTTGTCCATGTCACTGATCGCCCGCGCACTCTATGGATTGCCGGATGTGCGAGCCTTTCTGAGCAATAAAACGAGCACCGCCAAGATTCGGCTGATGCAGCTGTTTGGCATCAACATGTGAGCGTCGTTCCTGCTCTCCATCTTTTCTTCCTCCTGACTCCTGTAGCACTTTGTTTGGAGGCCCTTCACAGCCGGAACCACTAGACGAACGAGGCGGCATCAGGGCCGCGCAGCGGATGGCTTTGGAGTCGGAGACTGCCATCAACCCAAACCAATACGAAAATGACAATGTAGGTCCCGACATGGAGTCTCCCGAAGTCGCGTAGTGACTGACAGACACAGAACTGGAAGGCGCATGTCAAATGGACGGGACCGCAAATCCTGAAGCAACTGCCTGAGATCAATGTTATATGCGCAGGAATGGGCACATCTGGTAGGCGCTCTTCGCTATCTTGATGCGCCTCTGCTGATCAGACAGGAACCATGACTGGACTAGGCTCTTTCTTCAAGGAGGCCAAGCCTTCGGTCCTCCGTCTCGGGTACGAAGCACCTAGGCTCCAACGGCCATCTAGCTAACCTGCACAGGGTATGCACCGCTCCGGGTGATCGGGTCCCTGGCCCTCGCTCTTATGCCCTCCTTGCCCCCGTCGAGTTCCCCTGGCGTGCGGCCGTCGACCACATCGAAGAAGTGGGCTCACACGAGTCGTACTCTCTGTCCCTCGAGCTCATTCGCAATGGCCTCGTCTGTGGTCCATCGTCCGGTTTCAACCTCCAGGGTCTCTACCAGCTCATCGAGAAGCGCAAGGCTGAGGGTACTCTCGGCAAGCTGGCAGGTCCAGACGGCGAAATCCACTGCGCATTTCTGTGCTGCGATCTTCCGTATCAGTACGTCAATGAATACTTTGACAAGCTGGGCGATGAGCACTTTGCGCCCATCAACAACCAAGTAGGCGTCCTCCCCGCTGCTGCCCGAGACTCCAACGACTAATTGTTCAGGAACTTCTTGGTGTCGACTCGTACCGATACGACGAGAAGTGGGAGCGTGATGCCACGGATGCTCTGAACGACTTTTTCGGGGTTGACCAGTCCATGATTGGTGACGTCCTCCGTGTCGCTCCTAGCAATCCGGAGCTTGAAGGTCTTATCCAGCAGAAACCTGACACTGCTGTCCTGGACCTCCGTCAGGCCGATGACTTTACGCAATTTCGCCTCCCTGGCTCCGTCAACATTCCCTTTGTGCAGCCCGGAAGCGCAAGTCCGTTTTCGGACCCCAGCATTCTCAGAATCCTGTGGCAGCGCCTCGAGGACACGTTCAAGTCACCTTCACAAGACCTGCGGCAGCTCATGCTCGGAAAGCGCATCCTGGTGCTGTGCTACGACGGCGATAGCGCCCGCGTGGCGACGAGTGTACTGCGCGCAAAGGGCTACGAGGCAGACAGCATACGCGGCGGGTTCAAGGCCCTGGGCGAGATGCGCGCAGAGGCGCCCGCGCAGAAAACGGGGCAGCAAGACACTGTATGGCTGAAGTTGAGCTGTGAGTCCGCGCCGTCGCAGCCAAGTCATGTTGCCGTCGCCGTCAAGGCTGTTGAGTCGGCGTCTGGCTGAGCGGCGGTGCAGTGTCGGTAGACTCGACCTTTGCGAGACGAGACTGTACGATTGAGACGCGAGATGCGACTGGTTAGGGCTTCTTCGCTTATTTGCAGCATACGACTTGGAGAGCGGTCGCGACCAGTTGCGATTTATGCAAAACGATAGAGAGTATGAATATGAAGCACGACATGGCTGAACATATATGTGAATACCGCAATAGGCATCGGAAGATCGTGTATGATGTGGCCTCCCATCCTGGTGGCTCCTTCAACGCCATCTCTCTCGACGTACTTACTTCCACTCGTTGCTCTCGTTGGTCTTAGCTTGTCTGTGAAGTCGTGCACCATGGTCCGAAACGATGCAAACGAGACTGGCATTTTATTACTTATTTGCCAGGAAACAAAAAATCTACCATATCTTCTTGTTGCCATATATGTCATTTGAGAGCTTCTTATTGCCCTAGCTCATCGAGAGTCTCCTGCAGCAGCTCCCAGGCCCGAGCAGGAAGCTCCCCGAACATCCAGCACGCAGTGCCATCATAAGCGCCCAAAGTCGTGATGCGCATCATATCGTACGGGTTCTTAATCGTCAAATAGCAGAAGTCGACCGTCCCGAGAGCGTTGTTTCTCGTCGCAGAGCCCTCGCCCTGACGCAGAACCGCCGAGCTGAGGTCAATGTCCAGCTCGTTGGTGAAGCGCACCAGGTTGTTGATGAGCAGCGGCGCCGCGTCGTCGTCGCTGCTCGTCAGGGCGGTAGTGTCGACACCGGCCTGTATGGCGCCGAGGAATGTGCGGAGCGACCGCGCTATGTTAGCCTGCGTGGTGAAACCCCCGATGCACGCGCGCTGAGAGACGGCGATGGGCCCCAAGCCGCCCGCCGTAGTGTTCGGTGACAGCTTGTTTGGCGCGAGCAACACCATGTTCTGCGTGTAGACTCCTCTGGCCTTGGACAGAGATGGTACGACCAGCCGCGCGTTAAGGATGTTCATCATGTTGATCGAGCGCGGCGTCGGGCTCGCTCTTGCGATCTGCTGTACGACCAGGGCCACGAATAGCTCGTCGGGTTGGTACGTCATCCAGGTGTCCTCATCCCCGTCCTCTGCAATCACCAGACTGCGTAGCCGTTTGAGCGTGTCCATTGGGATTCCAATGAGGCGCTCTTCTAAAATAGGCTGGGGGCTCCTGTGCACACACTCCTTCTCGTCCCCAGATCTGTGGCTCATCATTTGCTTCAGTTGCACATCCTCCTGAAGGCCCCTTTCATGTAGACCAGCCACCTCCGCAAGCATGTCGCTTGACGCCCCGAGCATTGGGGGCACCTCGTCTTCTCGTCCGTCAAGCACAAGCTGGAGGGCCTTCATGAAGCCGAGAGCGCCAGACACATCCCACGTGCAATGCGAAAAGGTGGTTGCCAGGAGTGTCGCATCCGTATAGTGGGTGATCTTGAAGGAGAGCTGCGGCGCATCTCGGTCTACCAAGTCATCCATTGTGTTGGGAAAACCTGGTGCGTGGCCGTATTCACGGAGCTCGCCAAGATGGGCGCTCAAGGAAACCGCATCTGCTGCTTCTTGGGGAAGCTGTCCCCCTAAAGGATGCTCGGCGAAGCGGCATGGGCACGTTTCAAACGCGAAGTTGAAGGCCGGTCGCGCTGCTGTGTATTGCCTCGGAACGTGTATTTCCAGCCCTTGTCCCTGGATGAGTTGAGGCTACACGTCAGCTCATTGCGTCTTCGTAATCAGCTCGATGTCTTCGACTGACCTTGGTTCTAAATCGGCCTCCAAGCTTCCTCCAGTCTCCAATTTGTAGTACTCTCGTGAGGGCCTGTTTTATCTGTTGGTGGTCTAGAATGTCGTTGAACTTGAAAAATGAAACCATGATGCAATGCTGGACCTTGGTGCCGTCGAGCAAGTGCACAGGATAGATGTCGTCGTCCCCATGGCCGTTGATGGGCCTTGCATCATCGACAGCCGCTGGCTGAAGCAAAGAAGTGACGGTCATGGTAATGCCGTATTGGGTCGAATGACTTGTGTTCAGTAATGGTCGTGGCAGTCGTCGCACATCTGCAGAGGCTCAATGGGCTCTATTAATCTCTCCTGGGTGAAAGGACAAGATTGAATGAAAACGAGCTAAACGTGTTAACGCTGACATCGAGGCAATGATAAGCTGAGGCCCCTCTGGTCGCGGTATAGCGTGGCATAGATAGCCTGGACGGCCCATTGTGAACAAGCAATGCATTGTGGATGAGAGTCTCAATTGCTCCTAGGACACGCGACTGTCCGGCTTCGGAAAGGCACTGGGGTCTGGTGTGTTTGATGGGAACGGCATAACGGCCAGCCTCGGCGAGATTGATTCATCGGCACCGATTTGCATACTTCCCTACCATCTCAAGGCACCAGACCTTCGGCACTGCATTCCAGAGTGTCTCAGCCTCGGAGATCCTTCTCCCCTGCTTTGCGACCAAAGCATGTGCCTGCCCCCAAGGGGCCTCAAAGTCCATGTGTAATGTTGTGCGCCTGAGAGCCCCCAATCCGACCATTCTCCTAAGGGGAAAGCAAGCTGCAGCTGTCAATTCTGTGCTGGCTTTAGGGTCAGGGCGGACAACATGAAGATTACATTGAGTGCGATTCGATACTTTGATACATGCAGCAGACGTGTGGTACTTACCGAGACATCGCGAGACATCGACGGCATGGAGAAACATTCACCGTTGCAAGGCGCTGATTACGTAGCGTGTTGTCAGAACGCTGTCACAATGGTTACGAGTCTAGCCTCACCCGGTCAACTGCTACCAGCGACTGCACAATGCCGGAAGAGAGCTCCGGTACGCCACAGCAGCATGGAGGCTATTGACAAGGTCCCTTGAGGAGAGCCACAGTGACGCAAAATGGCTGTGGCAAGAATGCTAGTTCTATTGCATGCGGAACAAAGGGGTCGAGATCAGCTTCTTTCTGTTGCACATGGCAATCGTCAATTCAGCTTCACGATGCAAACGTGCCGCCAGAGACAATTGTATAGCGTCATAATGAATGCAGGGACGGGTTCGTACAATGAGATTGCGGCAAGCTCGTTGTCTCAGCAGTAGCGGAAACCCGCAAACGGCTCCGTTCTTGTAGATCAACAAAGGGAAGGCCGAAAACGTGGTCTGTATTGTTCGTGTAAGCATTTGGCTGCATCGTGATTGAAGCCAAAAGTCGCCGATAGTGCTCCTTTGAGAGATGCCCATTCGACGCCACGTCCTCACTCGCTCCATCACTTGAGGCCCCTCGTGTGTATTCCTCTCCCGCTCTTGCAGGCAACTGACTTCAGCTTGGCCATTTTGAACTCGCCTCTTTGCGGCCTAAAGGCGCGTTGGCATCGAGAGAATCCTTTCAGCTGCGCGGACAACGCAGCACAGGTCACCGCAGCATCAAGATGGCTCCAGCGGATATTGCAATCGTCGGCATTGCATGCCGCTTTGCCGGCGATGCCAAGTCTCCAGAAGCGTTCCATGAAATGCTACAGAGGGGGAAGGACGCTTGGAGCAAAGTCCCTCCTTCTCGCTTCAATGCCGAGGCTCTTCACCATCCGTCTCGCGATCGCAGCGGCACTATAGTGAGCTATGAGATACTGTACCCTCGCTCTGCGAAGAATCCTTACTAACAAGAAACATCAGGTGTGCAATGGCGGCTACTTCATCGACCAGGATGTATCGCGATGGGATGCCCCTTTCTTTTCTTGCTCTGCCGCGGAGGCCCGCGCATTCGACCCTCAGCAGCGCCTGCTCCTGGAGGTTGCGTATGAGAGTCTAGAAAATGCGGGCATGCCCATCGAACGCATGGCAGGCAGCGATGCCGCCTGCTTCGTAGGTGGCTTCTCCGAGGACTACAAGAATATCGTTTCAAGAGACATTCATCTTGTGCCTCAATATGCAAAGACTGGCAACGCGCTATCCATGCTTTCCAACCGCATTAGTTGGTTCTTGTAAGTGGTCCTAATCGACATGGCTGCCCCGATGTCTGGCATTTAGTGCGATCGCTTACATTCGGCAGCAACTTGCGGGGGCCGTCTGTAACTTGTGACACTGCCTGCTCTAGCTCGATGGCGGCCCTGCACCTGGCTTGCGAGACGATCCGGTCAGAGTCCAACCCGAGTCGCTGTGCCTTGGTTGGAGGAGCAAACCTCATTCTGGACCCAGATGACACATGTGCGCTCAACGCACTCGGTTTTCTGAGCCCCGACGGGCGCTGCTTCTCCTTCGACTCGAGGGCAAATGGCTACGCTCGGGGAGAGGGAATAGGCATGATTGTTCTTAAGCACATTGACGATGCTCTGCGAGACGGAGATCCAATCCGTGCCGTGATTCGCGGAACCGGTCTCAACTCAGACGGTCGAGTAGGTGTAACAACCAGACAAAATACTGCGATGATGAGTACTAATAGGCTTACTATCAGACTGCTGGCATAGTCCTACCTAACGGAGAGGCTCAGGAAAGGTTGATCCTCAATACATACCAGGTTGCTGGGCTCAGCCCCTCGGACACCCAGTACGTCGAGCTTCACGGCACAGGCACCAAGGTTGGCGACCCGGCCGAGGTTGGAGCCGTCGCCAGAACAATTGCTGCTGGCCGGAGCGAAACACTCTATTGCGGCTCGGTCAAGTCGCGAATCGGGCACACGGAAGGAGCAGCCGGCATCGCGGCCATCATTAAATGCGTGCTCTGCCTGGAAAAGGGCGTCATCACCCCCAACCTCAACTTTGTAAAGGCCAACCCTCGACTGCGACTCGAATCATCGGGCATCGCGATACCCACGTCTACGATACCATGGCCAGACTGTGAAGTGCGGAGGTGCTCGATCAACAACTTCGGCTTTGGCGGCACAAACGCACACGCTATTCTAGATGACGCGCACAATTACCTCCGTGTACGAGGCAAACTAGCTCCTTCAAGCACGCCGGCAAGGGAGAACCATCAACTCTTTGTTCTTTCGGCTCCCGAGCAAGATGCCATTCCGAGGCAGCGCCGGGTGCACGCTGACTACGCCAAGTCGCGCTGCGGAGATGACAGGCTGGCGCGCCTTGCCAACACCCTGAGTGAACGACGATCCGTGTTTCAATGGCGGCATGCCGTCGTTGCGAGCTCGGTCGAGAACCTCGTGGCTCAATGGCGAGACGACAGCGTCAGGCCGGTCAAGGCCGATGCCTGTCCCAACGTGGCCTTCATCTTCACCGGGCAAGGCGCTCAGTGGTACGCTATGGGCCGCGAGCTGGTGTCATTCGACGTCTTTGCGTCCTCTGTCCGCGAGTCTGCCGCGTGTCTGACTGAGCTGGGCTGTCCGTGGGACGCCTGGGCCGAGCTGATGGCACCAGAGTCCGGGTCCAAGGTGAACAAGGCCGAGTACTCGCAGCCTCTGTGCCTGGTGCTCCAGATTGCACTCGTCGACCTTGCCGAGCAGTGGGGTGTCAAGCCATTTGCCGTGGTCGGCCACTCGTCGGGCGAGATTGCCGCGGCATACGCCGCGGGCGCGTTGTCTCGCAAGGATTGTTTGAAGGTTGCGTACCATCGCGGCATTGCCTCCAACTTGGCCAAAGCACGCAATCCAAACGGCTCCATGATGGCTGTGGGCCTGCCAGCGGCAGAGGTTGAGACGTATCTGGCTCGCACAGGCGGAGCGGTTGTTCTCGCATGCATTAACAGTCCCGAAAGCGTGACACTGGCTGGTGACAGGTCGGCATTGGAAGGCCTCGAGTCAATTTTCAAGGACGAAAAGAAGTTTTGCCGTCTGCTGCAAGTCGAGAATGCCTATCACAGCCCTCAGATGTACAGCGTTAGCGACGAATATCTGGAGAGCATCAGCGACATCTCTCCCAAGGGGGACTCGTCAGTCATGTTCTACTCGACGGTTCATGGCCGCCAAATTTCGACGTCTCGGCTCACAGCCGACTACTGGGCTGACAACATGTGCTCGACTGTCCGATTCGTCGACGCCCTGGACGATATGATGTATGCATCCACTGTCGAGATGCAGCGCCAGACCAAGTCCAAAACGCCGAGTTTGTTCCTCGAGATTGGTCCTCACGCTGCACTGGCGGGTCCAATCAAGCAGTTCAAGGCTGCTCGTGGCAGTCTGGAGCATTTGGCGTATCATTCCCTCCTTGTGAGAGCTCAGGACGCGGTTGCGACTGCCGTGAGCGCGGCAGGATCTTTGTGGACCAAGGGGGTCCCAGTGAAGCTGAGCAAAGTAAGTCGTGCCACGCATGCTACGCGCGCGTCTATGAAGTCTCTAATGAGTTTTTGCAAGGTCAATAACGCTGGCATGTCAGCTGAGGTCCTGGTAGACCTGCCCTCTTACCAGTGGAAGCGCTCGACCTCGTACTGGCACGAGAGCCGACAGTCTAGAAACCACCGTTCACCGCAGTTCCCCAAACACGACCTCATCGGCACAAGATTGGATTCTTACAACCCTCTAGAGCCTGTATGGAAGAATCACTTGCGTATCGCCGACCTGCCTTGGCTTCAAGACCATCAGATCCACGGCGACGTTGTATTTCCCGCTGCCGGAATGATTTGCTCGGTCATTGAAGCCGCCCAGCAAACAGTGGACGCCGAGGAATCCGGTGACGAGATTCTGGGATTTGAGCTGCGCGAGCTATCTGTATCGAAGGCCCTCGTGATCCCCAACAACGAAACCGGGGCCGAAATCTACGTCAGTCTCAGGCGGAGAAAGGTCGGCATGGGCAGCAGCGCAGGGCCTTGGTATGAGTTTTCATATTATTCGTGCCAAGAGGGAGATGTATTTGTCGAGCACGCCGCCGGCCTGTTGCAAATTCAACGGCCCAAGGAAGTCACCGAAGTCGACGGGGGCAGGGAAGCCAAGGAAGAAATCCTGACATACCGAAGACGATGGGACAACAAGCGCGCAATGTGCGAGAAGGCAGTGTCGCGCTCAAGCCATTTCGAGTTCTGCGAGGATCAGGGACTCAGTTTTGGTAAACATACATGCATAACTCCCCCATACGATTGAAGAAAGCTGACAGGACCTCAACAGGCAAGTCCTTCCAGGGCTTAACGAGGGCTCGGCAAAATGGCCTCACTGTTGCCTTTGAGACAAAGATTGCGGACACGCGCGCGTGCATGCCAGAGTTTCGGGAGAGCGACTACGTCATACATCCCACAACACTCGATTCCATGCTACAGGCCATGTTGATCGCCATCCCCAGAATGGACAACATCGAGAAGCAAGTCTGGGTCCCCACAGGCGCAGCTTCAATTCGCATCTCTAGTGACAAATCTCGCACATACGGGACAGCGTTGCATGGCGTCGTCGAAGCCTCGCACACAGGAGTTCGCGAGATGACGGGGTCTTTCCTCGTCAATAATGCCAAGCAACTTGAGGACTCGCATCCGACAGTTATTATTGACGATTTCAAGTTCACTGGGCTTGGGGCTACACAGCAGTTGACTCCGTCATCCAACGACTCGTGCTCCAGGCTATATGCGTCGGTCGCTTGGAAGCCGGACCTGAGTCTTGTCGATGGCCAGGCTCTGCGAAAATTGGCCCAGGCCGAAGACGATGCTGGCGACATGGTGCAATTCTGTTCGACAGCCAACAGTCTTGTCAATGAGCTGTGCAGACTGGCTCTTCCAGCTCTTGACTGTGGCTCCGAGTCTCTGCCTCCTCATCTCCTGAAGTACGCTGCGTGGATGCAGACCAGGTGCAGCTACAAGACCACAGGAATGGTTACGCCTCCCGCGAGGCTGGACCTGCCCTGCGCAAACAACGCTATTCTGGAGCCCAAGGAAATGGCAGCCTTCATTGACAAATATCCCGTCGACGGCAAGCTACTCCTTCACGTCTTTCGATCCCTGGGTGCAGTTTTTGCAAAAGAGACGTCCCCCATCGCGTCCCTGATGGAGAACGAGAACTTCTCAAAGTTTTATCAACAGGCCTACGGCATACATGTCAACATGCGGATGTTGAAGTCCTGGTTCGACCTCAAGGCTCACAAGCAGCCAGGGCTCCGCATCATTGAAGTGGGCGCAGGGACTGCTTCAACCACTCTGCCAGTTTTACAGCAGCTTGGGCGGGACGGCGACACGTCTCCTAGCTTTTCTCAATGGACATTTACTGACATCTCTGCTGGATGGTTTGAGAATGCCAAGGAGACACTGCACGACTGGAAATCTCGTGTTGAATATAAGGTCCTGGACATTGACAAGGATCCCCTTGACCAGGGTTTCGACCTCGAGTCGTACGACGTGGTTCTCGCTGTCAATGTAAGTTAGACCATGTCTAGTCGTGGTCGGCGTACTAACTATTGCAGGTCCTCCACGCGACGAAGGATGTCAACAGGACGCTGCAGCACTGCAACAAGCTGCTCAAGCCTGGCGGTAACCTTGTCTTGGGCGAGTACACCAACACGAGCGATTTGGCGCACTTCATCTTCGGTACTCTGCCTGGATGGTGGGCCGCTGAAGATGGCAGGCTTGGTGGCCCATTGCTCACCCAGTCTCAATGGCACGAGGCCCTCCAGAAGGCGCGCTTTTCGGGTGCCGACATGTGCCTCGCGGATAACGACGATCCGAGCGCTCACAGAATGTCGACAATCATCAGCACGAAGCCACGCAGCAAGATCTCGGGCAAGGATATAATTGTGACAGTGGCACCTAGCTGCAGTGGGTCAACAAAGGTGCTGGCTTCAAATATCTGCCGTCATTTCCATCAACGGGGACATAAAGCGACCGTCAAAGACATCTCAAACGCAGTAGCCGAGGCGAGCGGCAAGACTGTTGTCGCGCTTCTCGACTACGACGAACCTTTTCTTGAAAATGCTCGAAAAGTCGACTTCGAGAACGCCAAGCATATCCTTATTCACAGTCGCGAGCTGCTTTGGGTTACCCGGTCCGACCCTGCGGATATGCCAGGACAGCCGGCGAAGCGGATTGTGTCTGGGCTCATGCGCTGCCTGAAGACGGAAGACTCATCTCGCCGGCTGTACGAGCTGCACTTTTCTCGTCCGCTCGACTTTGATGCAGAGTCCGTTGGCGTTGCTGTATACCGGCGTCTTTCCACCATCTGGGATGCCGCCAATGACCACGGCGTTCTCGATGAGATGGAGACGGCGGAACGAGAAGGGCACTACTGCATCCCCCGCTATGTGCCCGACAAGGCCATGAATGACAGTCTTTCACGTACAGTCCAGTCAGCCTCTGCCAAGCCACAAGTTGGTCGTCTGTTGCAAGCTGAACGACCTCTGAAGATGACAGTCGGCCAGCCCGGCAGACTCGATACGCTTCAGTTCGTCAACGACAACACCGCATCGCGGCCCTTGCTCGATGAAGAGGTTGAGATTGAAGTGAAGACATGCGGACTTAACTTCCTGTAAGCAGCCCACCAAAACACCCTAGCCGATTTTGCGACGTAGCACTGACAGAACAGGGACATCATGATTGCTATGGGCCAGATCCAGCGGCCCGGCCTTGGCCACGAGGCGGCCGGCGTAGTACGCCGCATAGGTTCCAGAGTGACCAGAGTCTCTCCCGGGGATCGCGTTGTATACATCGGCCAAGGAGCCATGCGAACTAATATTCGCTCCCACGAATCGGCCATCCACAAGCTGCCAGATAGTATTTCCCTGGAAGAAGGTGTCTCGATCCCCGTCGTTTATGCTACTGCATACCAGTCTCTCGTCGAAATAGCGAGATTGCAAAAGGGAGAATCCGTACTGATACACGCCGCTGCCGGAGGTAGAAACCCCCAACATCTATGCGCTGCTCGATTCTTGGCTGACATATGACCACCTCAGGCTTGGGGCAGGCGCTCATTCAAATCGCCAAGATGCTGGAGGCCAATATCTATTGCACGGTGGGCACCGAAGCAAAGAAGCAGGTCATGTTGGCTCTAGGTATTCGACCAGACCATATTTTCAGCTCGCGAGACCTTTCGTTCGCCAAGGGCATCAAGCGCGTGACAGACGGTCGGGGAGTTGACGTCGTTGTCAACTCTTTGGCAGGCGAGGCGCTGCGTCAGAGCTGGGGGTGTCTGGCTCCATATGGGCGGTTCATCGAGGTCGGGAAGAAAGACATCCTGGGCAACAGCGGGCTCGACATGCAACCCTTTCTCGACAATGTCATCTTCGCCGGCGTCAACCTCGAGGCCATGATGGTCAAGGAACCACTTCGGTGCTCCAAGCTAGTGTCCAAAGTGCTCGACTTGTTTGAGCAGGGTGCCATCGATTTGATACGCCCCATTTCAGTCCACGACTTCAGCGACGCCGAATCAGTTTTCCGGGAAATGCAGCGAGGAAGCCATATCGGCAAGTTGGTTCTCCGAGTCACGCCCGAGTCTCAAGTGGCCATAATACCACCGAAAACAGTCCCTCTACGTCTCAAGTCAGACGCGACTTATCTGCTAGTCGGCGGCTTAGGGGGCTTGGGGCGAGCCCAAGCACTCTTCATGGCAGAGAACGGGGCTCGCAATCTCGCGTTCATCTCTCGGAGTGGTGGCGCTCGAGATGAGGCCAAGAACCTCATAGCCAAGTTGGAAGCGTCTGGTGTCACGGTCAAGACATATGCGAGCGACGTTGCCGACAAAGCTCGGCTTAGGGAAGTCATTGAAGACATTTCTCAGAGCATGCCGCCTATTCGGGGAGTGATCCAGGGCGCAATGGTACTCGCCGACAGCCTCTTCCACAGGATGAGCTACGATCAGTGGGTGACTGCCACAAGGCCCAAAGTGCAAGGTGAGTTGTTCTTTCGGGAAGGGTTGCATAATGCGTAGACTAACCGAACCTCAGGAAGCTGGAACCTCCATGAGCTTCTGCCCGTGGACATGGACTTCTTTATTGTTCTCTCGTCCCTGGCCGGCATCATTGGCTCTGTCTCACAAGGCAACTATGCGGCTGGAAATACGTTCCAGGACGCGCTGGTGCACTACCGACAGCACAAGGGCCTGCCGGCCCAGAGCCTTGATCTAGGCATCATGAAGAGCATCGGTTACGTGGAAGAGCACGGCGATGTTGGAGCCCGTCTCAGTCAGTTTAAACTGGTTCGTACTCCTCGGCGTTTTGAGTATCGAGCTGGCCCACTAACCCAATAAATAGGCCAGCGTTGAGAAGCGCCACTTCATGCATCTCCTGCGATGCGCACTGGCCGGCACTGCCAATGGCGATACCTCGATGGCGCCGCAGTTGCTTGTAGGGGCCGGCAGCGGGGGCATCGAGCAGGCCACGCGAAAGACGGAGCCAAATGCCGACTTCTACTGGTTGCGCATGCTGGCACAGTTTGCCCATCTTCGGCAGACAGACATCAAGAACACGGATGCAGTTGATGACGACGACGGGCAGCACGGCGGGGAGAGCAAGATGATCGATCAGCTCAAGCTCTGCAAGTCCTTGGACGAGGCCAACGAGGCTGCGCAGAGTGTTCTGCTAGCTAAAATTGCCAACATCATCTCGATCCCCGTGGCTGACATCAACACAGCCAAGCCGCTGTACACATACGGCGTTGACAGTCTGGTGGCTGTCGAATTGCGCAACTGGTTGTCCATGGAGGTCAAGAGCGATCTGAGCATCTTTGATTTGACGAGCGGCGCCCCCATCAGCGACGTGAGCAAGAAAATTGCCAGCAGGTCGCAATTAGTTGCCGCTGTCGTGAGATCTTGTTAGGAGTTAGGGGCTTATTTTGTCGACACTGTAAGTCTGTAAGGCGCGTGGATTTATATAGCAATTGAGCAGAGGATTTCATTGAAGAGGCCTTCGTTTTCTCCATTTTCAGGTGAGTAGGGCTATTTGTAGAGCCAGCTTTTGCTAGTTGTAGAGCCCATAGGAGCAATAGCAGCAGCAACGACAGCAACGACAGCAACGATAGCATCAGGCACAGCGCCGCTGCCGTCTCGTGCCTGCGCTAATGCGCAGTAAAAATCGCTGCGGTAGCATGGGGGCAGGTAGGGCGCTGCTAAGAAAAAGTAAGGGCGGCTCTACAACACTAGCGAAATATGGCTCTACGAGTACGAATAGCACTACTCTTTTAGGCAGCCCATGAATCCACCACTGACTGGTTGGGTACAGCAGCCATATCGCGACATGTTGGGGTACCGCAGTCGCCCTCATTCCTGTCGTGCTTCTTGTACCTCTATCACCTCGCCCTACATCTACCTACATGCTATTCTACGACGTTACCAGTAAGGCTCGTCCTGGAGGTTTGGACGGGAAACCGAGGTCCGAGTGCGGCGAGATATATACAGAAGCCCTGCAAATAGAGAAACGGAATTTGCAAATAGTAATTTAAATCCACGAATCGCCCCGGGTCATGTGGGGCCCGCTGCTCATCGTCTCATGCTCACAATACTTTCAAGCTTTCACCTGTGCTCGTCTTCTCATCGCCGCCGAGACAGCCAGTCCTTTCAATCAAGTCAATTGAGACTTGCGCACCGCCATGGTCTCACGCGCGCGCTTCCTGCGCGCCGTCCAGGCGCCGGCGAGGCATTTGACGAGAAGTAGCAGCGCCACCATCACCAGCACCACCAGCAGGTGTGGCCGAATCGCGGCCGCCGGTATCGCTCCCGCCTCAACACCCTATCCAGCCTCGCGGCGGTGTCTTTCGACAACGGCCCCGCGCCCGCTGTTCGCCCGCCCGACTCCCGCACGCCGCGCCAAGCTCACTGCCGAGACGTACCCGGAGCTGAAGCGCGATGACCGCTTCGCCCGCGTGACGCCCCAGGACGTGGCGTTCTTTCGCGACCTGCTGGGCGAGGACGCCGCCGTAATCGATGGGGTTGATGGCAAGGCGGAGTCGTCAGACCTGGAGCCGTTCAATGAGGACTGGATGCACAAGTACCGCGGGCAGACACGGCTGGTCCTGCGGCCGGCGTCCACGGAGCACGTCAGTGGCATCCTGCGGTACTGCAACGAGCGCATGCTGGCGGTGGTGCCGCAGGGTGGCAACACGGGCCTCGTCGGCGGGTCGGTGCCTGTCTTCGACGAGATCGTGGTGAGCATGGCGCGCATGAACCGCATCCACTCTTTCGACGACGCCAGCGGGACGCTGGTACTCGACGCCGGGTGCGTGCTCGAGGTGGCGGACCAGTTCCTCGCCGAGCGCGGCCACATCTTCCCGCTCGACCTGGGCGCCAAGGGCTCGTGCCATGTCGGCGGCAATGTCGCCACCAACGCAGGCGGACTGCGGCTGCTGCGGTACGGGAGCTTGCACGGCAGCGTGCTCGGCATGGAAGCAGTGCTGCCCGACGGTACCGTCATGGACGACCTGTGCACGTTGCGCAAGAACAACACGGGCTATGACCTCAAGCAGCTGCTCATTGGCGCCGAGGGCACCATCGGCATCATCACCAAGCTGGCCGTGCAGTGCCCGCAGCGCTCGCCCGCCGTCAACGTCGCCTTCTTCGGCATCGAGTCGTACGAGAAGGCTCAGCGAGCCTTCCGCGAGGCCAAGGCCCAGCTATCCGAGATCCTTTCGGCGTTTGAGCTCATGGACGCCAAGAGCCAGCAGCTGGTGCACGCCGTGCGCGGCGAGAAGCGGCCCCTCGAGGGCGAGCATCCCTTCTACTGTCTCATCGAAACGAGCGGCTCCAATGGCGACCACGACTACGAGAAGCTGGAGAAGTTTCTCGAGGACGTCATGACAAACGACGTGGTCGCTGATGGCGTCGTGGCGCAGGATGCGACGCAGATCAAATCCCTCTGGAGCTGGCGCGAGAGCGTGCCCGAGTGCATCGGCCACTGGGGCGGCGTCTACAAGTATGACGTGTCGATCCCGCTCGCGGACATGTATACCATCGTCGACGACGTCAAGGCGCGCGTCGATGAGGCTGGCCTGCTAGGCGACACGGACGAGTTCCCTGTGCTGGGCGTCATTGGCTACGGCCACATGGGCGACTCCAACCTGCACCTCAACGTCGCCGTCCGCCGCTACGACAAGGAGGTGGAGCGCGTGCTCGAGCCGTACGTCTACGAGTGGATCGAGAAGCGCAAGGGCAGCATCAGCGCCGAGCACGGGCTGGGCCTCGCCAAGAAGCCGTACATCAAGTACAGCCGCAACGAAACCATGGTCGGGCTGATGAAGCAGATCAAGAACCTGTACGATCCGGTGAGTGCAGCTCCCCCCACGCGCGTGTTACTCTGCTTTTACCCCTGGCCCAATATGTCGTGTTCTCTCGCAAATGCAACGTCATCTTTGTGGCCGGTGCGTAGGGCTGACAGGGGTGTGTGCGTCCACAGAACGGCATCATGAACCCGTACAAGTACATATAATGGGCGGCGTGACAGGAGTGCTGGGGGGGTGGCGAGTAGAAGCTAAGCAGGGTGCGACTGCGAGGGCGGGCCGATTGCAGGATGAAGGGTCGGGCTCTGTAAACCATGCCATCGTTATGTTCGGACTATACGGAGTAGACGTGCAAGGAATCGTGTAGATGGCGATGATAAATGCCCGTTGCTCGCGTGAGACTGTCTCTCGGCTGTCAGAATCGGCTCGTGGTGGCAAGGGTGTGAACTGTGAAGGTGGGTGGGTGGACCGCTCGCGCCCGCAGCCACCCGCCGCCGCCGTCGTCCGCATAACGGCCCGCATGCAGCACGGATTACATACGTACCTTGCGTATTACTACGTACTTCCATTCGTTCCGAGGCGACGGAGGGAGGCCTCTAGTGATGAGTATCACAGCCTGGGTACACGCGTGTGTGTGCTCCTCTTGCTTGGCGGCCCGCCTCGGAAACCCAACCGAAGGGGCGTCGGACGCCGTGGGTTCGCTCTCGCGACGAACCATCTCATTAAACGCTGCGCCAATGGCGTCCGTCAAAGGCCTCCCGACGGCGACCTCGCGACCCTCAGCTCTCGTGGTCCTCGGACCAACCAGCGCCCGTGGGGGCGATCCGCGTCAGCCCTACGAAACTTAGCGCATGGCAGCTCCAACCTCTGGTGTGCTGCGGGGAGCCATCGTCCACCGTCCCTTGCCCATGACACCCCCGTCTCCGTCTGTTGTTTCCGTGCGAGCCATGTGAGTTCTGCGGTGAGGCTGAGCTCCAAGAGCTCGTCTTGCGAACCCCATTCGTCCGTGTCAAAGTTCCCCTTCTCGAACGCTGCCCATCCCGGACAGGGCTTCTAGTCCTACTCACCCGCGAACCAGAGGCCATACTCTGGCCCTCATTCGCACGAGCCTGCCCGAGAGCGACGGAACGAAAGGCGAGGGGTGGTCGGCGGAGCGTCAAACTCAGGCCATGGCTTGTGGGGTTGTCAAGAATGGCCCGAATGACACGTCTCCCGTGCCTCGTGGAGAGATGAGGGGATGCGGGACGGGAGGGAGAGGGAGCGAGCTGTCGTCGGCAAACGTATATAGGGCCCAGAGGGCCGGTACGACATGGCGTGGTGGCAAACCGTCGCTGCCAATCACCTCTTCCAGCCCCAGACATTCCGTCTGCATGTGTACGACACCTGCGTCCACCCGGTTGTAGTATACTGAGGCAGTATGGTTGGCGTCCCGGGCAAGTACAAAGGTTGCGAGACCTGTCGCCGGCGACGGGTCAAGGTGAGTCTCGTCGCCGACATTCGGCGGCCAGAACCCTTCACTCACAACCGGCAGTGCAGCAACGAGAGGCCATACTGCAGCAACTGCGTCAACAGCGGCAGGCAGTGCGAAGGCTATGAGCGCGAGCGCGTCTTCATCACCGGCACGCCAGAGACCAAAGGCCGTGTCGCGTCCCATCCAAAAAAGACCGCGTCGACCAAAAGGTCCAGGACCAGAGCCGACGGCGAGGTGCGGCCTCACATTGTCCCGGTGCAGCCTCTCACCTCGGCATGGGACGACTACATACGCCTTTCCAATCACGGCATCGAGACTTCGGCGCTGCTGACCGCCCTTCAGACGAACCTGCAGGGCGTTAGTGGACGGGACAGAGACGGTGTTTCTGGCTTCGAAATCTCCCTGCCAGCGTACGGGCCCGCGGAACTGCAGCCGAATCCTCGCGCCGACGAATTCAGCGTCAAGTCCAAGTGTCTGGCAAACTTTGGCGGGGACGATGCTCATGACTCAAACTCTGGGTATTGCGCCTTCTTGTTCGAGGTGATTATCCTGTCGTTGTCGTCTGATTGGCCGTGGAAACTGATGAGAGAGGCGCAGCAAAACTGGTCTGCCGCGTCAAGTGCCGACCCAGCATACGAGGAGAGTCTGATTAGGAGCCTGGGACCGAAATACTTTACCTCATTTCCGAACCATCAGTACTTTGTGAGGGTTCATCGCCCGTTGGCCGTGAGGACAATCCCTAAATGCCCCAACAGCGCAGGTAGAGTGGTCTACTGACAGCCTGGTAGGTTAGCCTTGCTCTTCTCAGTCGGCGCGAAAGCTTTCTGGCCGGCCCAGAGTGGATCTCAACGCCGTGGGTTGAGCACCCCAAGTCTCCCCTCGACCAACTCTTCGACATTGTGCTTTCTCTGCCGCCGATTTTTGCCGGCGTCGACCGCATTTTGCCTCTACCCGCGACCATGACACGACGGCTGAGCGCGCAGGATCTCCTGCAGAGCTGTCTCGCCCTCGAGACTCGGTTTCATCATTGGTTCGCTAGCGTCGTGGTTGCCTCGGGCAGTCAGCACCCTCCGTGGTGGTCCGACGAGCTGGGTAGCCCCGGTGGCGAGCTCCCGTTCGCGAACCCGTATACCTTTCGAGACGGACTGACGGGCATCATGATGTTGTATTACTGGATGTCCCAAATTCTTTTCCATCGTTGCGTCGAGTGCCTGCACGCCGCAATTTTCCAACCCGTTGTCGATGCGTATCCCGACATGTGGCCAAATTTGCCACCCAGCCTGCAAATCGATCCGAATCAATACCAGGATGGCCGGGATCTCGCTGCCAATATTTGCCGAGGGCTCGATGCTACTCTCAACAGCACGACCCAGCCGGATATGCTGCTGGCACCCATGACCGTTGCGCTGGACTTCTATCGGGACATTAATGCTACATCGCAAGACGGTGTACTCGAGATCCTGTGGCTGGAGGCGTTCAAAAGGCGTCTAGCTATGAAAGGTCAACATATTGCCACAGTTCTGCAGGGTCAGCGCTGGGTTGAGGTTGCCCGCTTCTGAATACGTGCCACGAATAATGTGTAAAACAAACTCATGTCTTGTACACGAATACATAGAGATGCGGCGGCCGGTCCACCGCTGATAAGGGTTAGGATAGAGATCAGGAAAAGTCTGAACCTTGCTAGAAGTCATGATACAGACGTATTTTAGCAGAGTATTAATCACAATTCAAGTATTTGGCAACTGAAGTTGTTCCAAGTGGTGCTGCCGGGTAGCTGCGAGGTGGTACCGCGTACAGTGCGTTTTACAGTGCATATTCCGCTAAAGACTGTGTATCGGGCCGCAGCCACGTTTCTCCGCTGCTGCTGCCGTCCAGGCACGCCTAGCTCCAGCCCGCCTCCGGTAGGCAGGCTACCGCCGTGACGAAGCTCAGTGCCTGTCTCGACCTCCTTCGCAGCATCCCGTCACCACCATCCCGCAGGCGTCGCAACCTCCGATCGCCCACACAACGCGTCTCGGGAGCTTCTACTCTACATAGCGACCACCCATTCAGTGTAGCCGGCTACCAGTCCTTCATCATGGCTTCAGGCTACGACCGAGCTCTGTCGGGTAAGCTCCATCAGACCAGCCACCGGCCAGTGAGCGATGCTAACAGCAAGCAGTCTTCAGGTCCGCGATCCTATCCATTCGCGCCCGTCACCGCTTCTAACCCGACTGCAGTCCCGATGGTCACGTGTTTCAGGTCGAATATGCCGGCGAGGCCGTCAAGCGAGGTGCGCAACTCCAATCGGCCGCCGGGTTGCGGTGAAGCTCACAGGGAACAGGAACATGCGCTGTTGGCGTCAAGGGCAAGGATGTCGTTGTCCTCGGATGCGAGAAGCGATCTGCGATGAAGCTTCAGGATACCCGAATCACCCCCTCCAAGATCCAGGTCTTGGACAACCACGTTGCCCTGGCCTTTGCTGGTCTCAACGCGGACGCCCGCATTCTTGTCGACAAGGCACGGCTAGAGTCCCAATCCCACCGGTTGTCCGTCGAAGACCCCGTGACGGTTGACTACATCACCAAGTACGTGGCTGGCGTCCAGCAGCGGTACACCCAGGCTGGTGGTGTCCGACCGTTCGGCATCAGCACCTTGGTTGTCGGCTTCGACCCCAACAGCAAGGTGCCTCGGCTCTACCAGACGGAGCCTTCTGGCATCTACTCTGCATGGTACGTTGCGTGTGTGGAATATAAGAGAAAACACCAACTAACGTCACGCAGGAAAGCGAACGCCATCGGGCGATCGAGCAAGACGGTCCGCGAGTTCCTGGAACGCAACTACAAGGAAGAGATGGACCGAGAAGCCACAATCCGGCTGGCCATCAAGTCCCTCCTTGAAGTTGTCCAGACCGGCGCCAAGAATATCGAGATCGCTCTGATGGCCCCGGGCGCGGCCATGGAGATACTGCCGACCGAAGAGATCGAGGGATACGTCAAAGAGATTGAGCAGGAGAAGCAGGAGGAGGCGGCAAAGAAGAAGACTGGAAGGACACCGGGAACGGGAAGTGCTACCATCCTGACGAGGAGCCAGGATGAGCCCGCAGAGTGATGAGCCGTATAGACGAACGCACTAAGAGGCGATGGCCACGTCGGGAAACCATTTGCTCGTAACGCTATTGTATCAACACGTGTAATGCCCGTCTTATGAGATGCAACACAGGGTGTGACCAGGGTGAAAATGAGATCCTCAACGCCAGAGCTTTCCAAATAACCAAATGCGCACCACGACCCTTCAAGCTTTCAACCCAGCTTGTCTGCCTCCTCGTCTGGATCGAAGATGCTCCTCAGTTTCTGTTGCCTTGTTCGCTCGTCCTTGAGCATCTTGTTGTTAACGCGAACATCGTCGCTCTCGACGGAGAGGGCGGCCTTGGGGGTCTTTGCCTCGATGACGAAGTGGTTGTCGCAGTGTGGGCAGTACTCGTCGCTTTCCTCAAACTGCTGCGCGTCTTTGCGGAAGACCTTTCGGCACTTTTTGCAGGCAAAGACCATTTCGAAAGACTGCATCAGGGTATGGTTTTCCTGCTCGGCATGACATTCGGCGCAATCGAACCACTTGCGGCCTAAATGACGTATTGTTAGGGAGAAGGGACCTCGGATGGCGGCCAGGAGGCGGAACCGCAGGGGACGTACAGCAAGGAGATCGAATCGCGACCTGGGCGTTGAGGATATGCTTGCTAGATAGGGTCAGTGTGTTGTTCCATAACGCCAGAGAGCCGGAAATACCTACCACATGATTGGCGACTACTCCGAGCGCGTCAAGGGAACGGTCGTCAGGATTTTGGGGGGCGTTGTCTCGCGGACAAGACCTGGGTGGTGAGTGACCTGGGTCGGATGGATGCACCCAGAAGAACGCCCTGGCGGGAGGTTTGGCGGGGGGAGCTCCCAGGGGCCGGCAATATTCCGGTGGGGCGAGCTCCCTTCATCACAGCCCAAGCTGGGCAGTAGTTAATAAGTTAACTAATGGATGGGTGGTTAGGTTTGCTCAGCGGCAGAGTTAGTCAGCACCGTGGACCCTGTACAAAGTGACGGCATCTGTGCCATTCACGGCTAATCCAACTTCGCCTCTCATTACCACATCTCGCCAGACTGTGGCCGGTCAACAACACGATGCCGCCGAAGAGGAAGGCCGCGCCCGCCGTGCAGGGCGGCGCAAAGGCAGGGCGGTCGTCTCGCATGTCCACACCGGGAGCGGCCACTCCTCGAAGCCTCGAGAGTGCTGAGGAACCAGACGACGACGATGTGCCTGTCGACGAGGTGCTCGAGCGTGATATCGAGAAGAACATCGATCAGTTCTCGCTCGAAAAGTACCAGAAGAAGCACGTCATACGAGAGCCTCTTTTCCATATTTTTGGTCAGAACGACTTTTCGTATCTCGACCTCAAGAAAGACCACCAGAACCGCCCACTGTGGATCGATCCCAAGAAGGGACGCATCATCCTCGAGAGCTTCAACCCGCTGGCCGAGCAGGCCCAGGACTTTCTCATCACCATAGCAGAACCTCAGTCACGACCGACATTTATGCACGAGTACGATCTCACAACGCATAGCCTTTACGCAGCCGTTTCGGTAGGCCTGTCGCCACACGACATCATCAACACACTCGAGCGCTTCCTCAAGACGCCCCTGCCGGACGAGATTCGAGACTTCATCAATAGCTGCACACAAAGCTACGGAAAAGTCAAGCTAGTCTTGAAGAATACAAAATACTACGTGGAGAGCCCGGATCCCAACATGCTGCAAATGCTGCTCAAGAACCCCAAGATTGGACCTCTTCGAGTCCAGGGGACTGAAGAGATCACCACATCAGCTGCTCCCAAGATTGGAGGCCTTGTCATCCCTGGAACAAAGAACGCGGCTGGCGTCAAGCAGGCGAATGGGCTACAGCAAGGGAGCGGAGAGCAGCAGCAACAGGACGGGCAACAAGTCCAGGCTGGCGACGTGCTCACGACGCTCAACGAAGAAGAAGACGACGATGACCAGGAAGTGACCCATTCCTTTGAAATTGCCGACAAGGACGTGGAGACGGTTCAGAAGGAGTGCCTAAACCTGGGCTTCCCGGTTCTGGAAGAGTACGACTTCCGAAGAGACGAAGCGAATGCCAATTTGGACATCGATCTCAAGCCTGGAACGCAGATCCGGCCGTACCAGGAAAAGAGCCTCAGCAAGATGTTCGGTAACGGCCGAGCAAAGAGTGGCTTGATTGTCTTACCCTGTGGCGCTGGCAAGACACTCGTGGGCATCACGGCTGCCTGCACGATCAAGAAGGGCGTGATAGTCCTTTGCACCAGCTCCATGTCCGTCGTGCAGTGGAGGCAAGAGTTCTTGAAATGGTCCAACATCAACCCCGACGATATTGTCGCCTTCACTTCCGACTCGAAGGGATCTGTCTTCACTGGCAGCACTGGCATCATTGTAACGACGTACTCCATGGTGACCCAGTCCCGTGCGCGGTCCTACGATGCCGAGAAGATGATGAAGTTCTTGACGGGCCGCGAGTGGGGCCTCATGCTCCTCGACGAGGTTCACGTCGTGCCCGCAAACATCTTTCGAAAAGTCACATCGTCGATTAAGACACATTCCAAGTTGGGGCTTACGGCCACCCTACTGCGAGAGGACGACAAGATTTCAGATCTTAACTTCCTGATTGGGCCAAAACTTTTTGAGGCGAACTGGATGGAGCTATCAAAGCAAGGTCACATTGCACGGGTGCAATGTGCAGAGGTGTGGTGTCCGATGCCCACCGAGTTCTACGACGAGTACCTGCGAGCCCCATCGCGCAAGAAGAACTTGCTGTACATTATGAACCCACGCAAGTTCCAGGCTTGCCAGTACCTGATCAACTATCACGAGTCAAGAGGCGACAAAATTATCGTGTTTTCTGACAACGTCTATGCGCTCAAGGCTTACGCGCTGAAGCTTGGCAAGGCCTTCATCTACGGTAGCACAGGCCAAGCGGAACGACTGCAAGTCCTGGAGAACTTTCAGCACAACCCACAGGTCAATACGCTGTTCCTATCGAAAATCGGCGACACGTCACTAGACTTGCCCGAGGCTACATGCCTAATCCAAATTTCCTCTCACTATGGCTCTCGACGCCAGGAAGCGCAGAGGTTAGGGCGAATCCTTCGAGCGAAGCGTAGGAATGACGAGGGCTTCAACGCCTTCTTCTACTCTCTGGTGTCGAAAGATACGCAAGAGATGTACTTTTCATCGAAGCGGCAGGCCTTCCTCGTCGACCAGGGGTATGCCTTCAAGGTGATTACGCAGCTGGCCAACATTGAAAAAACGCCCGGCCTAGCTTTCGCCACGGCAAGCGAGCGGCGAGAGCTGCTACAAAAGGTGCTGGTGGAGAACGAGTCGATGGAGGACGAGGACCCCACGGACGACCTCTTCCACAGCGGCACGATGGGGCGCAAAAAGAAGAAGGCACGGCGGACGGCGGGGACGCTGGGCGAGCTCAGTGGCGGGCAAGACATGGCTTACATCGAGCAGAACAAGAGGGTCAACCAGTCGCTTAAGAAGAAGAATGGCAAAGAGAGCAGTGCATTCTTCAAAAAGATTGGGCGAGAGAACGCGCGTCGGGCGGCTAACAAGTAGCATACGATACACCGGAGGAGTTGTTTTATCTGGGATGGCGTTACTTCTCGTGGCGGCGTTGGGCAGCATCTGGTACGCTGAAGGCAGGGCGTTCGTTCAATGACAAGCCGCTGCAATATAATGATACATGATACATTTTCATCAGGCGAGCCGCTCGAGGCAGAGACGCCGACTGGACTCCGCGGCGACCGTAGCGAGTAACTCGGCTGAGTCAGGCGAGGTACTGGAGGTGGCGTGACAAGCACAAAGGCGTTTCGGCGGGCGCGCTTGTGCGATCGTCGGCGGGCTCTTCGACCGGTGTGAGCGGAGGCTCTCTAGGTGACGGGCGTAGTTGTTGGAGCTGAACACGGCGGCTGCGCGTGCTTCTGAGCAGAGACGCGTGCGATGTGGTTCGGCCGGCGCAATGTCGCTGCTGGAGGGCGGCGGCGAGAGGCGGCGGCGAGACTGGACAACGCGCACGAGGGAACACGAATCAGACAAGGCGATCGGCGGGTTCGGCTTCCAGAAGCATGCTGGGCTGAAACGTGGCAGCGGGCGCAAACATGGGATGACTGTCGTGCATGCTATTCGAGGTGGAATGCGCGCGAATGCGGCTCGTGACATCATGCCGCGGCGGAGGGATGCGAGATTTTTCTGAGGGACGAAGTGCCGCGATAGGCGGCGTAACCGGTACAGGCAGTTCAGCCGAGATTCCATCACACACACGCGCACGCGCGCAGACGACCACCCCGTACGAGATCGGTACATGACATGTGGGTTGTGCGTCCGTTAAATCTGTGGGGGTTGCGCTGGCGTGAGGCAGAGAAGTATGGTGATCACTTGCATGTGCGGGCGCGCGCGGGCGCGCAGCGCGGCAATCTTGAAGCCCGTGTGTGTGATGGCAGTAGAGGGGAACCTGGAAATGATGCGGTGAATGATGAAGTGATGTGCGTGGGCTTGTCCCCTTGGTCCATGCTGGCGCCGGGCCGGGGCAGCGCCGGGGCGCTGCCAGATCCAAGGCTATCTGCACCTCAGCGGGCGATGCATCAGTTCTGGCTGCCTGACTCGAAAGCTCGTCGCAGATATTTGGAGCGCCATAGCAGGTACAGCCAGTGGTGAATGGTCGGTAGTCGGCCCAACTGCCGCGACTGCTACCAACCCAGGAAGAAACCTACGGCAGCGAGGTCAAAATAAAGCATGCATGCGCAGTTATAGTTGGCTTCCGAAATGCATGAGGTAGCAAGCATCACGGCAGATGCCAGAGCTGAACCATGGTGGCATCTCTTGGCATCTGCTAAAAGCCGCCGCCACCGCACGACCGTCCATTGTGACACCGGCAAGGTCCACACGGGCTCCAGCCGCGGTTTGCTCCAGCGGACGGCGCAGTGGACGCACGCCCCCCACCCCCCTGCAGGCTCGGGACAGCCCAGCGCACGAAGGCCTAGAAGCCCGCTGGGAGACTTCCGAGGTGGGATGTTTCACTCTGCCCGGTGGGCCGGGTTGGGTTGGCGCCACTGGCCGCCGGGGCCGGGGGGACTGTCTCTGCTGCTAATGATTGTCGGCCCCAATCCGGCGGATGGGGTTTCTCAGCGCTGGGGTCGGTTCTGCAGCAGGCCAACGGTGTGCGGGCAGTGACGATTGCAGTCCAAGACTCAGGATTCTGTTTGAAGTGCTGCAGCGGACGCAGGCGTTCCGCAGCTACCTTAGTAGTACTTGGTACGAACGTGTGGGTTCAGCCCGCGCCTCGCTACGGCTAGTCGCCATCGGGTTTGGCGATGCAAATCTGGCGCTGCGAGCGGCGGCGTCGAATTACAGGCGTGACGAAGTACGTACTCCGTAATATCGATGGGCCAGATGGCCAGGTCTGGAGTCAGCACCTTGGGCTAGGGAAAGTGGCGTCGCCAGGCCCTTTCCTTTAATCCCATCATTGATCCATGCCTGGGCGGCGCTGCCACGATTGGAAGCCACGGTGGATGGACGGAGGCCGCCCCTCCCCTCGGGATGCTTTTTGCCTTCTGCTTCCATCACCTGTTTTGATGGCCGCCTTCTCTGCCAGGCCTCTCCGACCCGTAAAAACGCCCATCGCCCAACGCCTCCTCGCTGCAGACGTGACCCGTATCCTGCCGTCGCCGCAGAGACCCTCACCTCACCCTCACGTCTGCCAAGACACCTGTGCGATCCGACGACACTTATTAGCGGCGACACCCCCAAGCCCCGCGGCCCTGCCTCGGTCGGAGGCAGGACCCTCTGATTCTTTGTTGCGCAGCTCCCCTCCCTGCGTTGCGGGACGGCTTGCCCGCACTCGACGGCTGCGCGACGAACCTCGCGGGCCGCCCGAGACCCCGTCCGGTTGGGCCACCCGCCTCGGCACTCGAAGGCTCGTGGTCCCTTTGACCGTTGCGAAAGCACTGACCAGGCGTGCCGCATCACGCGACGGAAACGAGGCGAGATACAAACGATACCGCCGCCGGCCGCCTTGGCTCGAGCCACCAAGGCGCAGCAGCCCTCTCAAAGGCGAAGCCCCCCCAATCGACTCGACGAGCAAGGGAAGACCCTCGGACGCAATATCCAGGCGCCCCATTCCGTCCCGTCGTCATTGCTTGCGCCTGTGAGGAGCCACTCCGGCCGTCTCTGTCATCCACCGACGCGGCGCCGTCTTCGTCCCTTTTTTTCGCCATTGCACCAACGCCAGGTCCTGGTCCTGCGCGGTTGAGACACCGCAGGCGCCCTTTCTGTTCCTTTGGCCTTGTGTCACCCGCTGCGGCCAGGGTCGTTCTGCAACGTGCCGCTATCCTGGCCGTTCGATTCGACGAGATCCCTTCCCTTCGCCAATCTGGGAAACCGCCTTCCCGGTGTCTGCGACCAGGCACAGGCACCGCCGCCATTCAACTCCGAGATAAGCACTGGCCCAGTCCCGCGCACGGAGAACCTGCTGGCCGCGCGACACCGCGGTCCTTTGTGCTCTTTTTATCGCACATTCCTCGTCACCTCACCGAGTCATTGAGAGAATAACTCCTCGCATCGTACGCCGCGTCTATAATTGCTACCGACACCGACTCGCCCTCATTTGGCTGCCTCCTCCAGCACAAACACCGGACGTGGCCAGTCTCATCGGGAGCCTCAAAGGCTACCGGATCCGAGCGTTGACGCAACACGCCTTGCGCCTGCAGAAACGTTCTCACGGGAAGGTTTGCGACCTGTCGCGTCGACTTGCTCGTCTTGCCGCTATTCGTCATACCCCCAGAAACGCCGTCACACAAACATGCTCATTGTGTCTCCTGTTCTGCATGTGATGTCCCTTGCCTGGACTCACTGGTGAATGACAAAGAGCAAGGAACATCACCATTGCCTGCACGCACAATCGGCCTGCCTCGGCCGTGTATCGTCAAATCTAAGCAAGACATAAGATACGGCCTCGATCCCTCGGGCTTCCGTCACGACCACAAAGCCCTCGACCGACCCTCAACACACCGCACCCTCCGCTAGACTTCATCTCCTCCACGAAACATCAAGAATCATGTTGGAAGGCACGCGAAATTTTCTCTGGGGGCAGCTGCTGGCTGCCAAGCCCGCATTTGTCTCGAAGAAGCCTCACTTCAACTTCATCTCAGTCCATTGTCAGTGTCTCCCGCTGCCAGGTCCACATGGCCTCTGAGACTTGCTAACCTTTCGCCAACAGATTTCTGGATCATTGGGGCGACAATCATCGCCTCAATAGCAATATATGCCTCTGGCCGGGGCCAGCTATCCTACATCGACGCACTCATGTTTGGTAGCGGCGCCAACACGCAGGCCGGCCTCAATCCGGTGGATCTGAACAGGCTTAATGGCTTTCAGCAGGGTATGATCTACCTGTTTGCCATGCTTTCCAATCCCATCACCATGCACTCGTGCGTCGTCTTCCTTCGCCTCTACTGGTTCGAGAAACGTTTTCAGAGCTGGGTCCGTGAGATTCGTTTGCGACGTCCGACCTTTACCAAGTCGAAGTCCAAGTCTCGCCCCGACGCGGAGCAAGCCAAGTCCGTCCAAGGAGTCAACGGCCGCAACATTACTGTCATGCCACATAATGGCCGCACGCCAAGGATCACCAATGATGGCATCCTGTTGGATGACGGCCCCGACCACCAACTCAGGCCCACGGGCGTCGCCAAGAGCGATGAGAGTGACACCACCACAGTGAGTGACGAGAAGTCCAACGGAGGTGCGGTTGGCTCTTCTGAGGAGCACCCTGCCGAAAACGCCGATGGCGGCGCCGGTGTGACGGGAAGCGGCCAGCCATTGGAGGAACAAGCCCACGGCCAAAGGGCTGACGGCAACAACGTCACCCATACGGCAATCTCCTTCGCTGATACCGTCAAGAGAAGCGACGGCATGGGGGAGGATACGTTGAAGGTCCCCCAGCGCCGAACACACGCCGAGCACATCGCCATCCTGGAGCGGCAGCGCCAGGAAGACACCGAAGTTCTGAGGATTCCTGGACCACGAGATGCAGAGCGGGGCGAAGGGCCTAGGCGGCTTCAGGCCGAGGAGTCGCAGTACGACGACGAGAATGCCCTCGCCCGCCTTCAGACGGTAGACTCGCGCGTTGACCAGCAAGCCGCGGGCGCCGGCAATCGCCGCGGGCGGAACCCGACCATCACCATCGCGGAGCCCGAGTGGCGCCACCGGAAGGAGGAGATTTCAGAGGACGCCAGGGCGGCAGCCGGCACACTCGAGTCGCTGAGGTTCCGCAAGCCCCGCATCTTCAACTCTGGGCAAAAGCGGTATCACGAAGACGGCGAGGAGAGACAGCCTCGCCCCGTCCGGACGCGAACGATAGACACCATCCGTTCTGCTTTGTCCAGAGACAAGCAGGACGAGATGCCCTACCTCTCCTACACCCCCACCATGGCCCGAAACTCCAATTTCATTGGTCTGACGCTGGAGCAGCGTGAAGAACTCGGTGGCATCGAGTACCGCTCGCTAAGAACGTTGGCTCTCATCCTCCTCTTCTACTTTTGGGGTTTCCAGCTCATAATTCTTGCATGCCTCTTGCCGTACATCTTGCACAACAACACTTACGGAAACATCGTCGAGGATGTGGGGGTGTCGAGGACGTGGTGGGGCTTCTTCACGTCCAACGTGGCCTTCATGGACGTTGGGTTCACCCTGACGCCCGATAGCATGATTTCGTTCCAGAAGTCTCAGTTCGTCCTGATGATCATGTGGTTCTTCATCATCATCGGAAATACGGGTTTCCCCGTCATGCTTCGCTTCCTCATCTGGATCACGGCAAAGGTTGTGCCTCGAGGGTCTGGTGTGTGGGAGGAGTTACGCTTCCTGCTTGACCATCCGCGTCGATGTTTCACCTTGCTGTTTCCGTCTGGGCCCAACTGGTGGCTGTTCTGGATCCTCGTGGTGCTCAATGCCCTGGATCTCCTCTTCTTCCTGGTTCTTGATGTAAGTCGAGCGTCTTGTTGTTCCCAGCCAGAGGGCACTTTTCTAACACGTCGCAGCTCGGCGCCGAGCCCATAGCCCGCCTTCCCCTCCACAACCGCGTGGTTGTTGGCTTCTTCCAGGCGGCGTCGACGAGGACAGCTGGTTTCTCAGCCGTCAGCCTGACGGAGCTCCACCCCGCGATGCCCGTCCTGTACATGATTATGATGTACATTTCCGTTTTCCCCATCGCCATCTCCATACGAAGGACCAACGTGTACGAGGAAAAGTCGCTGGGAGTCTATCACGACCGCAATGTGGAGGACGACGCCGACGCCCCTGCGTTGAATTACGTGGGCAGTCACTTGCGACGGCAACTCTCATTCGATTTGTGGTATGTCTTCTTGGGCTTTTTCATCCTCACCATCAGTGAAGGTGGCAAGATCCAGGACGGTAACTTCAACCTGTTCGACGTCCTCTTCGAGGTGGTGAGCGCGTATGGCACAGTGGGTCTCAGCATGGGCGCGAAGGGCATCAACGCATCGCTGTGCTCCGAGTTTTCGGTAGTCGGCAAGCTCGTCATCATTGCGATGCAAATCCGTGGACGACACCGTGGCCTCCCGTACGGCCTGGACCGCGCCGTCTTGCTTCCCAGCGAGGCTCGGTTCCGGAAAGAGGCGGAAGAGGCGGAAGCAATGCTCGCCCGCGTCAATACGGGTGTATCGGGCGCCACGACCTCGGGCATGCAACGACAGCCGACCAACACTAACACCGCCCGCAGCCGGAGCAAGAGCCGCGAACGACCTCCGAGCAACGTGATAGCTCAGTTCCTCCACCCTGGTCCCGTGGTATATCGGGATACGGCCGTCTCGAATCATCACCGAACGGGTTCTGGAGACTCCCGGAGACCATCGCTAGGCCCCCGAACGAACACGGAGCCAGTCATTGAGGATGAAATGGAGAACTTGACGGAACTCAACAGCGGCGGGTCGTCACGTTTCAGCAAGCCACGGAGGGTCGAGACGGCGCCAGAGTTTTAGACAAACCCCTGGCGATGACGCGCCTGAGAGCCGACCTCGGCTTGGTCTTCGAATTGGTATCCTCCCTTTTGCGCATAGCGATCACACATATCCTGTACAACGACACCCAGTCCGCAAGGGCCATCTGCTTTCGAGGGGTACACGGCGTACGGACGCCAACCGGAGGCAGTTTTTTTTATAGAAGGCAAAACGTATCGTGGATATGCATCTCGTCAGTGGCGAGTAACGCGGAGAAAGAGGCATATTTTCTGGCGTGTATCTGGTGCATTTCTTTTTCCCAATGGTACAGGGGGCATTTCCAGCAGTAGGCTTGGGCGCAAGCTTCTTTTGCCGTGGGCTCTGGTGCTTGAACGAGAATCCGGCTTGGCCAAGCTTGGACATTGAACTAGCTCGACATGTGCCACTGATAGCTCCGGGTCCATCATGAATCAACAACATGACAAGAAAGACGCCTCACGTGCTCTGAAACCGTGGAAGTCTTTTGAAGGAAATATCGCTGACAATGTGAAGCAATGCAACATCGTGCTCTATGTGGTACCATCCGGGGCTATGCCAAAAATTACCCTGTCTCACGCCAGAAGACAATCCCGCCATACCTGTCGTTATGTTCAAATGAAATATCGTCCCAATGCCATTTGGTGGTCTTGTGTAGTAGTCCTTCACTTCTCCTCGAACGCGTCCATGTTCTTCAGCGCATTGGCCAGCCGCCTATAATCCCTCAACAGGTCGAGCACCTCCCCTAGACGGAGTTCGCCAGGGCTCTGGAGCTCCATGAAACGCTTGTTCGGGGGCGCAATCTTAGGCACCTGCTTGGGCGGGAGCGCGGCAGCAATGTCAGGGAAGGCCTGCCACTCGTTAGCCAATTGAATGTATGGGTCACTTCAGGTTGCGACATACCGACGCCAAGTCGCCCCCGTCGGCAGTCTTGCCGACATCCTTTGACGCCGCGGGGGTCGTGGGCGCACTGCGTCCAAAGCCCCTGAAACCACCAATACTCGACAACCTCGCCATGGGGTTGAAGGTGCTGCCTAGGTTACGCACCTGCTCTAGAACAGCAGGGCTCTGTCCGGATGAGAGCAGCGACGGTGTCGTGGCCTTTGGTTCTTCGGAGAACAACACCTTCTTGGAGGAGCTAGCGCTCCTCGAGCTTTCCACGCTGGCATCTCGACGGCCGCCGATCATGTTGAGGACTCGGTCCTCGCGTGCCGATGGCCTTTTCAGCCGCTCAGCATCCTCAGCACCAATTGCTGAGCTAGCACCGCTGGCGTTGTCTTCCTCTTCCGGTGGCGGCGTACTGACAAGCTTGCGTGCGTCGTCGAGGGTCCGCGGAACGGCTATGGACTCCTTTGGTCCCTGCTGACGCTCCCGCAATTTGCCGAGGAGGAATGAATAGCTCTCGCCGAGACTGTTTGAGATGGTCTTGAGACCTTGGTCCGCCGTTGTAAAGACGGCGTCGCTTGCTGCACCGAACGCCTGTGCCGGAGTGTTGACCAAGTCACTTAGTCGCCGGTTCCGCAAGACGTTGGTGGCCTTAAGTCCCGATGGCGAGGGCGCAGGCTTTGTGGCAGTGGCATTTTCGGGTGCAGCGTCGCCGGTGGTACTAGTAGGCGCTGTAAGTCCTTGGGGATACGCAGGAGGGAAAGTCTCTGTCTTCGGGGTGCCGGATTGGTTTGAAGTCTTGGGGGGCCCGGAAGGATGTTCGTCTGCTCTCAGGGTAGCAAGATCAACCGTTTCCAGAAAGCTGATGGCCGCCTCCAGGTTGGTGAGGCAGTACGCCGCCTCGCCGGTTAGTTTCGTCTCCCACCTGAAGCTCTGAATGAAGTGGAGGTCGCTGATGATATGTAGGTTCTCGGGTGGCAGTGTAATGAGGGTATAAATCAGCATGGGCATGATCTCATCCGCTGATGCAGACGGGTGAAAGCGAGCAAGGGTATCGACAATGCTCTTATGGGCCGCCTTGAGGTGGTTGAGCTTGCCAAGGGGATATCTCGATTCGCTCATGCGGGTCATGTCCACCCTGGCCTGGTGAAGAGCCCCACGGATCCCGTCTCGCTCGTCTTCAGCGACATCGGCAGCCTGCGGCGCTTGATCAATAATTTCGATGCCAAGATCGACGGGGCCGATGCCAACGAGCGCCAGAGCTGCAGTTTTGGATCGTAGCTTGTCGTCCTGGGCCTCGTCTTGCGTACTACTGTGCCGGTATATCCGATCATAGATGCCCTCGCAGAGCCTTCGCTCGACTGCTTCCTCGAGAAGGCCACGCTTTGTCTCGAGCGCCTTCCTCGCTCGTTTCCGGCTGGCCAGCTCCTCGGCGGTGATCATTTGCTGCTCTGCCTCAACCTTGGGCTTATCTTTCGAGCCGAGGGACGTAGCCTTTGATCGCAGACGACTGGCGGCCGCGGACATGGTGTTGGCCGGTGCAGCGGGAGAAGCCTCGCGGCTTTGACGGTAAGCCAAGGCACTAACATGGGTGGCAATGTGCGAGGATGCCGTCGTGTAGAAGTCTTGGAAGAGCTGTGACAGCTTGTCGATGTTTGGAGGCGTTGGATGCACCTTGGCGCCGAGAGACTCGATGAAGCTGCGGGATGCGATGCAATGTTAGAGGCGACATGAGGCCAGCTTTCGATGAATGTGTAGGTGGACAATACCCACCTGTCCGTCAAGGTAATCAGCTCGATGGGCAGGTCATCGAGCTCGACGGATGCTCTCGTCACCTCGACATTGTCTTCTGGGTCGGTCTCGCTCGTCTCGAATGCGTCGGGGCCATCGCTGGGTCCAGCAGGGGCCCCATTGTGGAAAGTATGGGCTCGTTTCGGCGGTTTCAGGGCGTCGCGGTCGGCGACAGCACCAGGCGAGTGCTGCGGGAACGAAGGCGCGCGCGACGCGGCGGGCCGGCCTGGCTGAGGGGACGTTTTGGAAGGTTGTGAGGGCATGTGGCGCTGAGAGGGCGGGTAGACTATCATTGCGTAAGCCTGGGCCCGCGGAGACGGTCGTGGGAAGATGGAGAAGTCGGGACGTGTTGAAGCGGTGGCAGCTCCCCAAAGAGCGGGCGGAGACGCATTCGAGAAAAGAATATGGGGTAGAATGGTTGTGTGGTGGAAGATTGAAGAACGCACCTGCCGGCTCAAAACGGCCACGAGAGAAAGATGAGCAGGCGTAGTCGAGGGCGGTCCGGCCAGGGCGAGGGGCGTAGCAGAGTACGTGTACGAAGTACAAAGTCTAACGAGGGCGGTGGTGCGTTGCGGTTGCCTTGATGGTTCGTTTGGCTGACGTGCGAGACACGGAATTGGATCGGATAGCAGGAGCGGACAGGGCGGGAATGGGGAGCAAGTGGCGGGAGCACTGGGAACGAGTTACGCAGGCGCAGCGGGAAGGTAGTCGCGCGTCTCGCTCGCCGGATGCAGTTGACACAGGAGGCGGGGGTACTTGGTAGTCAGGGCAGTCGATCAGCCCGTCGACCACGTGCGCACAGGGTGAGGAATGGGCGAGCGAGCGGTCTGTCTTATGGTTCGGCTGTCGTGGGAAATCACTGGGGATGACGAGAAGAGAACAAAAAGCATGACGCGAGGAAGCTCTCGCAGCTGGCAGTCCACTGTAGGTACACAGTGATAGGCGATAAGGCGCCGCCAAGGCCAGTCATCAGCGAGCTGGAGGCATCGAGGTCCCTGGACCTGCCTGGACGGGGACTGGACCTGTAGCATCCATCCATCATGCATCCTGGATCGCGTCAGAGCTCCACCACTTCTCATGCGGACGGGGTCTTAGCGCCTCACGTCCCGTCGCCAATTGACAGGGCTGCCGTCGAATGGCAGTTTGGCCCAGGAGGCTGTCCCGAGCTGGCGCCCGCGTGCTAGAGATGCACTTTAAAAGGCAGTTTGGCGCCCACTGCCGCTGGGTGGTGCCCCTTTGTAGGTACAGGGGTGCGCTCCTGCTGTACTTTACTCGTTGGTACTCGTAGGTGGTGCCGCGCACATGCTGGCGACGGCCAACACTGAGGTTGGACACAGCCGCCGGCGCCGCCGCCACTGGGATCGACCACGCCCAGCTAAAATGTGTTCCGTAGCACAAGCAACGTTCGACGCCACGGCTGCGTCGACATTTTGACTCACGACGCTGGGGGGTTGCAAGCTTGACAGCGAAAACGTCAGACGGCGCAGGTCTCGACTCCCGCCTGAGTCTTCTCGCCAGCCGAGCCCGGCAGACCTGGGCACTGTGAGACGCCCAATCTCCAATCACGGACATTTGGCAATGTTCCGGGCGCTCCACCACCCGCGCCCCCGGGGACCCCAAGCCCCCTCCACTCCCCCGCGGTTGTCGAAGCCGCCCGCCACCAGGACGCGACCCAAGGAGCTTGGCCCGCGGTGTCAGCGACAGGCCCCTTCGGCCCACAGGAATATCCTGCCAGGGGAGCTGGAGCTGCAGTTCCCTCCCAGCGGCATCGGCTATCACAGCCCAGGCTGTCGTTGGTGGCCCCGGCTCATGGCGAAGCCGGGTTCTGAGCCGAGCCACAGCCGGAGCCGCCCCGTCTTCCTCATCTCACCTGCTCTTTGAGTCTTCTTGCCGCCATTGCATCCATTTCACTGTCGCTCACAGAGCGCACCTTTTTGCCCCGTCTCGACAAACGCCTTGGACGCCCTCTGCCTCGACGTGACAAGCACCATGTCGGGCCCTCCTTCGCGCATCCGCTCCATCCTCAACCACCTCCTCCCCTCCTCCCCGGATCCTCCTCACATCCACCACCTATCACCGACCTTCTTTCTGGAGCGCGCCGCCGCCGTTGAGCCCAACGCCGATGCCATCCTCCACATCACTGCTGCCGGGGCCACCGTCCGCCGCTCCTATCGCGAGTTTGCCGCGCGGGCCATTGGCCTCGCCTACTTCCTGAAGAAACATGGCCTAAAACGGGTCGGTATCCTCGCGCCAAACACGCCCGCCTTCCTGGAGTCCATCTACGGCATCGTGGCAGGCGGCGGTGTCATCGTGCCTGCCAACTATCGGCTCAAGGAGGACGATGTGGCTTACATCTTTGAGTTTGCCGAAGTGGACTGCATCATTGTCGACCAAGAGTTTGAGGGCCTGCTGGCGGCTTACACCAAGAAGCATCCCAACACGCGCCTCATCGTTGACCTGGACACGGACAAGACAGACGGCCCTGGATGCGGCCCATTCAACGAAGCCGTTCTGGAGGGTCAGGCGTACGACAGGGAAAACGGCAGCCAAGGATGGGTCAATCTGCAGTCCAAGGCCACAAACGAGGACGACATGCTCGCCATCCCCTTTACATCCGGCACCACCTCCCGACCCAAAGGCGTCGTCTACACCCATCGCGGCGCATACCTCGCAGCAGTCGGGAACATCATTGAGTCTGGTCTTAACGTCGGCCACTGCAAGTATCTGTGGACGCTGCCCATGTGAGTTACGCGCAGCCACGGTCGCTATGGCATGTGCCAAGTAGCTGTCATCTTTGCTGACACCTGAGCGCCAGGTTCCACGCCATAGGGTGGACGTTCCCGTGGTCCGTCGTGGCCGTGCGAGGCGTCAACGTGTGTCTTCGAAAGATTGACTACCCCCTCATCTGGAAGCTCTTGAAGGAGGAGGGCATCACGCACTTCAACGCAGCACCAACCGTCAATACACTGCTCGTCGCAGCCAAGGAAGCGGAGAAGTTGCCGCGGCCTGTGCAGGTCACGGTCGCTGCGAGTCCTCCCAGCGGTCACCTCTTTGAGCAGATGGTATGGCAATCTCGGCCGTTGATGATGTTTTAAAGGGTCATTGCTAATCTCGGTAGACGAACCTCAATTTGATGCCCGTGCACGTCTACGGCATGACAGGTCAGTTTTTCTGCACGTCTGCGGCGCAATGTCCCGATTCCCTAACCCTGGTTCTGCAGAAACCTACGGCCCCATAACAAAGTGCTACCATCTTCCCGAGTGGGACAACCTCAAGCCCCAGGACAAGTACGCGAAGATGGCACGACAGGGCCACGGGTTCATCACCAGTCTGCCCATCCGCATCATCAAGCCAGACCAACCTGAGGGCGTCCTCATCGACGTGGCCAAGGACGGACGCGAGATCGGCGAGATTGTCTTCTTTGGAAACATCTGCGCAAAGGGCTACTACAAGGACGAGGAGGCGACGCGCAAGCTATTTGCAGGCGGTGGCCTGCATTCTGGCGACCTGGCTGTCTGGCACCCGGACGGTAGCGCGCAGATCCTTGACCGGTCCAAGGACATCATCATCTCGGGCGGCGAGAACATCTCGTCCGTCGCGCTCGAGAACATGCTCGTGCAGCATCCGGACATCCTCGAAGCGGGTGTGGTGGCCGTGCCGGATTCGCACTGGGGAGAGCGACCGAAGGCGTTCATCACGGTCAAGGAGGGAAACAGCGTCCAAGGCGAAGACGTCATCCAGTGGGCCAGGAATCAGAGCAACATCAGCAAGTTCATGATACCCCGCGAGGTCGAGGTGGTCCCGGAGCTGCCCAAGACGAGCACGGGCAAGATCAAGAAGAATGACCTGCGAGAGTGGGCCAAGAGTGGTCGCAAGGCGTAGTACAGCGTGTATTTTCTTGGCCGAGGGAGAAATGGATCTCCTCGCCCGTCTATAGGACCGTCGACCGTACCATACCCGGATTTAGGACATCATGAACGTCGTTAGGAGCCTCCTCTTCATGGAAGGCCCGTCATTTCACATTGGCAGGGAATAATGCGCCCTTGCCGCCCTTGTCCAGTCCGTCTAGGGTCGTCATATCGTCGTCGTCGAGAGCAAAGTCGTACACGTCGCTGTTTTGCTTGATTCTGTCGGGGTTGCCGCTCTTGGGCAGTGGGATCCACTCCTTTTGCAGGCCGTATCGGATCAGTACTTGAGCTGGAGACTTGCCGTGCTTGGCTGCGATGCGGCCGAGCGTCTCATCGCCAAGGTGCTCGCCGCACGAGAGTGGGCTGTAGGCCTGTAGGGCAATGCCCTTGTCGCGGCAGTACTGCGTGAGTTCGCGCTGCTGGCACCAGGGGTGAAGCTGACGGTCGTCAGTACCAACACAAAAGCGCCAGTATGTGTCAAGCAGGGTATTTTATGTTCATACCTCGAGCTGGTTGACTTGGGGTGGCCAGATCTGAGCGTACTCCTTCATCTCCTCGATGTGCTGCGGACGAAAGTTGCTCACACCAATAGCCTTGGCCTTGCCCTCGGCGTAGAGCTTCTCCAGCGCCTGCCACATCTCCTCGCGGGCCTCTCGCTTGGTACCAGGGATGTGAACGAGGAAAAGGTCGACGTAGCCGCCGTCTCCACCGAGCTTGTGAACGCTCTCGAGAGCGCTTTGGTACGTCATTTCGGGGCCGCCAGGAACAGGGTTGCGGATCTTGTTCGTCAAGAAGACATCCTCACGGCGAAGCTGCCCGGCGGCGATGGCCCGCTGGACAGCAGCGCCGACCTCAGACTCGTTGCGGTAGAGCTGGGCCGAGTCGATGTGGCGGTAGCCAGCATCGAGAGCGGCGAGGACGGCGTCCGTGCAGGATTTCGAGTAGAGCTGATAGACGCCGAACCCTAGGCGGGGGATGGAAACACCATTGGGGTTGTTGGCGAGGGGCGCGGCAGACTGGATGGTGAGCTGAGGCATGATGGGGAAACGACGAGCGGCAGGGAGACGAATTGAGATGCAAAGGAGAAAGAATAAGAAGAGAACCAAATCGACAGAGAGACGAAGGGCGTAACCCGCTGACGAATTCCATTTACACTAGGGATGCAGGTGAGTTGCACCCTTATCACTCAGGGTCGTCGAGGGGTTGATGATCGTCACGGCCATGACATGCCTGGACGCGCGCCGTGGAGCCTCGAATTGCCACTACTACCCCACCTTCGGCTTCTGCCAGGACACGCTAAGGGGCCTCCTCCGCTGGAAGCGGGGCGCCGCGGATCGGATATGATCAATGCCTTGCATGGCGGCGGGTCTGGCAGCCTGCGTTGTGCAGGCCTGGTTGGCAGAGATGTCAGTGTTGGGGGGCTGGCCGAGGCGTGCTCACGGTAGGAGGTCTTGGAGGTGTTGAATGGCCGCGTGCAAGGGCTGTTGATGCTGATGCTGGCGAGCGCCGGCCCCTGGTGGACGTTTGCGGCAAGGGGTCTGCGCGAGGTGGGGGAGCCTTCCAATGGGTGGAAGCTGTAACCTAATTGTACGGCCTCTGCGCTCAGCGTCTGCAGCAGTGTCTGCCTTGCTGAAGGCGCCCGCCCGGACACTCCACTGCCCCACCAGGCGAGACCTGAGGTGTTCCAATGTTGCGTCACTGCCCCCGAAGCATGTCATGGAATGATGGAATGAATCCGCTGGCGGCTGCTGCTCCCGTCCGCCGTTCCCGCCCATCCCGCTCCGTTTTCCATCTCCTTCTGCGGCACCACCTTGTCCCGCCACAAACCACCGCCAATCATCACCAGTCCGCCCACACATCCTGCTATCTTGTCGAGCACCGCCCGCCAGGTGGAAGACGCGGAATCCCTTGGCCAGCCCGCCACTCGCGTGCTCAAGTCAAGAGCGCAGAGCACATAAGGAAGGGCAGGCAGGCAAGCAGCCTCGGAGCGATAGCAAACGACCTGCGGACTCGGCACAAAGCCCACTTCGCTTCATATCCCGACATCCGACATCCGTTCGCCATGAGCGTGCTCCGTCCGCTGCGGGGCGGGTGCCAGTGCGGCCGCAACCGCTACATCATTGCCGTGCCGCAGGATGGCATCGGCGAGGCCCAGGTGCTCTTCAACACGGAGCCCGTCCACCGTAAGGCGGCCATCCACTCCCCGTGTGATTTGCTGTGATGACGATGAGCAAACTCGGAGCTGACCGGCTGTGCGCGCGCGTACAGAAATTCCTCTAGCGACGCCGCTCGCGGCCTACATCCGCGTGCCGCTCTCGTGGTACCACAGCACGACGTTCGCCTTCTTCCCGGACGAGACGCACAGCATGATTCGGCGAGCCTACACGCACCCGAGCCAGCAGCACTCGAAGCGACACTTTTGCGGCTTCTGCGGCACCCCGCTGTCGTACTGGTCTGAGAACCCGCGCAGTGAGGCCGACTACATCCAGCTGACGCTGGGGAGCCTGCTGCGGGAGGATCTGGCCGACCTCGAAGACATGGGCCTGATTCCCGACGACACGGATGACGAGGCCGAGAGCAACGAGCTACAACGACGAGAGACGCCGACCAAGAGCACGGCCTTGCGCGAGTCGCTCGGCGTACCGTGGTTCGACGGCATGGTCGATGGCACGCGGCTAGGCAACCTGCGACGCAGCCAGGGTGTGCACCGCTCCGAGGACGGCAGCGTGCGCGTCGAGTGGGAGATTGTCGAGTTCAGCGACGCCCCCGGCGGCGAGGACGTGGACATGAGCACGGGCTCGCGCTCGCCGAGCAAGCGGAAGCTGAGCGATCGTGAGGCGTAGGGAGCGACTGACGTGCTTGATGGACTGCGTTGCACGCTCGGATATGCATGTTGCTTGCTGCGTGCGTGCCATGTCGGGGCGGATGGACAGGGCTCGATGAATGAGGCTGAGGGCGAGCTCATGGCCCGCCTTTGCGGGAGCGAGGGAACCCTCATGACGATGGGTTGGGTGCCGGCGACCGAGGCGTCTTTAGGGTTCTAATTGGGAGGGGCGTTCATACATTTGTCTTGTGTCATCTTCGGAGGTAGGCATTCTACCAGAAAACGAACAGTAGAGCTGGCAGCTCGCGGCAATGGCTGTGGATAAATCTACATTGTATACTCCGCGCCCAACACGGGCGCGTGTCGTGGACCGACGGTATCGAAAGACCCGCTATGCAGTAGGTACAGTACGCGAACACGCTTCCCGGTTCGTTACAGTAGTTTGCTCAGTCGACGAACCGGGACGTACGCACTCCCGTCCGTCGTTCCGAATAAGGTAGATAGATGCCTTGCACTGCGATAGCACAACGTTTCACGTGGCACAGGCGAAGTCTGCATCAGGTTCTGGAACGATGCGGCGTCTTCGGGGCTCCAGCTGCAGCAATTCATCCGCCAACAGCCGGAAAGGCGGGCCGACGGAGCGGCTAACAGGCTGCCCAGATAGCAATTTATCCTCCCCCAGGCCCGCCAAGTCTGCTGGGCCAGCGCCGCCGAGCACCCACCAGCATGGATGGAATTGTCCGTCAAGGGACTGTGTGCTTGCCCCTCCCCCACACCGATGGCGGCCCGCCCCCTCCTCTCGTCTGATGCTGACTTTCTGGGCGTCCAGTCTCCTCGCTCGCGTGTTGACTCTGTGCTTCAGGTCGCGAGGTCCTATTGAAAGCTGCATGCTGCGGCCGTCATTCAACCGGTGTGTCTGGGACTCACAGCTGACGACGGCCAACGGCAAAGCTTGGGCTCTTGTCCCGCACGAATCCTCGTATCAAGTATTACATTCAACGGAGCACTCGGTTTCCTGGGATGGCTTCGCCGCCCCGGAGACGTGGGCCGACACGCGCCCGCGTCGCTAGCTTGGCCGATGGGGGCGGACCCCTTCACGATTCGGCGGCGCGGGTATATGCGACGCCAGACACGTCTCACGGCAGACGGGCCGAGTCGACGTCGCTGCCACTTGGATAAATAGACACGACGTCCCCCGGAGCGACGTGTGAACGACTCTTCATCCCGTGCTCGACCTTCCTTGCGCCCAACGTGTGTGTGTGCTTTTCAACTTCACCCTCTCCTCGCCCATTCCTACTCGTTCGGCACACCGGAAAACACCACTCGCAAATATGGCCCTGCGGAGCGACTTCCTCTGGGGCTTCGCCACGGCGTCGTACGTTCCCTCTACCCGCCTCGCGGCCGCATGGCGCAGCTGCACGAGGTTGCGGCATTCTCCTCGCTAACGGAATTATGCACAATGCAGGTACCAGATCGAGGGCGCCATCGACAAGGACGGCCGTGGCCCCAGTGTCTGGGACGAGTTCTGCAAGCGGCCCGGCAAAATCGCCGACGGCTCATCGGGCGAGGTGGCCTGTGACTCGTACAACCGCACCGCCGAAGATATCGCCCTGCTTAAGTCGCTCGGTGCCAAGGCATACCGTTTCTCCCTGTCGTGGACGCGCATCATCCCGCTCGGCGGCCGCGGCGACCCTGTGAACCAGGCCGGCCTGGACCACTACGTGCGTTTCGTCGACGACCTGATCGCCACCGGCATCGTCCCATTCGTCACCCTGTCGCACTGGGACGTGCCCGACGCCCTTGACAAGCGATACGGAGGCCTTTTGAACCGGACCGAGTTCCCCCTCGACTTTGAGCACTTTGCGCGCGTTGTCTTCAAGGCCATGCCCAAGGTCCAGCACTGGGCCACCTTCAACGAGCCGTGGTGCTCCTCGGTGCTGGGCTACAACGTCGGCCAGTTCGCCCCCGGGCGCACCTCTGACCGCAGCAAGAACCCCGAGGGCGACGGCACGACGGAGCCTTGGCTCGCGGCGCACACACTCCTCGTGGCGCACGGCCGCGCCGTCAAGGCCTTCCGCGACGACTTCAAGCCCGTCAACGGCGGCCAGATTGGCATCGTCCTCAACGGTGATGCCGTGTACCCCTGGGATGCCGCCGACCCCGCTGACGTTGAGGCCGCCGAACGCAAGCTCGAGTTCACCATCGGCTGGTTCGCCGACCCCGTCTACCACGGCGACTACCCGGCGTCGATGCGCAAGCAGCTCGGAGACCGGCTGCCGACCTTTACGGCCGATGAGCTGGCGCTCGTGCGCGGCTCCAACGACTTCTACGGCATGAACCACTACACGGCCAATTACATCAAGAACCGGCCCGGCGAGCCGAGCGCCGAGGACGTGGCGGGCCACCTCGAGATCCTGTTCCACAACAACAACGGCGACTGCATCGGGCCGGAGACGCAGTCCCCGTGGCTGCGGCCGTGCGCGCCGGGCTTCCGCGACCTGCTCGGCTGGATCAGCCGCCGGTACGGCCACCCGACCATCTACGTGACGGAGAACGGCACGAGCCTCAAGGGCGAGAACGACCTGCCGCGCGAAGCCATCTTGGCCGACGATTTCCGCGTGCGCTACTACGACGACTACGTGCGCGCCATGGCGACGGCCGCGGCGCTCGATGGCGTGGATGTCAGGGGTTACTTTGCCTGGTCGCTCATGGACAACTTTGAGTGGCACGAGGGCTACGAGACACGCTTCGGCGTGTGCTACGTCGACTACGAAAACGGTCAGACGCGGTACCCTAAGAAGAGTGCCAGTTCATTGAAGCCGTTGTTTGAGAGTCTGATTAAGCAGCAATAGCGGTGATGGCTGTATAATTTGCTTTGGTTTTCAAATGATGAAATGCTAAATGAAGTACATATATGCCGCTGTGATATCTCATTTGCCCCGTGTAGTTTGCATTGCTTGTCTAATTATGCTGTGCGCTTTTGATGATCTCGATGACGGTGCCGATGATGCATGTGCCCCCTTCGTAACTACTGTGCCTTCGAGTTGCCTTCTGGCACCACCTGCACTAGTGTCGTAGAGTCATCGTCCTCCCGTGGACGACCCTGCTCCTGTTCCTGCGCGCGAGTCTGCACATTAGCATCAGCAGTGCCTTCCGCACCCGACTCGGTCCCAGACTCGGCGTCGGCCTTGCGGCCCCTGCGCAGGTACCACTTGAACACGTAGACGAGTATCTGCGCCACAAACACCTACAGCACGATTGTTTTTTTGTCAGTTCAACGGCTTGATCCTCATACTGTCATGGCAAGGGGCGTGCGTACCTGCTCGATCGTGTACAGCAGCACCGGGATCTGGATCAGAGACCTCGTCAGGTCATCGCTGGCGCTCCACATGGCGGCTACGAGCGGGATGCCCAAGCTGGTGGTCTTGGCAGCACCGCAGAAGCACACGGCGACGACCTGCTCGCGGGGCATGCGGCGGAAGATGAGGGAGAGAATGCGTCGGGAGAGGCGGGTGAGAAGCGACGAGGCGGATGACGGCGTGGAGGACGGAGATGGTGAGGGAGAGGGCGGGGTACCGAGAGCGCACAGGAAGGCCGGAGGACGTGCGGACAGGAAGCATACGACCGTGAATATCAGGTACAGCGCCATATTGAGGAAGACGTTGAAGATGACTGAGGCCGGGGAGAGGCGGTAGAGGGCGCCTGTCTTGAAGGCGCCCGAGAAGGTGGTCCTACATCGAGTCAGTCAGGCTCGCTTCCCGTCTCAACTCCTCACTGTAACTGCCCACGAATGGAGGTATAAGCGAGCCTAGGAAAGGGACAACAGTTCACGCACCATACGAGCAGCACGAGGCAGCAGCTCGACACCTTGCCCAGGCGCGTCACCTCGAGCAGCCTGCGCGTCTTATCCTCCCACCGCCAGCGCAGCGCCTGTCCCACAATGAGAGGCAGCACGACGCTGAGGCCGAGCTGCTTGGCGACGTCGGCGTACATGCGGCCGAGGGTGGCGGGCTCTGCGGGGCGCCAGGGGGTGTAGGCAGGGTCGCCGGAGGGGAAGAAGGCGTAGATGAGGAGCGGGGAGAGGAACGCGCCGGCGACGTTGCCGACGACGACGGAGATGACTGCGGCGGCGTCGTCGCCGCCCGCGGCGCGCGTCATGAGCACGTTGGAGGCGATGGTCGTGGGGAGGCACGCGAGGGCCAGCATGCCGAGCAAAACTGGGAGGGCGGGGGTGTGGGAGCGCAGGGCGCCGGCGGCGAGGGAGATGTGCACGATCGCTGTTTCCGTGTAAGCGTGTGAGAGAACATGATGATGGTGGTGGTGGTGATGTTCCAGACGAAGGACGGCCGGTAGGCAACGGGGCAAGGGATGGAATGGGAGGAGCAGAGACCTACCCAGGACCTGTCTCTTATACACATCTAGATGTGTATAAGAGACAGGTTCCAGACGAAGGACGGCCGGTAGGCAACGGGGCAAGGGATGGAATGGGAGGAGCAGAGACCTACCCAGGACGGCGGCCGGAAAGACGACGAAGCTGATGCCCTGCACCACGATGTGTAGTCGCCAGTTGGTCGCGTTCTCGCGCAGCTTTGCGGGAGCGAGCTGCAGCCCGCTGACGAGGAAGATGAAGGCCACGGCGCCGTATAGGATGCTGTACTCGGAGCGAATCGTACCGCCATGAGCGGCCACGGCTGTTCGAGTCGGGTCAGTTCTCAGTTCAGCTCAACCAATATGCGTGCATCCCCCGTGCCCTGTCCTCATCTTTCTCTCGCTCTCCCGCTGTCCGTTCTCGCTCTCTAATTCACATTGGACACTCCTTGTGTAACGCGACCAACTCTCCTCCCTCCTCCAGCCTCATCTCACAGAGACTCTTGGCCCCCACGCCCTTGGACCGGGTACTCAAACCCGTATTAAAACAGAAAACCATGAGGTTAAACGTACAAGGGAAGAAATAGGCCAGCACGCAGGCCAGGCCGAAGCCGATGATCAGCCACTGTGCCAGCACGAGACTGAGCGCCTTTTTGGCCCACGCCACGGCCTTCGGCCCCGGTGTGGTGGCTGCCGTCGCCGCCGTCGTTTCCGTGCCCGTCGTCGCCTTCGTGGTCGTTGGCGGCAGCGGAAGTGGCGCCGGGTCCGGTGTCATCGCTGCCTCCGCCGCCTCCTTGCCGGCGCCGCTACCGGGGCGGCCCCCGGACGGAGCAATGTCCGTCGCCATGGCGCACCGACTCAACGATGCGGCAAGCGGTGGAGGTGGTCGTCGTCGTCGTCCGTCGTGGTGTCTTCGCCCTGGGCGAGGATGGTTGCGTCAGCGACAGCAGCAGACGGAAGCCGCTGCGTCAATCGCAGAAGGCATGAGAGCAAAGACTCATTTCGGTGGAGGGTGGAGAAAACATTTGCCAAGTCACGGTTGATGATACGGTACGCCCTCCCGTTTGTCTCGGCCGATGACGGCCGCCCGGGCCGGCCCATGTTTGCCCACCCGTTGGCTCTCGCTCGCTCGCGTGTGTGCCGCTGTCCGGGTTATTGCCGCGAGAAGGATGCCTGGCTCGGGCTGATACCGAGGGCACCCACGATACGCTTTTCGATGTGCTGCGAAGCAGACAAGCAGACAGACACATTCGCGTGGAACCCGCGTGCGGCTTTGCCCGGCTGCCGGCCCGCGACCGGCAGCGCAGTCTCCACGTTGAGGACGACGTCAACCACCCCCGGGGATTGCGACACTGTATCAAAGGGGACAATTGCAATCGAAGGGGTCATGCCACGCCGAAGCGACGCAGGCATCACCGGTTTCACACACAGCACTGCATTCTTCTTTAACTATCAACTAGTATGCATCTGCAGCCGGGGCCGCCCTGTTCCAACTCCGCCCAAACATCCTGCCGCCGCCAAAACTTGCACGCCCACAACGCTCAACCGCCTCCCAGTCACGGGTCTTCAGACACATTCGCACATGACCAAGCCTGCTCCTCTCGCCAGGGCCCGGCTCAAGCAAAACACGCTATGCAAATGCTCGTGGTATCAAATCAAAAAACGCCCCGCCCTGTGTTGAGGGCGAACAGGATCGATCCTCTCGTGCTTCGTCGAGAAATCTCAGTTTAATACCTGCAGTCGTAAAGGGGATATTAAAGCGGACCCATAGAAGTCTATCAACGCGGCCGAAACAAGGGTATCATGTTTGTCTTTCTCCGACATCACTTTCACACCGCCATCGTCATGGGCAGCTCCGTGGGCAATCCCGTTCGTGACTCGCCCGCGCCCGTACTACTGGGCGCCGGGGCGATCTCGGGGTCCGGTATTTGAATGTCCAGCTGTTTTGAGGTCCAAATCAGCAAGAGTTCGCCACCAAAGGTATGTTTTGTCGTCATTTCTCACAGTCATGTAACCCGTCCGCCGCAGAGAGATAATCTTGGGCGGAATCATGCCGTCCTCGGACGACAGTGTCTTGGCCATCTCCACGTTCCACCTATCGATCCATTTCTCCAGGTGGTTGAGCCGCGCCTTGATGCCCGTGAGCCCAAAGTCGTCCCACAGCCAGCCCGTCACGAGGCCAAGGAAGCTGTCCATTACGTTGCGGAGGCTGTACGGGTCGAAGATGGGTACGAGTTCTCCATTCAGCTTCTCGATGACGCGGCGAAACTCCTGCTCAGATATACCTGCTGGGTCCAGGATTTCCGGGTACAGATTTGAAAAGGTCGGAGCCAGGTCGCCCTGCAGGAGCCAGTCGCGGCGGATGCGGATGATGCGCGTGGTCGCGTACTCGGCCGAGTCCATTGGAACGTGAGGATTCAGATGAGGGTAGCATGGATGCTGTGGGCCCCACTCCTCGCCAGTGTCGGGGTGCACGTCCTCACCCATGATGGACGAGTTGGACGATGACAGAGCTGGGCCGATGCCATCACCGACAGACACATTCGAGGGGCGCGACTCCATCACATCGGGGCCGCGTTCCAGATCCCTAGAAAAGGACCGCCTAGGTTCCTCATTTTCAGGCGCCATGATGGCTTTCCCTTTGCCTTTGTCAATCTTTGACGGCCGCGCAAGGCCCGTCCGCTCCTTCGATGGCTCCTCGAGCTGCTCGTCGTCAATTTCCTGAGGTCCCGGCGTGGGGATCTGGGATCGGCTGCCGTCGTGAGACGCCCGGACCGACCTTGGCAAGCTGATTCGGTGGTCGTGGCTGCCGCGCCGGTCGACCTGGAGGCTGGCGCGTGTCGCGGGCGAATGCTTCAGCTGGCGTTGCTCCGCGAGGGTGAGTAGAGGGTAGTCGCCGGCGGCGCTGGCGATGAGATCGTCAATATCGGCGGAAGGCTCGAGCGTGGGGTGCTGCAGAGGCACTGGAGGTGCCGGAGGCGAGGACCTGCGTCGTCTGCGAGACTGGGCGCTTCGGGGCGTCGAGTTGGTCGGGTTCCAGAGTCGCGCAGATGACAGTCGCAGGAGGCGGCGAGGCGAGTTGTCGCTCCCTGGCGCGCAGGCAGTGGCAGCACGGCTGCGAAACGGTGACTGGATGCGGTTGCCTTGACGGCTCGCAGCGGTCGGGGGACGTTGCGGGGCTTGTGGATTGAGGGTTCGGGCAGCGGCTCGGTCGTGGTGCTGGTGGCGGCGCTGGTGGTGGTCGCGATCGGGGTCGGGATGGTGCGAGCGCCGGCTTAAGGCGCTGGGTTGACTCGGGTAACTGGGCTGCTCAGAGAGCGGCGGCAGACGTAGTGGGTTGCTGCCGGAGCGCGACGCATCTAAGGAGGGCGAAGAAGGTGGCAGCTTCGATGCGTGAGGAGCCGTGGGAAAGACGGGGTCGGCACGGCCGCGAGGACGACCGTGCTCAGGGGCGAGAGCGAAGGCGCGAGCAGTTGCTGCTGCTGTTGCTGCTGCCGCTGCCGTGTACGAGGCTGCGTGCTAGTGTGGCACGAGGGTCGCCCGAGGGGGGCGAGTGGCAGGAGGTCGAGAGAGAGAGGTGCAGCCACGGGTATCGGGGATGGCGGGGATGGCGGCGGAGACGGCAGGCGAGGAGACGGTCGATGAGATGGTGATGGTGGTGAGCCGGGCGACGGAGGTTGTGCCTCAAGGATTTCGCGCTGGATGGCGGTGGTCCGGGTGCGGACGTGGGCGAGCTGGAGGGGGCTGTGGGTGCTGTCGGCACTCGTGCTGGTGCTGGTGCTGGCGCGGGCGCTGGGCGGCGCTGGCAACGGTCCCCTGCCGGGGCTCCTGCTGGGCGCTGGGCGAAGGCGTAGGCGGAGCAGCCTCGACGGCAGATGGCAAGGTCCAGCTGTTACTGCAGCAGCGCCAGACCAGCAAGGGCAGCAGCGCCTGCACGGGCCAGCGCAACGGCGTCTGGGGACAGGCTGGGACCTGCTGGAGCTGGAGAATAGGGGCACCGCCTCGAAGGGGTTAGTGGGGGGAAGGAGAGATGATGCTGGTGCCCTGGGAAAAGGGGACCAGCGCATCGTGGAGCCCGGAAGAACTCTGCGCCGCGCTGAGCTTCAGTGGAGGCAAGGGCGATGCTGAAGTGGCCAAGGTGTGCTCAGGCGGCAGGGACACACAATGGCATTGTCTCGCGCGCAACCACACGCGTGCTCACTCACGCAGTCTCCCTTTCTTACAGCCCTCGACGGGGGGGGGCCGGAGGGTGCGAGAGGTCGGGTTCTTGAATGTCGTCGGGCAGCGTCACGGCAGCGCCGGGCCCCCAGGTCGACACCTCACCTTATTTTATTTTTCTTTGCCGAGACCGCCCCCGTCATCCGGCCCCCCGTCTCTCCCCCTTCGTCCAAGGTTTCTCGCAGGCGGGGGCGAGGGGGGAAGGGGGCCCCCAGCTCAGCCCAGCACCGCCCAAGGACCCATCGCATCACGACGGGTTCCTGCGTTTGAGTCGCGCGTTTTCATGCTTCCTTCGGTGCTTCTGTGGGTCCTCGAGCAGTTGGACGAGGTGTGTGCGTGCGTGCGTTTGCAGGCACCAACAGCAACAACAACAACCACAACAACAGCTGCTGATGCTCTCGGCCGGGGGCCATGGCTCACAAGCGGAAAGGGGGAGTACCTGAGGTAGCTCGTATGTACGTCGCCCCTCCGTACATGCGACATGTACGGCACTGTACTCGTACCGCGTTTTAAGAGGATGAGAAGGGAGGTGGAAAAAGGAAAAAAACAAGAAACACAAGGCATTGAATGGCATGTTGCGGATCTCGTCTATCGAGTCATTACTCGGTCCATGCGGCGGCGACGGCCATGACTGGCCCACGATGCGCGGCGTAACTACAACGCGAAGCAACGCACAGATGGGCTGGCTGCGCAGGAGAAGGGCCGGGTGCCAAAACAGATCCTCGACGCCGGGGGCCGTGGGTTCTCGAGCAACGGCAACACCAGCATCACCCGTGTCTGACCCACGCGCAACAACAGGGTGGCCCCATTCGGAAGAAGCCGTGCGTGCGCCCGGCAGCCAGCCAGCTTCTCACATCTCCGGGAGAATCTGCACCAAAAGCTGCTGCTGCTGCTCCCTTGGTTCCGGGCTCGTTGAGTCGCTCCGCGTTTTACTCAACGGGCCAAGCCAAGCCCATAACAGTAGCCTGCGGCCTGGATGTGACGAGTCGGTTGGTGGCTGACCCTGGCTCATGCAGCATCAACATGAAGGCATGCCCGCCAACAGCTCCCGCATCAACCTCCTCTCGTCATCTCGTCATCTTGCCGCCGCCACATCCGTTGACCGATCACGCACGAGCCGTCGCGGCCGGGCTATCGGAGACGGCCTGTCTTCGTCATGCACGATGATATGGGACGGGGCCGATTTGCCCGGCTGGGCGCCGTCCTGCATGAACGATGACACTCAGGTACTGGGTCTGACGGCGCCTCACCCGGCCCGTCATCTCGTCTTCAGGTCGAAGGCATTGTTAATGCAGGACATTGGACAAATCATTCTTCTTGCGGACTAGTGAGTGCTCTTGCTCTTGAAGCCTTTTGTTTTCAAGTTCGTCTCAACTCAAATCCTTGTTCGTACACTCATCACTGGGCAGTGACACTCCACACTTTGGTGCCTGACACCTCGCCAATCTCAACCGATGGTCTCGCACGTCATCAAAAAGGGGTTGGTTCTTGCACCATTCGTCTCCGGCAGGCGGCTCGCCATGGGTAAGTCTGTCAAGAACCCGCCGGTTAGCTCTTGAACCTCCATGTCAAGTTTCAGGCACTCATTGATCGCCACGTACTGTTGCTGCTCTTACGCCAGCCCTCGCATAGCTCGAGACCCCGTTTCAGCTTGGCTAGGTCTTCCTCCGTCTTGCTGCGGTCTGCTTGGCTGTCCTCTGACTCCTCGGCCAGCTCTTTCAGCTTGTCATCCTCGAGTCCCATGACCTGCGCTGTGCTGAAGATGCCCGGTAGCCGTGTCATGAGCTGCTTCTCAACCGCCAGGGTGATGACATTGGTCAGGAACGTCTCCATCGTCATCTAGGCCGGGCGCTCCGTGTTAGCAACTTCACCTCGTGTTCGGACGGCATTGGCATGCTTACCCCGTAAAACACCACCATGGAGTCGATAAGATTCTCCGCCCTCAATTGCTGCACGCCCTTAGACCATGTCGAGGCGCGTTCCTGCAAGTTGGCGCCCGGCTCGCAACCCTCCCGGATGTCGTTTCCCGACTCCGGCCTGAGCTTCTTTTGCAAATCGCTCCACTCTTTCCCCAAGCGCAGCCTGGACCGTTCCTGCGTCTTTTCCGTGTACAACCACTCGAGGGCCAACATCTGACAGTCGCTGTTGACCTGTGGCAGCAATTCCTCCAACTTGGCTTGAAGAGCGGCCTTTCGATCCGAGAAGAAGGGAGCTATAAACTCGTCTGCAATTCTCTCCCGCAGGCTATTGTCCTCGCCGCTGACATGGGAGAGTATACTCGAGACGAGAGACTCCGCTGCTTCCACTACCAGGTCGAGATGGCGAGCTGCGATGCGCTTCCATGGCGTTGCCTGATCCTCGAATAGGGTCAGCATCAGTGACGTGGAATATTCGTCTGGGAACTCGTTGCCCCTCGCCGCGACGGCCCACTGTTGTACTTCTCTTTCAAGGTCGTCTTGAGTGACCCCTTGCTGCTCTGGTAGGTCATAAAGCGCCGTGAATTCTGCCAGTTCGTTCGGCAGCTCCCCGAGCGTCCAAATATCGTTCATCCCCTCATCTCGCCATTTGACAGTCCTTCTGGACCCATGCTTTCCCATCACGGCGATGAATGCTTCGTTCAGCCTCCTAACCCGAGCCCGAAGGTTATGTTCGCCTCCAGAAACGCCTAGTCTTGATCCTTCGCAGACGGCGTCGAAAAAATCCGAATCTTTGGCTTCACCTCCCACAGCTTGCCTTGCGAGATGCTCGAACTTGTTTGCAATGCGGCCGAGGTATACCCTGCAGTCGCGTGGATCAATCCGGGACTCGCCCAGGTTTCCGAGATGATGCTCGCGTTCCTTGATGAGCTCTCGGATGCGGCTTGTGACTCTCGGTAGCTGGGACCCGGTGTGGGTAAGAAGCATGTCGCTCAGCTTTTGTCGAAGCGGACCGATGCCTTTGAACTCCTGCTTGATCGATGTCCATGGCGCTGAACCAAGAAGCTTGCTTTCCGTTCTGTCCCGCGTGTCGAAGTCCACGTCGTCTTTTTCAGCACGGTTGCGCAGGACGTACCATCCATGCTTAAGGTGCCACGGCGTGTCAGACGAGTTCCTCACAAGCCTGACAAATTCTGTCTCCATTTCGCCCTTCTCGAGTTGGTCCGGTTTAGTCACGATGCCCAACGTCCGCTTGCCACGAGGGTCGTACAGCTTGGTCTTCTGCAAGACCTTCTGCATTTCAAGGCCGCTCTTGGCTGAGATGACGGCCAGAATAATGCTTGCCTCCTGGCTCATGTACTCCGCCGCAAGTTCGTCGACGAGTGTGCGGTGTTCGTCTCCTTGATTGAGACCTCTGGCGTGGTAGAAGCCAGGCAGGTCGACCAGAGTCAGAGGAGGAATACCTGGGCCGAATATCTTGATACACAGAATGTGCCTCGAAAAGGCTTTGGAGCCTTCATCGATACCCATGACGGCAGACGCCTTATTGATTATGTTGGATAGTTCGCCAAGCTTCGATTCCATTGCAGTAAACTTGGACAGCTTCTCCTTGACTTCCTTGGCGGCCGTCTCGTGTGGCTTAATTGAGACCTCCATCCTCGGCTCCGCGGCATCTCTCAGCACGAGCTCGGTGGCGAACCGAGTACAGAGAGAGCTCTTGGAGGGGAAGCGGACCCGCGAGATGGCCTCCAGGACCGAGCTCTTGCCGGAGCTCTGGTCACCCACCACGATGATCTGTGGGAGCTCAACATATTTGCCCAGGTGCACGTCTCGAAGTTGGTCGACAGTGTTGAGGCCACTGAGTAGCTCAGAATGCCTTGACTTCAAGTGTTGGAGGTCAAGAGTATTGAGCCCGGCGGCGTATTGATGAAAGTCCTCTTCCCGCATCGTGGGGTGTCGCAAATTGTCCTTTGTTTCGTGAATCTCTTGGTAGATCTCCAGAAGGATGATAATGGCTTTGCCCTCAGCGCGTTCCTTTGGGAAAGTGTTCGCAGGCTCATATTTATAGCCAAGTTCATTACCGCCCAACACTTGGCAACGGTCATTCTTGCCTGTCGATACGGCGTCCTCAACGAACAAGGCGCCTATTCAACGGGAGCGGGAGCGGGCCGCAAGGGGGGTCGCGGAGATGCAGATTGCGACACAACAAGCAGCAGCCACTTCGCCGCAATATTGAGTTCCATGTCAAACAGTGTGGCCCATTGAGCCGAAAGCGGGCAGAGCCAAGGCAGCCCGTAAGGTGCAGGCAGGACCGCAAGAGTCACGAGCGTCTCGGTCTGCTGGATGATATCCAACTCCTTCTGCACGACCTTCTGCAGGAGGCGTTTGATGTGGCTGAGCCTCTTACAGACCGGTTGGTGAAGACCAGGCCGGCAAGAACTGGAGGTGCAGCCAACGGCAGGAGGCGTAACTGCACAGCCAGCCGACAGAGTGCCTGAGGAAGGGAACATTGAACCCTATTCGAGCACGAGATGATGCGGGTATTTTTATCGAAGGATTCGGCCGCAGACGGAGGGGCCGTTCATGCAGCCTGCTCGTTATGTCTGACGGGGTTCTGCACCTCGAACCAACACGCATAACGGCTGAAACGAGACTGAATGTGTTCCGCTCGGCTCAAGAGAAGAAGAACGCCGGTTTGCCTTTGGGGCTGAGCATGCGTGTATGCCTCGCACAACCCCAGCCATGGCTCGATGAAGCTTCTGCATCGGATCATCTATTCAGCCCAGCGAAGCCGTCTCAATAGGCCAAAATGTGAGCCTCCTAGCAAAGGTGCAAATGGTCAGTCGCACAGGTGACCTTCTTTCGATCAGCAGGGCCGTGGTTATTGCCTATGGCCGTGCTCGGCACCGGTAATAATGGCAGTGGCGGCATAATGACCATTTTACTTCAATTGAGGCGGTGTGACTGTTTTGCTTCCACTGACATGTCTGCTGCTGTTGAGGCTGGCTACTCCAATCGCAGGTTACAGTAAAGATGGAAAGCGCCGGTGGGCCCTATGACTACGGGCCCAAGATGCAGGACACTTGTGCAACTAGCCATTTACACCTCTGGAAAATGGGAGACTCTTCGCAAATAGGTAGGAGAACTCCAGAATGTGACCCGAGGAGGTTGCTTCCAAAACCGCCTACCCTGTATCCGCGCATTCTGGACTGATGGCCCGGTCTGTGGGGTGTGGATGGGTCGACAGACGGCATCACCCGGTCCGAGGCCATGACCTGCTCCTGAGAGGCTAAATCTGTAGCCGCCGAGCCTGCAACCTCTGTCGTCAATTGGTTGAATTATCTTGCGCTGTTGGATTGACACGCCTGGAGTCGGAGAGGTCAGTTCAAGGTTTGGCGTCAGAACGATGGGCCATAGGTTGTTACCTACCCGACCCTCCTGGCCTTGCTGCATGCCCGGGCTGGCGGCAACGGCGTTGAGCTGCATCGCTACGCGCTGGTCCCAGCGGAAAGGCTTGCCCGGGCGCCCCGCCGACCGCTCCAGCGGCCCCCTCCCCCGGATTGTCAGCACCCAGCCGTTGCGGCAGTGGCCTGATCCGGCCACCGCAGTGGGTCGGCGCCGCCCACAGCGGGCACGCCTGCTCTGATGGGCCTCGGGAGGCAGCCGCACGAAATTTCTTGGGTTCCTTCAGGTTCGCACGCCGATACTCCAGAAGGGCTTCCGTCGATCCAAAGGGCGCGAGCAACTTGTCTTTGCAAGTTTGCTGTTCAACTTTCTGATTACCGCTCCCCAGCCGCCGTGTTCGCCTTCAACATGCACTTCGGAGCTCTGACTTGGTACTTCGTTACCTTGCCTTCCAGCAGCCCTGTAGGCAACCCGCCACCACAGCGGCCGTATTAGGCACCCCCCATTTCCAATCTGGGCAACAGCCTAGCTAAACGGGCAGCCACTGAGGTCAATTGGATGATGGAAGTGACGGCGCCACAAACCGCACGCAGCAAACGCCACCCACCACGTCGTCGACGTCAAGCGCTTTCCTGTAGCTTGTAGTGCTGTCTCGCAACCTCACCTCACCATCAACCTGCGTTTCGCTTCGCCTCTCCGGTTGCTGCATGGGTCCGGTCCAACGATCCTCGTCGCCGCACAGCCGCCATGGGCACCGCCAGTGATGCCTCCCCAGGCGGACCGGCAGCAACAGCGACAGCAGCGGCGGCGTCGTCATCCTCGGCTCGCCCGACGCTTGCTCCCTCGTCGGGCAAGCCCGCACCCGCCAGCGCTTCCGGCACATCGTCGGGGTTCAACGGACCACCGGGGCACGCTATCCGCCGCACAAAAACCTTTGACGTTCCGGACTCGTTGCCTCCGCGGCGGCGGCCATCCCTCGCGAGCCGCTCTGAGGCCTCTCACGATGGCATCCCCCGGCGCAGCTCCAATTTCTCCGACTATAGCTCCGAGGCTCGTGACATCCTCAATCCAAGGGCCCAGGCGGGTTCAGAGGTCCCTGTCCCCGAGTCCTCGTCTCTTGCCTCGCTTTCTCTGGCCTTTGCGCTGCTCCCTGCTGTCGCGGGCGCCCTATTCAAGAATGGACAAGCCGTTGTTACCGACGTGATGCTGCTGGGGCTCGCGGCCGTTTTCCTTCACTGGTCTGTGACACAGCCATGGTATGCCCCCGGTACGGACCGAACAGTTAGGGGTCCTTGTTTCTAACGCGACATCGCAGGGTCTGGTACCATTCGGCGCAGCAGATGCGCATTGAAAGCGAGCCAGACAACGATGCCGTCATAGAAGACGACAGCGAAACGGACGGTCCTAGCCCCAACTCACCACTGGATGATGTTCCCGAGGAAGACGAAGCGCCTCAGCCTCTGCCGAAACCACGCGCAGGACAGAAGCAGCGTTCCACACCGCAGCAGGCGGCGCTTCGCGAACTTTATCGTCACGAGGCTCTCGCCCTCGTCGCCTGCCTGCTCCTCCCCCTCATCAGCGCGTACCTCCTCCACGCCATCCGCTCCCAGCTCAGCCGACCCTCTGAGGGCCTCGTCTCCAACTACAACTTGACGATATTCCTCCTCATTTCAGAGCTGCGCGTCTTCTCCCATATGATCAAGCTAGTGCAGTCGCGCACCCTTCACCTGCAGCGCGTTGTCCACGGCAGCCCCTTTGCCTCACCAGCTGGCGGTGTCAACAGTGCCGAGGTCGAGGAAATTGTTGGCCGCATTGAAAGGCTCGAGGCCCGCTCAGCCGCCGACGAGGCCCTGGCCCTCGAGCAGGGTGCCGGACGGCCGGACTCGGCGCGTGCCAAGCAGGAGGCTCTCATGACGCGCGACGTGCGCAATGCCATCCAGCCCGAACTCGACGCGCTGAACCGCGCCGTGCGCCGTTACGAGAAGAAGGCTACACTCCTGCAGCTACAGACAGAAGCTCGCTTCTCCAGCCTAGAGAACAGGCTAGACGATGCCATCGCGCTCGCTGCTGCAGCGGAAAAGAACAGCGTAGCTAGCAGGAACCTTGTCGCGCGCGCCATCGAGTCAGCCACCGCCATCGTGCTGTTTCCGTTCCATGCGATGCTCCAGCTCCTCGTCCTCCCGCTCAGGCCGCTCCTCGCTCTTGTCGGCAGGAACAGGCGGGGCAAGGAGGCTTCCTCGGCGAAGCAGGCACGTGGGAGCCGCACGGGGAAGGCGCCTGCGACCCCACGATACAACGGCGACAAAGTGCCGGGTCGAGTGATGAAGAGATAGACGCCTTCCGAGATCGAGGCTGCATCTACACAGCGCGACGCTTCGGTCCTTTTTCTTCCCTTCTTGCTTTCTTTACTTATCCGTTACTCTCACGCATGATACCAACAGGGATGGCAGTGGAACCTCGTTCACGGTTCAGGATTGAGATGCCTCATTAGATCGCTGCTTATCGCTCCAAGAGAGCGCGCCGTTGCCCGTTCTTCTGTTCACGACGCCGATTCTCGTATTGATACCAACAACAAAGCGGATAACAATACCAATACCCATTTGAGAAGCGCCTTCCTTTGAGCATATCTCTCGCTCGGCCCGTCTGTGAAATACCACGTTACCGCCGCGGCATAGCAGGGCTTCTTGCGGCGTGCAAGTGTTCCCTCAACGCGAGCCGGCCCGTACGTGCCCGTGGCTTCGTGAGACAATCTTTCCGTTGATCAAGTCCATTCCGTAGCACCATCGAGTCTGCGCGACACTCTGCTCGGGGAGCACGCCCGTCTTGTGCGCCGCAACGGACCTATCACCCGAGTTGGCGGTCGCCCATGTGTCCCGTGTCGCACGACTCCAAGCCTGCGCGGTGATACTGTCAGCGAAAGGGCCGAGGCCACAAGACAGCTACAACGATACGCATGGAATGTTTATGCACCGAGCCGCGCTGGGAGAGCCAACAATGGCAAAAGGAAGCGTCAAAAAGCGGTAAAGTGGTTGGTTGGCGGGAGGGGAGCCGCAGGACTGAGACTTGCTGCGGGTTTGGAGGATCGACGGCCCGGCGGCTTGACTTCGACGACGCATGTGCTGGCCTGGCATTGCATTGCATCGGACCAACGCGACCGTCGTATGTACGAGTACGATTGTCCTACATCCTCACACACGAACGCAGCCCCGTCGTCAGCCATGGTTCGCCATCGCCAGCCTCGGCGGGATCGACCGATGCGGAGGGTCACTGCTGATCTTCATTGCCGTGCCCAGTCGATGAAGACGGGGAGAGAGGGCTAAGCATCCAGTCGTTCGACGGTGCGGACGCAAGCCCACGCGGAGGTGTGGCACCGATCTCTGCCGGATTCGCCGTGACCGTGCTGTGCACGACGAGCCTCGCGACACACGAAAGGCCTCGATGTGCAACGACTGGGCATTTTCTAGCTCAGTGCGATGGGAGCACAGCGAAGGCTCGACATAACACACGGAGCCAGTCTAGGCTTGCGGTTTCGTATCCGCGCAACGACAGGACGAGTCGCCGTCGGCCCCGGGGTTCTGCTCCGCCAACAGGTCCCGCGCCAGCGCGACCGACTTTCACACGCGCAAGAATCCGCGAAAGGAAAGAAACGGCATTGTCAGGTGCGCGTGATGATTTCATTGCGCGGCGCGGCGCGGCGCGGCGAAGTGTGGGACCGTTTAATCTCATTGACGCGCGACCGGCTGAGCGATAGCGCAGGTGCGGCAGGCGGGCGACGCATCGCAACGCTCTGATTGACGAGCCCCCCTTGTGCGCGGGGACGAAAAGGCTCGATCGGTTCAACCGGAGGGGCGGGTCATCCAGCCGCCAAGTACAATTGCCAAGTAATTGCTGCAGTGCGAGGTGGGCTATCGCTTGTTGGGGAGCCGGAGGCCGCTGCGAGGGCGCTCTCGCGTTCCCCTCCAAGGCCGATCAGGCAGACGACCGCCTCCGCACGATGCGACGCGACGCACCGCAACGCAACGCAGCACGGCAGGGACCGTTTTTGCTTTCTTCGCCAGACACGTCGTCGGCGGCCGAGATGATTTGTCTAATGAGCTGGCGCCTGTCAGGAACCCGCATAGCCCCCTAGCCACCAGTGCCGATGCGCTGGGCGAAAGGCGGTCGGTCTCTGGGTCCGTGGCCCGGAGCCCTCGACGGCCGCGGCGATTGATGATAGGCGACTCCGCACTCGAGCTCGCAGAATGGAGTCTGCTGTCCAAGAAATGTCAGATGATACGTCCGTACCTCCGTCGTACCGGCTTGGCCATTGGGCGTGCCAGGGGGTGTTGCGTGGCTCCTGGTTCAGTGCCGGCCAAGAGCCCGGGAATCTCTGTCTGCTCGCCGGACCCAAGAAAGCGGGCTGACAGGGACAGGAGAGGGCAGCCCCAAGTCGTGCTGTGACAGGGGACTGCAAGGCTGCGGACGGACAGGAGAAAAGGAAGGCGTTTTGAAAACCGGTCGCGACGAAAAGACTGATGACGCCGGACCCCTCCCTCCTGCCCCTGGCGACGTGGTGTTGTAAGTGGGTGGATCCCGGCCTCAGCTGTGCCGCCGGTCGAGAAAAAAAGATCTGAGCTCGCTGGGTCCGGCGGGCGGATGTGGCCCCAGCGAAGACGCCGTTCCTGCAGGTACACGGCATCCACGCTACTGACGGCCCCAACGAACATCATAGGGGGTCAAGGGGACCCCGGTCCGCGGCAGTCGGCATGCTGAGCTGGCGGTACCTTAAATGTACGGTACCATACGTTGGCTGGGCCGACAACCTATGGACCACAGGGCGTCTTCAGCTGGAGCCGCTCGGGCGAGTCGCCACTGATGCCACTGGCCGTGACTATCTTGGCGGCGACATTGGCAGGACGGACCAGCAGCACCAACAGCGACAACACACCATCAGCAGCGGCCAACGCCAGCGCGGCAGCAGTGAGACACATGGGCGTTGGCTGCACGTCATGCCGGTTGGGAGCGAGCGCGCCTCGGCCGCGGGTCGACGGCAGCCGCTCGCTTTGCTGCTGGCCCGGGCGCCTTTTTGTGACGACATTGACTCGTGAGCGGCCGGTGACACGGCAGGGGACGGGGACGCGGCGGCGGGCGGGCGGACGGGAGCGCACTGTGCTGTGTGTCCCTCCCCGCGAAAGCCATGATGGACGCCATCATCGCCATCAGATTACCTCCACCTCCACTTCATGCACGTAAGAACCTGTCCAGCACGACACAATACGACACAACGCGACCCGCCAGACAAACACCACCAACCCGACGCAGCGCAACGCAACGCAACACCGAGCCCGGGCTGCGCCGCGCCAGCCACGCTGATTGCCAAGGATGCGCAAAAACGTGGGCGGCCCATGGTGCTGTGGTGGCCAGCCGAGTTTTCCTTGTGCGATGGACGCGACGACTTACTTTGTGTCTCCTCCTTGCGTGACTGGTTGAGACACCTCACCTCACCTGGCCGGCTGTGCATCAGGCGCCCTATCGCCTGCGCGGTCGCATTGGGTGGCGTCCACTGACAATGGGCAGAACGATGCCATTGCCTCCGGGTTCATTGTCATTACCATGTTCGGGTCGCGGCCTCGCGAGAGGCCCCTCGCTGTCCAAGCCGTCCGACGGGGGCCTTTTGCCCTTGTCCGCTTTGCTTTGTTCAGTACGCCGCCATCACTCCGGTTCAACTTTTCCCGGCTTTCCAGTTCGCATGCTGGCGGTCTTGGGCAGCCGCTGGGCCTGACGGTCCTGGGCCTCACGTCTTAATTTAGCCCGACGTCCGAAGGCGCCGACTTATTGATGATGGTACAGTAATGTACACGACGGGTATCGCAACTTAGTGAGCACACTCACCAATCAGAACCCCGCAGCGGCTCCCTACGAGATTCGCACCTGCACCAGCAACCTCTAGCTGCGCCTTCCAGCTTGGAACTCTGTCCTCCAGCCTCTTCTCACTCCACGGAAAGGCAAGTGCTATGGACTGACTGGGTGCGTGGCTGCTCACAAGCTCGTGCCCGTGCTCATGCTCGACGGACCTGAGAAGGTGGGTTGCCGCTTCCGCGTCTGCAGGCCACCCTCCCAGGCTTCTCAATGGCTCCCCGATGTCCATCTCTCCTCCGTCCCCTCACAGGCTTCACACCTCCACCCACTTTCTCCTGCACCCCCCTGGCATCGCAATCTTGGATGACAAGACTTTGCACGCTACCATCGGTCCACACCGGGCGTTTTGCATCGCCAACCGAGCGCCCATGCAAGCCCGCTTCACCGTCAGGGCCTGCAAGGCCACGAGAAACGCAACGGCACAGGACAAACGGCGCAGCACTCTGCCATGGAGTCGTCGCGCGACCGCCATCAAACGGGCGGGCCGGCGTCGCGACATGCCAGACCTAAATTCGGAACCAGGTGTCCGCGCTCTCACCTCACCATCGTCTGAATCTCTGTGACGAGACGGCTGGCCCGCCGAGCGTGGCCGGGCGAGCCCGAAACGTCGCCCGACGCCCTGTATCCGCGCCTGCGTGCTCCGTCTGGTCGTCGCCGTTGGCCCGCGCTCGTCTGGACGTCGTGAGCGGACCAATGACTCGCCTTCGACTCGCCCTCGGCTCGTCCTCCATCTGGCCTCCGGCTCGCCGTCGACGCTCCTGAACCCTGTAGGCACAATGCTCGTCATCCGCATCGCCTTGGGGATCCACAAGCGACCAGGCCCCCGGCCGGGAAATTGGCCCTCCATCGCCTCCGTGCGCTAGCGTCCCAGGGCTGGCTGTAGTCCTGCGGCAGTCTGCTGGTCCTTGCGCGCCGTCGACGTGACGCCGGGCCTCACCCGAGCCCGTCACATCATGCGTGCTACCTACTACCTGCGCTGCGAAAGGCCACAATGGATGGACCGGCTTGGATGGTACTTGCTTTGTACCCGTCCGGTAGGCCAGGCGGATGCCAAGTGGATGTCCATCGGATCGATGGCTCGATCCTGAGCGCCCACGGACGAGGAGCTGCCAGACAATTGCATCTAGGTCCCCTCCCTCCCCGGGTGGTTCGTCTGGGTTCGTTCGTCTCTTTCTACTTGCAGTAATTATGCTTCTTTCACTCGTGCTCGCCGTCGAGAACTGGGTGTTGCCCGCTGTTTTCTAAACTCTCGTTGACGTGACCGCTCTGGTTGTCCTCTGCATCACCAAAGACCCCAACACTCGCGTCCCTTGCCTCAGTCCGGCGACGCCCGCTGTCTGGCTTTCCCACCGCCTGGGTCTCTGGCCCCGCGTCTAGGCCGAGGCCGCCGTCTTTTGGCAGAGTACTCTGTCTCAAGCCGGACACGCGATCCCGCCTTTCTAAGACGTTGCCTGCTGTAATTGCCTCGAGGGCATTGCTTCTTCGCTCGCGACACCGGCTCCCGTCCGTCTCTTTTTTACACGACAGCAAGACCTCCCAGTTTCCTTCCGTCATTCGGCTCTGGCAGGTGACCCTCGAACATGCTGCACGGCTTCGTGGCCGTGGTGAAGCAGCTCCCCCGACTTTAACATCTCGACAACCTCGACCAACTGCTCATCACCAAGGACAATGTTTGCCAAGGTCGTACGCGTATGGGCGATTCTGTCCCTGGTGTTGGCTTTACAGCTGGCTGCCGCCCAGAGCTTCCAGGTGGTAGTGAGGAGGCAAGATGGCGATAGGACAGCATCTCCCAGCATGCTCGGTGACGTATCGGCGTCTCCGTCGTCCAGCGGCATTGGGTCTTCGACAATGAGGACGGATGATGCAGGCACGGCATCAATAACCTCCCCTCCGAGCGGCACAGAGAGGCCCAGCGCCCTTCCGACTTCCACCATCATCAGCACCAAAGGACCATTGGACAATTCCACTTTCCTTAATGGTAAGTCACGGCCCATGCGTCCGAGTATGCTTCATGCTGACCTTGTTTCGCTTTTAGCGACAATCCCGGTTGGCCAGCTGCCGTTACCCCCGCAAATCACACCGGGTTGGGGCGTTGCTGGAGTTATCATGCTTATCACGGGCGTCACATACACATTGGTCGGCATCAAGAATCGTTGGATTCACACCTTCTTCTCTACCGCCTATATCACAGCACTTGGCGTGGCGGTGCTGATCGTCTATGTTATGAACATTCCCGTTAGCAACGCCATCCAAGGTGGATATGTCGTGGCCGTCATCATGTCGGGCTGCGCCGTGGGTGCCGCCTCCATGTTCTTCAAAGAACTGACAGAAGGTCTGGGATGCGCCCTGGGAGGGTTTTGTGTGAGCATGTGGCTCCTGTGTTTGGTGCCAGGGGGCCTCCTACAGTCCGTGCCCTCCAAGGCAATCTTCATCGCCGTCTTTACCCTGGTCGGCTTCGGCTTTTACTTCAGCCGTTGGACCCGAGACTGGGCGCTCATTGGCATGATCTCGTTTGCGGGCGCAACAGTCACGGTGCTCGGCATCGACTGCTACAGCCGTGCAGGGCTAAAAGAGTTTTGGGTTTACATCTGGCAGATCAACGGGAACCTCTTTCCCCTCGGCGCCGATACCTACCCCGTCACTAAGGGCATCCGGGTCGAGACCGCGGCCATCGTCATCATTGCTCTGGTCGGCATCATATCTCAGATCAAGCTATGGATCATTGTCAGGGAGAAGCGTGAGAAAAGAGCTGCGGAGCGAGCGGAAGACCAGCGGAACCTCGAAGTCGAAGAAGAAAACGTCGGCAGACAGGTGGAGGAGACCAACGCTCGCGAGCGCCGCCGCTGGGAGCGAGTCCACGGAGAGGGCACCATCGGTAGTGGAGAGTCTCGCACGTCGGACTACGGAGACTACGGGAGCGAGAAGAGGCTCAGAGGCAGCCACAATGGCTCGTACAAACCTCGGTCGTCAGCTGAGGTGTACGAGATGGCTGATATCTCCGAGTCGGAAGAGTCGCGCAGCGGACCAAACGCGTTGATGGAGGCAGAAGAGGCTCAGGATGGCAAGGTCACAGTACGGGTGGCAGCCGACGATATACCCGAGTCGCACACGGACATTGGCGACGACATGGACGCAAAGACTGCGACAATGAGCGAAGGTGCCGCAATATCAGGCACTGGGGCCAAGAGACTTTCCCAGCGGACCGCCACAAGCAAGCGTATATCACAAGCCCAGACTGTTACCGAAGCACCAGAAGTCGTACCTCTTCCATTCACGGTTCCAGAAAACAACGACGCCGAGTCCAACTGCGATAGGTCTTCCGTCGCTACTTTTGCAGACGAGGTGGAAGATGAGGCACCGATGCGGCGACAGGTCGAGCGCCCTTCCTTGGCCAACAGGCTCTCACAGGGATCGGCTACGCTTCTGAGGAGCTTATCTTCAGGGGCAAGGCGGGGCCAGACGGTCGCGAACCCGGAACACGGCGAGAGCTGCCACGAGCTAGTACAAGAACCGACTCCCGATGAAGGAGATGACGAATCTTTGGCTGCCACTGTCGACAATGACAGCGTCAGCGGTGCCGACCGCCAATCAATATACTCGGAACACACGCGAAAGAGCGTCGAAATCAATGCCGACCTGTCTAAAGAGGACACCGAAGTGGCCGCACACGACAATTCAAAGGACCTTCCTAAGTATTCGGCAACAGCAGCGCTGTCTCCTCAGGTCGAAGAAGGGACAGAGGAGCGCCCAGAGGATGCGAGGGCCGGAAAAGACAACTCAGGCGTAGTGAATGCGCCCCAAGATGCCACGAACGACTCGCCTGCAAATTCGGAGCTCCCTTCGCAGGGAATTGCTGGAGAGTCGGCGGCGCAGAGCCAGGCGGTGTCCGCGGTTGACCCTGTGCCAGAACCGTCAGAGAAGCAAAAGTCCGTCGCTACGTCAGTCGCATCGACGCCTGCGAGTCTGACCCAGGATCGCCTACCGCGGCCGCTGTCGCGCGTGGCCATGTCTTATCGGACGAACGAATGGGTCAAACATCTGAGCTACGCAGACACGCCGGAGCTGGATGACTTGCAGGTCAACGATGCGGGCCGACCGACAAAGACTGTTGCCAAGGAGCGTTCTGTCCCCGTTGACGTGGAAGAACTCCAGAAGACGGCGACGGAGGGAATAGCTCCGGCTGCGCTGAAGCAGAGTGAACCCCAAGTCTCAATCATCTCACACGCCCCCAGTGGTTCGAAGCGGGCATCAAGGCACGAACACGCTATGGCTGCTCAAGCAAGCTACCACCCTCAAGATAACGAAATTATCCGAAACGCGACATCCCCACCGCCGTTGACGGCATCATCACCACCTCCCCCTGTCGGCATCAGCCTGTCTCGATCGACGTCGTCGATGGCCTTGCGCAAAGTGTCACCGGGATTCGACCCCATCGTGGAGGAGCAGCAGATGGAGCCGCCCAACGCAGAGCCAAGGCACGAGGAGGCGTCAAGGTCGAGTACAGTGTCGCGGAGCCCGTCGCTTGCCGGCACAGAAGCACCACAGCGCGCCGCGGTACCGGGCGTCGTCTCCTACGCAAGCCCCCAGACGCTGATTGGGCAGCGCGAGTTGTTCCTGCGAAGCAAATCGCAGGCGAGCCTCCTCGCGCAATCGCCCGAGCCTACATTTGCGGCGCATGGGCCCGGTAGCGACGGCGGATCGATTTATAACTATCCCCTTCACGCATCACAGCTGAACGTTGCTGACCCCGACGATCTGCCTTTGAGCCAACGGAGGGAGATTATGTGCCAGAGCAGTCTTATGTCCCTGTCCCAGCCGAATAACTCGGTTCACCGCCTGTCTCATGTCGGTCATGAGAGTGCGGAAAGTCTGCCTTTCAACTCTCACCAGCCAAGGAGGTCATCGGCATTGCTGACTCGGTCCGCACGGGACTCGCAGCTCGCCAGCTTCCGCCAGTCAGTGCAGCAGGACCTCCGCTCCGGGACGCCCATCATGGCTACCTCCGGGCGAGAATCTCCCTTTACCTCGTCCTCACTTCTAGGCAATCGCGAGGCTGAAGTGCAGCGGAACATTGAGATGCAGCGCAATGTGCTGATGGGTCAGAAAGAAGCCGAAGCCCAGCGGAGAGAGATGCAGCGACGCGAAAAGGAGCATCTCGATCGCGCCTTCGACGAGCGCATGAGGAACGGAGACCTGCTTGAAGTGCACCGCGAGGCGATGCGCAAGATGCAAAAGGGGGCCCGCTAGTAATTGAGGGCGTCGACAAAAGCCAGAGGGGCTTTTTACATACATTTTTGGCAATTCATTACCAACGAAATCAGGTCACGACAAAAGACAACGACGCAAACGCTTGCATCGACTTATATGTTTCATTTCGCTCTTTTTGCTCATGCATTGCCGGTTGTTGCTCGTGCACGACGCGCTGTTGATACCAAAGGACTTTTGCTTTTGGCGCCGGGGCTTGAAACGCAGGCGCACAGTTGAAGATAGAGGGACGGCCTTTCTCAACGGCGACATAATCAAGAGGGTAGATAATCTACAATTAAAAGTATTTTCAAGGACGCCAGTCAAAGCAGAGTATTATGATTGCAGTAGGGGAATGGCAAACATCGACCTGGGCTGCACCACTGCACGGCGGGCGGACGTAGGCTCATGTCGCTCAGCCATACCGTAACACATGTGAGATGCTCGTCGAGTGCATTCAATACAAACAGTACTAGCATGTAGTTCATGATGTAGTGTGTCACTAGTTACAAGGTGGCATACGACTTTCGAGCGTAGATGCCAGTGCGATCTAGATAGACTTCCGAGACCCCAAGACCGTCAACGCCCAACGCCGCCAGTTCATTTTAGAGATCAAGCCCGTCGTACCAACGCCCAAAACTTCCCATGCCATTTTCCGCACCCACCCTGGATGCAACAAAATTAAGAGCCAGAGAAGACGAATCCCTCAGTGTCCTTGGTTGGCCCCTCGCTGAAGAAGTTGCGACGTGAACTCCGAGTCCGCCCTCGCGCGTTCCTACGCGCGCTGGCCCCTCGACCGCTCGTCTGCTGCCCAGCCCGTGTTGAGGCGGGCCTCGTCGTCGTGAGATCCCGAGGTGCGCGTATGGGATGCGTCGCTCGCTTGAGAGGCGTAGCTGACGGGGCGAACCTCTTCTACCCCGGTGGCCGGCGCGTGTTCCTCACCCGTTGACCTGCCGAAGCGGGGCAGGTGCAGGTTGAAGTGCGTCCGGAAGGGAAAAGGGTTTCGGTGGATGGGATCCGGGACCGTCTCGTTTGCGCCCGCTCTTGCCTCCACGGACTGCGGTCGCTGCATTACCGGCTCCTGTCCGCGCTCGAGGTCGACATCGTTGACAACGATGGGTTCCTGACCCGGCGTCACTGAGCCGCGACGTGTACCACTGGCACTGGAGCTGGAGTTGATGCTCTTGAGTGCGTGCGAATAGGCCGTCGAGCCCTTGCGGGCGGAAGAACTGGAGCGGCTTGTCAGTAATTGCTGGTAGCGATGGGACCTTTTCTCATGGGTTGGGACTAACCCTCTCATGGTGGCTGTCACAGTTGAGCCGTACGAGCCACTTCCCGACTTGTCCTTGTCTGGATCGTAGACTTCCCTGAGGCTGGGGAAGATGTGGCCGAGCCCGAGCAACAGAAAGCCCTTCCTGTAGATGTTCATGGCATCCCTGGTCGTACCGAAGAATCCAAAGATGGGTACGGCAGTCAGAATGGCGATGTACTGTGTGTTCCGGTACGCCCAGCCGACCTGGTCGGATGGGAACATGAAGATGGTGTTCCAGGGGAAGGGCCCGGGTGGGTCGTGGATCAAGTCGTAGTCGAACGGCTTCAGGCCGTGCATGTAGATGATGTTGAGCACGGCGAGCAGGACGACGATTGGGTAGAAGGGCAGAATGATGGAGAGAACCATGAGATAGAGTCGCCGGCGGGTACGGAGACTGCGGCGGTGGATGGTGCTGTTGGTTGAGAGAGCCGGGTCATTGGCTTTGGCCAGCTGACGGTAGCGGTAGAAGATGAGAACTGGACACAAGGATTAGCTCACGCACGAGAAGACCGTGGACAGAGTAAGAGTTCCGGATGTGACGTACCCGAGTACACCAGAGTCAGGCCGCCCACTATGATGGGGGGTATGACGAAGAAGATGAGAAAAGGCCAGGCCGGCCAGACAGACCAGTCGCAGCCGCTCAGTGTGCCGATAACATATCTGTGCGCCGAGAGCGGGTACGTCCATGCAATGAGCGACAGAGGCCATGGAAAGATGATGAGGGCCTGGACTAGGTTTCGCCGGCGCCTCTCCTTGACGGAGAGCGGGTGCGCTCGCAGCTCGCCAACCTGTACGGCGAGGTTGCGCATAATGGCGAGCAAGCACGTAAGAAACAGGGCCTTGGAGCCATTGCGGAAGTAGTTGTCGAAGTCGCAGAAGCCGATACCCGGCCACCAGGAGACGGTGTCGTTGTCGCGCCAGATGAGGGAGTTGACGACGGTGTCGATGTTGTAGAGGACGACGTTGAAGACGAATAGCGAGGCGGCAAATTCGCCGTTGCGGATGAGCATCCACAGGGGCACGATGCAGACGAGGTCGGCGATGATGCCCAGCGCGACGCGGAAGCCCAGGTTCACCGTGAGGGAGGTGGGCTGCTCGGCGAGAAGGCTGGGGAGGGGGACGACCAGCGCGTCGCCGACCGTCTTGGCGTTGGCGAGCAGCGGGTCCATGGTGAGTCGCTTAGCTGCGGTAGCCTCTTGCTGTGTGGAAGATTGATGATGCCGCAGATGTAGTAGGAAGTCGATTGAGTTGATGTGAGAGAGCGCCGCAGAGGTATTTTGTAAAAAGCTTGAGAAGAGGGAGTGCAGCTCGCAGCGAGTCTGGCAACCGGAGCGGGAGCTAAGCTTAGCTCTGCGGGAAACAATAAAGACAACAGCTGGATGGGTGCCTCGTCGGCTTATAGATTCGTCAAACAATAAACCCCCAAAAAGCCCAAAACCCGGAACTCCCACCCAATCTGGCCCGACAAGAACGTCACCGCCCCTGGGCGCTGGACAATTCTAGACAAGGAGGCGACGCCAGGCCGGCCGGCCGGTCGAGATTTACCGACGGCGGCAGCAACGACGCCTGCCGGGGAGGGAGGCGGCAAACAAATTTCTGAATACACACGGGACAAAGTCTAATATCGACTTCAGCCGTGCGCGAGGATACTCGGCTGACGGCAGGAGGTAGGCTGCTGCTGCTTAGCCTTGTCCATGGCCGGCTCGCGCGGTGTGATGGATGGGGATCGCGGCGGCTGCGGCGAGGTAGGTGAGGCGCCGCTGTCAAGGTATAAGCCGTCAATTGTCTCTCCCCGCGCGGCAGTCATATCGCGGGGGGGCGGGAAGAGAGGGGGGACACAGACCCAGGGGCCCGGGATCGCGTATTTGTCTTCAGCAGCGTCAGTGCCGGCGAGTGTCTCGGTCTGGGAGTTTGCGCGTGTTTGCATGGCGCTTATTCGAGAGGCCCTATTGATGCCCCGATTAGGAAATGTCAATTGACGGGAGTGGGTGGGTCGAGCGGGAGAGGTGGCTGATGGAACAGGGTTGGCGGTGGTGCTGGAACCACCAACGAAGCCGTTCACCACTGCTATCTGTCCCTCCCCTCCCCCCCCGGTCCCGACGCCTGCACTGCCATGACGCGGGAGCCGCATGATTGACGCATATTTAGAAATGCAGTGAGCTCAAGCGTGACTGTACCGTCGTTCTCTTACCGTACTGGGATGTACGGGTAGAAGGGCGACACCCTCTCACGCGGCTCAGCTCTGCTGCCTGTGCGAACCAACATGCGCCGGCAGTCCGAAATGCGAAGCCATGTGCTACGCAGCGATGACAGCCAGCTCATGCATGGCTATTGACCGGCCGCGTCCTGCATGGCCGTCAATGCTGCGGCATGCTGCGACATGCTGCAGCGTGTCCTGGGACATGGCACGGAGAATAACGTAGCGTGCTCGTGACCCGCAGCAGGTATTCTGAAACTGGGCTCACCACATTTCTCCGCTCCGCGCTCGAGCCTGTGATGTGACCACTCTCAAGCGCCTCGACTGCGAACAACCGTGGCCCCATTCGTGTAAGTGGCTCCGGTGAGGGACGGTGAGACCCTAGTCTCGGTGAAGGGCTCGGCCAAGGCGCTTATCTTATCGCTCCGCCAAACCCCACCAGTGCAGCACTCCCCAGCTCGTCCAGCCAATCAGCCTACACAATTGCGAGCGCACCGGAAAAAACCTACGCCGCCCAGCGCCAGCGACTCTGCACGCACGGAAAAGTTTCTCGATGGTTGACCTCCGACAACAGCCCACGCCCACGATCACCGACCAGCCCAGTCACGGACCGCGCGCAGAGCCCGCGACGCATACATACATCCACGACGTCCGAGGGTCGAATAGATCAATCGGAATCCAGCGGCCCCGAAGCCGAGTTTTGTCTGCGCAAAAGGCGATTCGCGGCACCAGCCCAGTCAGCTAGAAAAAATGTCGTTCCGAGGCGGCGGTCGCGGCGGTGGCCGTGGAGGCGGTTTCCGAGGTGCGCAAGAGTCTTGCCGCGCGCATCATTCCAGATGGAGAGAATTGAGTTACTGACGTTTCATTTCAGGCGGACGAGGTGGTGGCTACGGCGCCCCTGCAGGTCCCCCGGCCCAGGTCCTGGAGCTGGGCACCTTTGAGCACGCCGTCGAGGGCGAGATGTTCTGCAAGTCGACCAACGTCAAGATTCCCTTCTTCAACGCGCCCATCTTCCTCGAGAACAAGACGCCCATCGGCAAGGTCGAGGAGGTGCTCGGCCCCATCAACAACGTCATGTTCACTATCAAGCCCTCCGAGGGCATCGTCGCCTCCAGCTTCAAGGCCGGCGACAAGGTCTTCATCGGCGGCGAGAAGCTGCTTCCCCTCGACAAGTTCCTGCCCAGGCCCAAGGTCCCCGGGGAGAAGAAGGTGAAGCGCGCCGGCGGTGCTGGCGGCCGTGGAGGACCCCGCGGCGGCGGCTTCTCTCGCGGTGGTGGCAGAGGGCGAGGCGGCCCCCGCGGCGGCAGCGGCGGCTTCTCCCGAGGAGGTGGTCGTGGAGGCGGTGGTTTCTCCAGAGGCGGCGGCGGCGGCCGAGGTGCGGGCGGCTTCTCGAGAGGAGGCGGTGGCCGAGGCGGCGGCGGCTTCTCCAGGGGCCGTGGCCGGGGCGGCTACTAGGTGGGACAGACGGATGGGGTCCGAGGTGTCGGTGCTGACTGCTGCTGCTACTTGCTGGCATTGGGCTGCTTTGGGTTTTTCTACAAGGCCCTCGCGTTTCTCGACGCTGGGGGAAGGCGTTCTAGAGGGGCATCATTGCTTTTGGCCGCTGCAGAGGGTAGGGCAAAGGTGTGAGACTTTTTTCCATATCATGTGCGGTTGTTTCTGCTGTATCATCATGTCAAAATTTGAGCAATTCTGGCATTGCCGACGCGCGTACACGTGCAACTCTTCCCGTCGTAGCCAAGTGAACCACAAAGCATCTTGGGTCCCAGACTCTCAGCGACTTTGTTAGCGGAAGCCGTTCTGCCGCCCGCCCTTTGTCGAACAGGCAGGCGGTGACGCCCGGCGCGGCCCAGCGCTGAGCAGCGCTGCCCCTCCCTCCAACTCGCCCAGTCCCAAAGAGCGCGCATGATGGCTGTCGCGGCCACAAGCCAATCACGAGCTCCAGGACGGGACCGCTAATCTATCGCGTCAAACACGCCCCCAGGACGCGCGCGACCCCTCGAAGTCGCACCCTGCAGGGCAGCACACTCAGCCAGGTCATTAATTAGCAGCAGCACCAGCAGGCAGCTTTGTCGCAGGGATACTTCTGCAGGGACGGATCCAGACTACCTACCGCCTGGTCAGACGTAACTTGCGCCCTCGTCAACTACCGACCGAGCAGCTCGCCTCGCGCATTGTCAACCTTCTCACCACTCACCACCCACCACCCTCCACCACCACCAACCACGATACACGACACGAACAACCGTATCCCGGCCCTTCTTCTTCAACCCGACCTCAAACATGTCCTCGTCGTTCCTCTTCCGCCGCGCGACCGGCGCCGCCACGGCCCGCCGCGCCTTCACCACCTCGGCGCCGCGCTCCGTCGCGCGTATCTCCATCATCGGCAACCTCGCCGACACGCCCGAGCTGCAGCCCACGAGCAGCGGCCGCGAGATCCTCAAGTACGCCGTCGCCAGCAACAGCGGGCCCAAGGACAACCGCCAGACGAGCTGGTTCCGCGTCACGAGCTTCGCAGAGGGCCCGCGCCGCGACTTCCTCCTCAGCTTGCCCAAGGGGTGCGTCTTTGCCTGCCCTTTCCTCGCCGGCCCCCTCTCTCCCCCTTCCACCTTTGATCCTCCATCGTTTCCCATCCCTTCCCGTCGCTTTTGAACCTATGTCGTGTCGTGTCAATGCGCGCGCGCTGGGCTGATCGTCGACGGGCGACATTGATGCGCCTCGCGCTGCGAAGCACACATCGCTGCAAGAAAAGAATACCCTTGCTGACGAAGTCGCTGCAGTGCCATGGTTTTTGTTGAGGGCGATGCCTCTATCAGCACGTACCAGGACGCCAACGGCCAGACCCGGAGCAGCCTCAACGTTGTCCAGCGTACGTCATCTCCCCCAGGCGTCGCTCCCAGGCGAGCCGCCCATGCCCGCGTTTCTGACAGCCCCTTTAGGCAGTATCGAGGTCCTCAAGCGCCCCCAGAACGCCGGCCAGAACGAGTAAGCGTGTTTGCGAGTCCAGCACACTTGCTTCAATAGGATCGGCTTGGCCACGGGCTGCAAGACACGCACGGGACACGCTTGTTACTGCCGAGGCCATGCATTCGTCTCCACTCTGAAAGACCATCTCCTTTGTTACACGTCTCATCTATTTGGGCTTGCCGCGGGATTCAGGGTTGGGAGTGGCAATATCTCCGTTGTACAAATAAGGGTGGTGTAGGAGGAGTCGAGATATCGCTGAATTCAAGTCACCGAAAGTCCACATGTCGTGGTTCATGTCGGGGCACTCCAACGTGTCTATTCGTCTACAACCTTCTACACAAGGGAGCAGCTGTCCATGCATCCATAACCTGCCGCAACGCCACCTTCCTCGCTCTTGTCGCCTTTTGTGCGCAGAAGGTAGCCCGCCTCTTCGTTTCGAAGCACCTCTCCGCTGCTCTGGTTCCACAGACAGGTGCCGTACACGCCCAGCTCGCAGATGACGCCGCCCTGCTCAATCTTGCCGTTGCGGAGGATGGTGTTGGACACCGGCGGGGGCGTGATCAGCTCCATGAGGATAAATGATCCCCAATGCTCCTCAGGGACGGACTTGAGAAAGCTGGGAATAGCACCACGGTAGATGTTGTTGCCGCCGCCCTCACGCTGTGGCTTGAGGACGTACGCTTGACAGGCCTCGGGGTCGAGTGCCTTCTTGCGCGCCTCAAGACCGGCCTCCGACGTGTCCATGGGGTATATGTTTGTGAACGTCCTCCACAGCTCTGCAGCGGCGGGCGTATCATCTTTGATGAAGCGTCCCAGCATCGATGGTGCCGATGAGGGTCGTGGTGTGGCCAGGACCTGTTGCACCTTCTTGGTTCCGGCGAGCTGGGTGAGAACCGTAGGGCATTTAATGGCCGCGGAGCGTTCAAGATGGTAGCGCGCATCCCATGCTCGCTGGTCAGGATAATCACCCGGGCCGTAGCCAGCGCGCATGTAAATTACGGCGACCTCGAAGACTTTTGCCGGGTTGCGAGGCAAGCGGTAAAGAAGCTGTCGCTTTGGCGTGTCGGCGACCGTTGTGTGGGTGAGTATGTCGGAGAAGGCAAGCCTGAAGACAGGGGCAGTCGGAGACGAGCTAGCGATTTGGTACTCAAGGTGGCGCTGGTCGAAGACGTTGCGTTCATCGCCTTGGACGAGAAAGATTATGCACTTGGGATGGCCGAGCTCCGAAGGCGGGTAAGCGTGGAACGCGGCCTCGATGCCGCCAGCAAGGCCTTGAACGGCGGTGCTTTCCGGAAGGTTGAGCGAGCCCGCTGGAATTGCCTCGTCTATCAGAGGGTACTCGGTTGCGGCCAGGTACCTGACCATCAATCAGTCCGGGAGCCTTCGGCACGGCAATGAAACCAACCTGTGGAGCCTCGAGGTGAAGCAGGAGAGGCCGCCAAAGGATGATGCAATCGTATTGAACTCGACTTGCTTGGCCGTCAACGACGGTGGTGACGTTGAAGTATCCTGATGAACCATGTAGTCGGACCTGAAGAGACCCAAGGACAGTGGCTAGCCCGTCGTCAGAGATGAAGTCATCGCAAAAGCCAAGTGAGTGAGTACCTGGGTGTATCCCTCCTGCTTGACCTTGAGATGGATCTGCCACAGGTTCCGGATGAAGTCGTCGCCGTCGGCAACCCTGATCCTCTGTCAGCACTGATATTCATGGATTCGCATCGCGTGAACTGACTCCTTCACAATCTGGGCGAGGAATTCCTCATCCCGGCTGACCGCGGCGTACAGATCGTTATACGTCTGCTGCACTGCCTTGCCCTGCTCAAAGCATATCCGGGGGAACGCGCTGGGGAAGAGGGTGACGGGAGCGTTGATGGCGGCGATGCCCGACGGGTCAGCATCGGTGGGAATGACGGCGGGAGGAGGCCGGATGGCGAGCCCGTTGCCAATGGACCAGTCCTTGATGGTCAGGACGAGGTTGTCCCGCTCGGCATCCGTGAGGTGCGGGGGATACATTGACCCCTCCACGGAAGTAGACATGACAACGTCGCCGTTAAGGACCTGCTTCGCTGGTGCCAGAACACGGCACACAGGTATATTGAGTGCAGGCAAGCGGATTGATGATCTGGAGTGACTGGTCTCGGGACGGCGGGAGCGCGTTGTTGAGGTGAGAAGGTGAGATGGATTAATAATTAATAGCGCGGGCAAGAGCGCTTCGTGATGAATGGATGGGTCCCTCTGGGTGCGGGCTGCGTGCTGGCTCTTGCAGTTGGTGTAGCACTTCCCTTCGCGCAGCGAATTAATAGTCCAAAATTCTGGCACAATTGCTCCCATCTATCCAGAAACTCCATGCCGTGATATACATTCCTCGACGTCCAAATTCCGGAGTGCGACGCTTCTTCTGTACCTATTGCTGTCCGTTTTCACCTGCGTCCCCACCGAAGAGACATGTGCGAGCAAGCGCTCGCCAGGCGACGGTCTAGCGCGCCCCTCTCTGGGTCGTTGCCGTCTGCCAGTTAGCGGCCGTTTCTGGCGTGTCTTAGAACGACGCTCGGTCGCCAGTGACTTTTCCATCCCTATCGCACCACAGCAACCTGTTCAGGAGCGCCGTCGGCGTCCTGCCTCTCCCGCCGCGGCCTGCACAGGTCCGAAGCGCAAATTGACGGACGCATTCACAGGGCCCATGACGGGCTACTGTTGCTGAAGTCACGTGAACACGTGGCGCCTAAGTAACGCGGTCCGCCCACCAACGAGGCAACACACGTCTTCTTCTGGGTTCCATCGCGCCTGCAGGCCTCCGTCCTCCCGACCTTCCCCCTCAAACTCATCCCCAAATCCTACGCAGGGCCTCACTCTCTCTTTATCGTGTCAAGACCTGATTCGAAAGCCCTGAAACACGCCCATTTTCGCATTCACCGACGGATATCAGCGTCCGCAGCTCTCTACCACCTGCAGTGCTCTCCTCTGCAGGTTGGTGGGGCCGCAAACCGCAACACCAACGACCTGCACAGCGGGAAGCGTTCGAAACAAGCCGAACAGGCAAAGCAAAGTCAGGCTACTGCAAGAGACAGCCTCGCAGATCGCGAAGCTTTGCGGCCTCGTACAGCCTCAAGCCTCGTTGCCAACCCGGTTAGGATCTTCATTCCCAGCTCTCTGCAACCCACTCCTCTCAGCATCCACGAAATCGCAAGCCACTCTTCACCCAACTCCTCCTTGCCGACTACTCAGGTCTACGGCTTGAGACTGCCAGATGGATTCGCCAACGGCTTCTCCTGATAAATTGACAGCCGATTAAATTCTGACTTGAGCCGCTTAGCCCACGCATACCAACAATCGCCACTCTCTATGGTCGCCCATGGAAGGCACTCTGCGTCGCGACCCATTCCGCTGGGGCGTGGATGATGTCGCCGAAGAGCTGTCCAAGTTGGCGCGCCCGTGTACGCGTGATCCAGCCGCCCTCAAGGACACAGTCAAAGAGCAAGAAATCGACGGCAACACCCTCTTGACGTTTGAGTTCGTCTGTTCCAGACAGGAATTGTTCGAGTGCTTGGGTATCAAGCTCGGTGGACACAAAGCCGCCCTGGGTTTCGCAATTCACAGACTACGATCTCAGAGCCCCGAGTTTCAGGCATGGAAACGGGAATTCAGCAGACAGGACGACCAGGGCCTGGCCTCCGAAGACGATGGCGCCATGGCCAACGGAGAGCATGTGTCAACACCCGCGAAGCAGCCTGCCACGGCTGTAAATGGTAGCACACCGACTGGTGGCGCAGCTGTGTTGTGTGGTCCCGGCAGCGTGACTAATTTAAAACGCAAAGCAGATGCACTTGAGAATCGACCGTCTCTCCCAACCGCCTCGCACTCGCCTGGCGCGGATAACAACAGCATGTCGTGGCCGGCTGTACCTGGCCCGGAAGACCCTGACGCCAAGAAGGCACCGAAGCGCAGCCGAGTGGCGCCCACGCTTCTCGCGAGCATGCCAGTCAACTTGGAGCCACTTCCCATCGCAACAGAAGCGGACCTTGTCGGTGAGAGTGCCGCCGTGGATGAGCAGGAGACCGATTCAAGCGAATATCCGTGGGAGACGTTCGCCCCGGGGGCCTACCTGGGCCAAAGCTCTCTACCGGTATCTGCACTCATGTCATACGGCAGAGCTATGACGTCTCAGGTTCACTCCGTGGACGAAAGAACCTTCACCACTGGCTTCCCAGTTGTGTTGCCGCCCGGTGTGAGAGTCGTTGCTGCCCGAATGATGAAACGATTACTGGTTAAAAACGGCCGCGTGGAAGCCCTTGTTCACCAAGGTATCTTCTTGGAGACGTCACAGACTCCGTCAGAGGACGGCGAAAGCGTTGTCGATCTACTCGATCTGCCGGAATCGCTTGACGAGGAGACTCTCCGGGAAATTGAGGCCGAGGAGGCTGAGGCAGCAGCAGCGAAAGCCAGCAGCCAGCATCTTGATCGAGACACAGTCGAGACCACTCTTCGAGAGGCCATGGATCGCTTCAAACAAAGCTGGAATGAGGTGAAACTACCCCGGTATGCGCGCCGCGCTCATCAAATCTGGACAAAGTCCAGGGCGAAAGGGACCTGGCATCAAGACATCATCGGAGCTCGCCAGCGTGCCAAGGCTTTCGAGGATCGCCTCAGAAAGCTAGCTGCGGAGATTTTGGACCAGACCTGGTCCAAACCAGCAGAAGTTCGGCAGCAGGCCTGGTGCTTGGAACAGACATTGGCCGACAGGCTGTACTGCCAATGGCTGGCAGATACTTTGGAGTCACGCGTCGAGCCTCCAAAGTTTGCTGCCCGAGCACCTGCAGAGCGGCAGGTGCAGCCGGTCGATCTGCCCCAGAGTCGCCTAGACAGCGAAATCCTTACAAGTTCGGACGAGGACGACTTTATTGTGCCGGATGGCCCAGACGACCCCGTGGACGACAACCAGAATCCCGTGAGTGCCGACGCTGTTCCCTATGCGTACCAAACACCGGTCAAGGCCGAAACACCGACTTTATTCGTGGATCTGACCCAGCTCGAGACGCCTGAAAAGTCACCCAGCCGTGACCGGACTGGCTCTGTCATCGACTTGACAACGCCCGCAAAACCCAGGTCGCCGAGTGAAACAGCCCGCTCGCCAGTCGTTCCTCATGTTTCACCAACCGCGTCCGAATCAGAGTTTGATGTGGAAGAGATTGGGAAGCATAACCCCAGCTTTTGGTCCAAAGAGAGCGACCGCAAGAGGCTCATCATTTGCATACTCTGGAGATTGGGACATGGCCGCCGTTCCTTGATCTTCGAAGCAGTTCGTCTTTATAACTGCTACGACTTCATCACGGCTATCATTGCTCCAGCACTGGCTTTCACCAGCAACGACGACGGCGATGCGACGTCTCCAAAGCCTCTGCGCACCGACACCCCGGACGAGACTTGTCGTTTTGATGCCACCCGACTATTTCTCAGCTACATGAAAGCCAAACATTGCAAGGAAAAGAGAATTAGCGAGTTGTTTCGATATAAGCAGGACCGAGCTCTGCTGGCTAACCAGGTCGCGATCTCGGAGAAACGCAATGGCCAAGACGACTCCGATATGGCGACATTCCATGCCTTTCTTGGCCGTGTGGAGCCCTTGTTTCCCCTGGAAAGTCAGATTGTTAGACTGGGATACTCTGACGACGACTTGGGGGTCTTGACCGACGCCGAAGACGACCTGTTAGCATCGCCTGATACACCATCCAAGCCTCGCAGAAAAGCGCCCAAGGAGTTGGTGCAGAACAAAGAGGGCGTTGACATGCGCTTGCGCGAGAAACGCCGTGTCGAGGAGCAGGACGCCCGTCGCCGCAAGCTACGAGCTGCCCTAGGGGTGACCGATATGCCTTCAGACAGGTCGAGGCTTATCATCAACGAAGCTAAGCAGGATGACGAGGCGTTTCTTTACATCAACGACGAGACGGCGAAGCGTATCAAAGATCATCAGATTGAAGGTGTCCGGTTCATGTGGAACCAAATCATCCTTCAAGAGGATAGTCAGCGGCAGGGCTGTCTCCTTGCACATACCATGGGCCTGGGCAAGACGATGCAAGTCATCACCTTTCTCGTTGCCGTTCAGGAAGCTGCACGGTCCCCAGATCCTTCCGCGAGAGAGCAGGTACCGAGAGATCTACGGAAATCCAAAACCCTGGTGCTGTGTCCGGCCGGCTTGGTGGACAACTGGATCGACGAGCTGCTCCAGTGGACTTCAGGGGATGTGCTCGGTCCCATCCGCCACGTCGCGGCATTATTGAATGCAGGCGAACGCCTCGGAACCGTTGCCGCCTGGGCTCAGGAGGGTGGCGTTCTGGTCGTTGGCTACAACATGTTACAACGCTTGATCGCCGCAAACGAGACCACGAAAGCAGCGTTGCTGGAGAGTCCGAACATTGTCGTCGCCGACGAAGCCCACTACCTCAAAAATAAGGAGATCAAGCTGCATGCAATCTGCGAGCGGTTCAAGACTAAGTGTCGTATCGCTCTGACTGGCACGCCGCTCGCGAACAATGTCGAAGAGTATTACAGCATGGTTAACTGGATTGCTCCGGGTTATCTGGGCACGCCCGACGAGTTCCGTCAGAGATTCGCGAACCCCATCCATGATGGCTTGTGGGGGGACAGTCTGCCTTGGCAAAAGCGCAAAGCTCTAAAGCGCCTTCAAGAGCTCAAGGAGACTGTTGCCCCCAAGGTTCACCGCGCGACGATTCAATCCTTGAGGAGGGACCTGCCGCCCAAGAAAGAGTTTGTGCTCTGCATCCCAGCCACCAAATTACAGAAGAAACTCTACGACACCTACGTGACGGAGGTCCGCAAGAGCGAGATTTCGCAAGCCACAGTCTTCAAGATCGTCAACGACCTCATGTTGCTCTGCAACCACCCACGGTGCTTTGTGCAGAAGGCCCTGAACCAGAAGAGAGGTGGCGCGGAGGAGCGTGACAAGTCCAGTGCGGAAGGTCAGCACAAATCTGAGAAAGAGTCCAAGCTCCCGACAAGCGTCGTCACAGCCACACTTAAGGAGATGAATGCGTATCCTGACAAGGATGCTGTCGGCCTGTCGATGAAAGCGGAACTTCTGTGTCTGATACTTGACGAAGCCAAGCGCGTCGGGGATAAGGTGCTTGTTTTCTCGCAGTCCGTGCCGACTCTGGACTACCTGATGTACATTCTTCGTGGGCAACAGCGGCGAGTCAGCCGCCTGGACGGATCCACGAACATTGCAAAGCGCCAGGAGATGGTCAAAGAGTTCAACACCGGCAACCAAGAGGTTTATCTCATCTCTACTGCCGCAGGTGGTGTGGGCCTGAACATCCACGGGGCCAACCGTGTCGTCATCTTCGACTACAAGTGGAATCCAGTACAGGAGCAGCAAGCCATCGGGCGCGCATTCCGTATCGGACAGACCAAGAACGTTTTTGTTTACCGATTCATGGTCGCGGGTTCATTTGAAGAGGACCTGCAGAACAAGGCTGTCTTCAAGACGCAGCTGGCCTCACGGGTCGTGGATAAGAAGAACCCCATCAGCTGGTCAAATCGGCTGGGAAGCCTGGTGCACCCGCTCCATCATGTGCAACCAAAGAACTTGTCCGATTTCGTGGGCAAAGACGTCATATTGGACAAGCTCATTAGCTACAAGTCCGATGGGGATAAGGCGCCAATTCGGTTCATTGTCTCGACCGATACATTTGAGGAAGAGGACCCGACGAACAACCTGACGGCCGAAGAGCTTCAAGAAGTCGACCGGATGGTGAAAATGAACCGGCTTCGCCTCACGGACCCCAAGGAGTATGAGAGACTACAGGAGGAGCAGAGAAGGGCAGAGTTTCGGCGGCAGACGCTTGCCGTGCCCTACCTGCATCTCGATGGCCCCGCCCAGCTGATGCCTGCACTGGCACCACCAGGTTTGACACAGTCTCCCCCAGTTGCCCGGACTACGGACGGAGCTCAAGATGGCCATCCGTTCTCAGTTGGTGAAGGACACGGACGTCCAGATGGCGTCGGAGCGGGCAGTAGAGTACTTGCGAGCTTGGGGACCACGATTCGGCCGGTCGCAGGCGCTTCGAAGGCAACATCGGCGCTACAGCCCGTGCCTGGCACAAATACTTATTTCGGAGATGCAGCGAGCACTTCCCAATCCACCACGAACCGTCCCTCGCACGCACCGGAGGTCCAGGCCGCACCGCAAACGCCTGTAAGAACCGTGAGCACGTTGCCTGCCATTTTCAGCCCACCGAAACAGAGCCGGGCCCGAGCGGCTTTCGAGCAGACGCTACGTACGGCGCTTGGGCAGCTGCAAAAGGCGCAATTCCCATGCGTGGTTGGTGAGGTGGATGGGACCGTCAAGAAGGTGGCAACTGGCATCGACAAACATCTCAAAGCGGACGGCCTCGGGTTCCTCAAAGAGGACCAGCGCTGGCGACTTCTTGATCACCTGGTTCAAAGCCACCACCGATTCGCACTTGCGATCGTGTCGGGATGCTTCTCGCTACAGTACGTCGCTCTGGCCGCGGCGGAAGACATGCAGCTCCGGCTGGACGGCCTGAATGGTTTGTCGGATGGCGACTTGGAAGGCCAGCTGGCAGCAAGACCCGTTGCCGACCCCCGAGTAAGACATGCGCCTGGTTGGTACATGAGCGAGACGTTGCTAACCTGGATACCAAAGAACCTGCAGAACTTGCAACGCTCCAGTTCGGTGTCTGGCGCCCAATTGCAAAGTCCTCGGGCGAGAGAGGACCTCGACGTGATGCGCGAAGCTGCAGCTAGGAGGCAGCAACGGCAACAAGGGGTCCAGCATCGCGGTTCGGACGCTTGAGGCACAATGAATCGTTGACAAGTGCGTGTGCCTCGCAGACTCGTGAGGCTGGTCGTACGTGCCTGTACAAGGCCTAGCTTGAGGAGACCAATGGTGCGAGAGATGGGGCGGCGGAGGCGGTCTCGGGCGGAAATCGGGATGGCGGATCCCGCGGGCGGAATGGTTGGGCTTTGGTGGACGGGCTGGTGGGAGCAAACCTTGTGTGAATTAGCGAGCCGGCGTTGGCGGCATTTGCTTGACTTGTGATACCCTATATTGTACGGATTTAAGCATAAGTGGAACGAAGTGTACTTTGCGGCATCAGGCGTAACCGGTGTGCGAAGGGCTGCATGAAGTGTCGGGTCGCACTGAGGTCATGGAACCTAGATGGCGACCGGTGAAGTGGCGTCAGATTTGGCTTGGACGGCTCCTCGGAAGTGGATTGTTGTCATGCTCACCGCATGGCTTCGGCAAGGGCCCGGCCGGACTTGTCGGGAACCGGGGTTTGATGCGTCGTGAAATCAGAGGCACGACGGAGCAGCTTGAACGAAACGGGAATGCGTCAGCGACCGCAGCGCAGCGCAGTCGGACGAGAAAACGACCTCAGTCCCTCACATGCCAAAATTTTAGCGGCCCGGTTCAGTTGGGATCCGGAAAGGCGGCCAATCAGGGACGATGTATTATTCCGCATCGTGCGCCGTCCGGCGTCGAAGGCCCTGGAACTCGGCCAGTCTGGGCGGCGCTGGAGCGTTGGGCGGCGGGCGGTGGCGGCTCCAGGGCCCTTTCTTGGGTGTCGCGGCGCAAAAATTGTGGGGCCCGGTGGGTGTCTCGCATGCTGGAACGGCTGCCGTTCGGAGGGCGGGGACCCCCTGCACGGGGACGGCGGATTGAGGGACACTTTGGCGGCACCCGCCTGGCACTCACTCAGTCATTGACTCGGAACAAAAACCTGCGCCTCGTTTCCCATCGCCATCCTCCTCCGCCCCGACTCTCCTGTTGTTTCGCCGCTGCAACACCAGACTGCATCACCTCGTTTGTTTTGTTTCCACGCGCTCCGTCTGACGGCCGACGCTGTTGAGCAGAGCATCGTCAGAGCCCAGCGCTGCTGATTGACATTTTCCTCGACCCAACCCTCGCTCGGTCTTCGCCGACGCCCCGACATATCCGCCACTCGACGACGACAAACGTCCCAATTGACCCGGACATTCGGACGCGATCCTGATACAGCCATCATGGACAGCGTGCTCCGCCAGTCCAAGGCCATGTGCCCCTTTCTGAAGGCCGCATCGCCCGCCACGCTGCGGGCCATGTCTACGTCGGCCCGCCCCAAGGCCTCGCCCTGCGGCGGCACCATGTCCAAGCTGCAGCTCTACGCCCACCGCTGCCCGGTCATGGGCAAGGCTCTGGCCGTCCAGTCGGCTCGCACCGGTGGTGCTGCTGCCGGCCTGCGTGCCTTCTCCGGCCACGGTAAGGCGGCCGCCAACCGGGCTCGCATCCACACGAGCCGTAACCAGGAGGCTCGGGCCGTCGACAACCCCATTCTCGAAGGCCGCGACGATGGTGAGCACATTTGCCAGACGTTATGGGAAGGGGACATTAGTATTGACGTTGTGTAGGCCGCATCCCTCCCGGCATGGCCATTCCCCGCAAGGACGCCGCACCCACGGTTGGCGCAGGCCTCTCCCGCGACACTGGCAAGTTCAACTACGAGGCCTTCTACAACGTCGAACTGGACAAGAAGCACAAGGACAAGTCGTATCGCTACTTCAACAACATCAACCGTCTCGCCAAGGAATTTCCCCGCGCCCACATGGCCAACAAGGAGGATCGTGTCACCGTTTGGTGCGCCAACGATTACCTCGGCATGGGCCGCAATTCTCGCGTCCTGAGCAAGATGCACGAGACGCTCGACGAGTATGGCGCCGGTGCTGGCGGTACGCGAAATATCTCGGGTCACAACAAGCACGCCGTCGAACTTGAGGGGGCACTGGCCAAGTTGCATGCCAAGGAGGCTGCGCTGGTCTTCAGCTCGTGCTACGTCGCCAACGACGCCACTCTCGCGACCCTGGGCAGCAAGATGCCCGACTGCGTCATTCTGTCTGACAGCTTGAACCACGCATCCATGATTCAGGGCATTCGACACTCTGGTACGAAGAAGATAGTGTTCAAGCACAACGATGTGGCCGATCTCGAGGCCAAGCTGGCGTCGCTGCCCCTCCACGTCCCCAAAATTATCGCCTTTGAGTCTGTTTACAGCATGTGCGGCTCGATTGGACCGATTGAGGAGATTTGCGACCTGGCGGATAAGTACGGGGCCATCACCTTCCTCGACGAAGTGCATGCCGTCGGCATGTATGGCCCACACGGCGCTGGCGTCGCCGAGCACCTGGACTGGGAGGCGCATCGCCAAGGCCGGCCCTCGGGTTCCATCATGGATCGCATCGACATTATCACGGGCACGCTAGGCAAGGCGTACGGCTGCGTTGGCGGCTACATTGCGGGCAGCTCGAAGTTGGTGGATATGATTCGGTCTCTGGCCCCCGGTTTCATCTTCACGACTTCCCTGCCGCCGGCCACCATGGCTGGTGCGAAGGCCTCAATTGAGTATCAGATGGAATACGATGGGGATCGTCGCCTGCAACAGCTCCATACGCGGGCCGTCAAGGAAGAGATGAACGCGCGTGACATCCCGGTCATCCCTAACCCGTCCCACATTATCCCCATCCTGGTCGGTAACGCGGAGCTTGCCAAGGCTGCCTCGGACATGTTGCTGCAGGACTACCAGATCTACGTGCAGTCAATCAACTACCCCACGGTGCCCGTCGGCCAAGAACGCCTTCGCATTACGCCAACCCCGGGACACACCAAGGAATATCGCGACCAGCTGGTGGCCGCTGTGGACGAGATTTGGACACGGCTGGGCATCAAGCGTACCTCGCAGTGGGCTGCCGACGGCGGCTTCATCGGCGTCGGGGAGCCAGGTAACGTCGAGCAGCCTCTCTGGACGGACAAGCAGCTTGGCATCGAGCAGGCGGCACAGGAGATGAAGGCGACGGGCAGCACGAAACAGGGCTTTACCGAGGCGCTCCTTGCGCGCGAGAGCCGTGGCGCCAACCGCGTGGCCAGCGCTTCGGCCTGAGGGGCTCCGGTTGCATGCAAGTGCCGGTTGGTAGTCGAGACGGACACTTGGATTGCTGCCGTTGGCTGCGGCCATCGCTGACGTTACCTTCGTACCTGACCCCTTTGACTGAATACTTTTTTCGGGGAACACAAGATGTCCCTGCAATAAATGGAAACTTCCTGAATCACTATCTGGTCCACAATGTGCCATGAACGTGTTCTGAGACGGTCTGTACATGTCTCAGGCGATGACGAAGCCGACTTTCTGGGTGGGACATGGAGTCCAAGCGTCAACCGCTGCAGGCCCAGGCCGGCGGCCCCGGAGTCCGGAGTTCGGAGACGACCAACGCCTGCCACCGCTGCGGGTGAGACTCGAGATACCCGAACCCAGATGGCCGCCCGATGCCACGGCCCCGGCATGTGGCATGTGCGTGGGCACCATGGGGAAAGGCGATCAGTGCGTGCGTGCCCCAGACTGAACCCCGGATTGCGTCGCATGTCACCGGCTCGGGGACGGAAAAACGCAGTCCGAAAGTCCGTGACGGTGCACGGATCGTCTCAAGGTCGGCTCTTGGCCGTCCGTGCCTGAGGCCTTGGTGGCCTTGGGGCGCCAGGCCACAAGGGTTAGGTTAGATTTGCCTCGGCAAAGGGCCCCAGCCAAGGGGCTCGTGCCTCTCCCAAACCCCACCATTCATTCCACGCACCACCGGTGGGTGAGGCCGATGGTCTCTACCGCCACCACTCGACGGGACGGTCCCCCCGCTGTTCCTCGCAACCCGCACCCAGCCCAGGCAACGCGCGACGCCACGGAGGCCCGGGCCAATTCTGCACCTCCGCTGCCGTTCCATCGACGGCCCCTCCACCATCCAGTCGCGCGCTTCGCTCGCTGCGTAGTATGGCTGGCTGGCGCTTGGTCGCCGCCCGCCCCCAGATGCCGCCTCCAGATCGGACCACAGCCCGTCGTCGTCATGCCCACTACCCCAGGAAATAGCGTCAGAGTCTGCCTGCTACTTTGTTGAGCGTCTGGGTTCTGGTTCCAAGCATGTGCTTGTTTGTCGTCTCCATTTCCAAGCGTTTTGCGGGGTTGCGTGGAGCCCTGACACGGCTCGTTGTGAAGCAATAAAGCCAACCGTCGTCCGTCTGGATCGCATTACATCGCCCCCCTTCCCTCTTGCCGCCTCAAACCACTGTTCCTCCTTTGCTCCGGTCCTTGCCATATCTTCATGCCCGCGAGCCATAGCATGGCGCCTGCGCGACCTGTGATGTAACCTGGACCAAAGCAAAACTCGCATTATCAGTTTCCGTCCCCGTTCCACCTGCATCCCGCCACCTCCCTTCCCGCTCGCCATCCTTCCCGCCTCCGGCCCGTCGCGCTTCGTCTTATACGACCACCATCATGGACGCGGCGTCCTCCGCCTCGGCGGCTCAAAAAGGCCCCAAGGCCTGCACGACCTGCGCCAAAGCAAAGGCTCGCTGTATCCCTCGTGCTGACGGCGGCTCCAAGTGTGAGAGGTGAGTAAGCGCCAGACAGCCTGCCAAGGCCACTGACATGGACGCTTCTTTCTGACCCCGTCCCCTGCCGATCGCAGATGCCTCCGCCTCAAGAAGGATTGCTTCTCCCGGCCTCCGGCCCCGCCCCGTATCAAGAAACGACCCAAGAGATCCCGTGTCGCCGAGCTGGAGAAGCGACTGAACGAACTCTCCTCCCAGTTCGAAGGCCAGCACCAACACTCCCCATCACAGCAACAACAGCACAGCCCGGCCAGCACCGTCAGCGTACCCGCGACCAAGCCAACTCCCAGCAGAGTCGCCGACAAGGGTGACATCCTCAACTTCGGCCACCTGTTCCCCTCGCCCTCATCAACTGGCGTCGATGGCGATGAGGAGTCCGCATGGAGCCCCGAAGCTCTCAAGCCATGGGACTCACCGTGGCCGCTGTCGGGCGAGGCCGGCGTCCTGCTAGCGCAGTATCACGACGCGTTCGCCCACCTCTTCCCCTTTGTCGTCGTGCCCAAGCACGCCACTGCCGCAGACCTGCGCAGCTCGCGGCCGTTTTTGTGGAAGGCCATCATGATGGTGAGCTGCATCTTTGATGGTGCACGACAGGCCAAGCTCGGCGAGGAGCTCCTGGCCGAAGTGGGCAAGGCCGCCGTGGTGGATGGCATCAAGAGTCTTGACCTACTCCAAGGTCTTGAGCTGCTCGTTGCATGGTGAGCTCTGATTCCTGGCACCACTTCTTGCTTTGGTCTAACGAAGCATATTATAGGTTCCACTTCGCCCTGAAAAGCTCACAAGTCACCAACCTCTTGTTTCTGGCACGGTCCATGTGCGTCAACCTGAGCTCCATGTCGTACGGCTCTGAGGACGAGGAGAGCAAGTACGGCAATCTCGACCATCTACGTGCGTATGCCGGCACGTACTACCTCAATACTCTGTAAGTTGTCAACTCTCTTGCATCCATTCGAATCATACCCCGCTAATGCGACTCTAGTGTGTTCACCACCAACAAACGAACCGATGTCTTCATGAACACGACACAGCTTGATACCTGCTGCCGCGTGCTGGAAAATACCATGGAGTTCCCAACCGACGCGTATCTCGTCAAGCTCGTCAAGGTCCAGCAGCTGGCGCAGACCATCTCCCTCACCATGGCCTTTGACCCCGCCATGCCCGCCATGTCTTTGCCCCTCACGATGGTAGTCGAGTCGTTCCAAGACCAGCTTGACACGTTCCGTGCCACCTTGCCCGAGAGTCTGGCCGACAATCGTAAGTTGCCTGCTTCATGTGACCCAGAGATTTCGTTCGCTAACCTCACCACCAGCTACCTTGCAATGCCACCTCGCCATCGCCGAGGTACTGCTGATGGACATTGCCATCTCCGACCAGCACTGCAACTCTTCCAACATGCCCCTCACCGACCGCCTGCAGCTTCTTTGGTCTTGTGTGCGATCGCTGCGCGCCTTCTTCAAGGTCCGATTCGCCGGTTCCGAGCTCGAAAGGCCACGATTCCTCACCCTCATTGCCTCCGACGTTGCCTACACCTTCATCACAGGCGTCAAGCTCCTCGCACTCCGGGTGCCGGGTTGGAATCTCGAGCACATTGGCAAGGAGCTCGCGCTGGACAAGATGCTGGGCCAACAGATCCAGGACCTGTCGGAAATCATCGACAAGCGCAAGAGCGGGCTCCTGTCAACAGCAGACAAGGCCGGGCTCGAAGACCCGCTCGAGCGTTTGGTGAGGCTGCTGCGGACGGCTCAGGAGCTCGTTGCCCTGCAGTTGAGTGGCGTGACGGCGCAGGAGATTGCGCAGGAAATCGTGTCGGAGATGAACAGCAGCATGTGGCAGGATCTGGTCAACGACTCGACCTCGGGGACGGCGTGGGCCGGCGCAGCGGACAGCGCGGCCATGTTGAGCGCCCAATGACTAAAAGGAGGTGGTGACAAGGAGCCGACGGGCGATGCGCAAACGAAGGGAGTTTCTTTCGACAGGGCGCTGCGATTTTCGATGCGAAAGTGAGGACGAACGATTCAGTCTCTCGTTATGGTGCGAGCGTGAGCATTGTGGAGAGTTCGTGGGACGGCGGCTTCGTTCTCGGAGGCCAGTGGGTGCAGCAACAACGACGACCAATATGTGAACGGCCGCGAGCATCTTCTATGGCGCAAAACAATGGACGAACGGGATGGGTGGAATTCGCAGCGAGCATGGATCAAGGTGTTGGAAATATCCCGCCCGCTGGGGCTTTTCGAGTGTTCTGGATCAAGGGCATTCATTAATCATTAGTAGCGTCTTTGCTCTTGACGACTTTATGGGCACATGTAGGATTGCAAAAAAGAAAACTTGTATGATCTCATGGCTTCATTGGCCTTTTGTCTATCCAACCTGGCTTTCAGCCAACATATGTATGTGTTGAAAACGTCGATCCCTGATGAACCACCGGTCTCATGAAGAAGCCACCTCGTCCCCCGGGACGTCAACGGCCTGCACCTTGGCCAGTACCAGCCACCGCAGATCGCCTGCGGCCGTAGCCTTGCGGATACCGTACAGCTCGTCGAGGAAGGCAGGCACAAAGGTGCCAGGGCCCCTGACCTCGGACCGCTCGGCGGCCATCTCAGACGCGACGCCGAACATGACTGCGGCGGCGACTGTGGCGGCGAGTGGGTCCGCAGCGCCGACGGGGGAGCAGACCATGGCGCTGACGGCGGTGCCAAGGGTGCAGCCGGAGCCGGTGATCATGCCCAGGAGCTCGTGGCCGTTGTCGACGCGCACGACGCGGCGGCCGTCACTGACGACGTCGGTGGCGCCCGTGACGAGGGCGACGCAGCGGTGCCGCCGGGCCACGTCGCGGACGAGGCGGGCGCGCTGCGCGAGGGTGAGCTGGGAGGTGGAGTCCACGCCGCGCTGAGCGACGGGGGCGGAGCCGCCGAGCACGGTGAGCATCTCGGAGGCGTTGCCCTTGATGACGGCGTAGCGGCCCGAGGAGAGGAGAGTCTCGACGGCCGAGCGGCGGACGGCGGTGGCGCCAGCTCTGGAAGGGAATGGTCAGCAGAGGCGAGGACACACCGGGTAGATACAGAAGGAAGGACGGCTCACCCGACCGGGTCGAGGACGACGGGCCGCCCAGCGTCATTGTACGCCTTGAGCGCCTGGAGGTAGTTCTTCAGTCCGTCAGGGGTCACGGTTCCCATGTTGACGACGAGCGCACCACCCAGACGGGCGAGGTCAGCGGCCTCCTCGGCGTAGTTTGCCATGATAGGGCTCGCACCCACGGCGAGGGCGACATTTGCGGCGATGTTCTGGACGACGAGGTTGGTCATGTTGTGCGACAGAGGGGTGGTCGCGGCGACGCTGCGAACGACGTCGGGGACGCGAGCGCGCAGGACCTGGCCAAGGAGGCGGCGGGCGGCGTCGGCGGGGTCCGGTGCGGCGACAAGGGCGCTGACGACGGCGACGCCGTCGAGTGACTTGGCCGGGGAGCTGCTGGCGGCGAGGACATCGCCTGCGTTTGAGGCGTTGACGCCGCCGATGCAGACGGTGGGGACGGAGCCGTGGCCGGCGGCGGCGAGGGCGGCGAGGATGTCGCGGACGCCGTGCGGGCCGATGATGGATTTTGTGTCCTTTTTGCTGTGAGTGAGGGTCAGCGAGTGAGAAGGCGAGTGAGGAGTGATGAAGAAAGAGTGGGTGCATACGTCTGCGTGGCGTAGACAGTGCCTACGCCGAGATACGTTGCGCCGGCCTCGCACGCGCGGAGGGCCTCTTCCGTCGAGCTGGCCGTGACGCCAATGATCTTGTCAGGGCCGAGCATCTGGCGCGCCTTTTGGAACTCTGCATCGATTTCACGCATGTGCGTCCTCATCAGCCACCATCATCATCATCATCAACAACAACATGATCATCATCATCCGCGTCCACGCAGCCTGTGCGGCTTACAGGTCGACCTACCCATGTCGTCCTGGCCAATGTGAACGCCCTCGCAGCCAATCTCGACAGCCACCTCAACGCGGTCGTTGACAAGCAGCGGGACGCCGAAGCGGCGCGTCACGGCAAGCAACTCGCGGGCGGCGCGCACGGCATCGTCGTGCGAGGCTGTCTTGTCGCGGTACTGCACGATGCCGGTGCCGCCCCGCAGCGAGGCCTCGACCACGGCCGCGAGGTCGCGCGAGCCGAGGATGGCGGGCGTCGAGTCGGTGACGAGGTACACGCCGTAGTCGACTGCCATTTTTGCTGGGTGAGATTGCTGTGGCAGGCAAGCTGTCTGGTGAGTGAGTTGCGCCTAAGGGTGTGAGCAGAGGAAAGATGAGTGAGAGAGGCTGAGGTTGAGGGTGAGGGCGACCCTTGAGGTGAGGTGATGAAGCCACCGGCGGGCATAAAAATGGAGCCCCCGCGATGTGGGTGACGTGACTGCGCATCTAAGTTCCGAGGCGGCCCTGCGTGTCAACTCTAGCGACGCACACGAATGATATCTCAACACGTGAAAGCATGCCTCATTCTCCAATGCGGCGATCCTGAAGGGCCGAACAGTGTCTCATTGCCGCCGGTTTGGCGTGCAGGTATTGCTGGTTTAATTCGCAAGGGACGATTCTAGCATCGAGTGACACGACTGGAAGATGCAAGTTGGCGAATTAGCTGAACTCATCATGTTCTATCCAAAAGGGGAAAAGATACAATGTTTAAAATGGCCATGGGTAGTTTCCGAGTGTCAGGTGAAGCGGGGAGGTTCGGGTGGTGGGTTAGTTGAAGCGGGATTCGTGGCATCGAGACAACCCTAGACCATTGTGCCCGCAATCCTTCTCTCGCTGCAGTCTCAGTCGCTATCTACACCGAACGTTGTTGCCGCCCACCGTGCACGAGCGGCCTTCCTTGGTGCGAGAGAACCGGGGGCTGTCTGGTTATGATGTTTGTCTAAACTTAACTTACACCACATGTGCAGTGTAGGTCGCGTCTGGACGCGACGCCACACGAGGCAGCGAGGACCACAGGACCGAGTTTCATATTGACCGCCAGGGCGAAGTATCAACAAATACCACACTTCCTACTTGTGCTTCGGTCGTTTCCTTGAATCGGAATCGCAGCTCCTATTGATAGTCGCGCGGGTCAACGGTGCTTTGCCGATTTCATTCAGGTGTTCCCAGAGCACAACGTGATCCCCTCTGCATTCGGCACTGACGGACCCCTGCATTCCATTTACGCAGAAGGAAAGAAAGAAGAAGAGAACAGGTCATATGCTGCAAGCGAGCGTGTCGATCCGGAAGAGCTCGTCTTCGACGGCATCTGTACTGTACATTGAATCGACCAATTGCAGCATGCCTACCACTGAGCTTCCCTCTCCGGCATCATTGGGGCACGAACGCTATTGAGATGCGTCTCGAAACCGGCCACTGCGCTAACAATAGCAATAAAAACCCCGAAGTGTCCGTCTGAACATCGCTTCGCGCTTGCCGGCGGCCTTTCTTGGTCCTCTTGATAGATCATGATGAAGACTCCCCCCCAACACGACGCATGAGACTTAGCCAATGAGAAGGGGAAAAGTCCATTCAAAATTTTGGGTAAAATGGCCAGTTGAGCTCTCTTTCGAGAAATTATTATCAGAAGATGTCCTTCCAGATAGCCGCGCAGGCGTGGCCCGGGCGTCAAACGCGACCCAGCTTTCGCTGAGTTTCGACGCATCGAATCCGCCTACGCCGCCCTAGATCCTCCCCCCCCCCTTGGACGTGCGTTTAGGAGCACGTCGCCTTGCCGCTGCTGCCGGCTGTGCAACTCTTGCCGTTTCGAGTGCACTAATCAACGAGAAAACCAAAGAGTCAGCACAAATGTATCCTGTCATGCCATGCACCACACCCTCGTCTCCTCCCAGTTCGCTTGCACAGTAAGATTTACGTACCCTGCTGCGGCTGGAACAGGCGACCTTGACCAGGACCCTCTCCGTGGATTGCCTGCCCCTGCTATCCCTGTAGGTGCGGGTGTCGGAGTACTCGCATTTCTGGCTAAGCGTATAGCAGACCTGTACGGCGTCGCAAAGACAGCCGAGACGTCAGCCTCCTTGATACATACATCTCAGCCTTTCGGCGGGGTTTACTTGCGCCGCGGTGATCGGCAGCGACGGCAAGGCCGCATAGCGTGGCGAGGAGGACGAGTCCGGTCTTCATGGCTTTTGGATAATGGTTTCTTGCAGCGGTGCTCGGCCGGTATATCCTGGAATTCTTATCGGGAGCTTGGAAAAGATGCTACGCCGAATTTTCCTCCCATGATGAAGCAGTGTCTTGTGTTGCGAATTTATAATTTTCGGCTGAAGTGGCGGCGTCCAAAGTTTCCAGCGATGATCTTCCTCGTAAGTGACACGTCCCGGTGGCATCAAAACAGGGACCTGTAGAGAAAGAACGTGGTTCTCATCGTTTTGTGCCCGTATGGATGAATATTGGGGACGAGAGACGCAAACCCTCTCATGGCTCGCTTCTACGGTACATCTGCCACGACGAAGGCAAGGGGCACGAGCTGGCATCAGAACCAAGCGAAAGGGAGCGTGCGGTGCTACCACCGATGATCTAATATGACTAGTACTCTTAAATTCTGTAGTTGAAAGGACATTGCTCGACTGTGCTCTTCAGTTTCTCCTGAACAAGAGAGATTCGCGAAGACGATCCATGGCCGAAACCTCCTCGTCGTCTTCCACATTCGCTCCTGACATACTGTACATAATTTTGTCTACCTACGTAGTAATTGCAAGGGCGTACAAAGTACAGTATAGCAGTGAAGCTAGTGAAGCAGCATATCTCTTTGCGTCCCTTCACTCCAAATGTGAAGCGCCGTACGATCCACTGCTGTACGATCCACGGCTCTGAGACAAAAAAAAAAAACTGAAAAAAAAGGGGCCGACGACTCGCGCTTCGCGAACGCACGAACCAACTTATGGCATAATCCGGGGGATCTGCGAATACGGACATTCTAGTTGCACTATCTGGCCCCGGCCATCATGTCGTTTGGCAAGACTCGCGGCATCGGCAAGTCCTGCACTTTGCGCACGTGCTATGTATGACGCGGCCGCACTTTACTTTGCATGCGTACATTGCTCAAGCACATTCGCGACCTGTGTGGCCGTGTCGGCACGTGGCCACAGACATATCAACCCCGGTTTCGTTGCTCCGGTGCAATCTTGCTGCCGAAACATCTGCCGCGTTTCTGGAAGGTGTGGATGCGTTCGTCGGAGATGACGACCCCGTCGTTGGAACTGCATGATCGGCAGCGCGTGCCGAAAGGAAAGTGACAGGTCACCAACTGAAAGGAACATATACGCATTGCACCTGTACAGTACTGTAATATGGAGAGGTACAGCATAATTCACACACCGCCCAAGAGAAGGCCCATCGCATGAACTATACATCCTCGAGTTCAACAACGCGGCCGCAATTTAAACCGCCACACTAAACCTAGCGCTGCACCGTGATCCAACGATTTGGCTTTACCAGTGAAGCCCGGGCATTGACTTCGTGCGTTGTCGCAGCATCTTGAACAGAGTGTCGTCTCACCTTTCGTACCTCCGGAACTCGGGTCTTTCCGGATCTGCTCCGTACCAAAAAAATGCTGAATACTGAAGACTGCTCAGAAAATCGCCGTAGTATACTTGCATTCGTATCTCTCGCGGTGTGATCAAAGGCCGTTCGCCGGGCTTCCTTTCCTCCGGCTTCTCTCTGCCGATGGCATTCCCATCTGCAAACTCGAAAATCTCCCTCACCATGGCGATGATGACTTGGGCTAGGCACAAGATGCTGTGTTGTCCCAGAAGAAAGGGTTCGGTGTTGCTTGTACGTCGTTGAAGAAATGAGCGTATGCGCGTACCGATGATGGTCGGATCTGCGGCAGAAGTGACCCCATCCAGAAACCACGCCATCATGAGTCCATCCACGCTTTTAGCTCCTTCGATAGAGTGATTTGGGAAAAGATCTGTGCCAAGGCTTGATGCGGATGTGCTCGAGCGCAACGGTAGCACGAAATGCTCCAGATAACTGAGCATGATTTGATTCATTACCTCGCAAATGTCTTCCTCGAAGTCCTTTGCCATGATCGCCGGTTCTTTTCTCCGTAATTCCTGTTGAATAGATTCTTCGGATAACCCCCTTTTTCGGTAGTCGTCCTCGGATTCGCGAGGAACGTCGGCAAGAAGCGCCTTAAGCTCGCTGGGGAGAAGTATATGATCCCGCTTCTCGTATGGACCCAGGAGGTCCGCGTGTTGAGGCGGCTGCGAGGGGAAGAGCATGTTCAACTCCTGGACCGGGTCCCACCATTCTCGAAGAGTTGAAATGCCACTAAAATCGTGGCCTTCACGGAGGTGCCGGTGAAATCGCTCCAAGGATGTCTCGTAGTTCCTCAGAGGCTGAGTCTGCCCGGGAAGCCAGGTGTCAAAGAAGACGGTGTAAATGTTGAAGATAAGCAGAGACCTAGCATGTGTGTAGTCCTGGTTCATTCCAAGGCGAGCCCATTTATACTCGGCATCAGGGCAATGAAGCCATACACCGTGCTGCGATGGATTTCTATCCGCGGAGTCACCGTTGGCTGCCCAAGCCTGCACTTGCGTAGCTGCATGTTGGTAGTCGACGACGCCGAGGGTATCCGGCTCAAAACCGATGTCCTCGTCGGCGACTGGGTTCCCTGGGGGAATATCATCCCAGTCGTAACGGTTGATAAGTAGCACGCATTCGGCACGGGTAGCATCACAGTTCGTCGCATGGCCATGCTCATACTCGTAAGGTGACCCAGCCACACGCAGTAATTTGCGGATTTCTGGGAGCGGGCTGACCTGCTCGTGGGCGACGAACCAGGCGGCGGGGTTCTTCGCCCACTTGGTCCGTAGTAAAGGGTATGCTGTCCATGCCCCGTTCTGTGCCGCAATATTGTGTTCGATCTCGCAGCTGGCTACTGTGCCTCCGAGCTTCGGTTTAGGGTTCTCTGCCGGGCGTTGGATGGGTATTGTAGAGGCACGGTCGATGTCGTGGAGAGGCCCGAAGCAGATGGCACCCGACGAAACTGTGAAAGTAATAGGCTGATATTGCATTGCAGGCATTGTGTAACCAAGCTTCGCAATTCGATGCGGTAACGGTTCCGGCTCCAGCTTGTAAATCGAAGTGGTGAACGCTGCTTGTATGAAAAGCTTCTGGAGACGTTCTTGTTTGCTGATGATTGGCGAATGTTGGGTGGAACCTTCGCGACGATAATTCCGGACCAATTCAGAGCGGCTGACCCGAGCTGAGATTAGTGCACGGTTTTGACCTGCATCCGTATTTGCGTTCGGAGCTCACTCTATGCGGTACAGAACGTGACGCGACCCCGAAAGGTCCGCTGCAATGGCAGTTCCCTGTAAGCAACCGCCCAGAGCCAACTGAGCCGGTTGGAAACTGGAAACCAAATTGCTGACATTTCGGTCTCAGTTGCCACTATACTCGAGAGAACATGTGTCCTCTCCAAACACGCCTGCACATAGCACCATTCGCTTTCGACAATGATGTGGATCTGGCCATCGATGTTAACGCCCGCCAATGTACCCAAACGCCCAGCCGCCTAACACTCAAAACCTCGAGATATCCCGCCCGAAAATCCAGGTAATCAGCCAGTACACTGGGATCATGATCTTGTTCTTGATACTCATGCTCTTGGTCAGATACGCGGTTCGCCATAAGATCCACGCCGCGCGGCCCTTGAGCTCGTCCTTGCCGCTCTGGTGAATGGCCCGCCAGCTGCCAAGGTACGCCATCGTGCCGAGATTGCGGAACTTGAATGGCGGCGACGAGGGTGAATCTGCTTCGCCCTTGTTGAGCTGCTTGGCCAGGTACGCCGCCTGCTGGCTGGCCACCTGGGCCGTAGCCGGGTAGTTGCGCCCCTTGACGGCAGTGCAGTCGCCCACGGCAAAGACATCTGGTAGCGTCGTGGTCGGCGATCCGGCGTCCGAAGGTGCTCCATCGGCGTTCTGACTTTGCACAGGCTCAAGCTGTACGCGCATGTGTTCGTCCGTGACGATGCCGCCCGTGCGAGGGTCCTTGGCGATCTTGCCTAGTCCTTCGATTTCGCGGCCCAACAAGTGACTGGTCAGCGGATTCTGGGTCAGGCCTGTACTCCAGACGACGACTCCAGCTCCAACCTCATCGGGCAACTCCTTCACCTTCAACATGAGATAGTCGCCCTCGCGTCGTATCCGCTGCAGGTGGTGCTCCGTCTTCACGGTGATGCCCTGACGTCGGAACATCTCGGTGGCATAATTGGCCAGACTCTGGTCGAACATGGGCAGGACCTTTGGCGCAATGTCGTAGATGGTGATGGCGACGAAGCGCTTCAGATCAGGAAAGAGCTTTGACAAGTCATCTCTCACCAAGTCGTGCAGCTCAGCAGCAAACTCGATGCCCGTGGGGCCGCCGCCGACAACGGCAAAGTGCAGTAGCTTGCGCCGCTCTTCGTCGCTTGTCGTGGGCAGGCTCGCCTTTTCGAAGGCAGCCAGGACCTTCAGCCGTATGATGCGAGCGTCACCGATATCGCGGAGGAAGCAGGCATGCTCCTTAACACCTTCGATGCCAAAGGTCTGGCTGTAGCACCCAACGGCGAGTACAAGTTTGTCGTAGGGCACTTCGAACTCGGTACCCTTGGTCAGCTGCACACCCGTGACGGCGCCGACGTCGCCGCGTGTATTGGCCTCTACGCGAATGACCTTGCGTTGAAAGTCGATGTCGGACGCCCATGCCTGGTGAAATTCATCCAGGTTGAGGCGGCGGACGGGCTCGATGGCGGCTCGGAATTCGAGCGTCCCAACCGAGGTCGAAGCCAGGAGCGGAGTGAAGACGAAGTGAGAGCGAGGTGAGATGAGGATGCGAGTTGCTCTGGACGGTTTGAGGGTACGACCGACGGCGTATCCAGCCCAGCCGGAGCCGAGAATGACGATACGCTCCTTCTTGGATCCTAGGCCGACGGATAGGTTTAGTAGCCGATACAGAGATGGCGAGCGATTCAAGGGCGCCGAGCTTACCATCTGATGCAGCCTGCGTGGAGGCCTGCCTCGCCGGCGGTGTGTTAGTGAACTGTTGGTGGACGAGGGGAGTCGCTTTCCCAGACAGCCGCATCAACGACCGGCACTGCAGGCGCGTGAGCCCAGCCATGGTCGCTCCTTCTCCAACAATGCGAGATGAGATGGCAGATAGATGTAGGCAAGTTGCACCTTCCTTTATGCTTATACGCCCGATTGCCACTCTCTGAGGAAGTTGCGACCCAAGTTTTATTTAAGCTTCGCGGCTCGGCGGCGTCGGCAAGAATGACATCAGCCTTACTGGCTATCAAGACAGATCTAGCTGCGCCCAATTGACAAAACTCGATTGCCAAAGACCCTCAAACTCCACCCGGCAGTGGCTGTGACTCTTCTTCTGATTCCCATGTGCGCGCAGTCATTGCAATTGCGCGAAATCGGCGTCGCTCACGCGGCCCTCTTTACGATAATTCATCGGGACCGCGAGGCCAGCCACCGTCTCAGCGCCTCGCCCGCCTCGGACAATGCGGACTCCGGACTGCTGAACCCACCAGAGGCGCCGCGCCGGCGCTCCCGACACATCCCGCCTCACAGACGGCAAATTCTGCCAAGTACTGCAATCGATATAAAAACGCGTTTTAATGTGCTGCGTACGGCAGCTCCTTGCTCAATACACCAAGGGCCCGTCGCCCTGTAGCATCCCTCCACCCGGGGCTGTACAGTCCTATCTTACCCGACATCACTGTCACTGTCTTCCCCCCCACACATGTGCAGCCATATGCTTGCTCACATGTCGCTCAAACAACTCCCGGCCCCATCTTTTACTGCAGCATCGAGTCGAGGCTTTCGCCCAGCACTTCCTCGATCTTGACGATCCACCTGTGCGTCTCCCGCTCCACAACCTCGTCATCGTCCTCCTGTAGCTCGCTGATGCGGGGCAGCATCTCGTGCAGCATTGACAGCCACTCCTCGCCCAGCCGGTCTGTCAGCGCCTGCTCGCATTTGACCGCTGCCAGTCGCACCGCAGTCTGCTCCGACTTGAGATGCTTCATCAGTGACGAGTTGAGCTCCTTCTGATGGGCTTGGGAATCCGCCGCCCCGGCCAGGCCAACAACCGCCGGGACGAGCCTCTCGTTAACGTCAAGAGAGCCTGCGTGGAGGAACTGCTGCATGAGTACCGGCGCGATGGCTCCAAAGTGTGATGGCGCCTGCCAGAAATCGTCCTGATCATGCTCGAAGCACGTCTCCAAAGTCTGGAGAACACGATTCCACAGTTCTCGCTCTTCAGCAACCTTGACGTCGGCCGCCCCAAGAATCTTGACGGCATCGTCAACCACGTACGTCGCGTAGTTGGTCACGATTGACTTGAGTTGCGAGAAGAAGCTCTGCAAGAAGCCGTAGACGCTGTACTGGCGGAGGGCTCGTCCAGTCTTGTCAGACTTGGGCAATCCAGTCGCCGTCCACTCGACGATCTGCACGAAGATGGGCCGGAAAGCGGCATCGTTGAGCTTGTATATCATCTTCAGCGCCTTTTCGTTGACCCCGGACTCGACATTTGCTACTTGTCGCAGGGCAAGCTCGCCCTTCTCGCCAGCAGCATGAACGCGGCGGCGCACATCGAATGCCCGGAGGAGCGTGCTGGTGAGCAGGCCCGCGTGCTTAGTGATAGCGGATTTGGGGTGCCTGTCGATCGCTACCCCCAGCACATCGAGAATTTCGAGAATTGCCTATTCAGGTTGATTAGCGTGAGGATCTCTCCGCGGCATGTGACACTCCGCCTTACCGAGAACCCTGCAGACATGGCTTGCTCCCAGTTCTTGTCCAAGCTCGTGAAGATGTCCTTTGCGTCAAGCCGCTTGGCCAGGAACCCGAGGCAGCTGGTTCGGCTCTCATTCGTCTCCTCGTCCAGCCCGGCTTCGGCCGACTTGTTGGAGATCGCCAGCACGCGATCAGTGTAGGTCGACAGCATGTACGGCAGATGCTCCGCCAAAGAGCTGATGAAGCCGTAGCATGCAGAGTGGAGCTCTTCATCCGGGCTCTCGCCTTGCAGGCTCTCGTCCAGATACTGAACCGCCTGTGGAATGGCGACAGGCAAGACAGGGACGATGGCGTCCTGCAGAACATCGACGAGGGACGTGAGACACAGCAGAGCCATGACCCGAAGGCGTATCTCATCCTGTCCAAGACAGTGCTCCCCAGCAATGGTTGCAGCCGCAGCGACGACAGCCTCGACATCCTTCTTGCCGTACTTCTCCGCGATCTTGTCGACACACGTGACGGCAGTGTGCTTGTACCGAATGTCTGACGACTCTCGGATGGCCGCAGTGAGCTGCGGCAAGAAGGCTAACAACGCTTGCCTGGACGCCGCGTCCGTGTTGCTCTCCGCCTCCACGCGTACCTCCAAGGCACGGAGAACCTTTTGACGAAGGCCCATGTCGGGGCGGTCGAGCAGGTTCTCCACCGACTTGATGAACTCTCCGATCGAAAGAAGGTTGAGCAGGTTGGACAAGGAAGCCCCGCACCTTCCGTGCAGCGCCTTGTTCAACTTGACCTTGTCGGCCAAGACAAGTAGATTTTCAAGGAGCAACGAATACAGCTCTCGAACCTCGGACGCTTCCATATCGTCGCGACCCACGAGCTTGCCAACCTGTGCCTTGAGCTTTTTGCTTGCCAGGAAGCTAGGTAAAGCTGACAACTGGCGTAGGGCAATCTTGTCAATGTTCTTGTCCTCTCGATCCTCGCTGATGCCGAGCAGGATAAACGAGATGCCTGGCTTCGGCTTGAAAAGATCGGCAACGAGATCCAGGAGCTTGACAAAAGACTCGAGCTGGATCTCGGTGCTGAAATTGTTCAAGAGATCGACCACAAAGTGCAGGAGGGCGTCGCTGGTGTCGTATCGGTCGACCAGCATGCTGATGAGCGCAAACAAGAAGTCTCTCGGGCCCAGCGTGTCCACCAAGGCCACGAAGAGACCGAGTCTGCGGTGCGCCGGAATGTGTTCGTACGCCGTCGTAAAGCTGACGAGTATGTCGCAGGCGCCAGCAACCGGGCTCTTCTTGCCTTGTCGCAACGACTCAATCAGCGGCGGCACGACTTCTTTGATGGTTTGTGAGACAACATGAGCCGAGTAATCGTCGCTCTGTCGGAGCACCGATGTGCCCATGAAGGTGAATATGGGCATGACGCTGTGCAGAACCAGATTAGGTGCCGTCGTGGCAAGGTTGGCCACCAGCAAAAGCGCGGCATTTTGAACCACCGGGCTCGACGATTTTTGGATGCAGTTGACGAGCAGGTCTCCGTATCCACCAGAGCTATCGATCTTGAGGTCATTATTGTCGCGGTAAGCGGGCATCATGGCAAGAAGACTCCGCAAGATCAGGTTCTGAAGATAGCCAAGCTCGGAGCCAACGACCGTTCTAAAGTGTTGAAGCTCAGACAGGGCAGTAAACAGTCCGTCCAGAAGCTCGGGGTGAGACACTGGATCCGAGTTCTCGACGAGCTGCAAGACAAATGTGACCTTGCGCAACGCTTGGCTCAGCTCCGGCGTCATCTGGGTGATGAGGCCGCGGTTGCCGTCTGACGAGCTCGTGCGCCGTCTCTTGTTTGGCGGAGGCTCCGTGATCATCTTGGTGCCAGTTTGGATCGAGTCGAGGAAGAATGATAGGATGTCAGTGGTAAGTGGCACCGCCCTGAGCACGTCGGCAGCTTCACCAGGCACCACTGAATCGGGGTCCGCGGTGGGCGACTGAGAAATCTCCAGCAGCTGCTCGGCAACCATGAACTTGGTTTCATCCTTCATGGCTGGCCACATTTTGCGCACCCGGGCAAATATCGCTCGCAGCAGATCGGACTTTTCTTGCTTAGACGGATCTTTCAAAACCTTGAAAAGATATTCCAAGCCATTGCTGTCGTTCGAGACCACGGTGTCCACAAAGCAAGCATCCAGTTCACCTCTGTCCAACTGCTCGGAACGGCATACCTCGGCAGTGTCTTCCTCCGTCAGGCTGACCCACCACTGCAAGGTTGGCAACAGCAGTTGAGTTCTTGAAGTGGTTCCGACGGCCCGGACCTGGTCGAGCGCGTTGAGCAGCCTCTGTTTGACCACAACAAGAGGTGTGAAATTAACATGCGACGAGAAGAATGTCAATAGAGCCAGCCTTGCTGATTGGCCCATATGGTCCTTCTTGTCGAGAGCCGGTTCCGGAGCTGTCTGGTACTTGCCTTGATCGATAGCAGACGTGATGACAGACGTGATGTGGTTGAAGTCCATGACACACTCCTCGATACTCGGTAATATTTGCAGATGAAGCATCTTCGCGGCCACATCAGCTCCAAGGGATGCAACATCCTTTGACTTTCCATACAAGGCTCCGGCGCCCCAGGTCTTCATAGACTTGGCTGCGACAGGTACGGTATAAAGACTCGTCAAGACCGTGATCAGCTCGGCTGCTGCCTGACGGACTCGCTTCGACGGGTCGGCCAATGCAGCTACACAGTAAGGCACAAGAGCCTGCATGTCCAACTTGCCATCGTCGCTGGCCTTGAGGCGATTCTTGACCATGTTCAAGGCTGCCATGCGGGCCAGCGCAGGGTATGGGCCGGACCAGATACGGACGAAGAAGCTGAAATAGGTGCTGTCCTTGAAAGCCGACGAGCGCCGGAGTTTGGTACTCTGGTCGAACTTGTCCAAGGCCGTAGTGTTCTTTGCTTGTTCCGAGACTATCGTGAAGAAGAGGTGGCTGAATTCGTCGAAGATTTCGTTTGGTTGAGGCAGAAGGCATGGAGACAGCGACTCCTTGCGCGCTGACAACTCGTCTACCGCTGCTTCGAGTGCCTGCGAGCTTTGGGGCTTTGACATGCCTTCGATGGGCTGTGCAATCTCGGCACCTGCATCGGGCAGCTTCCTAGTACGGAAAGAAAGGTCTAGCTTCAACTCCAACTCTTCAATGTCAAACTCAACATCCTGTATGACTGATTGGATGATTTCTCCAGACCGCCCAGACGTTTGAGACAAGGCGATGAGAGCGGATCCGAGCTCCCGACCCAGCTGGCCGTCTTCGTTGCTGTCGTTGAGCTTGAGGGCGGTGAGAAGGAGAGACTTGAAGATGACAGCGATTTGCTTCTCCTGGAGGATCTGGCTGCTCAATATCGCCATTATTGTCGGAAGGCCCCGTGAGTCCCCCTTCTTGGTGAATCGCTCGATAAGTGCCAGGCAGAGGCCGTTGGCCAGTTTGTCAATCCTCCTCTCCTGACCAATCTCAACCAGGAGAGGGCCAATACCGGACACTTTCATGAGAGCCTTGGTAACCTTGCTGTTCATTTGCTTCGCGGACCTGAACTGAGCCATGATGGCCAGGCAAACGAGACCGGGCCTAACTGTGTCGTTTGTCCAACCATGGACCAGCTGCTGCATGAAGGCCGTAACAGCCACGTCTTCGAGATTCGCTTTGGACACAAAAACCGCCAAGGCCATGTACGACGCAATCTGAAGACTGGGGATCTTCTTCATGGTCAATGCCTCGGCGAAAACTGGACCGACCCTGTGCAGGAGGGCTTGGGTGTTCTCGCTCTGCACAGCCGCTCGTCCAGATCGCGTCCTGTCGAGCAATCCATTGACGGCCTCTGTCGTGAGCCCGGCCCAAAAGGTGATGAGAGCAGGGTGCTGAAACTGCTTCCGGCATGACTCGAGTGTATATTCGGAAAAGGCTGAGAGAAATTCGGGGTGATGGATGGCCTGATGCACAAGAACCGACCTCGGCGGAGGCGTGAGAGATCTAACGTACGGATCGAGGAATCGGAACTCGTGGGGGATCCTGGAAGGAAGGATGGACAACAGAGTGGCGAACGTCGGGATGGAGTGGTATGGGAGGAAAGTTAGAAGAAGAACGGAGGTGTTGTCCTCGTGAATGCTACGAAATCCGTCAGTGCCGCTGAAGTCGACGCGCGAAAGCAATGTACAAACCGAAAACGCCGAATAAGCCATTCAATTGACTTAATTGCCGGCATGAGCCGTAGGCGGCTCCCAGCCAAGCGCAGGAAGGCCTCAATCTGGCGATCCAGCTCTTCATTCTCGGCCGCGGAGAGCTGGGTCCTGTCCTGCTCCTGGCTCTCTTGGCTGAATATCGTCGACTGGAAGCGCGCAAAGCGGGCGTCGAGCTGGCACAGCTCCTCAAACCCAGGATAGCATGTCGTGTAGAGCGTCTGGTAGCTCTGCGTCGCGGCGACTCGGGGCTCCCAAATCAGAGACTTGGAGTGCGCCGCCTTTTGCGCCTTGACGTTGAGAGTGGCCTTGGAGTTGGCGGCGATTTGCGCCAACTGCGCAGCCAGAGACGTCGCCATGGCTGCAAGGCTTCCGGGCTCACGGGCCGAAAGTCGAGAGCGACAGGGGCAAGGTGGTAGGCGACGACAGCAACGTGAAGGCCGTGGGTGTGGTGATGTCCCTTCACGATCACTGGCGACAGTCGCACCGAATTTTTTCTTGAACATCCGGACCAAAAAAAAAGCGGCGACGACAATTTTGGGGGGCCTTATCGATAAGGCTTGCGGGTGGCGCGACAAGGTGGGGCGGACTGTCAGGTCCCTGGACTCCAGGCGGGACAGCGGCACCGACTTCAACTGCCAACACCCTGAACTGAATCGCTAGCAAACTGCCACATTTTCAGTGTTCGCCTTGAAGTTGGCACCTGGTTCTTCGGCATCATCCTCTCCAAGCTTCCTCCGTCACGCGGCCTTGTAAGTTCTCTGCATTTCCACAAGACCAAACCCCCTCCGGGTGGCAATAGCCCATGGCGGCATATACTGCTCGACGCGACGCAACGCTGGTATCGTCCCGGGCTGGTTTGCGTCTCCCCAAGCGCATCTCACAGTCACCTCCAAGGGTCGACCCAAATAATCCATATTGCACTCCGTCCGTTGCCTCAGCTCGCCCGGAGACATGCCATCATCTGACTCACCCTCTCGTATGCCCCATGTCGCACTTGAGGACTCATCTTCAGCAAGCTGCAAGCTTACTTTCCAAGCCCCCGCCCAACCTCGTCGCCAAACTTGGATGTGCTGTATTAATCCGTCGGGTGGGTTCTCACCGAGTCGCGGATCTCGCTCTGCCTCGCCTTCAATGGCAAAACTTGAGATTGGTCGCGAGAGGTCCAGCCAGCAACCTCTCGTTTCCAGGGCGTCGAGGTGTATATGTACCGTCGTTCCATTTGTCGACTTAGACATATTCACCGTCATCATATCCTCAAGATCCACACCGCTCACAAGTTGAGGGGCGTACAGAGATGCGTCATATAGACAATCCGTGAGGGGCCGCTCCACCGTCGGTTGGCACTTGGTCGACTCGAGTTGCCTGCCTGCTTCCGGGATGGAGTCAATTACCTGATAGAGATACTCTCCGATGCCTGATAGAGTGACCACGTTTCTGCCCTTGTCGAGGTCGACTGTCTGCTTGAATATGAACTTGAAGCGGTTGCTCGTAGAGAAGGGGAATGCGGTAAAGTTGTACACTGAAGCGCCCACAAAGACGAGGAGTGCCAGAACAGGAACATGGTGCGTGGCTCGATGGATGAAGGGCGTGAATGGAAGGAATACGACGATGCTGAGGACGCCGATGACCACAAATGGAGTCGCGAGGCTACTGCCGTCTACTCCAGTCATGGCTATTGCCGACACATCTGCTAGCCCTTGGCCCCCGACGACAGTCAGAGTGACTGGGGCCAAGATCAGGAGCTGCAGAAGCCATGTCCATATCGGGACATAGGTGGACCACGGATCGCCTTCCTTAAAGGGTTGCTGCAGCCATTCCAGTACCATCGAAGCAAAGACAACTACACTGGAAGCGACTTTTCGACAGCCGAGGGCCATGGGGTTCTCGCCATGCAGCCAGCCTGGCCCTCGGTAGGTACCAAGCAACGGCCTCATAACAGATGGGCCCCCTCGACCAGTCACTTCGCCATCGGCCGTCACCTCTTCGTCGTCGTCCTCCCGCCCGGTATCGTTGCAGGCCGCTGGCTCCCTGACATGGTTCGTGTCGCACGGCTCCTGACTGATCGGTAGCCCTCTTGGTAATCCAAGCCGCTCTAGCAAAGAAACCATCAACGATATAAAAGCTGCTGAATGGAGTACAGCAAATGGGTAGAGTGGTCCGATCAGTAGCTTTCCCTCAACCACCACTGCAAACACCTGGAATACCCACAGCATAGCAAATAGCCATAAGTTGACAATGAGCCGAGTAGAACCAATGGATCTGCGCATGACGGTCCACATGCCGAAATAAGACGACGAGAGCGCCATAGCCCATCTAGGCGGTGTTAAAGAGATATGGAGAGATCCGTTCATGAAAGTACTTACACGACGTAGCTACTGCTGAATATTATCAGCGGATTGAGTCTGGCCACTGCAATCAATGGAGCAGTGGTCAAGGCTGTGGCAAACACAAGTGCCAAGGGAAAGCGGAGGATATCACCCCAGGTCGTGTTTCCAAGATGCCATGCATCCATTCTGACAAGAGCGTATATGATGAGAGCGACAGTCAGAGGTGTAACAATGACTAGAGTGAGAGACCATGCGAAGAGATCAGCGACTCTGAAACTAATCCAAACCCAGCCGAGCCAGTCGAACCAGACTCCCTTGTCAGTGAACTGTCTGCTTCCTCGACCACCAGACCGTCCAGAGGTCGACTTTTCGGGCAGGCTCTGGGCAACTTCCAAGGCTGCCGAGAGCATGTGCCAAATGCTATCAATCGACGTGTGCCGCGCGTCATCTTCGACTGTATGATAGCGTGATCGGGGCTTGTAGAACGCAATGTCAAGTCCACTCAAGCCATAGACGTTTGCGAAGATTTCATAATCAGTGCCACTCATGACAGCTCCTCTATCGTAACCATACTTGGCAATGACAGAGCCCAACGGGTGAGGAATGCCCGAATACGCAGTTGCTGCTTCATAGTCTGTGGCTTGGAAGAGCATTGCACGACCGCCGGCCCCCACCCCCTCGAGGTTAGCAAATGTGCGGCAGAACCGAAGCAAGGGACTACTGCTGAACGCGCGCGATCCCAGTAGCCCGTCCTCCTCAGCATTGTTGAACAGCAGTACGATCCCGTGCTCCGGTTGATGACCCTCGGTGGTAAAATGGCTAAGCAGCTGCAACATTGAGACGCACGCCACACCGTCGTCTGTAGCCCCGTAGCTCGTTGCCACTCTGGAGTCGAAAGTTAGTCAGAAGACAAGTATCGCCCTAGCTAGGACAGGCCGTCGACTTACGAATCTATGTGATTGTTGATGAGAACGCCGCCAGGATCAACGGAACTATTCATGGTGTCGGGGTTCTCAGAATTCCACCAGTCGCTTGTTGCGTCTTGTTTCCCACGTATGTAGACATAGATGTTGCTTCCTTCAAAGTATTGTGCGGTCAATGTCGACCCATTGCCATTACCGCTCAGGTAGGCCCCAGCATCGTATGTCATGGTAAAATTGGCCATCTGGTCGTCGAACACAGTGGCAACGGCCTCCTTGAATGACCCATTGAATTCGTGTCCGCTGCCGTTGCCGGTCACGTTTGCGCGCCTGGTGTAGATGTTTAGCGCTCGGCTTCGTCTAAGTGTTCAGGGAAATTACTTGGCTTCAATGTATGCAGGTGAGGTTTTAGCGGCCGCTACACGTAGCGCTTCAACTGTATAGTGTACTTCATTGCGGTCCAGAATTTGTTTCACCCGGTCGATGAAGTATTTACGCACTCGATCGTTCTCGTGGCTGATGAATGGATGAAATGCCGCTGTAATGTTTTGCAAGTCGTGCCACGCCTCGGCCAAACTGATGCCATCTGGGAGAACCGTTGGAGGCGATGGAACAACCTCTTCTAGGTGCATCAATAGCATCGCTACACTGAGGTATACAAGCGTTGTCCAGAACGTGACCGGCCAAGGCCGGAAGGCGATGAAGTCACGCAGCGTCATGGTAAGCGCTACGCAGCGAGCAGGGTCGCGGCACGGGGTAAGGATGACAACCTCGTCTCCGGTTTGTCACAAGATCAGCGAGGAGAATTAGTCTCGGATAAGGCCGTCGCCGAAGATGCAGGCAAAGTTTTCGAATGTTGGTGGGAGCCGCGGAGAGCGGGCTGTTGGGAACACAACATCAAATGGCACATGACTGGTCCCGGTCGCTGAGCAAGTGAGACCTGCCCAATACGCTCAAGCAAACACTTACAAGTGCCAGATGAGCAGTCCATTGACACATTAACAGAATATACAAGACGTTGTCCTTCAAAGTTTCTTGAAGACAAGCAAGACTCGCGAAGGAGCGAATATAGACACCCCAGTCACCCAAAGCGCCTGGCGTCCACATAGGTCACAGAGCGTCGCCCCAAGACCAGACTCAAATTATCGCATCGCGCATCACTTTGATTGCAAATCTACGATTGAGTCCGGCCTACCAGTTGTGTCATACCATGTATTAGACCACATGCCACAGGGACCTTCTTCCCGGCGGCCCTCCCTCTGGTCGTGTTTGCCCCAGCGATAGCCCGCAGCCCACAATATGCCTTCAACATCGCGCTTTGTGTCCTGTCATTGCCGCGCTAGCTAGCACTACGCAAGGCTTCGGTTTGAGCCGGGAGATCATCCATGTCAGTGTGGCTCAAGCCCAGTCACTTTCCCTACCCCAGTAGTAGACAAGGAATCCTTGAAGCCTTTGCTGGGCTTGCCGTCTTCAAAAAGAGGGCCTGTGTCTCATTTGTCATTAACACAGCCGCTCATGCGCGCCGGACCAGATATTCCCCAGGACCAACAGCACAGTTGAGGGTAAACAACATACCGTACTTGGGATGGACAAGAACGCCATCAGCGAAGACGTCAACCGAGTTGGGCACAACCCACTCCATCAACCTGTCCCAGTTAACGCACTCGTGTGGGCTGGTGAGATTGCCTATGGGGCGAGCTCCTCCTTCCTCCCATTTCATGGTGAGGACCGTGGTGTCTCCCTGGCACATGACGGCGTCCATGAGCATGTGAAGGCAATGCTCTGTGCCAGCGTTATTTATCAACCTTGACGCATCCATCGCGATTGCACTGGGTTCAAGACTCACTTGTGTGCTCATCGTGCATGGCTTTCTCGTGGCCTTTGAGGCGATCAAGTTGGTAGTAGGCGGGGTGCAGGGCATGATAGATGTTTTTCTGGTAGCTCAGTGCCTGTTCTCATCAAGCCCTGACGAACAATGATCAAATCCCTCACTCACAAGGCAATGAAGATGGTGGAAGACCATGAGCGAACCAAAGAATGTGCCGTCAGGCAATCGAATGCCTTCCTCTTCTCGGCCAAGGCTGTGCATGAGATTCTCAGAGAACCCAATGTTTTGATCTATGCACCATCAGCCTCTCGACTTCGTTCTAACGCTCAGTTGAGTGCTGCATACGCTCAAAGATGTTATGCCAATTCTGGTCAACCTCCTTGCTGGGCTCCCCGAAGTATCGAACTCCACCACGGAGTTCCCACTGTTCCATTACATAGGGTTCGTAAGTGATGAAGTCGTTCGCCGGCGCTGTGGTAGACCGCCAGCTGTCTTAGCCCCATAGACGTTCCCGAGCCAGGGTTGGTTACTTACATCCGAGGAATCGGGTACCGTGGCGGCGCTCCTCCTTGGCCATTCCCCAAGTGACGGACGCAATGATTGATGTGTATATGACAAGAGCCAACAATGCAGACAATGCAGTCAAAAACCTCATGTACGAGCCGCTATGGCTACGAGCTAGCCGTAGTCTGTGTATCAGCATATCGTCTTCCATGTCCGTGCTGGACTTGGAGCCATCGTGATCAAGGGGAAGATAATCGGAGGATCCTTTCATTGTTGCTACTAGCCAATTCAATGTAGTAAAGTCGTAGAGTTTGACAAGTCTTGCTAGTTCAAGGCCTCTGAGCGTGAAGTGGATGAGACGGAGAACATACGTCTGGTCGGATGATGAGGGGGAGGGCGAGAGCGAGAGCGAGAAGGAGAGGAGAGGGAGAGCAAATCGTCCTGTAGAAGAGCCACCCGAGTGTGTCACACGTAATGCAAGTAATGCCTATGTGTCGTGGAACTCTTGAAGATCTCATCGCCAAGCCTCAGGCCGGGCCCCTGATTTTGGGCGCACGTCTTACATCAACCACACTTCGGCACTTCTCCTCCCGCACCTGCAGGGTGATAGTTTTCGCATGAGCCTACATTCGAATCACGTCACTCTCAATGGCGTACAGATCGGCAGGCTTCCGAGTTCCGTTATCACAGAGCGGGATACCGCATTTGTCCGGCTTTTAGCCTCCGATCATTGGTCCAGCCATGCCTGTTCGCAGGGGTATGGCCCGTCATGCAGCTGCAACTCAACCGAGAACACAGTGGTCTCACCACACAATTGTCTGAAAGCTTCAACACCCGTATTGCAGCTCGATCCAACTGATGAACCCGATACTCTTCAGTCACGGACTTTGACTTGTGGCCCGCCGCGGCTGCTGCCGACGTGGTACAATCCGGTATGTTCAGTCACGCAACAAGACGGCTTTCCAGTTGCATAAGACCAGACTCATCACTTCGCACTGGTGTTGTGTCTTCAAGTACGACATGGGTATGTTGCAATCGAATGTTACGTCCCGCGACTGCTGGGGCTGATGTTAACTGCAATACGACTTCTCAGCTGTTAAGTATCGCGAACATCAAGGTGATGTGCAACATGCAGTCGGCTCTTTTCACTACGTCTGCATGAAAGTCCTGAAGCAGGGATGACTTATCGCGGACAGTAAAACCTATAGGGAGCCAACACGTCGCGGCTGCAGTAAAACACGAACGATGGTGGCAACATCAGACTCGACGGGAAATGCGCTGCACTGCAGTTTCTCCGGATTGATCGGCTCGCCGAGAGCACCTCGTCGTGATGTGAAACAACGCAATCTGAGTCTCGGGCGGAAAATTATCGTGAAGTTTTCGACCTCGAGTCCGAAACATTGATGTCGTGCGAGACGAACTCGGTCGCGTGGACCGGTCTCCTCTGGCTCGGGGGAAAGCCATGGTCTATTTACCCGTGCGTAGCAGTATATATTCCAACGAGATTTGCCATGCAAAAGCAGCTAGCTCACATCAACAGCAACTTCACTACAACATCTTTTAAACGACGCACACACAAGCTCCTAAACGCAATCGAAGTCTTGCCCCCGACCTTTCAGTATGAAGGGAATCCTGAGTGTCGCTATGCTTTTGGCATTTGGAGCTGCTGCTCTTCCCAATGGTCTGTTCTCGAATTCATCTTCCTTTCAACTTCCCTCGAGCTAACCCCGTCAAAGGCCTTGTTGTTCGCTCCGGCCTGGATGGCGACCTCGCCTACAACAAGCCCGCCAGCCCCGAGAGGCGCTCCGGCCTGGATGGCGACCTCGCCTACAACAAGCCCGC